TTGAATGTGTCTGTTCGGGTTTTTTGGGGTACAGATAATAGCGAACTTAGTTCTTCCAAAGTTAGTCGAACCATATATAACTTTTTGGGAGAGGTAAGAGTAACCCTTTCCCTTTCAACCCCCCCCCCCCCCATTTTGTTTTGCTTTTCAAAAAAAAAAAAAAACAACCACCGGTGATTTAGTTTGATTCCTGAGGCTGAGTCAAAACTGAGTCCCGTAACAGAGAGATATAAGATGTACTTGCTGGATTAAAGTGAGAAGAGAAAAAAGTCCCATCAATGCAGACACAAACAACCAAATGCCCCCTGTGTACCAAACAAACAGATCATCACTGTTAAAAAAAGGGCGATATTGGACGTACAAGGGTGCATATCGGTAAATAGGCCTAACCCATCCGCCGAGCTCATGAATAAAAGCCATACCCTCAAAATATTCCATATTACTTAGAGAGTTCTGAGGGCCATACAATTGGGGATTTGAAGAGATATGGCAATGAACCTCTGGCCCGGACTTGGGACTTCCAATTCTGAGCAATTTGAATGCGATTGGGCTCGAAAGTGGCACTATTTTGCTACGTTGTGGAGGGATCGTTTTTCAAGATGGCTACTTTTCCGCTTTGGGAAAAATAGGGGTCGTCTTCTTTGGGTGAGAATTTCTCAAAAAGTAAATGGCTGAACCACCAAAAAATGAAAAGAATATGAAAGATGGCATGACAGTGATCATCGTTTTTCTGTGCAGCTTAAATACCTAGTATTTTTCAAAGAATTTTGAAGTATGGGCATTTAGCACTGGTGTCTATGGGGATTTTAATACAGGGTTGCATCAACAAGTGGTTTAGCAACGATTGGCCACTTGTTGTCATTTCATATCCTTCGCTAATGTATGCATGCATGTGACATTTCATTCATTCCCCAGGTGGTTATCGACAGGAAGTGAAGTTAAGCGAAAACACGGCAAATTAAGTTGTTTTCTTCACTCCGTCTACTTCGTTGAAACCAAGCGCAGCGCTCTCTTCCCACTCAATTCAAACAGTGCGACAAACAAATTTAAACAAACAAAATATAGACAAGACCATACTTATGCACGGTATAAGTATGGTGTTCACAGGCCCACAATTTCATGATTTTATGTGATTTGGTTTCATCATACTTCCTTTCAAATACCACTCAAACAGTCGGACATAAAATAACGGAACATGTACATGTAGTTGATTAGTTTCGACTTTTTGGTCTTGACCCATGCCAAACTCAGGACCTCCCCCCCCCCCCCCCCCCCGCCCTGCGAGCCTGCCTGTTAAACGCAAGCCAGAACGTGGAAAACAGTCGTTGACTTTTTACGTGCAAAGACAGCCCAGGCAACAGTCGCTGCAAAATTAGGCCGTTACTGAATTAATGCGCATGCGCATGTTGATCCCCGCTGCAACAAAATTAGGCAGGTGCACTTCTGTACATTGAATTTAAAGCGATATCTTACGTGCGTGTTTCTGGGAATCTGTCTCATGTAACGATGCGTATTATGTTAGTGTGAAAACCAGGTGGTACTAGCTGCGGCCGAAAAAATTAGGAGTGGCGAAGTGAAACTGTGACTACTCCATGTAATGCACCGGGCCTAAAACTGGAGACAATGCATGACAGTTTGAGGGGTTGATTTTTACAGACAAGAGAGTGAGGCTGAAGTCTTTTAAAAACAGGTTAGAACTGCAGTACTAAAGGGTTGTTGGACTGGTTTGTTTCAGGTGCCAGTCTATCATGTCTATTTTCTTGTACTTTTGTTACTTGTAGGCTATTTTATCAGTATCATGGCTATTGCATTTTTTTGTTGTGCGCTTTCTTGCAATTCACGCATTAACTTAGAATGAGCGCGCGTTCTTAAGAATGAGCGCGCGTTCTTAAGAATGAGCGCGCGTTCTTAAGAATGGGCACGCAATCTGAAGAATGAGCGCTCATTCTTAAGATTGTGTGGGAATATCACGTGCGCAATTTATGAATTTTGCGCAACTTAACAAACATTGCACGGCATAATTTATGTTAAATGAAATGTAGGCATAGCGGTTAAAGGGGAAATAGGCCTAATTCCTAAACAAGGAAAGAAAATGATCCATGCTTCTGTACTCGTATTACTACGATAATTTGAATCAAATTAAACCTGTTATTATTGCTATTTTCTGCCCACTATAAAAAAAATGGGAAGTTTTGTAATAACACTAACAGAGGACGGGGAACTAGTCTGGGAAGTGTTTTGTTTAGGCTAGACAAGTTATAAGTCCTTGTATATGTATCATATGCATGTCACGAAAAAAAACCCGATGTCCAGAAGCTGCCAAAATTGCTCTTTTTTTAATAGATAGAATCCAGCTCTGCAGCGTAATGGTGGGACTAGTGGCAAGTAGCATTAGCGCTATGGGATGGAATGTCACAGTATTCATTCTCATTCTTCACATTCTTCATTCTTACGTCCCCCCCCCCCCCCTCCCTTTTGTTATCCCAAAAATCAGAATTCTTTCCACTTCACTATTTATATTATGTCTCTTATTTTTTCCCGGTCCCCCGAATATGTGTATACTTTCATATCTACTCTATTTTCATCGTTAAATCTTTTCCTAGGTAAGTGACCTTGCGTTGCAACAGTTATTAAGAATCAGTGAACGAGGATGCAGCTAGACTTGCTAAGCGCAGCCGGTGCTCGGCTTTGACAAGACCGTTATCATGTCGCACATTCTTAAGAATGTGTGCTCAATCTGGAAGATTTTTTTTTTGCGAAGATTGCGCAAGGATCCAGTTGTGCAATCATAAGAATGTGCATGCGCATTCTTATGATTGCGCATATCACAATATCACGTGCCCCAAATTTGCGCTGCCCAATATTTGCGCAACCAACTTTCTCGGCTCGTATCTTTTTCACACAACATGAACCGAAGTCAAATCACCGTCGTTGATCCATTGTCACATCACCTTTCTTCTCGATGCAGTTATGCGGAAATCAAAAGTTTTTCCGAGAAGTAATTTGAAAGAAATAAAAGAGAGTGTAAATTCTTGCCGTACTAACTAGATACAAAACGTCACATTATTGAATGGCCCAGAAAACTAATAAAAACATCGCTACGAATTTCCAATCAGTCCAACCCCGAAACGTGAAAGACAACAGAGTGCGTAATCAGAATTAAGGAGCACGAAAAACGATGTGCGCCTTATATCGCGTTATTATTTTACGAACTGTTTCGCCGAGATGCAGATTTCGGTACCGAGCTGTTTGTTGGATTGAACATGCCTTAAAATATTTTTCTGGCGGAATAATACCTACATGAACATATGTAATCGTAATGTTTGAAGTACCCAAAAAGTAGGCCAATACCTACTTTTTGTTTTTATTGAAACGATATGTATCATGCAACCATGTGTCGAGGCGGTATGGTCGACCGCGTGCAGGCGCGCGCGCCTGTTTTTGATTGATTGATCGCAGGTGTATTAGAATGAGCATGGAATGAACAATCAATGCAGTCCAGAAAATATTGTTACAGAAGGGTGGTTTTGTTATGTTTTTGATGGAGGGGTCATTTGGAGAATCTGTATACATTTGTAAAATGTTATGTAATTGGTTGATTTTCAGTAAAACAAACATTCTCGGAACTCTTTCCATGCATAGGATTTAACTAAGCTTTGTAGATTTTCGACAAAACATATATTATAAGATTTGTGGAGTCAATTTATTTACCTCAAATTTTCAATTATGATATGACTTTAAATATTTTGCATGCAGTTGTTTTTACCAAAATCGAAAAAAAATTCATTTATTTCATATTTAAACAAATGTGTATTTAGTAACAATGTCGGATGGCAAACACAAGTTAGTTTATCAAACTAGAGACCAAAGGTGTGCACAAAAACGTATCCTGTATTCAACAAACATCGATCCACATTGTTTTAAGAAGTAGGACACAATGGAGACTCCGCAGAATGACGTTATCCGTGCGTGCGCGCGCGAATTATGGACACGAAACTTTTGCGGCAGCCAATTTGACTCATCTGCAGACAACGACGTTCTTGGTGCTTCCTTGACGTTCGATATTGTTCAAATTATTTTTCCATGTAGTTTATTAGTCATTCTAACAATATTTAAGTCCATAACTGTGAAGGGTTTAGTTTATGCAAGGAAAAAATCGGTCAAAGTACTAATTAGTGCGCGAAAAATGGTCACACGAGGATAGGGACTCTCACACTGTAGAGAGTCTGAACTTTTCTGACTAGCGATTGGTTAGTACTAGTGTGACCATGCAGTGGAACTTTCTTTACTGTCGAATACAATCTCTATTTTTGCCGTGCAGCCGGGCCGTGGCAGGGACGAATAATTCAGTGACACGTGGTCAATGCCCCACCAATCTGATGCGAGGGTTGTCACCAATTCAACTCACATGCAGCATTAAGTGTTACAAATGGTTTCTGATGATGTGATGTTTGTGCCATCAACCATTTTACCTTTGGGCCTTTGATCTTTGAATGAGTACTCGTTTGACTGTCAAAGCTTACTGGAAATACATGTGCATTGTATAAAACCATTCCCCCCCCCCAAAAAAAAACACCCAGACAATATTTGTAGCACATGCTTACTAACACCCCTTAACCCCTCCACAGGTAAACCCCCCCTCTTGTGCCAAATGCGGATCCGGCCACACGGCCCACATGTCATGAGTGCGTGTGATTGTGTTTCTTTGCATGCCAAACGCCAGGGCGCTGCCCGGCGTCATTTGCAATAGTTCTGCGGTTGCTCAGTAAAGCGCAAGCGTAGTAGACTGTCGCTTGGCTAACCCATGCGACAGTTGACTGCACATATGTTTTTCGGCCACGGGTGAATCCTCCATGAACACTTGGTAAATAACAAAAGTCCCAAACCAGTGGCTGTCATGTTATGGTGAATTGACCAGTGAGAATAGGGTTCTTGCTGTTGAATATTAATTTGAGTAAGAGAAAAAAGTTGCACTCTTCTTTTGTGTGTGTTTGCGACAGACAGGTGGGGTTAGTTTCGAAGCGACATGGCGTCGTCGAGCCGTCTACGCAAAGTGGCCATCGGCGGGGGCCTGTTGGCAGCTGGTGCCCTGCTAGCTGGTTACGTGGTCAACAAGAACTCGGCCAAGAAACTCTCCAAGGTAATCGGTCATGTACATTTAGAATGGGGATTTGACTGTGAAAAGAGACGTCAAAAGAGAGATCAAAAATGTTTTTAAAAATGAGGATTGATCATCCTCCTTTAATGAAGACTACAACGATCAGTATATGCATTTAACATTAGGCCAAGTAAAAATATAAACCTGTTTCTCGTCTCTCCCTGCTCCCTTTTTCCCACCCACCTCTTTTTTTATTACCTCCGCCAAGGAGATTATGTTTTCATCAGCGTTGGTTTGTTGGCTGGTTGGTTGGTGTGTTGGCTGGTTGGTTGGTTTGTCTGTGAACAGGATAACTCAAAAGCTATGGACAGATTTTCGTAAAAACAAATTTAGGTGTGGTCCTTGGTACAAGTACAAATCGATTAGAATTTGACAGTGATCCGGATCTGGGTCTGGATGCAGGATTTTTTGTAAGGATTCTTTACCATTTTGTATGTGCGAATATGTTGTGTACAACTGAGCAGCTTTTTATGCATGCACTGACCCTGTGACCCTGTTTGCCTTATCACCCACCTAATCCAACCACACAGGTCAATGGACTAGACCATTTTATGCGATGGGGGAGTGGAGAGGTAGACACAGGCATATACATGTACATGTAGACTACAAATGTTTGAGTTTAAAGATTTGTTTGATTGAATAACGAACACTGTCTTACACAATGTAAAGCGGCCAACATTGCTATTTTTTTTATAAATTCGTAAAATACGCCATCTAGGAAAAAAAAAGGGGGCACCTCCTTCATTTTTTCAAAAAGCCTGGATGGGAAAGTCTTCTTTTTTTTTACTTGGCCTTACATTAGTACCAGTGTGCACAATAAATATTTATTGTGTTATTTGATAATTGGATATTAGTGTTTTCTTTGTAAATGCATTGTATTTTTAAAAACCTTTCCACCTTTGAATGATGAATATCAGACCTGGCATTTTTTGTATTTTTTTTTCTTTTTAAATTTTTTTGGGTTGATCCTTATGATCCTTACCTCCAGTGTTAAAATGTGCATACTTCAGAAAAAAGGGTAACGTGGTACATGTAGTTGATGCAAAACAAGTGAATTTGTCAAAAGTTAGTTGCTAGTCAAAGAATATGTATATAAAATGCCCAGTGAATATTATCAAAACAGTTTGTGAATAGTATCAAAACAGTTTGTGAAATTCCCCTTGAAAACCATACGGTGGATTTCTTTAACATATGGCATAATTGTGGAATTTGAACTTAAAGCTACATGTATAATCCATCATTTGCAGCCATCCGAAAAGTAACTGGCGTAATTATTGTTGAAAACAAACTTGGTTGAAAGATAGTAAGGGAACTAAATTCCCTGTGAAATTATTCTTTCTGGGAAGCCGTCATTTTGAAGTAATCAACGAAAGAAGGCCTTTCCAAAGATGCGTCTTAAGACGCACCGTAGAAAAATTTAAATTAGTAGTTCGTTTTGTTATTCGGCGAAGCGCGCGCAAGCATTGGCACGACGCACACGCGCGCGTGGTTGCTATAATTCGTCGGATCAGTGCGCGACATCGCGTATAGCTGCAATTCAAAACAATTCAAAACAATATTCAGCAACTTTTGATTTGAAATTGAGATCCTAGAATGCTGTTTTTCTCGGAATAGACAGCTGAAGCCTAGCTGAAACTTCATCAGGTTAGTTGTTCAGTACCCTTCATTAGAATTTGAACACTATTGTTGCTTCAAACGAACAAAATGCACAACTTACAAATGATGGACTATATCTTTAACTTGTTGACCACTTTTAATATATAATGCCTTTTCTGCCATTAAAGAGGGTCTCCGTGATTGTTTTTCCTCTGGCATACATGTTCATCGACATACCTGTACATACATTATTTGAAAAGTTTTTATAATTTTAACCTTTATTACAGAATCGGCAAGCCCACGTCGTGGCAGCTGAACTCCGGAATGCCCACCTCAGCATGCCGCTGCCCACGAGAGAACAGCAGATCCAATCGCTACAGAGCACCCACGAGTTTGATGTGCTGGTGATTGGGGGCGGGGCTACAGGATGTGGGGTGGCCTTGGATTCTGTAAGTCGAGGTGGGTATAAACACTAAGCCATTAGGCCCCCCAAAAAAAGTCTCCGGTTTCTGGTATGCGCGCGCGTCGCCGTAGCCATGCGCGTCGGCAAAATGAAAAAGGTTTTTTTTCAATGAAAGATGATGTCTCAAAACCGCCAAACTCACTGGTTTGACTGGAATCCTGCTGCTGCACAATTTTAACGTGTTTTTAGATTGGGTTATGGTCGAGAATAAGCTTTATGTGGCCTCTCTGGACTCCAATATATTTGCACTAAGTTTAGTCGGGCACCATTTGCAGTCATCAGCTGACATTTGAAGCAAAAAAATCAGGTAAAAAAAAAAAAAAAGCCGCGTCGCCGCACCACTTTTTGGGCAAGCTCCATACCAGAAACCGGAGACTTTTTTTTTTTGGCCTTAGCATTTGGATTACATTGTACATGTATTTAGTCTCGATAAATCCATGAAACCATATAGAGTGTGGGCGGTTTTGGGCAGTACAGGGAGTAATAAGCGGGGCTGTTTAGGAAAGGCACATAGGATCATTTGCAATTACCTGCAAATGTACCTACCGATTTAATGAGAAAATCTATGTTTTAAAATGAAGATACAGTTCGACTGGTACCAAATACCCTGTGAAATGATTCGGCCTGAAATGGTAGATGTATTGTTCGAAGCAAAATCATTGAAGGTGGTGTAACCCTAACTCCCTAGGCCTTTTTGCTAGGATGTAGCCTCAATGCTGCAAAATCCTCCAATTGGCCTCATGGAAAAATAGCATATACATGTAGCCTCAATCCTGCAAATTCCTCCATTATTTCTTGAATGTGGTCCTTGGAGGGTGACCACTGCCTGAATCCTGCAAAATCCTGCAGCAGTGACTGTCAATATGTTGAGGCTTGGCCAGTGACATCCTGGAGCAGTATGGAGGATTTCAAGCATAATACCAGCCTATATTTATGCATGGCTGAGCAAAAACAACACAAGGTCCGGCCCAAGACCTTGACAAAGTGCATCCTACGAAATCGGTAACGCATTTTCCCCATGTTTGTCCACTTTGGCAAAGAGGATTTTAAAGGATTCAGGGTGGTTAGGGTTTAGAAATATTGCCAAGAAGCACAGTTTCTTACATATGTGCGTTAGCAATGGAATCCAGTTACGAGACCCAGAAATGGTGCATTTTGTTTCTTTGTTTTCTCAAAATGTATGCACCCTTTTTAAGATTTGAGCAATTTTTTTGCTTCAAACAAACAAAAAATGTACAAAGAGCAAATGTTCCCCTTTATGTTTAAATTTGGTAAGATTTCAGAAGTTGAGATCAAACAAGTGCATTGATGAAATGAATTGACACAGTCGATTTTGAGCTGTTAGATGCCGAATCTCAAATTCTTTCACTGACTTAGCAATTTTGTTACCTCAGAGTATAATTTCTACTTTCTCAAATTGTGTCGAAATATTAGGAGGGGTCATCAAAGTTTGGTCACGTGTGTGACATCAGACGGAAAAATGTTATCTGGCCCATACCGGAAATTCACGCTTTTCTCCAAAGTTCTAAGGACACACCCATACTTATTTCAGAGTAAGACTAATCTTTTGTGATTTACAGAATGCATAAACAATGTACACCCTCTGCTTTAGCTAAATGGGAATTGTTCTGTGGTCACGTGTGTGACATTATGATTGGTCATGTGTATGACATTTTGTAATTAAATTTATGCATGGAAAGACCAACTTAAAAATTCCTAAGAAATTTGCTTAGTGAACAATAATCATTTGTATTACATGACATAAAAAAAAAAAAATTTCCAAAAAAATAATTTAGGTTCAATTTCTGAAAAATCATCCAAGCTAATCATCCATGATTATTTAGCACAAATATTACTGAGACTGGAAAAAAACCAAATTGTGGAGCATATACATGTAATGGTCTGTACAAATTATTCATGACTTTATGACTTTTCTTGCAATTTGTTCGTTTCCAATAATAACATTACTCAAAAGTCGAAGAAGAATGTCGAAGTCTAACCTGTTTAAGTCTCAGCTCAGTGGATATTACACTTTTGGAGAAAACAGTTAAAAAAACATGCACAATCTTTTGATTTAACCAAAAGGTTAATTTCTTTAATAGAACTCCTTATTTTCCGTGATCAGTCAATTGACTGATCCTTGGAAATCACCTACATTTCTTGATTTCTTCTAAATGACAGCAAACCCGACGGAATAATTTCACGGGATGTTTAGTACCAGTACGATCTTTAATCAAAATGAGCTTTTTGATAATAATTTGCTAGGTTACTTTTGGGATAAATGCAAATGATCCTAAGTGCCTTTAAATCACATTTCATCCCAATTCTTTCGGTTTTTTCATTGTGTAGACATAAAAACGAAGTCAAATTCACCTTCTATTTTTTGCTGCAGGGCTGAAGACTGCGCTCGTAGAGATGTACGATTTCTCGGCGGGCACCAGCAGTCGCAGCACTAAGCTGATCCACGGCGGGGTTCGGTACCTGGAGAAAGCCATCAAGGGCTTAGACCTGGAGCAGTATCGTCTCGTCAAGGAAGCCTTACACGAGAGAGCAAACCTCTTAGAGATTGCCCCACATCTCTCCTCCGCGCTGCCTATCATGCTCCCCGTCTACAAGTGAGTCTTAAGCCGTGTTCTACTTACTTGGCCGGCATTAACCCTCATAGTCTTCTGCACTTCACCATGTTCACAACCCTTCAAATTTTCCAGAAGTGGGCCCCCACACTTCATTTCAAATTCCTTTTGGGTTCATCTTCTGTGAAGTATGGATAACCCTGCACAATTCTTTTGTGTGGTTAAGCTCCGGGCAAGCAGGTAGATTCAGTCACTCTTCACTGCTCTCCACAGTGCTGTTTTTTATTCAGTGACTCTCTGTGTGACACAGTTACTTTAACACTTCATGTCCCTTCATAAATGTACATACTGAAATTTGTATCCTTGTGGTGCCATTTCTTTGTTCTTGTCATGCTTGTGTACTAAAGTTTTCGAGTTTGAAAGTACAGTTTCAAAATGCTCTCATTTTAACCAGAATTAATTTCCTTGGCTGAAATTCGGACTTAACATCCCTTTTCTAAAACTCTACCATTTGCAATGGATCAACATACCTAGGAAATTCCTAGTTTTTGATTAAAATCCATATATCTATTTCGTGAAAACCTTGTGGAGACGTATTCATCTGTAGAAATTGCCCTGTGGAGACGTATACAATCTTTTGTTCCCTACTGTGTGCATGTCTCCAGAGGGCACGGTGTATCAGATCTGACCTGCATGGTTGTTTAGGGTTTTTACATATTGCTCCGAATATTGACTTCCCACGAGGAGGGTTAAAGTCATGTAGAAATGTTGATAATTACCCAGAAACATGCTGATTTGATGATATCAACCTAACTCAAAGTGAAGATAGGACTGGTACAAATTCCCCTTTGAACTTATTCTGCCTGAAATGGTATCGTTTGGAAGGGAACAATCATTGAAGGTGGTTTAAAAAAGTGTGCCTGTGGACACACTTTTTTATAATTTGACCAATACTGCCAAGATTACCCATCCACTAGGACCTTGACGTCACACTAACCGACTGAAATGGAACCACGTCCTCAGAGCAGATTTAGGGATTGCAAACAAGAGGGCGCAATTCAAAATCTTAAACAGCAAAAATTGAATCAAAAGCTAAAATTTAATCAAAAGCACTAGAAACAGAAGCTTACGAGACCAAAAGTGTGCCTGTGTTTTCTCTGTTTTCTCAAAAATGTATCTACTGAGCTTAATCAGGTTAGCTGTTGTGCACCCTACAGGGTGAGTCAAAAACAGCGGAACCCAAACCCCCATAATGTATTTCATCTTTAAAAACATGTGTAGCACCAAAAATAATAATGACTGGAAAGCCAATTTCAGAAACTCATTTTAGATGAAGAAATTACTGAAATTGATCAATCCGGTCAAAGAATATCGCCATTTAAACGCAATGACCCTAAAACCTGTCTCGTCCAAAAAAACAATTTATTGTGTGTTCTGACTGTTTGGAACAACAAAGAAAATGACACAGAATGCTTGTTTCAACAACTGTCAACAACTGTAGTACGCAATATTTATTAACAACCCTGCTTAGGCCAAAAAAAAAAAGTCTCCGGTTTCTGGTATGGAGCTTGCCCAAAAAGTGGTGCGGCGACGCGGCTTTTTTTTTTTTTACCTGATTTTTTTTGCTTCATATGTGTGCTGATGACTGCAAATGGTGCCCGACTAAACTTAGTGCAAATATATGGGAGTCCAGAGAGGCCAAATAAAGCTTATTCTCGACCATAACCCAATCTAAAAACACGTTAAAATTGTGCAGCAGCAGGATTCCAGTCAAACCAGTGAGTTTGGCGGTTTTGAGACATCATCTTTCATTGAAAAAAAAAACTTTTTCATTTTGCCGACGCGCATGGCTACGGCGACGCGCACGCATACCAGAAACCGGAGACTTTTTTTTTTTGGTCTTAGGCAAACAACATGATTTATAAAATCCACTTTTTTTCTTGAAAGACGGGCCTTCAAAAGGACTCTGTTGAATATTTTTAACTGTTAAACTGAGGTTTTATTGCTGGTGATGTTTGAAGATAATTGTGAAGACGATTCTTGAAATCGCATTTTTGGACGAAAGAGGTTTTAGGGTCACTGTCTTTAAATGGTAATATATTTCAACGGATTGAGCAATTTAAGTAATTTTTTTAAGAAATTGGCTTTCCAGTCGTTATTATTTTTGGTGCTACATATTTTTTAAAATATGAAATATATTTTTTGAGGGTTTAGGTTCCGCTTTTTTTTAACTCACCCTGTGCTTCAGATTTTGAGCAATTTTATTACATCAAGTAAAAAAACCATGCCGATGATGCTTCGTAACTTTAATACATGTGTCTTCGTAAAAGTGCCTTCATCAGCTTCCATAGGGGCATAAGTTATTGCCGGTCATAGCCTAGTCAGTTGGACGCAGCCTTACAAAGTGCCTGTGGCAGTTGGGTTGCATAAAACTTGCGTCCGAATTCCCAGTGCGGTTGCGTTACAAAACTCGCAGTCAAGTCCCTTTGCTTGAATCCCGGTGGTAATTTTTTTTCCTCTATTTTGAAAGTGTGACAGTTGTTAACCTATAGCAGTTAGAGTGGATACAACGTGTGTGAACATAATTTTAAAAGTTTTATGATTTTCCAATTTAAATTTTGCTCTGTAATTGTGAGAGGGTAAATTTAGATGCAAACTGCTTGAGAAATTGTTTAAAAAGAAGTAAACTCTGAAAATATTTGTGATGCGATCAAGCTAAATGAGTCGTTTGTTGACCCTGGTAAAAAAATTTTTAACAGATTTGAGAAGAGCACAATCTCAGCATTACTGCTGTGAAAACCGCTTGCTGATACCATCTTTAGTTTAAAATTACGGAAGTCGGAACACCAAGAGATGTGATGAAGTGATGTGATGAAGTGGCCCTATTTTAGCCTGTATCTCAAAAAAAAGAGTTCCCGACAAACGACTCATTAAGCGTGTTCGTATCACATTTTTGTGTTTTAATTAACTGATTTGTAAAATTGTTTGCATTACAATGTAGGTCAATGCCTTTCAACCGAGTCTGGGAATGACTTGAGGGCATCGCATTTCCCCCCTGCGTATACTAGGCAGGAATTATGCTCCTGAGATTTTGTCTGATTTTTTTTTACTCACAGATGGTGGCAGTTGCCTTATTTCTGGGCGGGAATCAAGATGTACGACCTTGTCGCTGGGAGACAACGCCTCAAGCCCAGCTACCTCTTATCCAAGTCCAGAACCCTGGAACTATTCCCCATGCTCAAGAAGGAAAAACTTGTGGGCGGAATCGTCTATTACGACGGTAATTTCACAAAGTTCTATTTGTTTTCTTCGTTTTTTTCTTTTTCTTGTGTAACTCTTTTCCATGATATAAATTGGGAAGAGCGCATTGTGAGAAAATTGGATTTTAAGTTGCTTATATTCGATCACAGTTTTCTTGCTAGAACTTTTGAAAAAAATGTGTGTGTTTTTCTTCATTTTTGTGTTTATAACAATGCATTTTCTTTGAACAGTTGGTAAATTTGTGTGGGAAGGCTATATTTGCATTGTCTTCTGGTGATTTAATTATATTTGCATTTCTTTTTGTATTTTGGGGAAAATAAGATGTTTCTACGTGCATGTGTTCATTTTTTTTATTTGTCATTATGTGGGAAAAATCCAAAATATTTTGTTAAACTTTCAGCTGCTCCAAATTATACACTTGCGTTTGTAGAATAAGTAGAATTCTTCAATTAAATTCTGCTTTCAAGGAATCATTGGCTATCTGGAATGCTCTGATACTGTTTGTTTATACAACCCTCTCTTTTCTTATTTTGAGAAAAACATACGGGTAAACCCAATATGAGCAATTCACATTTGCTATTATGTAAATAAGCTGCATCTAAATTACTTTGCTGCGGCTGACATTAAATCACATGGCTATGAGAAGTGGCTTCTGCTTTCATTGACACATGTATAATAGTAAGCCTTAGCCCTGGCGGATTTTGAAGGATTTTGTGAAAATAAGAATTGTGTTGGATGTGGTTGTAATTAGCTGAGTGATGATACGATAATCGATACACATATATCAATATGAATGCCTTTACTGTTGATATACCAAAAGGTCAGCACAACGACGCAAGAATGAACATTGCAATAGCATTAACCGCGGCACGGATGGGGGCAACAGTAGCCAATCACACGGAAGTATTAAGCCTAATCAAAAGCACGGATAGTAGCGGGAAGGAGGTTGTCAAGGGAGCGCTCGTCCGAGACAAAATAACAGGTGAGTATCAGCCTCGCTGTTATCAATCAGTATAATTCATAATACCGCCCTCTATGGTAAAAAAGAGCCAGTTTCACAGAGCTGCCATGCACAAAATTCTGGTAAGCAAAGAAGAGATTTGCTTAGCAGAAATAGGTAACCAGCCAAAATGCCATGTCATCTGTACTGCTGTTAACTGGTACTCTGCCCAAAAAAATCACCAAGCAGTGTTTCCTGCTTAGGATTTCCATGAAATTGGTTAATTGCTAAGAACACTGGCACCCTTGCAAAAGGTAAACCGGCTCACTGAAAACCAGTAGGAAGTGCTGTGCCACTAATCCAAACAAAATGGGTTACCAGCCAGAATATCATTGGATTTGTATTGCTTGTCACTGGTTCCCTGCCGATTTTTCGCTAAGCACATAAATTTGGTAAGCAATATACACCAATTCGATTTTCAAATGATGGTGACGGTTCGGGTAGCAATCACTGGGAAACTTCCATGCCCGAACGCCCATCACATATGTACATTCTGTATAGCTCTGATGAACACGTCACTAAAGGGTAGTTCATTGTGTGAACAATTCCAAAGCCAGCTTTGGGCAACTCTGTTCTGGATCTTGTTTGTTGTAGGTAAGGAGTACAGTGTCCTCGCCAAGTCGGTCATCAACGCAACGGGGCCGTTCACGGATTCCATCAGGAAGATGGCCGAACCGGAAGCCACATCGATCTGTGAACCTAGCTCAGGGATACACATTGTACTGCCTGGCTACTACAGGTAACCAGACGGCTGTTTCCGAAACCTAGGCCTTGTTTCCAGGTTCAGCTCTAGCACTGGCTCCAGAATCATTTACTACTCTAATGCCTACAGAGATGAAACTTTTCTGATATAAATCTGAAATCTGACTTTTAAAAACATTTTTCTAACGATCTTTTCCCCAGCAAAGTCTGATTTTTAAATTAAATTTCAATGAATTTGATGAAAACGGCACCACGACATCTGTATTGCAAGTGCAGTGACAGTTGTCAGTGCACAGATTATTAAATAATAATAATAATAGCGGAGTCTTATATAGCGCACACGTATCTACCAGCAATTAGGTACTCAAGGCACTGGTAATTATGTAGTCTAGTTGTAAAGACAGGTAAATGAAGTTTATGAGAAATATGAGATCCATTATATAGCACCTTATATTAGGGTTTACAAGGTGCTGTGGCGCATATTGCACCCACTGCCAGAAACACCGGGGCTAACCCCTTCTCTTAGCGATATGTGTTACTGGGTTCTTTAACGTGCATTACACAACACACGGGACCTACGGCTTTACGTCCCATTCGAAGGACGAAGCAATAATGGTAGTGTGCCTGGCTCAAGAGCATAAGCACCATGTTCCCCGTTAGGATTCGAACCCATGTACCACGGCACACGAATCGAACACCATGACCACAGCACCCCTACATTTGGTAATCCCGGAAAGTTTACACTAATTTACAAAAAGATTACCCTTTTCTCTCGATTTCTCAGTCCTGAAGCCATGGGTCTGCTAGACCCCTCCACCAGCGACGGTCGCGTCATCTTCTTCCTACCCTGGCAGAATTTCACCCTCGCCGGTACGACAGACAACCCCTGCGCCGTGACTCACAACCCTGGACCCACCGAGGATGAGATCCAGTTCATCCTGAATGAAATCAAGGATTATCTCAGCCTAGATGTTGCAGGTACATAAAACCATAAAAAAACATTACCAAGGAAGGGGTAGGATCCCCCTTATTTTTTTTCTGATATCGCCACACATTTTTTGTTGCATCCAGCCTAGATATTTTGAGTCTGCAGAATTGTTGAAGTTTTGTTTCCAATTTCATATTTCAAATTTTCCAATTTCATAAAAAATGAGATGTAGCATTTGCGGAAAACATGTCAAAATTTTGACTGAAAAATGCAGGGGTGAGATTTGACAGGATTTTTTCCCCGATTTGGGAATGTTTGCTGATTTCAGGATTTTTTTGTCAGGGTTTTTGCTGATTTCAAATTTTTTCAAAGAATCCCTGGCATTCCTGAGGTTTTACCGTAAAGGTTTTTTTACAAAAGAAATGTGTGTTTTAAAGGGGTGCCGTTAGGCAAATACAAACATTTCGCAGAACCGACGTTGCTCTGGGGCCGTCAGCGACCCTCAAATTCTCCACCAATAATTTGGTGGAATTTTCATTTCCCCCCAATCTTAGCCCTGAAAATCTTTTGTTTTCCATTGACCATGGATAGAAAAATATAGTCACTCAAGAACAGAAGTGTAAAATATTACTGATCATAATAATTTCAAAGCAGTTTGTGCTTGATTCAGCTAAAAATTGAACTGAGGTATGAAAATATCTATATATACCATGTCTCATAGACATTTGTCATTGCATTTCTGAGATCAAAAGGGTTCCCTGCAAACAAAGTGATGTAAAAACTTACAATTACTTCCGTCACATTTTGTCTTTTCATGGTGTTTGGTGTGATCAACTGTCTGTAAATCTGTCTTCTATTTATTGATCTATCTTCACAGTAAGGCGAGGTGACGTTCTAGCCGCGTGGAGCGGCATCAGGCCATTGGTGAGAGACCCAAAAGCCAAGAACACTGAATCCATCGCCAGAAACCATGTTATAGACATCAGCAGCAATAAAGTGGTCACCATTGCAGGTAGGCAAATTCCACAGAGGTGGTTGCACCAAGACTGTTCTTTGCTTCTTTTCTTCCAGAATCCCCCTTTCCTCCTTTTTTTTTCTTCTGAGAACATCACTTCCCACAACTCTGTTTGTGGCAAGCCTTTGTGAACGTGTACAATAAAATCCTGCAGAAGTTTTGACACCATTCCCACACACAAAAAATCGGAATAAAAACTGCATTTTGCAGTTTTAATTTCTCTATGAAATTGACTGTACAGGAAAACATGCCCAGTCGTAATTACAAATTGCTTTCTCTGAGCTTAAACTTTGCAGTTCCTTCAGCAGGAAAGTCTCTACTAATACTTGTCTTCCATTTTTTTGCCTTGGATGTGGGTCTTTCTATAAATTCACGGTCCAAAGTGTGACAATTTCCTGTCCCTGTCACCTTGGTACTTTGTAATTTGGAATTCAAGTACAAATAAGAATGACCTGAAATGGTTTTTAATTTGTTGGGTAGGTAGTTTGCTGTACATAATCACTCTTGGAAGATGACTGCATTAAGGAGTGCATCAGACATGTCAGAATTATAAAATCATAGATGTCAGATGTCACGGGAAACAAAGTGGACTCCAAATTTATTGGATGACCCATATCTGAGATTGCATTGCATACTTCCCGCCCCACTTTTCTCTAAGAAGCTCTTCAAACCCTGGCTATTTTACATTTAACCAGTTCGCGCCGGGATTATTTTGACATTGACCGGACCCAGGCACGAAATTGTTTTCATGAACCTCGATGACAGACCGGTTCAGGCCGTCATCTGCGGGTAGCACACCCTGATATTTCCGGCCTCGCTCGCTGCGAGCGGTTCGCAGACAGATATTTTCTGCCTCCCTCGTTGGATGTTTATCCATCATCCATTCCAAATGCCTCAAAAGCTTTGCACGTCATCTGACGTGAACTGGTTAAGCGTCAGTAAACTCCATAAACTTTTCAACCTTTATGCCTAAGAATGAAAGCGATCGAATGCATAGTTCATGTTAATGCCATGAGGTGTGGACAGGTGTGGAGAGTGCTGCTGTAATTGTTATGACCAAATTGTTTATTCAATTTTTTTTGCTGGAGTTGCAGTGAATTTAATTTGATCACAAGTCAATCCCAATCCATCCAGTCTCAAGTCAAATGAAAAGTTTTTCAAATGAACTTCGACCAAGCGTTCCCTTGTCATTCTTCGTTATCTGATTTGTTGAGAGCTGAGCTGCAGTGGACAAGTTTAATTTGAGATGTAATGGAATTGTAATTGTTTTGATGACAAAGTCAATCGTTGACTGGCCCTTCACAGGTGGCAAGTGGACCACGTATCGCAGCATGGCCAAAGACGCAGTGGACGCGGCGGTCAAGACCTGCAGCCTAAAGCCAAGGAACGACTCGCTGACCGACGGATTGGTCCTAGAAGGTGGTCACGGATGGACGCCCAACATGTTCATAAGACTCATTCAGGATTTTGGCTTGGATGACGAGGTATATTTTGTAGTTTAGTATGTAAAATTGTTTCTTTTGAAGGTTATCAGAAGTTCTTTCTTGTTGATTTAGGTTAAGAAATAAAGAATTTTTCCAGTGATATGTTTATTTTTTAAATCCTATTGTGACATAAAAACATTCCTAATATTTTGTCTGGAAGGTCATTCCCTCATTCGTGTGTAATTTGGAATCAAATCTGATGTTCCATCTTTAAGCATTGGTCAGGTATTTGGATTCAGGTCTTTGAATTCTGTGATTTGTGATTTGAGTTGTGACGGACTTGTGATTTACTCGATAGCTCTTCGAGACGTTTGAAACCTAACAAAGAAATGATAATCAGTGGTTCCATTTTTGCCACTCGATTTGTTTCATGACCAGGGCACAATTTCATAGCACTGCTAAGAACAACATTTTCTGCTAACAGAGCCTCCGTCTATTTCATGGAGACCGTAAGCAGCAAGTTCACAAAAGGCACGCTTACCTCAGAAGGAAAAAGTTGCTTATATCAGTGGCGTAACAATAAAAATCTCAATGCGCTGCGCAACTGTTTGCACATCCACGCCATGAAAAAGTTTTTAAGGTTAGCAAAATTTTCTGGTATAAGTAGCCCAATTTTTCTGCCTAAGCAGGGCTATGAAAATGGGGCCTGACTTAATCAGTGGCTATTTGAAACCCCTGACTCTAACGTGCCTGGTATTTTATAATATTATTTATTTTTCTGATTCAAAAATGTTTCCAGGTTGCCAGGCATTTGAGTGAGACCTACGGGGACAAGGCAGTAGAGGTGGCCAGAATGGCCAACCTTACTGGCAAGAGGTGGCCAGTGGTGGGCAAGAAGCTAGCCCAGCACTTCCCATATCTGGAAGCCGAGGTATGAAACGGGGGATCAGTTCATGAATCTGTGTGAGCTCCGTGCATGAACACAATAGGGCACTTTATTACTACCCGAGAGCCCCATGGACGGGCACAATGCGCGTACAGGTTTGGGTGCATATAGCGTACACCTCGCCTTATTTATTTTGAATGTGTACATAAGCCATAGCGTCTTTGCTTGAGCATCAGGCGTCATCGACAATGCGTTCAAATGTCTCTCCCAGTGGTCTCGGCAACTCTCCCTTTCTTTACTGTCGAGACGTATTTGTGCACAGAGCCTATGAACTCCGTGTGCCAACGAAAGAGGGCGCCCTTTTACCTAGCAACGACGTCCCATGGGCGGGACATTTAGCTGGTTGATGCGCACCGTTCCTTGTGTGTCACGCACGTACACCAGGGGATTAAATGTACACGCAGTGGTACAGCCGCATGTCGCGGCAAAATTGCAGTCAGGCAAGATGGCGTCGGTCAGTCACCCCCAACTGTACTTTCTTTGCCGGTGAGGGGGTACTTGTGAACGGAGCGGATACCGGAACCAGAAAATGTTTTGTTCACATTTTGTGCTTACAGTTAGCAGTGAAATTGCAACCGTGATAATTCCACGTGTGAATTCCATGGAATTTGGTCCAGACATAAATTGAATAAAAATAACAATATTTTCAAATGAATTCGTACAAAAACTATGCAAAATCATACGGGAAAGAAAAATGGTGTTCAGTTGCCCTTGCGTAAACAGCGACTGGTCATTTCTCATTATTAAACAATGCGTAAGGATTTTTATTGTAATATTTTCTATCAAGTGTTGTGAGAAGTTGGCAATAACTGGAACAATCACTGCAAGTTGAATCAAAGTTTGAAGTAGATGAAAAGTATGCGCAAGTAAGAACAACACACGCAGAATGCAAGAAATTAAGGGGGTAAACTTCTGGAAAGCTGGAAAATTGAGTAAATAAGTTGGCAAAACCCGGACAAAAGAGCAGGTTTAATCAAAATTTGAAGTAGATGGAAGTTATGCGCGAGTGAGAACAACACATGCAGAATGTTAGAAATTAAGGGGGGAAGATTCTAGAACACGAGAAAATTTGAGAACCATTTCAAAGCTACACTTTTGTGTAAAGATGGCATAAACATCTTTACAGATGAACAAAAAACAACCAGAGGTTCTTGTAACTAGGACAGTAAAAACAACACTGGAAAAAAAGAAAAACAACTTCACTCCAAATAAAACAATGTCAGCCTCTGGAAATCGCTTCAAATGAACATCAAAAACCAGTATCCAAGCCCAGATCTCATTTCCTTATTTCACAGAGGACCGTGCAACAGCCTCCAAAATTCGTAAACATGTTTTGGTGCTTTTGACACCGTCTGACGCAATTTGAGATCACGTTTGTTGGTTGTTTTGATCCTTGGATTGACACAAACAACACCGACCTTTTCGATCCAGTAAATGTCATCATGTTTGTTTGAAATTTCTTCATGAACCCCCCGCCACACCACCCCCCCTAACCCCACCCCCTTAACCCCCTTCCAGACATCCACCAAAACATTCAGCCATTCATAAAAGTCATGAGCCATGTGGAATCTTGAAATCATTCTTGGAATTGTCTCTTTACTGATCTTCAACAAATCAACCAATGGCAAGCTTCCAAAACCAGGCAGCTCATCTAGGCTTCCGAACCCATACTCGTGAACCCTATTCTCATGATTTACTTGCTGTTAAAGGTCTTGGATAGATTCCAAAGTGTGGTTGTTCACAGATGTAACCCAGTCAGACCTCTTTGCTCCAAGAGTGAATCCTTATTGCCTTCTCCAACATTTGCAAAGAAAACCTATGATTCTCGTTTCGTCCAAGTAGCTGATGAAGATTAAGCTGGCAGACACAACACAATACAAAACTCAAAACCTTGCTTAAAATTCAATTATTTGGTAGCCTGGTAGCAGAGTTTGTTAGTTTGTTTCAGTGTTTTTCATGGTTAACTTTCTTTTTTCCTCGGACCCAACACTGATACGTGCGTCAGTCCTAACCCTGTCAGACGCAACAGGGGAGTCAGGTTGGCGTAGCGGTTATTTCCTCGCCTTCCACCGCTGTGACCCGGGTTCGAATCCCGCCTAGGCCAATATGTGGATTGGGTTTTCAGTCCCTGCCTGATTCCGTGGGTTTTCCTCAGAATATTCCTCTGGGCTTTTCCTCCCACCTCTAAAACTGAATTTCTTCTCATTGTCTTCTCTCTACAGGTTTCTTGAGGCTTTCGAGCTACAGTGCTTAGAGTACTTTTGAGGAATCCTTGGTTTCATTACCAGAAAGAAATAACATAAAAAAATAAAATAACACAGTGCAACCGGTGTAAAAGTCTGTGGGACCTTCTTGCATTGGGCCCTTAACACCAGTGCATAAACGGCCAGTTATGAGACAATGAGAGCTAGTCCCATTGAACAATGCCACAGCTGTATTCTGCTGCAGTTGGTGACCACAGACTCTGAGGCAGTTTTCTTGAGATTTGTGACCTAATGGATCTTACACCAGCAGGCTTGTCATTTTGACAAGTGTTGCAGATTGCAGTTTGAGCAGGGTTTTAGCCAAAGTCAGAGGGTTTAGGTTATAGCAACTCTTTATCATTGTTATTTATTTTAAGGTTACCTACGCAGTCAAGGAGTACGCCTGCACAGCCATTGATGTTCTTGCTCGGAGGACGCGGTTGGCTTTCCTCAACGTGATGGCAGCAGAAGAGGCTTTACCCCGCATCATTGAGATCATGGCTAAGGAGCTGGGCTGGAGCGCTGCAACACAAAAGGTAGTCAAACAAAGTCACAGATAACGCTAATAATTTACCACCTTGGCAGTATGCAAATTTTTGTGCTAATTTTTACGTAAGTTATGGACTATCAAGGTTGATAAAAGAAACTCACATCTTTGTTTTCGAGGTAAATGAATTGCAATTTTACCTATAAAAAACTTTTACAGTTGCAGCACGATTCCGAAGAAAGTCAGAAAATTTATTTCCAAAATGGCAGGTGGAGGTGATTTAATGAATTCTTTGTGATCGAACGGAAGTCAGACACAGACTTTGTAAAAGCTGGTATTATCCTCGTCGATTTCCGTGAATTCAATCGTAAAATTATTGCGCAGCTCCGCAACAGATTTGTTGCGTAGACTCTACGCATGGATGAGCTACGCATTGTTTTGTGAAATTGGCTGCTGTTTTGTAAACCGAATGCAATTTTTCATTTTAGCTTGAACTAGAGAAAGCCGTGCGGTTCCTGAACGTGGAGATGGGCTACAACTGCCACTCCTCTCTCATGAAGGTCCCCATTCAGTTCGGTAAGGAAGAGGTCGCCAAATACACCAAGCGATTCCATCTCCTGGACAAGGACAGTAAGGGTTACATCACTCCCATCGACATGCGCAACTTCCTATCTGTAAGTCGACTCTTGTAATCTTGAACATCCCAAATCCTTCAAAATCTGCCAGGTTTTGTAGGATTTTATAGGATTCATGAAGGAGGATTTTGCACAGTACTTATTAGGGTACATCACCATCTTCAATTTGCCCATTTTCCTATTCTGATACAACCATCCCGGATCCTACAAAATCTGAAAGGTTTTGTAGGATTTTATAGGATTCATGAAGGAGGATTTTGCACAGTACTTATTAGGGTACATCACCCCCTTCAATTTACCCATTTTCCTATTCTGATGCAACCATCCCAGATCCTACAAAATCTGAAAGGTTTTGCAGGATTTATAGGATTTAGTAAGGAGGAGTTTGTCAAATTCACCCAGCGTGGTTCGTGTTCACAGTGCCATTGCAAAAACAAAACAAAATTCTCGTGAGTTGACATTCGATTGTTGTGATTGTTGTGTTTACTGCTGTTTGTTTCCGTGATTTTTACATCAAAATCCAAAGAATCCAAGACAGAGGTATAACAAAACAATTGTTGACTGCTGTGATGTGGGATATGACGTTTTGAACACCCACCTCGGGTTGCTATGCGTCCCTCGGGCGTTCAAAACGTCATATCCCACATCACAGCAGTCAACATTTGTTAATTGTTGATTCCCCGCCATGGAAACTTCACGTCCTATACATTTATCATCTGTTTTATACATGTATTTCTAAATGATTTTGCCTGCAGAGTGTCGGTGAGACGATAACTGAAGACCAGCTACGTGACATGCTGCATGAGGTAGACTGCAATAAGAATGGACGCGTTGAGCTGGACGAGTTCCTGCAGGTAATGTTCCAAGGGTCAAGGAACTACTAAGCACAGAAATAAGCTTAGCACAGAAATAGGTTACCAGCCAACACGTATAATGTAGGCCTGCATTGTGACTGGTTCCCTGCAGGTTGTTGCTTAACTCAGAAATTTTACTTAGAAAATCCTTGAAATTGGTCACAATGATAATTATTAAGATAGAAAGTTTTAGTGGTTTAAAAAAAATATTTTGAATAATTCTATAATTCTGTGCTTGTTTCTCGGTTTATTTCATTGCTTGATATTTTTGGGCTCCATAGAGTGCGAGAGTCTTGCAGGCCACATTCACTTTTTCTGTGAACGTCTCGGTACCAAACACTGACTAGTCTAGTCACAGAATACCTTGTGTGAATTTACCCGCTTGTTATCTGCATGATCGTTTGAATGGAAGTTGAGGTCAACTATGTTAATTTGATAATAGTCGTCAATTCACAATATTAAAAGACATCCAGCATATCTAACAAAAATGTTTGAAAAAAAAATTTCATACAGTTGTAGCGAATAACATTGATTAAGAGTTAAAGACCAAAAACCTTGTTCAGAGATTTGTCACTTTTCTTGTTGCGATTGATTTTTCCAACTTGTTTTTTATTGCACCTACAGCTCATGAGTGCTATCAAGACCGGTGCCATGGCCAACGTTCGGCTCGAGATCGCCCTGAAAATGGGAGACCGTAAAGTCATCCCAACGGATCGCAGCGGTGGGGGTGTGTAAAACCACGTTGAGATTGCATTTTAAGGGTCGCTGGTATATGCTTAGGTTGCTCTGTGCCTCAAGATGCTGTTTTTTATTCTTTCTAAATGAGCAGATTTGATACGCCAAACTAGAGCTGGTTTTATTCTGTCAGTCTCACACCGAATCTTCTATCTTGTCTTGTAGACACGCAAAACCTGCAAACTATAAAACTGAGATTTTGGAGGATTGATGAGGCTGAATGACAAAAAAAACTGTCTGTTGATATTTGGATGATGCATTGTGTCGAGTTTGTAGGCTGTACCCTGCAATGTTTATGTTCAGTCATTCACAATTGGTCCCTGCATTATGCTCGATGTCATCCGCACTGCTGTTGAATGTCATCGGCACTGCCTCAACTCTTAACAGCGATTGTTGGAGGATTTTGAAGGATTGAAGCAATTCGCCCTTCCACTGAATAAATTCAAGAAATAACGCATGATTCTGGAGGATTGCGGCTGAATCCAATTTTGCATGGTGGCAATTGGAGGATTTTGCAGGATTGAGGATGGATCCTTATCCAGAAGGGCCTAGGGGGTTAGGGTTAACCCTAGACCCTCCTTCTGTTTGAAGAGCTACAGCTACTTAAACAAAAAAAACAATTCAATGCACTTCCCAGGCACTGCCATAATACACATTTGACTAGTCAACTTATCACAATCATCATAAAAGAAGTCAACAGCTGGCATATCGATTACCTGCAGTCAAAGTATGCTGTATGTAATAACCCTCCTGCTGTCTGAACAGTCACAGACAGTCAAAATCAATCCTGTTCCCCTGCCATGCCTTTATACACAGGCCAGTCACCAACAGTCGGATCGTATTTCCTGTGACAGTCAAATTCCATCAACAGACAAAAGCAGGTGACTGGTAGGCACAGCTGGCTTATCAATCTCCTGCAGTCAAGTAACATTAAACAGTCACAGCCAGTCAATGGTGCTTTATGTGGACACAGAGTTTGTAACAAATAAAAACAGTCAATTGGTTTTGGATTGCCAAGATGGCCGTGTTCAATTTGTCAGCAAGAATAGTAGAATTTAATGGTAGAGTAGACCATATGTCCGATGATTGGTACATTTTTTTTTTTTTAAAGCTACAGTCCATCATTTGTAATTTGTGAATTTTGTTCTTTTAAAGCAACAAAAGAATTTAAAATCTAATGAAGGATACTGAGCAACTAACCTGATGAAGTTTCAGCTAAGCGTCAGCTGTACATTCCGAGAAAAACAGCATTCTAAGATCTCAATTTCAAATCAAAAGTTACTGAATCATGTTTTGAATTGTTTTGAATTGCAGCTATACGCTACGTCGCGCACTGATCCGACGAATTATAACAACCGCGCACGCGTGTCCGTCGTTCCAATACTTGTGCGCGCTGCGCTGAATAACAAAACGAACTACTAATTTAAATTTTCCTACGGTGCTTCTTAAGAATCACCGTTGGAAATGCCTTCTTTCGTTGATTACTTCAAAATGACAGCTTCCCAGAAAGAATAATTTCACAGGGAGTTTAGTTCCCTTACTATCTTTCAACCAAGTTTGTTTTTCAACAATAATTACGCCAGTTACTTTTCGGATGGCTGCAAATGATGGACTCTAGCTTTAAACAACAAAAGTGCCCAAATCTAAAGACGGCCTGATAAAGCGTCAGCTCTGTGAATGCTGTATATTGCGAGAAATCACAAAATTCTGGATCTCGATTTCGATTCAAAAGTTGCCGAGTCATGACACAATCCTGAAATCAGCATTCGGGACGTGATTCTCATTCAGGCGACACGTGCGCACATGTGCGTCGTGTCAACGCGCTTGCACCCATTCAAGGATTTGCCCAATTACAAACCAACTGCCAACGGAAATTTCCAAAAATGTGTCACTTGACACATCTTTGGGAATGACCTTCTTTTATTGTTTTCTTCAAAATGACAGCATGCCAGAAGGAATCATTTCACAGGGAGTTTAGTGTCATTACTATCTGTAATAAACCAAGTAAGCTTTTTAACAATATAATTTGGTCGATTACTTTTTGGATAGATGCAAATGGTCACTCTACCTGTAAGTCGAACCAACCAATTTTGCTGGGTTGGTGGTTTACTTTAGGGTTTTAAGATTTGAAATTCCAGTCTTCTTAAAGAATTCTCCCAGTTGGACATTTCGGTACCACAAATTTTAAAAGAATGGTTCATTCATTAAACCGAAGAACGATCATAATATTCTTTTCTGGTAAAATCTGCTTTGTGAAAAAGTTTAGAGGGTCAGGGATATCCCTCGAAACTTTTAGAGGGACTTACTATATCTATAGACCTTACTCACGAGGAAGTCAATTTTGATCTTGATCCTTGAATCTATTTTATAAATTGTAAACTGTTGAATGGGATGGCGCCAGACTATTTTATGATTGGAGTGCGTTCCAAGCCTCACGTTCAATTTTTTTGTGGCTTAAAACATTAGGGTTTGTTTAATTACAAATGTTAAATTATTCATCAGAGCAGACTGGTATTAATTTATAATGAACTTTTATTTCATTGCTTTCATTTCTACTCGCCGAGTTCCAAAACCAAAGATTTTTCCTCGCTTTCAATTTAATATGGCCGACTCGTGAATAAAATCTATATAAATTAGAATATATGTACTACACTTTCCTACACTACTTTTTATTTTAATTCTGAACCTCTTTTTATTTTAATTTAGAACCAGTTTTACCTTTTATGAAAACCACTAGATGTGATAATGCTTTTCCTTATTTGGGGTTTCGGTAGACTTATTTGTACTTCCTAGAAAAAGATATCGGTCGCGGAGAGTTTCATGATTGCTGTGAATATTGAAGTACTAACAAAATACTTATCCAACAAGATATTTTCTACAACAGGATTGTACTTGTATGAGTATTGGGGGACTGCTGTTAAATTTGTAAACATTGCTGCATTACGAAGCTTAGAAAATATATACTTTAAATATATTTAAATATTTAAACCATAATGAAACTGTAAAATATACTTTAAATCGAGAGATTGTTCAGTTGCATAATGAGATACAGAGTTCATGCACATACTAGATGCATAATGATTTACAACAGTCAAATATTTGCAAAAACGAATTCATCTTGAAGATTTGTGTTATTTAAAATGTAAATGAGTAAAAAAGGAAAAACAGAATAATCAAAATGACAGCCCTCACCATCCTTGAAATATTTGGTATTGAAATGTCATCAAAACATCTGATTTAGTTAAAATACTACTGAAGTGTGACTTCAACATGCGATCGTTTGAAAGTCATACAAGCACTCTACAATTTGAATGCACAGTCAACGAATTTACCTTTCAAACCATGATTTGGCAGTCAACCAATGTACATCTCAAAACCCTTATTTAGCAGGCAATCAATTTACATCTCAAAACCTTATTATTTGGCGGTCAACCAATTTATGTGTCAAACCCTTATTTGGCAGTCAGCCAATTCACCTTCCAAACTCTTATTTGGCAGTCAACCAATTTACCTTTCAATCCTTATTTGGCAGTCAGCCAATTCACCTTCCAAACTCTTATTTGGCAGTCAACCAATTTACCTTTCAACCCTTATTTGGCAGTCGGCCAATTCACCTTCCAAACTCTTATTTGGCAGTCAACCAATTTACCTTTCAACTCTTATTTGGCAGTCAGCCAATTCACCTTCCAAACTCTTATTTGGCAGTCAACCAATTTACCTTTCAACTCTTATTTGGCAGTCAACCAATTAACCTTTCAACCCTTATTTGGCAGTCAGCCAATTCACCTTCCAAACTCTTATTTGGCAGTCAGCCAATTCACCTTCCAAACTCTTATTTGGCAGTCAACCAATTAACCTTTCAACCCTTATTTGGCAGTCAACCAATTAACCTTTCAACCCTTATTTGGCAGTCAGCCAATTCACCTTCCAAACTGTTATTTGGCAGTCAGCCAATTCACCTTCCAAACTCTTATTTGGCAGTCAACCAATTAACCTTTCAACCCTTATTTGGCAGTCAGCCAATTCACCTTCCAAACTCTTATTTGGCAGTCAACCAATTTACCTTTCAACCCTTATTTGGCAGTCAACCAATTTACCTTTTGTTCTGGAATACTTGTATCATTTTTCATAACTGTTTTATTGTTATTGAAAAGATAGATATATCGAAATACAAGCATTTATAGAAATGTATGTTTTGTACATTATATCATAGGATCTAATCTGGATAGAACATAATTTTATTTCTTCAATGATATTTCTTCTGTTTGTTTTACAGTTTTTTTTTTTTTTTTTGATTGGTTGCAATTTTGAAGCCAGTCAAATGTTTAGTTGTTTTGGGTTGTTTGTTTGTTTGTTTGTTTGTTTGTTTTTCCTTTGGTGGCACAGCAAGCAACAGAAACCTTAGAACTGAAGACTGAAAATATGCATTTGTGTTGTATTGACCTGTAAAGCAACTTGCATAGATTCAAAATAGACAAATGACAAAAGCAAGACAAACTAAAATGGCGTGTAATAACTAAAATTAGGCAATGGGCATTTTCATTTTAATCATCTTAATGTTTGCAAGTTTGTCGTCTTTGGGTGATGAGTGTTCTAGTTGTTGCCACAATACTGATTCCTAATAAATGCCAAATGTTTTATTTGAATTCTAAATTTGACCAAGTCACTTATTAAAATAGGTTAATTTTATCCAATTTCAAATTTTGTCTCTAAATAATCGTTATTAACAGTGAAAAGTTATGCCTTAAACATTATCACATCCTTATTAATGTCTTAGCTTTATTTTCATGTTTGTTTTAATTTAAAAAGCAAAAGTGGTTTCCTTATTTGGAAACCAGTCATGCAAAGATACAGTGGCCTAGTCACATGTTTGAGCTTACGAACCTTGTAAAGATATAAGCAACATTTTGAGGCCCGAAATAAGTTCTTTCTTTTCATTTGTTAATTTGCAGAGAGCAATTGGGATCCGTAGCACAATTTGTGGGCAGGGCTTAAAGTGGGCGGGAAGAGGGAGGGAGGCACACCAAAACTACCTGAAATTACTTTTAGACAATTTGAAAATACTGAATGTTGCGTACTTGTTCACATTTTTCAAATTACATAATACATGTAAATACAAGTACATGTAGTTGCAAGAACTAATATGAATTTACTATCGCACATCAAGCTATAATTTTCTATTATAAAAGGGTTGTAACATTTAAATGTACAGTTATTACTGTAAGAGTACTTTTTCCTATTTTGTATCATGTTCACAGCATTAAAAAATGTAGAATTCTTACTAAGAGTAACTAAATGGAATTTTGGATGAACATTTCCAGGATACATCAATCGTGTGCACGATCTTTATGTTGTTTAAGGTTGTCTTTGCACTATGCACATGATGCATGCCCGCACGTCCCATTCTTTTCGCAAATAATCCTTACTTTAATTTCTTTGAAGGAAAAAAGGCAAACGTGAAAGCTTTTTGTTTGTTTGTTTTTCTTTATCTCTTCCTCAAAACACTGATGCACTATCTAAACTGTTTATTTTTTGTTTCATTTTGAATTTACACAAGGTTGTGTTTGCCATTTTCATCTCTCAATTTCTAACATTTCTATTCACTGTAATTATGTATATTCACTGTATTTCTTAAACAAGCACAAAGTTGATAACAAATAAAGCCAGTCTTACTGAACTAACACTAACAGTACACCAGCCTTTCTGTTGATGTTTCTGTTTTGACATTTTGTCTTATTATTATATGACTTCTCACTAACATTTTGTCTGCACCCCCCCCCCCCCCCCTTCACTCTTTTTAACCCAAAGTGCAAAAGTTGTCAAATTGACCCCTGGAAATTTCAAGACTTCGGCACCATTTTTCCCCTGTTATTTCATTTCTGTTCCTTAGGATTTTACTAGCATTCTCAACAAACACATTTTCAAGTAAAAATGAGGCAAAATCTTGCATAGTATATTTCGATGCTAAGAGTGAGTGCGGTGCGTCATCCAGTTTATTTATTGAATGTGCACGGTATGTTTTATTTGTATATTTCCTCAAAATATGCCCCCCCCCCCCAGAAATTAAAATTTTTTCGCCATATCTTCGGGTAAAGCTGCCAGAGTAAACTACAGAAAATATCACCAGAAAATGACACTATGCACTTATGCCATGCATGAATTGCCAATCGTTTCTACACCGCGTGTTTTGTAATGCAGAAATGTGCATGTATAATAAGCAATAGCTGCACTGCATGCACTCCAGTACTATGTAAGGATGTACACTCTCTGAACATCACTTGATTTCAAGTTTTTAACATTTCGTATTTTATTAAAATTCACTGTCGTAATGCCAAAGTACATGTACAATATTTAGGTGTATGGTTAGAATGCTATATTTGTGACATTCCAAAAAGAAAATGCACAAAAATTTACTGCAAAATAATAATTTGTCAGTTTGTTAAACTTCCCCGTTGATAAAATAGACTTTTGCGTTAGGGCGGAGTTAGAGGGCAATGTTTTTGTGTTGCTTAGATAGGAACAAGTAAACCGTTTGTGCACTCATTGTTACTAAATCAAAATAACAAAGAACGTTTTTTGAGGTACCTTCAACGTGTTGGGTCTATTGTGCAGTTATACTTACGTAACCACTAATAATCAAACTTCTGTTTTAGTTCAATAAATACAGAATGCATTACAAGGAAAGCATTGAAATCCTTTTGAATAGCTAAGTAGGCATGTCCATCACAAGTCGGTCACAAGTCAAATGAACCAACAAAGGTATTCCTTTGTTACTGTTCATCCACCGTTAGTTTTGACCGGACTTGTAAATTGACTTGCGACCGCTCTTGTGATGGGATCAACTACGGCACCGACATGTTTGACAAGATGAAGTACATGCACAGCACACATTTTTATTTTACAATAATTTCCCATAATTTCTTGATCTTTTACCCTATTCCCCACGAAAAGTGTCACCAAATTTGACAAGCACAGTTTAAACTGCCCTGTTGTGTAGCTAGTACATTGACAAGGGAAAACACAAAATGACCAAGTAATTAAAACATATTTCATTTATCCAAACAAAATTGAAAAAGAAAAAAAAAATCAAAGAGGTCAATGTTACCATGAAACTCATCACAGATGACAAAAAAAAAAAATTGAAGGGAACTTTTAAAACAAAATGAGTCCAAACAAAATAAAATAGTAGGAAAATCAGAAAAGTCGTGTTTTCAAAACATTCCATATAACAACGTAAGCAAGTCCTGATTCGTGGTGTAAAACTGGCGACATGTCCACACAAATGCAAAGGATCTTCGTGGCTTAGTTCGTGATATGGAAACTTTGGAATTCCTCGACGACTTTTGATTGGTCGGTTGAGTTGAGTGGTCCCGGAATGCGTGTTTAAGCTCGTGTGTATTTGCCCCATATGTGCAGCATGAACACTGATGCGATGAAGATGAGGCTCATGACTAGAACAGGAACTGGACCCCTGCAAAGTGAACGAGAAACAATAACACATTGTTTAACCCATTGGCACTAGTATTACATTGTATAACAATGTATTACATTGTATCACATTGTATCACATTGTATTACATTGTATCACATTGTATTACATTGTATCACATTGTATCACATTGTATTACATTGTATTACACTGTATCACACTGTATTACACTGTATCACATTGTATTACACTGTATCACATTGAATCTATTGTCTGCTGAATCCCTACAACCATACAGTGCTGTGGCAGTTAATTTGTTGGACGGTTTCAAGCAGTACAGGCACTAATATGTTAAAGGTTTACTGGCATGCCACAACAAAGTAGTTCTAAACTTCACAGATTTGTCACATCCCAAAGACCCTTTGTGGGTGAGTTGCCGTATCTTTGAACTCTTCTTTTTAAATTCTAATTACTAGTCTTGTACCCCGACTTACACTTTAAGGCCAGGTGAGTCTTCAGTGTAGAATCTCCACATGCCACCTCCGCTTGCACCAGTGCCTCCCCCAGCTACTGATCGACTTGTCCTGCCGGATGTGCTTGCGCCTTTCCTAAAATAGACAGAAGGGTTCAAAAATAAAATTATGATCAGGATTTGTGATTTCATAATGGTCACAAGCATGTCAACACTCACTGCTGTAAGGGACAGAATCTCAGTCAATCACAAGTCATCACAAGTCAATCAAAAGTCATCACAAACCAATCACAAATCATCACAAGTCAATTACAAGTTAAACACTTTTCAGATCATAAACATACAACAGTTGTGAAGTTACATGGGATAGAAAGCATTGACGTCCATGTGCAGCAGGATTCTGAATCTGATGAAGGAATATCAATGGGTCCTGATGAGTTTAACTTGGGGGGGGGGGGGGGGGGAGGGGGGCATGCTACCTTTGTCTGACTTGTCCACTGCCTGACGCTCCCCTGGCGCTGACTTGCTTGGAGGAAGGGGAGCGACTTCCTCCCACTGATGTCGCTGATTGAGACGGCCCAGGCTGTCAAATAAACGCAGAAACATTTCCTTTCACAGCTGTCTGCTTGTTCAGTGTAATAGTTTTTTCTTTGAATGACTAATTACATGTAGCCTACGTCATACCATGAAGGAAGGAATTCCTTCCTCCATGGTCATACCAGCATATTGAGTAATTTTCTAACAGACGGCATATATCAACAATCGTGACAGCAGAAAAAGTAATGAGCGTGAAGCAACATAACTATCAGTTGCAAGCAGTCATTGTATTGGTCATCATGGAAAGAGTGCAGTATTTTGACGCAAGCCAATGTGTGGCAGCCATGAAATTGTTGTGAAGTATTTGGTAATTGTGTAGTTTGACACCTCCATTTTTGACAACTTCCGTTCAAAAATGACTTTTGCAGCCTCATGCAATCTTTATTCTTCAGATTACAAATACTACAGAATACTACGTGTGTTGTGCACACTTGTATGGAAAGAAATGCATACTACAGGTTACTAGTACTACTCAGTAGTATTTTGTAGCTTTAGGAGAGGTAAGGGTTAACTCATATTTTTTGTAATTTTGATATTGAACAAAATGTGACTTTCTTAGTCTTACCTTTTTGGGGCACTCAGAATTAGTCACTGGTCAGAATGGATGCGGGTCCTAAACTACATGATTACCAAGTATTAAACAAAATTGGAAATAGCTCTCGGCCACAGAGTCATTTTTGTTAAAACATGACCGACCATCTTTTGTAAGCACTGAATTGGTGCGCACATCACACTTGGCTACATTACCCCATGTGGAAGGTGACTGTCCGGAAATTGGGCAGTCACAGGGAACAACCTATATCTCAAGTTTCTTTGAACTACAGTTAATGTACTCCTTGCGATTGCTCAGCTTAACCTCTTGGATTAAGATTCTGTACAAAAACGCTCGGAATAAAATATCTGAAAGCTTAATTCCATACCATTTTTGAGCAGCTGTTGACGCTTAGATCCCAAAGTTGGTTGTCCCAGAAAATGATGTCGTGTCAATCAGGTGACTGGTTCCCTATTTATGCGTTTAGAATTTCATTGGGGTGTCTGGGAGCCAACGAAAACATATCGTGACCTCTCCAAATGGTGGCGCTATTTCACTTTCACGGTGGCACTTTGGTGGGCGTTACTATAATCGTATTCCGGGGGGGGGGGGGTGCAAATAAAACAGGAATTATATCCAAAGAAAAATCAGGCGCGGTTCTACTTCTCTAGAGCCTTAATTTTAGGGGGCTAGCAGCGGTGGATCCAGAAATTTGTGGGTTTTTTTTTTTTGGGGGGGGGGGGCCTAGCGGGACTACATTTTTTTAAACGGCCCCCTCCCCCACTTTTTAAAGTGGGATGGGGGAGGGGGGATATCATATCGTTTGTCCCGCCCCCACTCTTTTCGCCACCGAATAGTAATGTTAGCCTACATGCATTCGATTCTATAGCTCAGAACATAACTGATTCAGTGATTCCAAATTCGATAATGATGTTTAAATGATAATCTTTTGCCTAAACAAAAAATTGCTTAAAGTGGTCAAAAATTGCCTCAGATCGCACCACAGAGCGTCTAGAATCCGAAATTGATCGGGGCCCTTGGGACCTGCAGAACGCGTCATGGGCGTCGCCAGGATTTTTTCTAGAGGGGGGCAAAAAATAATTTTGGCCAAAAATGCTTGCATTTCTCAACATATTCTCGATTTATCAGTTTTAGAGGGGGGCAGGGACATGTTGGCCCCCCCCCCAACTCATTAAATTTACACCACTTTGTCTTCGTGCCTCTTTTTCTTTTCTTTTTTCTCTTTTTTTTCTTTTCTTCTTCTTCTTTTTTTTGGGCTTTTCCAGGGGGGGGGGGCAAGTGCCCCCCCCCCCTTGCCCCCTCCTCGCTACGCCCATGGAACGCGTACTGGGCTAGCTTCGCATATGCATTTAAAAAGTGACTCGAATTCGAATTTAATTTTTCGTGATTTGTACACTGTATTTCCTTAAATCATATTAAATTTATTCTTCAATGGTTCCCGTCCATTTGCAAACCATTTGTGTCCTGGATCCCCAAGCTATTGTTTAACGAAATTATTTCAATTCAGTGCACTGTGTTCTTCTTGAGTAATGGTCTCCACAAAGTGTGTTTTATAATGCCCACTACGTTTGGGCAGATCATGATCCGCGTGTGGTGGTGACCAGTATTTGTGTAGCGCGCCCTCTGTTGGAAGAAATTGATGTTGGTAAAATGTACAGGAGTGCTCTTACCATTACACACTGTCGTTTTTGTTCTTGTTGTATCATTTTTTTTCTTGAACGGTTTCTGTCGAATTTCACATATAGTGTCTCGTATATCACAATCAAGTATGGGACGCAATTTCAAATCAGTGCACTGTGTTGTTCTTGAGTTATCGTCTCCACAAAGAGTGCTTTACTTTTGTTCCATTAAAAGTGTCTCGAATTCGAATTGAATTTTTCGTGATAAGTACACTGTATTCCCCTAAATCATATTAAATTTATTCTTCAATGGTTCCCGTCGATTTTCAAACCATTTGTGTTCTATATTTCAAACAATTATTGAACGAAATTTCAATTCAGTGCACTGTGTTGTTCTTGAGTTATCGTCTCCACAAAGTGTGCTTTATTTTGTTCACTTGATGCCAACTTCATTTGGGCAGATCGTATCCACGTTGACAGGTCTTTGCGGTATGTGTGGTGACCAGTATTTGTGAAGCGCGCCCTCTGTTGGAAGAAATTGATGTTCGTAAAATGTACGGAAGTGCTCTTACACACTGTCGTTTTTGTTTTTTTCTATTAATTTGTTTCTTCAACGGATTCTGTCGAATTTCAGATAGATTGTGTCGTATATCACAGTTAATAATGGGACGCAATTTCAAATCAGTGCAATGTATTTTTCTGGAGTTATCGTCTCCACAAAGAGTGTTTAATTTTTGTTCCATTAAAAGTGACTCGAATTCGAATTTATTAGTACTCTGTATTTCCTTACATCATATTCAATTTATTCTTCAATGGTTCCCGTCGATTTTCAAACCATTAGTGTTCTGTATCCCAAACAATTATTGAACGAAATTTCAATTCAGTGCACTTTGTTTTTCTGGAGTTATCGTCTCCACAAAGAGTGTTTAATTTTGTTCCATTAAAAGTGACTCGAATTCGAATTTATTAGTACTCTGTATTTCCTTACATCATATTCAATTTATTCTTCAATGGTTCCCGTCGATTTTCAAACCATTAGTGTTCTGTATCCCAAACAATTATTGAACGAAATTTCAATTCAGTGCACTGTGTTGTTCTTGAGTTATCGTCTCCACAAAGAGTGCTTTATTTTTGTTCCATTAAAAGTGACTCGAATTCGAATGGAATTTTTCGTGATTAGTACACCGTATTTCCTTACATCATATTGAATTTATTCTTCTATGGTTCCCGTCGATTTTCAAACCATTTGTGTTCTATATCCCAAACAATTTTTGAACGAAATTTCTATTCAGTGCACTGTGTTGTTCTTGAGTTATCGTCTGCACAAAGTGTGCTTTATTTTGTTCACTTGATGCCAACTTCTAATTATAAAAAGTTTCATTCTTTGGAGTACGACTACGAGTGGTACGCGCGACGTGCGAGATCGAAAAGTTCAAAGCGAAGTTTTGTGAAGGACGCCCTCTGCTGTCCCCCAGCATCTAGTGTCAGCGTGGCTGAATGTGGTTCGTCGCCGGTCATTTCACCGGTACATGACCTCGAAATTCATCTGCATATTGTACGAATTTTCACTGGAAAATGGTTGCCGGTGAGCGAAGTATGGGTCGTTCAGTCGTGGACACGATGGATGGATGGTTCATCTTGAAATGTCTGCCGTTTATGCTGCTGATTTTGGTAGGTGTCACTGAGTGAACGAGCAAGCTTGTGTGCGTGAAATAGTCGTGTAACATTTTCTATAATGTTGTGCACAAACCTAATGTCTAATGAAGCATGAAAAATAATCCCGAAGCAGTTACAACATTTCCAAAAGTAAATGTACGTTCATGAAATAACAGATGTGCAGCCACCACACATTCACTTTACGGTCTTTGGATTGGAGTGCCTTTGGATTTTTACCCGTTAAGTGTTACTGTTTCTAAATTCAACTTTCAAGCGTGTCAAGTGCTAGCCCCATAAATGTGGCCAATTTACTGGACTACCTCCGTAAACATAGGCCACACGATGTACAAAAACGTGTCGCACTTTGTCAAATTTTGATTTTCACATTTAGGCTTAGTTTGTAGGTTTTAGAAGCATACTTACCCTCTTTATAGGCTAATCAGAAAGTGCTGCCTTTTTCAGATGTCTATTTTTCGTAAAATTTCCAGATTCTTTTGCACACATTTACGTATCAAAATTTCAACATGAATTTTCACAAAAATTAGACATCTGAAAAAGGCAGCACTTTCTGATTAGCCTATAAAGAGGGTAAGTATGCTTTTAAAGCAAAAAAACCCTACAAGCTAAGCCTAAATGTGAAAATCAAAATTTGACAAAGTGCGACACGTTTTTGTACATGTGGACGTGTGGCCTATGTTTACGGAGGTCGTCCAGTAAATTGGCCACATTTATGGGGCTAGTCAAGTGCATAAGTTTTAACGTTAATTTTATTCTAATTTCTTGAACTTGAAGTGCTGTGGAAGAAAAAATAATTAAAAAGTTGGACATGGTGAATGAGGTTGATTAAACTAAAAATGTTTTCAGTTGATATTGCGGAAAGATTCCCAGGAATAAAATGTTGCAACCTGACGCCACTTCAGCGGTTGTGTACAAAGTCTATGAAGAGTCAAGAAAATTTTCTAAGTATTTCCTAACAAAATTGGAAATGTTTCTCAGTCCCAAATTCATGTCTTATCATTTTTGCAATGAATGACCTTCATTGAGATGATGTTTGAAGAAAAAAGTGGCGTCAGGCTGCAACATTCTTTCCAGATTCCCATATCTGGCCATCACTAATTTTTCCCTTCAGTGAAAAATTACTGAGAAAACACTTAGAAATGTTCAGACCAGTCTCGTACGGTTTGTGCACAGGGTGACAAGTGATGGCCAGATATGGGAATCTTTCCGATATTGCATAGGCCTAGTTATATTTTTTTTAAATTATATTTTAGCTCATTTTTTTATTTTTAATGTAAGAACATTGATGATATTTTCCGATAGCATTTAAAAAACAGTAGCCTTCATCTACGTGGCATTACGTCATTTAGTTTTTATGAAATGATGATGCAATTGCACCAAACATATGTAAATAGATTCCTGGAATATAACAACACGGCTTTTTAATTATCAAACCCTTTAATGTTTTTTTTCTCTGTTCAAATTTACCCATCTTTAGGTGTCTCTGTTCTGCGACACGTCATCCCAGACAGGGTATACAGTGGAGCTATCCAGATCCAACTTTGACCAAGTCATCGGCTCCAACGAAGTAGTGTTCATAAACTTTTATGCCAACTGGTAAGATTTTAAGACAAATGTGTGCACTAGAATGAATTTTTGATCAAGATTTTAAAAAGTCTTCAAAAATATATATTTCATGATGACTGCATAGATACTTCACATATATTGTCAGTATTAGCACTTTTTTTTTTGCATTTTTTTTGGCTGTAGAAGCAAAGGTAAAAATTCATCCTGACCTCTTTGTTGACGTTTGTGACAATTGACAGGTATTAATTTAAAGGTTAAAACCCTACTAAATGTAGATTTATGTTCATGTAGTGTGCGTATTTTATTCTCCCGTTTACATGTTTTACACACGTTATACCTAAGGATGTGACATTGAAATGTTAAAACAATAAAATTATAAGTCCATTCACAAATTTTCCAAAACGTTTAAACGAAACCCACATTATAAAAAGTGACATACATGTATGTTTACCGTGTCTGTCCTCGTAATACAACATGTTTTGCATACATTTCACAAAAAAAAAATAATGGATGCCTATAAAACCCATTTTATTTCCAAAGTTGAAGAACGGTCCATGAAGAATAATCTTTTTCATAGATTGGGGTCGATGATGCCCTTCATTTGTTGTGCATTTACTAACAAAACATGCTCGAGTGCAAACATGTATATGGTGACCCCCAAAAAATGCAACCCTGAAAGATTTACCTTTTTTTCAAAAACGTTATCATGAACTTTTATGTTTTTGATATCAGGTTAAAGCTGAGAGTTTTTACTTTCAAAAAGGCCTACTGAAAAAAATCATGAAAACAGCACATTGGGTTGATTCAACTTTGATCAAAATGAAAAGCAAAATATTATCTTTCTAATGCAAACTACAAAAACCCTTTAATTTAAGACTCTTTTCATCAGCCCCAGTTCCATATCGGAAGTCATTGTTATGTATAAGTTAAATTTTCAAATTAATTTTCTTAATTTAATTTCCAACTTGGGCCACGTTTTTCTCCAACCAACAACACGGCTACAGGTATAAAGTCCCAAGGCTCTTACCGATACCATACACATGTACCACTTAACATGCTTAATTGAAAAATTTATGACGATATTACCTGTTGTACTTGTAGTGTACACCGGATGTAATTAAGAAATATCACTCACGCAAGTCTATGCTGGTACTACATGTACTAGACAATGTATGCCAGACTGTGTTTTCACTCACGTGTGCTTTTGTTTTTACATACATGTACGTAATTTTGTGTTTCCTTTTCAAGCAGTCGTGAGCGTGCACGTGAATTTAATTGCATGTGTACATCAAACTGAAAAAGGTGAACCAGCTGTTGCATTATTGGAGTATACTTTGATATAAGTCAATATTCTTGCTGCTATCTAGATACATGCATGGGCCAGTGTTTGTTAGCTGATGTTTAAAGAAGATTCCCGTGGTACTTTTGAGTTTCACCTCGAAAAATAGATTTGTTTTTGCAATTGTTAGTTTCCTAGATATCATGCAAAAGTTTTCACTTTTGAGTGAGACATGGAACCAAAAAAAAATCCACCAACGTATAGTAATTGAATTCTCTATTCTTTCTTCACAAAATTTTCATTATTGGGTGCCAGACGATAATTCGGCTCTCGTTGGGCGGGTTATTTGTGCACAAAATAGAAAGCCCTTTTCAGAGGGTTGCAGACACCCAAAATCGGAATAAAATGTTTTTTTTCCCATTAAAACAAAACATGCAAATTGAAAATTTGTCATAAATTAAAAAAAAAAAAAAAAAATCAATTTTTTTGAAGAACATGGGGCATCATCTTTAATGGATCAAAATCCATTTTCAGCTCATCACAACTTTACTGTAAAAACTAACCTTTGAATTAGATTTTGGAAAAAAAATTGTCTGAGAATTGCAAGTTTTTAATATCCATTCTTGCCCTTAAAGCATACATGTAGAATCATTTGCAAACACTCAAAAACGAAACTGCGAAAATATTATGAAATAGCCCACTTGATTGTAAGTAAATAATAGTCATGAAACATCCTGTGACATCAATGGGCCTGTTGTCATAGTTGTGCTGTCATTCTCAAGAAAAGAGGAATTTTGTATCGATACTAACGATAGTTAGGACATAACCATTTTTCTCCAATACTACAATGTACATCTGTTAAAGGGAACATACAACATTTGCTTTTGCTGTAATTTTCAGAAAGTGTTAAATTTGGGGGTTAGTATTTCGTAGCAAATATTGTTACACTGACTTTTTGAAGTTTTGTGTTTGTACATGTAGATGTTGGAAAAACATGAAAAACAAAGAAAAACAATCATGTTCTTGTAGTCTGGTTCCCTGATCCCACTTAAGATGAATCCGACATTGGAGAACTTGTAAGGTCGGGGAACCAGTCTAGCTGGCTTGTACCTGGTCATAGGTGTGTAATTAATTACAAACAAAGTGTGGACAGACTTAATAGGGTAAATTGGGGGAAAGTATTTGAGAACAGCCATTTTTTTTTCCAATGCTGGCCAACCAGTGTTGGAAATTGACCAAAAAATTCCACTTTTCTTGAAAATGTCAGCACACCAGGTGTCGTGTTTTTACGGGATGCTTTAGACTCATTCACTAACAGTCCAGTAAGGTGTTTCATAATAATTTGGTAGTTCTTTTATGTTTGCAAATGTTTTATATTCACTTTAAATTTGGCCACGAGCCAGCTGTTGACTTCATGCGTACGCTCGGTTACACTAGGTACATGTACGGTAGGTACCGATACACTCCCTGTGACCTATGGGTTCTATGCACGACAGATTCCGTGAGCTGCACATTGACGGCTGAAAATGAACAGCATTTTTTCATGTTTTGCCAGCACCAATGGACACAAACATTGAACAGCTCAGTGGAACAATGTCCGTTATATATCAATAGCCCTTAAAGGGAATATACATCATTGGCTTTTGCTGTCATTTTCAGAAATGAACTATTTGAGGGGTTAGTATAATAGATCAAATATTGTTACACTGACAGCGTTTGAAGTTTTGTGTTCGAAAATGCTGGAAAAACCAAGAAAAACAAAACTGTTCAAGTAGTCTGGTTCCCTGACTCCACTAAATATAAAATGGATCAATTTACAGATGCCGGAAAATTGTAAGGTAAGCGTACCAGTCTAGTTGGCCTGCACCTGTTCTTGAACATGTAACCAATAGCAAACAAAATTTGGACTAAAAAAATGGTAAATTTGGAGCAGTAGTTGAAAAATAGTTAGGTTTTTCCAGCGGTGGTCGGCCGACCACCGCTGGAATTTTTTACAAAAATACCATTTCCTTGAAAATGACTTCACACCAAGTGCCATAATTTTACAGGATGCTTTAGACTGTCATTTACCAACATTCTATTAAGGTATTTCGTAAAAACTTGGTAGTTTCGATGTTTGCAAACGTTGTATATTCCCTTTAAAATCGGTCCATTTCATAGAAGTACGACAAATTCAAAAATAGTAGGCCTAACCATTACATTCATGTACATGTACCTTTAAATTATGTAATGTTACGATGAACGAGGCTTTTCCTTTGCCCGTTTCGATGGAAAGTACATGTAAACGATGAAATATTCATCGAAATGAAAAATTCACCAAAAAGCTTCCATGGGAGACAATTACATAAGAATTTCAGCATGCCCAACCAGAAGAGTGTTCAATTTATATGTAAATTTGATGGCGTGCCGAAAGCTACTGGTATTGCGTAGGGTGTTAATTCGTTGCCATAGTAATTTGTTAAGTGCACCGGTGCACACAATCAACGATTGTGTGCACCAGTGCGTGTGCACAATTTAACAAATTACTATGTGCGTGACAATAATCTACACGTACATAATGTACACGTACATGTATCTGTTGAAAACTTAGAACTGAATACTCATTATATACAAATATTTTGGTATTGTAAAAGACCAACTATTGTACAACGATGAATAGGGAATCCCAAACGTTTAGAAGAATAACTTTTATTTTGTGACACACCTATTATTTGTTTTGAAACACACTGGTAATATTAGAAAAAGTATGCTACTATTGGCTCTGCACCCCCCCCCCCCCCCCAAAAAAAAAAACCCAACAAATTCATTTATGAATTCAACTCAAATAAATTGGATGACCCATTTTAGTTTCACAAAAGTGACTGTTTTACAGACTACATGTACATGTAGGCCTATACTCTTCAGTTTTTTTAGTTCATTCGGAAGGCAAGAACATTGGGTGTTACTAGGGTTGTGCATCGGAACTGGGTACCCGAGTACCCGACCACTGATGTCAGGAACCCGCTCCAGATTATGGGATGGGGCATCCATAACCAACTTTACAAATTATATAGTAACTTCTCAGACAATGAAAAAGAAAGGTTTTGAATGCCATTTTGGGGGAATTTTCAAATGAAAACCAGGCTACATGGCAAACCAAAACAGATTTCACGTTAATGTGCATTTTAACGTGCGACAGATGACGCTCGCGAGAGCTGTAGTTGTACACTGTAAAGCTATATAAAGCTCTTCAGACAACTTCGGGGATTAGAATTTTAGGGTTGGGTTTCTTTTACGGGTACCGGATATCCGTTTTTTACTTCAATAGTTTACCCGGTTCCTATACTTCCACACGCTCACTACTAGGTGTTACTCTCCCTGCTTGTCCTCGTTATTTACAGGTGTCGTTTCAGTCAGATGTTGAAGCCAGTGATTGAAGACACCGCCAAGGCAGCGAGGGAGGAGTTTAGGCAACAGGGCCTGGTGGTTGTGGCGGCGTTGAACTGCGAAGCTGAAGGTATGCACCTAGCCCAATTTCTAGTGTTGTGCGTAGAGGCCTAACTCTCCCTGAGTTTTGCACCTGTAATTACCAGGTGATGAATTGCATGGGTGGATTCCTGCGTGATCGATTTGAGTTTTTTTCAGTGTTACAATATACCTCCTGAAAGATGACACAAAGGTGTCTAACATCCATACCAATCACTTAAGCAGCTGTTTTGGTCACCCGTTAAGCCTATGTGAATTTCTAACAGTTAGAGAGCCATACCACACGTCATTCATATTCTGGTAAAATAAATGAAGTAGTTATGTGCTCAAGTGCATCCTACTCTCTCTTTGTCACCAACAGAGGGGGTACTTTTATCTGGAGTTCATTGAATATTTTCCTTTTTCTCTAGATGCGATAGCTAAACGGTACCACATCTCCAAGTACCCGACCCTGAAGATGTTCCGCAACGGCAAGCTAGCCAAGCGAGAATACCGCTCCCAGAGATCCAAGGATGCCTTCCTGAGCTTTCTGAGGGAGCAAGTCAAAGACAACATCCTCCAGATGCAGACGAAGGAAGACATTCAAAAAGTCGATGTGAGTTCAGAACTTATTTTTTTAACCCAACTCAAAGTCCCGTTTCAGATGGGGTTGCAGATTGGCGCCCAACCAAATCATATTGAAGATTTGATAAAAGTTCATAACGTTTGAGCAGTTAGCAGTGATTTTTGCCATTTTCAAAGGCTTTTGAAAGTTGAATCTTAAAGATCATGGCCCATGTTCTTCAAACTTTTTTTTTTCTCCAAGCAAATTTTCAGTTTGTTCATGTGTGGTTTGTTTTACATGTTTTTAACGAAAGAAAACCTTACTTTTTTCCAATTTGGGATGTCTGCAACCCTCTGAAAAAGATCTTTCATTTTGGGCTCAAATGAACCCGAATTATTGTTGGCCACAAATCGAATTTTGTAAAGGAATAATTCAGTAACTAAACGTCAGGTGGATTTTTTTTTTCGATGTCTCATTAAACATGTTAAAAAGTGAATACCTGATAAAATTGCAATGAAAATAGCAATTGAAAAAAAAAACCGGAATCTATTTTTGGGGGTCAACATGGTCAAAGTCCAAATGGCACAGAAATGCATCATTTCCTTTCTTTCTGAACCAAACTTTCATCTCCCCTTTCCTTTCCCCCCATATTTCACAGCAGTTTTGAAGATATATTTTTAGAAGAAGGGTACTACCGGTATCTTTCTAAACATATATCTCCAGAACCACATATCAACCTGTATACTTCCTGTGAAATAAAGGGGAAAAGAAAATGCAGGAGAAATATGTTTACAAAATTTTAAAAAATATGTTTCATAGACACTGCCTTAAAATTTGTCGAATTAATTACAAATAATAAATCCATAAATCATGTGTTTTTGGAAGAGAAATGATATTCATTATTTTTCTGAATGGATGCAATTTAATGTTGTCCTGTTTGACCCTATAAACGGCATAGGAAACGAAGCGTAACGTCATTGCATACTTCAAGTCATCCAACACCAATGAGTACATGGTTTTCAAACGGGTCGCCAGCGCCCTACGCGACGACTGCTCTTTCTATGTTGGAATTGGGTGAGTAAGAAAAGTTCAATGACAAGCCAATCACAACAATCACAATCACAAGCCAATCCAACTTTGGCTGAAGCATGTCCCCAGTGACACTAGAAGTTCCTTGTACATAAAATCTATTTTTTTTCATGGGCAAAGGTTATTTTTATACCAGTCTGTTTATGTATTTTTTGTATTTTTCCCCCCGTTGATTTACAGTGACAACTTTAGGTCAGAAACCGTTTCTGGCGATAACATCATGTTCAGACCACCTAGGGTAAGCATCTTATTAAACTCTTTCTGTTTTCGAGCATGAAAGTTTGTCTCCGGTCCCATTGTTGAATCTAATAAACAGAAAGATACCTTTTTTAGACTTGAGTTTAAGAGCTCGTAGCAGGAGCTTGGGACATCATCTCGGTGTCTTTGTCAAATGGGACCTTCATGTGGCCTGTCACGTGACCATGCTTGGTCACAAGACTGGACCTGGTCATACACTAGGGCCAGCTTGTATCCTCCATCTCTGTTCATCTGGGGGCGGTGCCTGCAGATTCTACTGCCTCACGGATTTTGCGTTTCCAGAGGTCGTCCTCCCTGTCGATGATCTTAACATTGTCCACGGAGATGCTATGTCCTGGGGTGGATATAAGTTCACCAACTGCTGTCAGGGGGGGCTGACCTACTGGTGTGTTCTCTGTATCGGGTCTGCAGAGGCGAGCTGTTTCACCGATATAAGTGTCTTCACAGCAACAGTGGCCTGGGTTTGAGCCCGGGCCCGGACACTTGTGCCCTTAAGCAAGGCACTTAACCATTATTACTTCGTCCTTCGGATGGGACGTTAAGCCGGCGGTCCCGTGTGTTGTATAAGGCCCAACGTAAAAGAACCCAGTAACACTTATCGCTAAGAGAAGGGGTTTGCCCCGGTGTTTCTGGCCTCCTAGTTATACTCCCTTGTGGAAGTCGTGAGGAGAAAACCAACCAAGTATTCCAAGTACAGCCATCACATGATATTCGGTATACAAGGACACACTTCTTGAGGTCTGGAGTCTTGCCCTTAGGCTGATCAACTGGGAGCTTGGGTTGTTGAACGGTTGACGTGCTACCGTGACACCGTGTTCACGAAACACATGCTCCAGCTGTTCAGACAGACCTCGGATGTATGGTAGGAGTGCCATAGGTTTGGCATCGGTGTATGTTTTAGAGGTGGCTTCAGGCAGATTCTTAGTGTTTTGTTCAGATGCGACTGACATTTACATCTTTACATCTTTACATCTACAGATCGGGCTAAACATAGCACTAGTAAGCAAGGGAGTATGGGTTCAAGTCCCTATGGAGTCTTTTTGGGGTGAAATTTTACTGCAAAATAAAAAATAATACTTTTTATATCTCCCTTACAGACCAAAGACCAAGACATGCTTTATATGGGCTCCATGGTGAACTTTAACCTTCTTCACACATGGTCCCAGGATAAGTGTATCCCACTGGTACGAGAGATCACATTTGAAAATGGAGAGGTACGTAGATATGCACATTGCATTTAATATACAATGATTTTTTAGTTGAAAGTTGAGCAAAGAAATTGACTGGAGCGGGGTTTGAACCTGCGACCTCCGGATTGCTGTTCCGGGGCTCTTACCAACTGAGCTATCCAGCCCTATGTTTGTGGTTTCCCAATTTGTCAATGTCTTTGTTCGACGGCCCTAGTCAGAAGCCTTAAACCTGTTCAAACATTTTGTGAAGTTGTAGTTTTGAAAAGTACAGGAAAATCTTCAACCAATTTCGTATTCAAATTGCACTTCATTTTAATCATATTTAGATGAAATTACTCAATTATCACTTAAAATCAAGCAGAATCTGTGGGAGAGATGTTATAAACCAATATTGAATGCTTTATCTCGTGGTGTAGTAAAACTAGCCTCACTCGGTGATCCATGGAGCATTCTATTTTACCCCAGCTTCGCCTCGGGACAAATAGAATGCTTCATGGATCACCTCGGGAGGCTAGTTTTACTACACCACTCGAAGCAGTCAATGTTTGTTTATTAGCTTTATGCATTCTCATGCTGCAATCTGTTGTCATTCTTTCGTGATTTGCTTTCTGTTTCTCCAGGAATTGACAGAGGAAGGATTGCCGTTCCTGATCCTGTTCCACAGACCTGAGGATGTCGAGATTGTCAAACGATTCAACGGCATCATCAGCAGAGAGCTAGTTGGGGACAAGGGTAAGAAAATACTGCTAAGGAAAATAATGTGCGAAAGAGTACCAGCAACGATCTGTATACGTTTCGCATACTATTTCAGCTGGTAGCCGGTTCCCGCTAAGCAAATATTTTCTGTTCTTAGCCGCTACATGAAATTGGCACCCGGTGTAAAATATGGGAATAATTTGGAGAATACAATTCAAGAGGAATTATCCTTGTCTGCCATCTGACCTTTCAAGAGATATTTCAAGATGTTTTCCGGCTGTGTTGTAGTGAGGTACATGCGGTGGACGACACACGTCCACCACAGGTCGATCACAAGTCCTCCAGTCCCAAGTCAACTCACAAGCTATTCAAATGAACTGAGACAAAAGCATTCCTCAGTTATTGTCCACCCCTTGTTACTTGTGACTGGAGTTGTGATTGGACTTGTGATTTACTTGTGACTGGACTTGTGACGTGCTTGTAGTCCATCACACGTAACTTGTCTGCAACACTGTCTGCATGTTGCAATGTCTTAGCTACTCAAAAGAAACCGGTAATGTTGCGCACTGTTGGCACTTGAGTGCAGAGTTGTGGCAAAGTCCATCACACGTCAATCACAAGTCAAATCACAAGTCAATCAGGCAACTTGTCTGCAACACTGGTCTCTATACTGACAATTACAAAAATGTCCCCCAATATAATTGCATTTGTAAAGGTTACTTAAGTATCCCTTCACAAATTTTTTGTTCACATTTTAAAGGCTGATGACGAAGCCTCTTATTTTGTCCGAAATTGATGAAAAATTTGAATTTCACACAAAACGCACTACTCCTTTGTTTTGTAAAATCTCTCTTTCTTACTTTGTTTTGATCCGTTCTTTTTTTAATGAAAATTTATACCAAATGTTTGATTTATCAATGTCTTTGCCAAACACATATTTTAATATTCATTTTTGATATCTCTGTACCTCGCAATAGAGTATAACTATACAGGTATGTGCCGTAACCATGGTAATGGATCTGGGTCCAATTTCAAGGCACTGCCAAGCACATGATTTTACGCTTTTTTACAAAGGCTCTGTTTATTTCATGAAGACTGTTAGCAGTTAGCACAGCAAAAAGACCGCTTACCTCAGAGGAAAAATGTACTTGCCTTAGGCAAAAAAAAAAAATAAGTCGGTCTCTGGTCAGCACGCACGTCGATTCTAATCATGCGCGTCAATCCTTTTTTTTTTCCAAAAATGTTCCGCGGTAGTTCCAACAGCGCCCTCTATTGCCGCACCTCCTCAATTTTTTTTACCAAAGAGCACCAAGGAATGGGAAATTGCACCAAGGCAAATGATCGAGAGCACCAAGGCAAATTATGGAGGACACCAGTGTACATGAGGACACCAAAAAAAAGCAAAACAGTACCCCACCTTGTCTGTACAATCCAAGCTTGAAGAAAAAAAAAAAAAGGAAAAAAAAAAAAAAAAAGCCGCGTGGCCGCGTCAATTCCGGAACTTTGGTCTGACCAGAGACCGAATCTTCTTTTTTTTGGCCTTAGTTACGTAACAATGAAAATCTCCATGCGCACACAACCGTTGGCACATCCACCCAGTGAAAAAAATGCTTAAGCCATTTGTAAGCAGCAGCATGATTTTCTGCTATAGTAAGCACAAGTTTTCTGCTAACTGTTAAGCAGCACCAAGAAATTGGGCACTGGTCTTATAGTAAACTTGGTGAATTTTGGTTTCATATTTCACCGGGTTGGGTTCTCATGTGAGAGTGTTTTTGAAGCTTACTTATTGTACGGTAAAGGGTAAACATGCTTAGCATGGCTGTCTTGAGATGGGTATGGAACAGGGCTGGGAATGTCTGTCCGATTTGCATGTCATATGTCACTTGTAATGCTACACGTACCTATTCGCTATGAAATTGGTGCATTCGTATCATGAGAGGGAAAGTATTAGACATGTTCACATACACCCATTTGCACTTTTGTTGGTCACCATGCTGCCTTGATGGTGGGCAAATCGTCAATTGACAGTTTTCTTGTATCCACCTGTTTTCAGACATGTTTTGTAAACAGTTGGGAACTTACTCACAGTCAATTAACCGTAACTGTCCCAAATCCTTCAAAATCCTCTTTGCAAAAATGGAGGATTTTGCAGGATTGAGGCTGTATGGCAAAAGTGTGTTGCTGATTTTTGGGGATGCACTGTGTCAAGGTCTTGGGCTGGACCTTGTGTTGTTTATGCTCAGCCATGCATAAATATAGGCCTAGATTATACTTGAAATTCTCAGGATGTCACTGGCTCTGGCTCAACGTATTGACAGTGACTGCTGGAGGATTTTGCACAGTTGAGGCATTGGCCACCCTGCCAAGAACCGCATTCAAGAAAAAAAAAAGGATTTTGCAGGATTGAGGCAGTATGCTATTTTTACATGGATCCAAATGAGGTTTTTGCATCTTAGCAAAAATGCCTAGGGAGTTAGGGTTAAAATTATCACATAGTTTTGCACTGGAGAAGGATCACTATAACAAACACTCGTATGACGCAATTTATTTTGCGACAGGGACTTGTGACCAGACTTGTGTTTTGACTCGTGACTGACGTGATTGCAGCTCTGGCATTGGAGCCTTCAACGTCAAGGCCGGTTGATACTTGGCACAAAAGCGCAAGCGAAACGCGAATTTGTTACGTCACAGTACAAGTTTGCACTGCAAATCTGCAGAAGTTGAACGCATTTCAACTCCGACAAATATTGCCAGTTGATACTTAGCAAGAAAGCAAAAGTGCATGCAGACGCAAAATTGTTACATCATGGCAAGTTTTTGCAGTATGAATTCGCAAAAGCCGAACACATTTCGACTCCAGCGAATTTCGCAGCGAATGTTCTGGTAGTTCGCTTCGCATTCGTATGAAGTAAGAACTGGCCTTCGTTCTTAACGCGGAAAGTAAACCCAACAAAGACATGAGCAAAACACCACCATACATGTACTTTGTTTTGGATGATTTTTCCAGGAAGCATCAACTTCTTGACGGCAGATGGCACCAAGTTCTCCCACCCACTGCATCATCTAGGCAAGAGTGTCAAGGACCTGCCTCTGATTGCCATCGATAGCTTCAGGCACATGTACCTGCTCCCTAATATAGAAGACGTGGAGTAAGTGATTAGACATTAATTATTGACCTCAGCACATCCCTCATTTTGTGAACAGATTTAATATGCAGATCTCTACGTTTTTATTTTAAGGGAATTACGTGTACTGATTTGTTACAATTGCATTTCAGTGAGAATTGTACAGCTACTCTGGAAATCAGGGAAACTTTGAAAATGAATTTCCATTTTTCCAGTCAGGGAAAACTCAGGGAATTTGGGACAAAAAAACCCAGAAAAAGCAAGGACCACTCAGGGAATTGGACACTGACCAAGAAGGGAGAGGTTTTTACCAGTTTGGCATGTTTGCATCTTGTGCCATGTGTCCAAGTTGCGTCCATTGACTGACTGGCTATGGTGGCTTTTTAGTGTTTATGCAGTGTGAATATTATCAGCATCTTAGCTGCTTTGCTGCGACCACCTCTTGACTTCCCAGCAACCTCATTCAATTTAAAATGTTTCTCATGGAATTGTGGAAGTTTCTCCGGGAATTATCAGGGAAAACTCCGGGAATTTTGTTTTCATAAAGTACTGGGAATGCAGTTGTGAACTGCTTGCACAATAATCCTGTCAACAACGACAAAGATGCGAAAGACACTTGGTTGGCATTGCCTCTGCATGCCACGTTGCATATGTTGTGTCCTTGGGCAGGTCACTTTACAACAATTGCCCCTCTCCACCCAGGAATATAAATGGGTACCAGCATAAGGCACCTGGATTGGCATCCCAGGAATAGAAATATTTTCAGTCGTTTCAGGCCATGGAAACTGGAGGTAAATGCCGGCCTGATAAACCATATTGAATCTGTATAGATTTTTTTAATTAAAACCCTCCCTCTCTTGCTAAAAATTCAGCAGCGCCACAACAGCAGTCAAAATCAATCAAGTGTCTGTTTTTAACAGTTAAGAATCCCCATGTTAATGTGATATACATGTGTCCATGCTTTGACTGGAGGTGATTGATATGCCAGCTGTACCTACTACTTACCTCTTTTGTCTTTTGATGGAATTTGACTAGTCACAGTGGTTACACAAATTTGATTTGACTGTCTTTAACTATTCTGTAAAGGAATATCTGATGTTGTTTTTGGGGAGGGGTAGCCCACATTTTCTCCTTATAATATCTTATCAGAGTTCTGATAGTCATTCCTTTCTTTTCCCTCAGTGTTCCGGGAAAACTGAAGTCGTTCATACAAGACCTCCACTCAGGGAAACTTCACCGGGAATTCCACCATGGACCGGACAAGGAAACCCCCCAGGCCACGGTCCAACTCACGGCCGGAGGCCAGGCCCAGGCCCAGGACAAGAAACGCCCGACTGACCCCCCAGAGAGTACCTTTGTCAAACTCAAACCCAGCGATAATCGTTACTCATTCAGAGACGAGCTTTGAGGATTTGTCCTCAAACGACGCTCGTTTAATTACTGAAGGGAAAATAAAAAGGTGTCAAATGTACACATTTTAGGGTTTTAGCAAATTCAAAAAAATGATGTGGAAATCGGAGATATTTTTATCTGGGGTAGCTGTTTGAAATTGTTTTGGGTGTAATTATCTTTATAGTAATTGGTGTCGTTTGACTTCCTTTGTAGTTTAGATAGAGGTGAGTTTGAACATGTAGGAGTAGGTTGTTGGCACTGCGTATGTTGCACAAACTTTCTACCAAATTTTAATTCATTGAAACAAGTGATTTGGATCTGTTCACGTGTTTTTGAAAAGAATGGCTCTCTACAAGAACTGCATGTTGCAATGTCTTAACTACTTATGGTAATGTTGCGCACTGTTAGCACTTGAGTGCAAAGTTGTGGCCAAGTCCATCACATGCCAAGTCACAAGTCAATCACAAGTCAAGTCACAAGTCAATCACAAGCTTAATGATGCGTCAAATCCCAAGTCAATCACAAGTCCATCACAAGTCAAATCACAAGTCCATCACAAGTCCATCACAAATCAATCACAAGTCCATCCAAGCCCATCACAAGTCCATCACAAGTCCATCACAAGTCCATCACAAGTCCATCACAAGTCAAATCACAAGTCCATCACAAGTCAAATCACAAGTCCATCACAAGTCCATCACAAGTCCAGCACAAGTCCATCACAAGTCCATCACAAGTCCAGCACAAGTCCATCACAAGTCCATCACAAGTCCATCACAAGTCCATCACAAGTCAAATCAGAAGTCAAATCAGAAGTCCATCACAAGTCCATCACAAGTCCACCACAAGTCCATCACAAGTCCATCACAAGTCAATCACAAGTCAGATCGCAAGACAGATCGCAAGACCATCACAAGTAAGGTCAGAAGCAACGATGGATAAATAACACCAAAGGAATGCCACCGTCACAGTTCATTGTATTGGCTTGGGACTTGGTCAGGAACTGAAAGACTTGTGATTGACTTGTGTGACGGCTTGAACACAACTGGCTCAAAGCAAAAATCATAACGGAGTGCACACAACATTGCAATTGGTCTATCTTAGTAGCTAAACCGTTGTAGTGTCTAGCTTTGATTTGCTGTATACTAGAAATGCATGACCACAAATTCCTGCAATCAGATTCTTATGAAAATCTGAAGAGCTTATTTATTATCAGGCGTCAATGAGGTTGCCTAACTGGACGGTGTTTTTGCAATTACTATCAGAATAACAAAAGTAGTCAACCCTGTCAAGAAGTTCTCCCAGCTGAAAGGTTTTGAAATCAGATTTTGTTGTTATCTTATTTTAATAAATGCAATGGCAATAGTTACTTGTTGAAATATCATTTAGCAAACCTCGCATAACAAATATGACTGGATCTGAAAGTATATACATGTAGTCCTATTTAAAACATTTATAATGATGCGGTTACAAAACTGGAAAAGTTTAAGATTCCTAAATCAATTTCGAAAATTTGGTAAAACTTTGAAAGCATTTTGCAAAGATAGATGATGTGTATTCAATACATTGAAGAGAAGTCACATAGAGATTGCACTGTTTACTCTCCTGTTGAACATATTGCATTTATGCAGCCCTGTTGAACAGTCAATATTTTGCAGTCACCAGAAAGTTTGCAAGTAGTACTGGGGCACTAGGTTAACCTTTTTTGAATGTTGAAGATGACAAGAATATTGGTTTTAACCAGTTCGCGCCGGGATTATTTCGAAATTGACGGGACCCAGGCGCGGGAAAGTTTTTCACGAACCTGGGAATATTTCCGGCTCATGTTTTTTACCGATATTTATTAACTGCAATGCCAGTGCCTTTGTTTACAAACAACTGTAATACCTTGATTTAAAAAGCAAACCAAACCAAATTTGCATTGCCATTCCCAACCTAAGCTGCATTTTTATTGAGCATGTTAGTTGTGGAGTATGTTTTTCAAAATAATATTTTGTTTTCATTCTGTTTGGGTTTTTGTTTTTAGATTAGAAATGTCATTTTGGACAGCTACATAGTTCCATGGTTGATGATGTTTCATTGAAGTTCGTAGTTCAAGCTTGGGAAATTCCGTAGCATGTACCAATTTCCAATTTTTTTGTATTTCTTTTTTTTAATAAAGTTTCTTATACTGTAGCCAATAGAAAGAGAAAAAATCAATATGAAAGTATAAATATGTCCAAAAATGTATCATCAAAAATCCCCCCCCCAAAAAAGGGAATTGACTTTCAAAGTTATTGAAAACTTTAACCTGACCTCCCAAATTTTATTTTAAAAATTTCAATGAAATTCTGTCATTTCACTGCATGGCGGTGTAATAAACATTGCTGTATTTTGATTTTGAGTGTTTTTTTTTTTCGCAGATAAATAAAGGAAGTACATGTATTAACTCGTACCCACCGACCTCATGCGGTGAGTACGAGCGAAGTATAGATAACCCTGGTAAAAATTAAATGTGTTTTTTTTTTCTGTCGAAAATCTTAAATATGAATCTTAAATATGTTAATGTTGTAATGTATTTTATTTTCACAGTAGCTATGCAGCATGTAGCTATTTTCTAATGTTTCAAACTTAGCCATTAAAATATGAGCTAGTTTGTGTTCAATTCTTAATCATATGATCTACATTAAACAAATGATCCATTTAAAATGCTGCTTTTATTTAATTCTTTTGTTGGATTCTTGTTTGCTATGGAATAAACACATTTCAATAATTGGTCGGGAGTGTAAATTGTTACTGACATTACTGAGAGTTATTGTATGAACATTAATTTGAGAGATTTCTTACTTACTGCGCATCCCCCCTTGTGCGTTGGATAAAATCGAACTTGCCCCGCCCCCTCGATATTGAAGCAAATGTAACGATTGGTGGCGCTATCACATTTCAGCAGTTGCAACTGGTAAACGTTTGTCGAGTACCAGTACGCACAATGAGGATTCACTGTTGCTAAGGTGAATGTAAATACACTGTGCTGCCTGACATGTTTTTGTGTTGACATCGATCGGAAAAACCAAAAGAAATACCCGAAAGTGGGGATCAATATTTTTCCCTCTTGCCCAGAAATTCAATAAATCGAAGATGGATTTCGATGAGCACAATTCAGAAGGGCTGTCAAAGGATTCCTTCGCTATTTTCGTGGCTGAAGGAGACGTACTTTACAAGCAGGGAGAGTACAGAAAAGCGATGCAAAGTTACTCTGCAGTGAGTGGGAAAAGTTTCCAACTTTTTCAATAAGTTGCCAAATTAATTAGGCCTAAATGCTATTGCTAATTAATAGTGTTCATTTATTCATATTTGAAAGTAAACAGTAAAGAAAATGCTAAAAATAAATAAACTGTGCTGTTTCTCATTTTGTTTACAAATGGTTTTACTTGATCTTTGGAAAATATATTTTTTTTGTCAGCTTGTAACTCAACAATATTACAAATCAATTTTATGTCAATGACAGTGAAATAGTTCAGAGCACAGCAACACAGTCAGAGACCATGAGAGTTTGGGCCTAAGCCTAGAAAGTAGAAGATTTTTTTTACCCATGTTAATGGCTGTGATTTGTAAAGAACATTGATTGATCATGACCTTTACCGTGTGTTCACCTGTATGGTAATTTAATGTTTTTTTTGTTAAAATCTCAGAAATTCTCAAGTGTGAGGCAATTTTTTTTTTTTTTTTTTTTTTTTTTTGGGGGGGGAACAGTAGTTCCGGAAAAAATTCCATACTCGGACGTCACTTTTTTTCAATTAATTTTCTAGCGCCAAAAGTTACATCTTTTATGGTTATTCCTCCACTTTCCCTCCTCTACTCTCACCCTCTCCTTTCCTTAATTTCTATTTATTAATCAGTCAGTTACTTCATCGGGATTCGAACCTCTGACGCTTGCTTGATACACGAGACTCTTAACCGCTAGGCCGCGCACGATCGCTGTTGCAATCATCAATCTTTGGACGTATTTGAAGTAGCCATTGAAATAAACTAAATATTCATGAGAAAATAAATATTCATAATGACGTATTGAACTATCATTGGCAGGCTCATGCGACGTCATGGTTGTTGATGTCACGTGTATAACGTACCGCTGTCTTTTCAGCCACTACAATCAGTTTTGACCGGCTGCTTCAAGTTAGTTCTGCACGACGTATGCATCCAAAATGTGCTCTAAAAACACATTTTGAGTACATTTTTTTCACCTTTACACAGCTTCCTGGATTTCTTTTGGTTCAAATGACAAGGTGAGGTGACAATAAATATGTTTGGCAGCAGATAAATTGACATCCGAGTATGGAACTTTTCCCGTAGTTCCATGCAAGCTTAACCATGTTAACCCTAATTGCACATTATTTTTTGTCTTATAATTCAAGGTGAACTTGCATGTATATGTATTGGTGTCTGTGATTGAGTTGACTTTCTCCACAGCTTGAACAGTAGCATTCCTTTTCCAGTCAGTGATTCAACAAGCAGATGTCTCAGTGTGGTATTCGATGTATAGATTTGAAAGAAAATCAATGAGTTTATCCCAAAGAAATCAATTGAGGCTAAGAAGCAAACTGGCTTATGAATATTCATGAACGTGGACGTCGTTGCTATAGAGCTCCTCTGAGGGTAATGGGATTAACCAACTCCATGTTGTTTTTCTGATGGTGCCTGCCGATATTGGAACATCTGGTTCTTGCAAGAAAATTGTTGATCAAATTTCAGGCCAATAGAGTCAACAATTTATTAATCAAGCAAAATATAGGTGGAGACTTAGAATTGTGTGTTGTGGAGTTTTGAGCCTGTGTAAACTGGCAAACATATGAAGGATGGTACGTTGGATTAACACATGATTGCGGATGTTTTGGAGAGCGTCTTCGTCAAAGGAGAACTTTCATTCGGAGTTGTCGCAGGACAAATTGAACATTTTGAACACTACACCCCTGGTACTTTCTGAACAACTATAGAGTGAAGAAAGGCTTTGCAAAGGTGAACAGTTTTTAAAATCTTTGAGGATCGTAAAGTCGAGGAGTCATGGAGTACGTTGACCCAGCTCTGGAGAGAGAGGAACAATTGAAGTTGCTTCAGTCTTACATCGGGGAAGCAGAGGATCACATGAGGAAGAGGGACTACCAACGAGCCTTGGAGAGCTATAATCTTGTAAGGTTCTCTGGGTGGGCACATCAGCACTTTGGTTTGGAAAATGCTTGCACTACTCTGAGAAATAATGTGACATGTTCAGGCCTCTTGGTACAGGCCGCTACGTGTGTTTTCACTGTTGTGTTGGATAGTTGTGTATTGCACGACTCGGAATGGTTTTGTTGCACAGTGTGGACACGACATGCATCATTGTGTTTTTTGTTTGAGTTTGTTTATTTGTGTTTTAATCAGAGTTGTAATCTAGCCTATAACTATAACGGGTCGTGCTAAGGCCAAAAAAAAAAATTGTTCTGCTTCCGGTTTCCCTACCTACCCTATTCTGACAGCCCCTACCCTAATATTTTTTATTGGAAAAATGAGAAAAAACACCCAAAAGCATTAGTTTCTACCTTTTACTCTTGACTACACGCAGACGCCTCCATATGATCGTACACACAAAAATTACACAAAAAAACCAACAATTCCTACCTGCCTACCCTATTTTTGAATGCCATGTTATCGGAAGCTGAACAGTTTTTTGGGGGGGCTAATATTATTAAGCATCAACAAAAAGTGCCAACAAAGCGTCAACAAGTTGTAAAAGCACTTTTTAGCTTAAAAATTATGTTCAGTGGGCTCCTATGATTATTTCAAATAAGAAATATCACAATAATTTAAAAGTATCTAAAACTGTGCAATTTTGAAGCGAAAAAGTATAAAATTAATTATGTATTGGTAGGACCTGCCAATACTGGAAATATTGTGCTGCTGTGAGAAGTCTGTAATTAATTACTGATACATAATATGTGTGGTTTGAAATTAACCTATATTATGTACACACTTTTACAGTGGTTGCTTACATGTAAATTACTTGTTATTCCTACAGGCTCTGGAAATTGAACCATCCGACAAGAATTGCCTGGTAGCCCGCTCCAAATGCCATCTACAGCTTGGTGATTCCAAGGCAGCGCTGGAGGACGCCAACTCCTCACTCAGCGAAGATGATAAATACATCAAGGTATTGAGGAAACCTACATCTTGCATTAGCGTGTGTGGTTGAAGATTTTGTCTTTTTTGAAATTATTATTTTGTTGTTGTCTGGATCCAAGTAAAAATAACATTCTAAAACATCTGACACCAATTTGTGAATTGCAAGGAATTCAGTGGATATTGGTTTAGTGTGTTTGTGGTCCCTTGTATATGTCGGCCATTTTCCACAATAACTGTATTTCTCCAATGCAAATTTCCATCACAAAGTGAGTGTACAAGCTGTTACATATACAGAATTTGTTACTTTTTCTTATCAGATATCTCTGCAAGCCTCTTAACAATTCCATTTTTCCTCAAACAGTTTCAAGACAAAAGTTAAGTAGATAAGAGTAAATATGGTGTACCACTACATGCAGTGAGCCTTTTAAAACTGTTGTTTCTCAAAACCTGATTTTTTTTGGGGGGGGGGGGGGGTTAAAGTTATTATCGATTAATTAGGGCATATCACTAACTTGTTTGTGGATTTCACTTGGTTCCAAGTGTGGTTCAAGTGAACATTTTGGGTAATTTGGGTCCGTACTGTAATTGCTTAGCTGAACAACATTTGACGTCTTTTAACTGCAGGGATTGCTCCAGAAGGCCGAAGCCCTGTATCAGATGGGCAACTTTGAGTCAGCACTCATGTACTATCACCGCGGCAACAAGCTGAGACCAGAGCTGCAAGATTTCCGTCTTGGCATCCAGAAGGCGCAGGAAGCTATCGAGAACTCAGTCGGAAGTAAGTTGCTTCAAAGGACAGATAAATTCCCGACACTGCAAAATTTAATAAAAAGATGTGATGGGCATTGTAATATTTTTTTTTATGACTACGACTTCTAGGTTGCGGTAGTGAAACTCAAAAATTAATCATTGAGCTCACCGAATGCTGTTATTATACTGTATGAGTGACTTTAAAATATATGCTGCAATATTTTAACTTCAACTTCTTTCGTACATGTATGAGCAGTGATTATGGTAGAAATTTTGAAATTACGTTTCTGGCATTCTCTCACAATTTGTGTGAGAGGAAGGGTTTTACATCTGTGTTTCTGTATCACCATACAAACTTTAACAATATTCTATTATAACATATTTACATTTTAAAAAAATAAGTACAGAAGTGAAGTGAATAATGGGCCTTAGGCCCCCCCAAAAAAGTCTCCGGTTTCTGGTATGGAGCTTGCCCAAAAAGTGGTGCGGCGACGCGGCTTTTTTTTTTTTATACCTGATTTTTTTGCTTCAAATGTCGGCTGATGACTGCAAATGGTGCCCGACTAAACTTAGTGCAAATATGTGGGAGTCCAGAGAGGCCACATAAGGCTTATTCTCGACCATAACCCAATCTAAAAACACGTTAAAATTGTGCAGCAGCAGGATTCCAGTCAAACCAGTGAGTTTGGCGGTTTTGAGACATCACCTTTCATTGAAAAAAAACCTTTTTCATTTTGCCGACGTGCATGGCTACGGCGACGCGCGTGCATACCAGAAACCGGAGACTTTTTTTTTTGGCCTTATGCACAAGTTGGCCATTTTTGTCGTGTTCCCTGAATTTATTTCATAAATTGTGAGCTGTTGAATGGGAGGGTGCCAGACTATGATATTCAGTATAGCCTGACTTTCATTTTTGATTTAAATGTGGCTTAAAACATAAGAGTGTGGTTAATCACAAAATATATTTATTCATCAGAACAGACTGGTATTAATTTGTAACGTCATTGCTCTCATTTCTCTACACAAGTTCCAAAAAATGAAGATTTTACCTCGCTATCAATCCAATATGGCCGACTCGTGAATAAGGCCCATAGCCTTTGACTTACTGAAGTAGAATTTTTTTTTTATGAAGTCACAGTAATTCTGAATTTGGCGTTTTGTTATTTTAGGTCCATCAGTTGTAACGCTGGAAGCTATTGGAGATTTATCACACTTTCACAAACAAGATGAGGTCAGTATTTCATGCCCTCTTTGTTTAAAAAAAAATCACATTTTGTTTTTGTTTTTTACAAATTTCTTGCTTAATCTCTCTTTTTTTCACCTGATGACAATATTGGATTCTTATGAACTTAATCTTCTGTTAAATCCACTTTGAAGTTACGAAACTACTTGCTGATTGCAAATTTGTGGCATTCAAAAATGTACATTACAATTATATAATTGACCGTTAAGTGTGGTTTATTGTGTAACATTATGAATTAAACAAATTATACAATGTCTGAATTTTTTTTTAAAAAATTAATTTTTTACATTTTTTTTTTTGGGGGGGGAGGCATTTACTGTTGCTTATATTCAGTCGTGTTCTACCTACATGGTTTAATGTTTTAATAAAGTTTCTTTTAATAATATTTCTGTTTATTCACACTGTAAAATTATAAATTGAATGAACTTCAATTTTCACAGAGTAAGACAAAGAAAGCACCACGGATGGGCTACAGCAAGCCAGCCACCAAACAGCAAGACGACAAGAAGAAAAGACGGCAGCCCAAGGCAGAGAAATCAGACAAGGAAAAAGAGACAACAAAACAGCTGCTCGGAGAGCTGTACGCTGACAAGATCTTCCTGGATAAACTGCTCAAAGATGAAGGTCAGTAGTCTGGTCACTTTGGAGTTGTATGACTCAAGTCCAGGATGCTCACTCGAGTCTTGAGTCACAATTGTGGTGACTCGGAAACGATTTGAGTCACGCTGACAAAGTCTCAAACTGAGACTCGGATGTGACTATTATGACACAGTCTTGACACTGAGGAATTGTGAGTCACAAGTCACATTTTCTTTGCACTTTTTTACCAATATTTAAAAACACAAAATATGTTAATGTCTGGGAAAAACATCCATCTCACTTGACATTTATTTGAAGTACATATATAGGCTCACTAGTGTTGTTGAATTCTTTGATAATGTATGTATTCATATGTATCCCTTCAAATCAAACAAGTGACTCTTGACTCGGACCAAATGACTAGTGACTAGGACTTGGACTCAAACTAGGTAACTCAAATACAAGTAAGGATAATATAAATTATAGTAGTGCTCACCGGTATTTTTTTGGACACATTTTCTGACTAGTTGTGTCCTTCTTCAGGACATTTGTTGCAACTTTGCTGTTGTTTTATTTTTTATGAGAGATTTTGATGTCAAAATCTGTACATACTGAAATCTGTTTTTGTTTTGTTTTAAAATAGTTCACGTTAAGTATTTTCAAAAAGTTGAACGAAGAAATGGACTGGGGCAAGGTTTGAACCTGCAACCTCCGGATTACTGTACTGATGCTCTACCGACTGAGCTATCCAGCCCTATGTTGGAGGCTCCCCAGTTTTTTCAAATGTCTTTGTCATCCATATTGGGTTTAGTCCTTGATAACCAATGTAATTTTTATCAGCACTCAGTACTCAATGCTGTCCTAAAACTTGTAAGAAAAATCTCAAGCTTGCTTGGATGAGACCTGAACCCGCAACCTACCGGTTGCTAGTGCAGATGCCTTTTGTCTTGAGTACATGTTGCTGTAACTTCCTATGTAATTATTCCCCACTTCCTTTAATCAGATCTGACGAGTATGGACACAGACAGCGGCAACCGTATCTACGACCTCGTCAACCAGGGCATCGACTACCTGGACACGCGGACGGAGTTCTGGCGACAGCAGAAGCCCATGTACGCCCGCAAGCGAGAGAAAGATATGGCCAAAGGACAGCGGGATAAGAACAAGTCCAAGCCGTCCGATCCGGCCAAGTATGTGCTCAAGAATCTGGAGGAGATTGATGCAGGTGGGTTGTTTAACGTTGCTGATATGGTCTGCAAAATGTGGTTTTTGAATGTGTTCCCTTCAGTTTTGTGTTTACCTGTTGTTTTTATTCTCTTTGTTTCTGATTGGTATATGGTATTGTTGTTGTGTTCCAAACTCTTGTTTCATTGTGCTTCTGATTATTGTCTCGAATTGTTTAGTTTTTTGTGACAACTTCTTTGGATTTTTTTTCTCGTATCTTGCCAATTTTTTTTGCCATTATTGGATATTTTCTGGTAAGGCTCTGAAAATCCATGAGGACGTTTAAGCCGTTAGGGTGCTCTGCCAAGCATAAAACAGTTGCGTGCTGTTCGAAACAAAGGTTTGAGTCGATCTGCACACATTGAAGTCATGGCTCTCAATAAGAAGCACTTTCCTTGTTTGAAACTTAGCGTCTTGTGCAGTTGGTGACAACATTACAGCGATTTTTTCTTCATCAATCTTATTTCTGTCACACTTGCAGCTCTAGCTGACGGCAGGCCCAAGGAAGCTCTCAAGCAAGCCCAGAAGGTCTTGAAGACAGTCGAGAAGTGGCGAGACGAGGATGTTCCCGACAAGCAGGAGTTCCTGTCCAATCTACACAGCTCCCTGGGCAACGCTCACCTGGATATGGGCAAGATGGGCGAGGCTTTGGAGCATCATCGCATTGATCTGCAGATCTCTAAAGAAAAGTGAGCTCTCTTGTGAAATTGTTTTGCCCCATTTCCCCATGGCAAAAAAATGGCTGTTCTCTAGGAGCTGGTATTGAACTGACTTTAAAGGGGCACTGCGTCCTATTTTAGATTGTTTACTAATTTCACACATTTCAACTGTTCCCGAGAAAAGACGTATAATTTTTGGGGTCGCAAAAGTAGACCCAGAAAGTCATTCTCGCATATATTAACACAAGAATAACATCCAGTTTTTAAAGGATAGTTGTGTGGATGTTTATATCCTACTTTTAAATGGTCTTTCCGATTAACAGCTTTTCGTTCAAAGTGCGTTTTGTAGCTCAATTGAGCTTATTCCAGGATGCGGTGTCCTTTTAAGAAATTTGAAAAAAAGTCAGTGACAGATTGAAATGTTGCCAGAATTTATGCCTTTGTCTACAGATCTTTAATAAAAAAGTTTCTTGTCAAAAAGGGCAAAGTCTCTGCCACTGTGAAATGTTTCCCCATTGCAAAATCAGTGTGAATGTGTTGCCAGATGTTGCTCTTTGATCCTTCTTTCTTTAATCAGACTTTATCCCATAACTTCTAAGACTTTTGGGTGAAATGAATTTTTTTTCTTCAGAAAGTGTCCAGTTTTGGCATGGGGCTGTCGCCAAAAAAAAATGTAATTCAATTGGAACTTCTACGAACAACCTTTGATTAGAAGAGACTTCACATGGTGTAATTGGCAAACTTCTTCCAAGTTTACCTCAACCATTGCAATGTCTCAAGTTGTATTAAACTGGGCTACACTTCTCTGCAGCTCATTTGGAAAATGGACTCTGGGCGTTTTCGAAACGACTGGCTTTGGCTTCATCTTCAGCTTAATGACATTTTAGGCCCCGACTTCAGGAACTCCAGCTGCATTTTGGTGCCCGTTATGCTTCAGGAACATTCAATCAGTTGATATGAAGACAAAAGTTGGAACATTTTTGTTTAGTTTGCCACTCAGTGATTCAGAAGTCGGAAAAATCCAAAGGCGAGGCAAAGGTTTCGAAAACCCCTTATGACAATAGAGTCCCTGGCAGGATCCATTACATGTTTTATTTTTGGGAAAATTTTGACCAAGTTGGGTCCGTTTTGGGTCCCACAAAATCTTACAACTTGGATTTGGTCTCCACAACTTCAAAACAAATATGCTTTGGATATGAATTTTTGGAAAAGGGATGTAGTCAAAGGTAAACGCAAAGTTTCATTCTTGAAACTTTCTCTCTCCCAACCCAGTGACTTTGAAGACGGTAAATCCCGAGCTCTGGACAACCTGGGCCGCGTCTACGCCCGAGTTGGCAAATTCGACCAGGCCATCGAACATTGGAAGGAGAAACTCCCCTTAGTGAAGTCCACCCTGGAAGCGACGTGGCTCTACCACGAGATCGGCCGCTGTCACTTGGAGCTCGGGAACCACTCCGAGGCTCATGATTTCGGCGAGAAGAGCTTGCAAGCTGCGCAGGACGCGGGAGATGACGTCTGGCAGCTGAATGCTAGCGTGCTTATCGCTCAATCCGAAGGTAAGCTCAGAGTCCAACTTCATGTAGCTGTTAAGCAGAAAATAAATGCGACATTTTGGTCAATTAAGTCATTCACATGCTTCTGAGAGAAACATTAGCTCTAACTTTATCTTTGTAATCTTTCAAATTTACGCTTGTCAACTACCTGGGGAAAAAAAGTGTTGATGCATGATGCTTCTTGATGTTTCAATAAAATGCACGCAAATCCTGATTTCGCGCAAGAACTACTGTTGACCAATGGTTAACCATAGTTTGACTATAAAGTTAGCCCGAAGTCTGTCTCGTGGACAGTGGTTGACTACGCTAGTCGACTATTTGGAACCAGCCTACAGCGGCTCGATTTATAGCTGGTTATCAATAGCACTTTCCATAGCATAGTGCAGAGGGAACCAACTATAAACAAAAATGGCGGAAAACGAAACTGCGAGCGCTAACTTTAATTTTCATTGCACAGTTTTTCCATGTTAGTTTACGATTATGTCACTTTTTATCTCCATTATAAAATAAAATTGGTGATTATGTAAAATGTCCTAAACTACACAATCACTATTATTGTGTAAATAAAGAGAAACAAGAGTTGAATAATTGTGTGACTGCCATTTTTTGACGGTCATTGACATGACAATAGTTCTATGCTGGCACGTCGCACATTTGAAATTTGATCGGGGCGTTGTGAAGAGTAAAAATATTTGATCGATTCCAAGTTTGCATAACTGAATACTAAATTAATCGAAAAATACCCAGCACTATGGTTGCCAACCATTATCTTGTTTGTTCCCATTCCTTTCACAGTCAAGCTCGGGGACCTCCAAGACGCCATCGAGTCCTTCGAGCGTGCCCACGAGATGGCCACGGTCCAAGGCGACGAGCCGGCCCAGCGAGCCATCTCCAAAGCCCTGGAGGAACTGAATCAGAAGATAGTCCAGGGGATCCGAGATGGAGACAACAGGCGAGCCGACGATGAGGAGGAGGGTCGGGGGAAAGAGGAGCAGAAGGAGCAGAGCAAGGAGGAGAAGGAACCAGAGAAAGTGGAGAAGGAGCCAGGTTGGTAGTATTCTTGTTTTATTTTTTCAGAAGAAAAATATCAGGTCCGGGTACTGCCACGTTGTGTGAGGTTAACATTAGCAATTGGTATTCATGTATCCCTGCATTCATCTTGGAGTATCATGGCCTAGTGGTTAAGAGCACCGGACTCATACTCTGGTGTTTCAGAGGCAACAGTGGCGTGGGTTCGAACCCCCCGGTTGGACACTTGTGCCCTTAAAGGGAAAATACGACATTTGCAAACATCAAAAAATAAAACTACCAAATCATTTTGAAATACCTTGCTGGACTGTTAGTGAATGACAGTGTAAAGCATCCCGTAAAATCATGGCACCTGGTATACTGTCATTTTCAAGAAAAGTGGTATTTTTGTATCAATTTCCAACGCTGATCGGCCGATCAGCGTTGGAAAAAACTGTGTTTTTTTCTTCAAATACTGGCCCCAATTGACCATCGCACTTGTTTGCAATCGATTACACACCTATGAACGGGTACAAGCCAGCTAGACTGGTTCCCTGACCTTACAATTGCCCAATGTATGTAAACTGCTGTGTTTCTTCTTATATGGAGTCAGGGAACCAGACTACAGGAAAATGATTGTTTTCCTTGGTTTTTGTAACATTTTCGAACCCAAAACCTCAAAAAAGTCAGTGTAACTATTTTTGCTATATATTTCCAACCCCCCAATTCCATCCATTTCTGAAAATTACAGTAAAAGCAAATGATGTATATTCCCTTTAAGCAAGGCACTTAACCATTCGCAATTTATCAGAAAATGTATAGAAAATGTAAAAAAAAAAAACATGTGAGGCTTTCATCTGGTATGCAAAGGAGCAAAACAAGTATTAAATGCGAGAGATGATTTTCCATCCCGCACCAGGGGACTTCCGAATGTTGCATGATTGTCCCTTATCACTGTTCTCTCTGTGGCTGTGAAAGTACATTGTGACCAAAATCAAACACTTGAAACGTTGGTTATGACCACAATAATGCTGGTTAAATTGCAGTGGATAGATATTAATATGCAAAGAGGAAAATCTCGTGTCGAGCTGCTGATTCGGCGGCCGACCTGCAGCTACGTTTTATTTGCAAACTTTACCAAAACTTGAGGAGAGTATGCAGATATACTACGTGTGTGTGAACGTGTCATCTCTAGTAGAGGTTCTAAGAATAACTAGGGTTTAAAAACTCTTGAAAAGTTATGTCTTGCAAATTTGGTTTGTACCAGAGGGTCGTACATTGGCTATGATCATGATGATAGGTCCACAACAAAAAAGGGATTTGAAATTTGTCTCTAAAAAAACTTGCCCTGTTTAGAGGAGGAGGCACAACAGGAGACAAAAGAGGACGATTATGAGGACCAGTTTGAGGAAGATGAAGACCAGAAGAGTCAAGGAAGGCAAAGTGTGCAAGGTTAGCGATGATCACATCATCATCATCGCCATTCTTCTCATTAATCATCCTCACCAGCCACGTCAGTTCATTCATCATGGTTTCAGGGAACTGTGAACAAATATCTTCCAATGGTCTTTTTTTCCTCTTGTTGACAACCCCTATTTTCCAAATAACTTGCTTTTTGAAATGTTCTGGTTTGACTACTGCTGGTTTAGTTCAGAATGCAACTTTTGCACAGATCTTTTTCTTCTCCACAGACACTTTATTTGTGACTTGGTTATTTAAAAAAAAAAATGGGATGCCTTTTTTTCCTGTCCCTGTTACGTCTGACATCTACGATTTTATAATTCTGATGCACTCCTTAATGCAGTCATTTTCAAACTACTTACCGACAACAAATAAAACAGAAAGTCTTAATTATATTTGAATGGCAAAATACAAAGTACCAACGTAACCATGGTAACAGGGACAGGAAAAACGTCACACTTATACGACCCTGAATTTATAGGATGAGCCAACTTCAAATCATTGCCATTGAAAACTGAATGCAGATTGAAACTCTTGAGCAGATCAAATTATTTTTTTCAATTTAAACCGTTCAGTTAATTCAGTTTTTGACTGACATCTTTTCTTGTTTTGTTGTCTTTTCCCGCTTCATGATTTTCCTTCTGTATTCCACTTTTTGCTTTGAAATGAAAAGAAACTTGTCAAACCTCTTTTCACACTTCCATTAAATTTCAGGGCTGCGAGTCTGGTGAATCTACATAACAAAAATTAAATTGTCAATACAATCTCTTCTACATCTTTTGCAAAAATAGTGTTTTTTCAATTCTATTCTAACATTTTTCGTGGGATTCTTTTGGTGAAGTCAGTCCACTTTTAGTGCATGGTGAGGCTCACGTTTTTTTCACAATACTTTTTTCTGTACACTTTTAACTATTGATTTTCCTCTATTTACAAGCTGTCCTCTCGTTTTCCCATCATAAGGTCATTAACCATATCCATGTCCTATTAAAGTTCAAAACGTACCCTATTTTTGTGGAGGTGAAACTAATCGTAAAATTCTGGTATTAAGACTCCTGACCTGCAGTTATTTTAAAAAACTAATTTGTTTCTTTTGCAGCTAGTTGTTCCCCAAAATGCCACAGGTGATATATCGAGCATTGTAAAGAATAAATGTACTGTTAGAATAATCATAATTGCCCACTAAAGTTTTTTTTTGAGACTCTAACACAGTTCCCAAGTGTTTTCTGATGAAATTGATTGCTTAGCTGTGTCGATAACTTTACCCCCACCCTCAGAGGTGCCACAGGAAACACAGGCAGAACAGCAGGAGGAACAGCAACCACCTGAACAGCAGCAGGAGCCAGCTGTTGTCGAAGAAACAGGTACCTCATTGGCTGTCCGGTGGAGGAATTTAACACAGCTAACAAAACGCGGAAAATTGTTCTTAGTTTTTGACAGGTGTTTTTCGAAATGTTGTTCCCAGACATTTTAGTTGTACCACTTTAAGTGGAGTTTCACTTCACCCATTTTTAACTTGACTGTTAACATAACTCGACTTGAAACGGCGTTTGATTTATTGAATAAGGGACTCTATTAAACCCCACGTTAACCCGACAGAAAAAAACACAACTTATCGCTGTTCCCACTTGTACAGTTTTCATGATGCAGCACCAAGCACAAATTTGACTTTTTCCCACAGTAAACGTGATAAGCATGTTGGTCCTTTCCCTGCCAAGCATGTCCCATCAGTTCAATTTCCCCAAAGTAACCACTCAGTGTCCCTCTGTTATAGAGTGCCAACATTCATGGAAACTCTTCGCCGGCTTTTACAAACATGACACTTTTTGTCAGCCTTACTTAAACGACAGCTAATACCGGTACCTGTAAAATACAAAGGAGTAGTCCTCCGAAAATCTGTAACTGATCCAAATCGTAACAAATTCAAAATCAAAGGTCAAGACAAAAAGTCAGCATCATCATCTAGCGCGTCTAGCGTGTCCAGTGAGAAGCATGAGGATGCACCAGCGGAAGACATTCCCACTGAGATAGATGCTCAGGAAGGCACTGCCACTGAGACTGACGCCAAAGAAGGCCCTGTCGCTGAGACGGTCCCGGAACAGGAAATTGAGGATGTAACAAAAGACAGTGATTCTGAGAAGGAAAGCGGTGAGCATGGAATACAATCCATGTCTGGTATCCAGCAGCACACCATATCATCTGCACCGCTCGGCGGAAAGGGTCTCTGACTTAATGCGCATAAAAAAAAAAATCATTTTGCAACAATTCATTTTTCTTTTAATTGATAGACAGGTCAGCCATATCATACCATATAATCATTCATGACATATCTGTTTTATGGCAGGCATACTCACTGATGATACATATTTCTTATCTTTTGAACAAAAATAACCAGCATGACATGCTAACCAATAGCAAATTTCATGGGCTGCATTATTGAAACCTTGGAACAAGAATTGCTTATTATCCATGGTGTTCTTGGACAAGACACTTTACTTCAATTGCCTCTCTCCACCCAGGAGTTTAAGGGGACACCTGTGAAGGTAGAGACCAAATTGCGCTGATCTCGAGCTGCTGTAGACAAAAATGGTCTCATTCCTGATGAACAGGGATAATAATTGTAAAGCGCTTTGAAGCCTTGGGTATCACATCACATTATTGCTGTAATTATAATTGCACTGAAAGTATTAGTTAAAAAGCTAGATATGTGTGCTACATACACTTGTTGCAGGTTCTTGTGATTGGTCATTGTTTTAAGGGAAATCAAATGAAAGAAAGACAAAACTTCATACACGCATCATTAATTTTTGACATTCATATCGCAGCACTTTCTTCAAAGCATCTGTCATTTTTTGATGGCTTCCATGAAGTAGCTATGTTTGTGATGATATACTGCTTTTGTCAGAGTAGTTACGGTTGTTATCCAGTCAGTAACAGGACAAATCATAAGGCAGGTCGCAAAGTAACAGCTAGTGGACGAACAGTAACAAAGAAATGCCTATGTCACAGTTAACCTGCGTGTGACAAACGTGTCACGACTTCAGACTGGATGTTCATGTGATTGACTAGTGACAACCAGGCTCTTCACCGATTTTTGTTTCATTGTCATAAACTGTGCATGGGGCGAGGGCTCTCGCATCCGCTCATATATACCATATATGTGTTCGATACACGAGTCCAAGTACTCAGTAAATATGTCTGTGCCTTCTTTTGCATTTAACAAGCCATGTTTTTGGGTGTCAATTGCTACATGGTGTTCATTGCTACATGTTCATTGTACACCAAGCATTTCCAAATTTCATCTTCAAATTTGTTCAATTTTAGTTGTCATTAGCTCACTGCTCATATTGACTAACCTGCTCACTAACGTCAATTCATTTATCGTTGCTAATATGGTTTTTTTTGCAGCTGGCTACAGCAGGAAAATCATCTTTGAAAGCTTTAATCTGGTATTTCATTCTGTGTTTTATGATGATTCTTGCTTATTCAGCTGTTATAGTTGCTTTGTGTTCTATTTCTGCTTTCGGAGCAAAGTCCAAGACAGATGTTGTTACTGGCGCATTTTGTCTAGGTTTTTTTTTCCATGCACTTGAGCGATCTTTGTTTCTGGCAAATGGATTCTCTGCAGAAATGCTATCACATCTATCATGAAGGCCCCCTTCAATGGGAAAGGCATTGTGCTAGCTATTGTTCAAATAACCCGTCGCGAGGCAGTTGCTTTGCACAATGGTTTCTCCATTGAGAGGGGCCTCGTGAGTTTATAGTGATCACGAGCCGGGATTCGTCTGTGGTGGTTCTTTTTTTAAATGTGATTTTTATTTTGTGGCCTCACAGATCAAGCGAAGGAAGTGGAGGACGAAGTCACGGGAGGAGACAAGGACGTCCCAGAGGAATCCAAGAAGGAGCGACGCGGCTCTGGATCATCCTCAGATTCATCCAAATCATCCAAATCATCCAAGTCATCCAAGTCATCCAAATCGTCCAAATCATCCAAATCTAGTAAGAGTGATTAAATTGATCATCCATCCTCAAATCTGTCACGATCTGTACTATAAAGTATTTGTCTTATGGAGTGTCACTGTATTTAATGCTTACAGTGTGTACATAGCCCTTTTTTTGTAAGTTTTAAGAATGAATTTCGAATGAGATCATGTATTTTGGTTTTGCCATTCCTCCAAATTCCTTTTGGGCTTCGTCTTCTTTCTTTATCAGCATTGCCTGCACATTGCTGATTCTGTGGTTATTTAACTATTTAGTAAATATTGACGTTTTCCGTTTTGCATAATGCAGATTAAAGCAGTACCGTATGCCTCAATTTCACGCAACGAAATTGAGGCTTCAGTTTTTGTCAACAGCGGCAAAAACTTATCAGTTTTCACAGCTCTGTGACTTTTGGCTTGTTACATCAGAAAGCACTGTAGTGACACAGTGAAACATTTCTTCAGCAGCCAATGAATGTATTAGATATAGAGTGTGTTATACATTGTAGATGGTAAAAGTTAACTTTTCTTGAAGTTATCCGTGTTATGTGAAAACTCAAATATTCCAATAATTAGTGTAACCAGTTAACGTGGTTACCGGCTCTATTGTGTTGCTCCATCATATATTCAAAGCCTACTTGTTATATTATTATACATGTAGTACATGTATACCATTTACATTTTGAAACGAACATGAAATGTTGCAACATGGGTCAATTAAATATAGTTACACTTGCTAAGGATCTTATGATAATTTATTCCAAATAATTGCTTCCAATCCAAAAAGTACACTATTTTTCAGACAGTTCTTGCGTGAAAAATTTCTTTAATTTTGCATAGCACAGAGATTCCAGTGGAAATACAACAGAATGACGTCCATGTCCATGTATATATGCTCTTAAAAACAGCTGTAAAAAAAATGGTTTAGTTATAAATTATGTTCCTTGCAGTTACAAAAGGATTGTTTAATAGCTCTTCAACACTGATTGAGATTTGTAGAGTAATTGGTTACATGTACAGAATATCATTCATTTTTCAAATGCTTGATAAGTACATGAAAATCGAGTACAAAATGCCGCTTTATTAAAACCAATTCAACATGTGTTCAAATATGAAGGCGATAAAATTTGTTTCACATATATGCAGACTCTGCATATTATGTTTCATAATTGAAGGTAATGGTTTCTTGCACATTAGGAATTTAAATACAATGAAAGTTTGGGTTTTGGGTTTTGTAAAATATTACCAGTGTTTTAAGTAACTAAAATTACTTCCCATGATACCGTCCACTAGTGTATAATAATACATGTATAAACCATTTGTACTGAAAGGTGTGCAGTCGGTTCATTTTTCAGAATAAAATATTCTTTTTCCGTGTACGTTCAGGAACATTTGTCTAATTGATTGCAAAAATGGATTGGTTTTTAAGTACATTTTCAACATGCAATTCATCATTTGGGAATCCAAACAAAAAATATAAAAATAAACTTTCATCATTTTTTAGTTCATCTTTTTCCAATAGGAATGTCCAGAAATTCTTATTGTGCGCATTAAACAAAATTAACAGAGATGACATTTGTTACAGATTTATACAAATTATCTGCACAATTTTTGTTCTCATTGCACTTACCTTAATTGGAAAATAATACTTTACTTGAAGTTTCTTTCCATTCGTGAAATATTTTGTGCAAATCTTGATCGTATGCATGAAATGATTGTAGAATCTCGTGAGAGGAATTGTCATAACCAAAATACCATCTGAATTGAAGTTATTAAGATATAACTGGATGATAGCACACTGAATCTACTGTTGATCCTTCAACCGTGAAGACATTATCTGGACGATAAAAACACCAATGTTACCTCCATATAGGAAACAGCTTTGTGAAAACCTGAAACGAAAGAACAATTAAAACAAAATGTCAAGTTGTGAACTTTTCAACCTGCCAGCTTTAATAGCAAATTTCACTGGATGTTATTCATTGAAAAACCTGAACAATAAGCCTCTGTACTAATGAGGACACGCTTTGTTTACGTGTGTGCTTTCCTATGGTGCTCAGTGGACCGTGGGCCTTCACTGGCTCCATAGGAAAGTGCACATGTAAGCAAAGTGTGACGTCATTAGCACAGAGGCTGCTAAATATAACATGTAACATGTACCTTAATATCTTTAGTCGTGATGGATGTAAAGCTGTACTCCAAGTTTACTCGCAAATGGCGACGCCAGACTTTGTTCCTTTCTATAGTCACTGTTCCGTCGAGTGTGTCTCCTTGATCTACGGTGATTGGGCTATCCATCATGAACAATGTTTGCTTCCAGTGTGTTAGTCTTAAGTGAAAAAAAAAAAATATGACAGAAAATTTAAATGCAGATGAGTATCAATCGGACTTTTTAGAAATACAAATGTCCTTAAAAAAACATGGTAATTTATACATCGGGCCATAATTTGACACCAGGTAAAGTTTATAAAAATACAAGGTAAACACCTTACTATTTGATTGAAATATCCATTTCTAAGAGAATTCAGATTTTAGCTCAAATTTTACAAAAGTACAAGGTTAACCCCTTACTGTTTCAATGAAATTTGAGCCAAAAACTGGCTTCTTTGAGAAATTGACATTTCAATCAACTAGTAAGGGGTTAACCTTGTATTTTTTATAATATTTGAACCAAAAAAAAACTGAAGTCTCTTAGAAATGGACATTTGAATCAAAAAGTAAGGGGTTAACCTTGTACTTTTATAAAATTTGAGCCAAAAACTCAATTCTCTTAGAAATGGGCATTTCAATCAAATAGTAAGGGGTTAACCTTGCATATATTCGTACAATTTGAGCCAAAAACTCAATTTTCTGAGAAATGGACATTGAATCAAATAGTAAGGGGTTAACCTTGTACTTTTATAATATTTGAGCCAAAAATTGAATACTCTTAAAAATGGACATTTCAATCAGAAAGTAAGGGGTTAACCTTGCATATTTGTACAATTTGAGCCAAAAATTTAATTATCTTAGAAATGGACATTTCAATCAAATAATAAGGGGTTAACCTTGCATATTTGTACGATTCGAGCATAAAACTCAATTTTCTGAGAAATGGACATTTCAATCAAATAGTAAGGGGTTAACCTTGTATTTTTATAAAATTGGCCAAAAATTGAATTCTCTTAGAAATGGACATTTCAATCAAAAAGTAAGGGGTTAACCTTGTACTTTTATAACATTTGAGCCAAAAACTTAGTTCTCTTAGAAATGGACATTTCAATCAAAAAAGTAAGGGGTTAACCTTGTACTTTTATAATTTTTGGCCAAAAATTAAATTTTCTTTTAAAATTGACATTTCAATCAAAAAGTAAGGGGTTAGCCTTGCATATTCATACAATTCAAAAGTAAGGGGCTAACCTTGTACTTTTATAAAATTTTGGTCAAAAATTTAATTTTCTTTTAAAATTGACATTTCGATCAAAAAGTAAGGGGTTAGCCTTGCATATTCATACAATTCAATAGTAAGGGGTTAACCTTGTACATTTATAAAAGTTGAGCCAAAAACTCAATTTTCTGAGAAATGGACATTTCAATCAAATATCGGTAGTAAGGGGTTAACCTTGTACTTTTATAATATTTTAGCCAAAAATTGATTTCTCTTAAAAATGGACATTTCAATCAAAAAGTAAGGGGTTAACCTTGCATATTTGTAAAATTTGAGCCAAAAATTTAATTCTCTTAGAAATGGACATTTCAATCAAATAATAAGGGGTTAACCTTGCATTTTTGTACGATTTGAGCCAAAAACTCAATTCTCTTAAAAATGGACATTTCAATCAAATAGTAAGGGGTTAACCTTGTACTTTTTATAAAATTGGCCAAAATTGAATTCTCTTAGAAATGGAAATTTCAATCAAATAATAAGGGGTTAACCTTGCATATTTGTACGATTCGAGCATAAAACTCAATTTACTGAGAAATGGACATTTCAATCAAATAGTAAGGGGTTAACCTTGTACTTTTTATAAAATTGGCCAAAAATTGAATTCTCTTAGAAATGGACATTTCAATCAAAAAGTAAGGGGTTAACCTTGTACTTTTATAACATTTGAGCCAAAAACTCAATTCTCTTAAAAATGGACATTTCAATCAAAAAGTAAGGGGTTAACCTTGTACTTTTATAAAATATGAGCCAAAAACTAAATTCTCTTAAAAATGGACATTTCAATCAAAAAGTAAGGGGTTAACCTTGTACTTTTATAACATTTGAGCCAAAAACTCAATTCTCTTAAAAATGGACATTTCAATCAAAAAATAAGGGGTTAACCTTGCATTTTTGTACGATTTGAGCCAAAAACTCAATTCTCTTAAAAATGGACATTTCAATCAAATAGTAAGGGGTTAACCTTGTACTTTTTATAAAATTGGCCAAAAATTGAATTCTCTTAGAAATGGACATTTCAAACAAAAAGTAAGGGGTTAACCTTGTACTTTTATAACATTTGAGCCAAAAACTCAATTCTCTTAAAAATGGACATTTCAATCAAAAAGTAAGGGGTTAACCTTGTACTTTTATAAAATATGAGCCAAAAACTAAATTCTCTTAAAAATGGACATTTCAATCAAAAAGTAAGGGGTTAACCTTGCATATTCATACAATTCAAAAGTAAGGGGTTAACCTTGTACTTTTATAAAATTTTGGTCAAAAATTGAATTTTCTTTTAAAATTGACATTTCAATCAAAAAGTAAGGGGTTAGCCTTGCATATTCATACAATTCAACAGTAAGGGGTTAACCTTGTACATTTATAAAAGTTGAGCCAAAAACTCAATTTTCTGAGAAATGGACATTTCAATCAAATACCGGTAGTAAGGGGTTAACCTTGTACTTTTATAATATTTTAGCCAAAAATTGATTTCTCTTAAAAATGGACATTTCAATCAAAAAATAAGGGGTTAACCTTGCATATTTGTAAAATTTGAGCCAAAAATTTAATTCTCTTAGAAATGGACATTTCAATCAAAAAGTAAGGGGTTAACCTTGCATATTTGTACGATTCGAGCATAAAACTCAATTTACTGAGAAATGGACATTTCAATCAAATAGTAAGGGGTTAACCTTGTACTTTTTATAAAATTGGCCAAAAATTGAATTCTCTTAGAAATGGACATTTCAATCAAAAAGTAAGGGGTTAACCTTGTACTTTTATAACATTTGAGCCAAAAACTCAATTCTCTTAAAAATGGACATTTCAATCAAAAAGTAAGGGGTTGACCTTGTACTTTTATAAAATATGAGCCAAAAACTAAATTCTCTTAAAAATGGACATTTCAATCAAAAAGTAAGGGGTTAACCTTGTACTTTTATAACATTTGAGCCAAAAACTCAATTCTCTTAAAAATGGACATTTCAATCAAAAAATAAGGGGTTAACCTTGCATTTTTGTACGATTTGAGCCAAAAACTCAATTCTCTTAAAAATGGACATTTCAATCAAATAGTAAGGGGTTAACCTTGTACTTTTTATAAAATTGGCCAAAAATTGAATTCTCTTAGAAATGGACATTTCAAACAAAAAGTAAGGGGTTAACCTTGTACTTTTATAACATTTGAGCCAAAAACTCAATTCTCTTAAAAATGGACATTTCAATCAAAAAGTAAGGGGTTAACCTTGTACTTTTATAAAATATGAGCCAAAAACTAAATTCTCTTAAAAATGGACATTTCAATCAAAAAGTAAGGGGTTAACCTTGCATATTCATACAATTCAAAAGTAAGGGGTTAACCTTGTACTTTTATAAAATTTTGGTCAAAAATTGAATTTTCTTTTAAAATTGACATTTCAATCAAAAAGTAAGGGGTTAGCCTTGCATATTCATACAATTCAACAGTAAGGGGTTAACCTTGTACATTTATAAAAGTTGAGCCAAAAACTCAATTTTCTGAGAAATGGACATTTCAATCAAATACCGGTAGTAAGGGGTTAACCTTGTACTTTTATAATATTTTAGCCAAAAATTGATTTCTCTTAAAAATGGACATTTCAATCAAAAAATAAGGGGTTAACCTTGCATATTTGTAAAATTTGAGCCAAAAATTTAATTCTCTTAGAAATGGACATTTCAATCAAAAAGTAAGGGGTTAACCTTGCATATTTGTACGATTCGAGCATAAAACTCAATTTACTGAGAAATGGACATTTCAATCAAATAGTAAGGGGTTAACCTTGTACTTTTTATAAAATTGGCCAAAAATTGAATTCTCTTAGAAATGGACATTTCAATCAAAAAGTAAGGGGTTAACCTTGTACTTTTATAACATTTGAGCCAAAAACTCAATTCTCTTAAAAATGGACATTTCAATCAAAAAGTAAGGGGTTGACCTTGTACTTTTATAAAATATGAGCCAAAAACTAAATTCTCTTAAAAATGGACATTTCAATCAAAAAGTAAGGGGTTAACCTTGTACTTTTATAACATTTGAGCCAAAAACTCAATTCTCTTAAAAGTGGACATTTCAATCAAAAAGTAAGGGGTTAACCTTGTACTTTTATAAAATTTGAGCCAAAAATAAATTCTCTTAAAAATGGACATTTCAATCAAAAAGTAAGGGGTTAACCTTGTACTTTTATAAAATTTTGGCCAAAAATTGAGTTTTCTTTTAAAATTGACATTTCAATAAAAAAGTAAGGGGTTAGCCTTGCATATTCATACAATTCAATAGTAAGGGGTTAACCTTGTACATTTATAAAATTTGAGCCAAAAACTCAATTTTCTGAGAAATGGACATTTCAATCAAATACCGGTAGTAAGGGGTTAACCTTGTACTTTTATAATATTTTAGCCAAAAATTGATTTCTCTTAAAAATGGACATTTCAATCAAAAAGTAAGGGGTTAACCTTGCATATTTGTAAAATTTGAGCCAGAAACTGAATTCTCTTAGAAATGGACATTTCAATCAAAAAAGTAAGGGGTTAACCTTGTACTTTTATAACATTTGAGCCAAAAACTCAATTTTCTTAAAAATGGACATTTCAATCAAAAAGTAAGGGGTTAACCTTGTACTTTTATAACATTTGAGCCAAAAACTTAATTCTCTTAGAAATGGACATTTCAATCAAAAAAGTAAGGGGTTAACCTTGTACTTTTATAATTTTTTGGCCAAAAATTAAATTTTCTTTTAAAATTGACATTTCAATCAAAAAGTAAGGGGTTAGCCTTGAATATTCATACAATTCAAAAGTAAGGGGTTAACCTTGTACTTTTATAAAATTTGAGCCAAAAACTCAATTTTCTGAGAAATGGACATTTCAATCAAAAAGTAAGGGATTAACCTTGTACTTTTATAAAATTGGAACAAAAAACTGTATTCTGTTAGAAATTGACATTTTAATCAAAAAGTAAGGGGTTAACCTTGTACTTTTATAAAATTTGAGCCTAAAACTGAATTCTCTTAGAAATGGACATTTCAATCAAATAGTAAGGGGTTAACCTTGCATATTCATTCAATTTGAGCCAAAAACTCAATTTTCTGAGAAATGGATATTTCAATCAAAAAGTAAGGGGTTAATCTTGTATTTTTATAAAATTTGAGCCAAAAATTTGATTCTCCAAGAAATGGAGATTTCTATCAAATAGGAAGGGGTTAACCGTGTACTAACAATTGGGTCAAAATTGGATTTGTTCTGTAAACAACTTAGATGGGGGGGGGGGGGGGGTGCAAGCGCCCCCCTCCCCCTTGCCATATCCTGGCAACGCCCATGATAAGGGAGAATCTATAAATGTGGGGTCCACTTTTTCCCTGTCCCTGTTACATCAGACATCTTTGATTTGATAGTTCTGAGGCACTCCGTAGTGCAGTCGTTCTCCAAGAGTAGTTATGGATAGCAATCTACCTACAACCCCCCCCCCCTCCCAAAAAAAAAATGGAAGTCATTCTTAATGATACTTGAATGACAAAGTACCAAGGTAACAAGAACAGGATGAATCAGACTTTGGACCCTACATTTATAGAATGACTCATGAGACTTACGGATAGTCTGGACCAGTATTGAGGAAGACGAACGGCTCAGAGGCATCACCATGGAAGCCAGCAAAGTCCACTTGGAACCAAGCAGCAAAACCGTGAAGGGTACCAGCCTTGTTGAGTGTGTACTCGAAGTGATGCGTGGTCTCCTGAAATTCCAAAAAGTATAATTTAAAATGCTCTATATTTGCTCTGGTTTTTGCATGCAATTCACATATACTAGCACGTTTGTTTATGGTGTAAATCGAGGAATTTCTTTTATTCCTCTTCCCTTTTCCTTTGAAGTTTCAGCTTCTTCGCAACACATCTCATTGGTTTTGTACACATTTTCCAACCAAGGTTGTCCTCGATTCGGTTTCTGTCCTCGATTCATTGATGATGTTGCACGTGTGTGTCCTCGATTTACACCATAAACAAATGCTGTATCACTGACACATAAAAAAAATGTTGTGTTTCCTTTTACATTATTTCCTGCTGTTTAAAAGGTTACAAATGGTCAAAGTTTCCTTCCAATTCCCCTGGTATACTTTTAACACACCAATGGGTCATCAGTAGATGACCCAGCTGTAAGAATTATGCACAGAATCGACACTGGTTTACAGTAAGAATTATGAAATATCAGCAAGGCTGATTATTTCATTGTTAAAATGTATCGAGTTTCTAATACCTCCAGTTCGCTGCCAGTGACTGTTTTCATGTCGAGTTGTAATATTTTCTGAGGCAGTGATAAGCAATCCTCTGTCTTCATGACGTGATTGTACAACGGCGTGTGGAAGAATTCTTCTTTGGCAAGTGGCCTGAAAACAAAACAAATACCCAAAAATAATTAAATAAATAACGCTGAACCTTCTTGAATCCTGCAAAATGTGTAGGAAACCAATGGCCTATGATTTGTAATCTGACTTTGAAAGGCTGAAAACAACATAAAATAGTCATCTCATCTAGTGGTATATTGATACGTGTAAAGGTACCACTAAGGAGACACGTTATCGCTACAGTTTCATGTCTCCCTAATGTCACAGCCGCCTTTAGAGGCACAATTTTACTGTCGCAATTAGGTTATATTTGTTGCTGGTGGTCTAATAAGTAAACATACCGAAATTCTGTTGCTAATACGTAAACATAACAAAATGCGTGGTAAAAGGACAAGGGAATATTGAGTTAGAGCACATTTCAGTTTGTCTCCCAAATGTCCAATTCAGGGTAATTATAATAATAATAATGATCACTTGGTAAAGCACTGGTATCCGTCAAGCATAATGCTCCTGGCGCGTAAATACGTTAATTACAAAAACCGATGAACAAAACGGATGGGTTTTCAGGGTAGATTTGAATGTAGACAGGGACTTCTTTTGGCGTAGTTCAAGTGGGAGATTGTTCCAAAGTTCCGAAGCAGCATGAGAGAAAGACTGTGATTGGTACGAGGAACAGTCAATCAGTGTAACACAAAGTAAAAACAAGTATTTAGGGGGCATATTACCATCCCCCGCCCCTCAGAATAATAAAATTGTGGGCTGAGACACCCCCCCCCCTTTTCTCTCAGCCTGTGTGGGGATTCTCAAACTCTTGCCAAGTTGTTTTACGCTGTCAACAAATTATTAAAATTTTTGCTAAAACATGCAAGTAAATAAAACTGCACTGCAAACAGTTTACTGACAGGACTGACCTGTAATATACAAATCAAAAAGTTTCAGGGCCTAATGATGCTTTCCAAAAAAAAAAATAAGGCCTGCTTGGACCCAAACGGGCTACGCCCTCAAACTTGTCTGTTTTGCTATAATTTCACAATCTAACATGATATGTATGGATGTCTTTCCGGAGAGTTTGACTTACATTAATGCTGAAAAGTCGAAGCCATGGACGGATTCCCAGAATCCGACTTTAGTCTGGTAGAGCTCCTCCGCGGAGCAAGGCACGAGGTACAGCGTGGCATGGGACGGCCATATGACGCCATCTTCCTTCAACCATCGGTCGCGGGCCAAGATGACTGACTCGATCATCCATTCAAACTACAAGAGCACACAGAAAGAAAAACGAAACAGAAGTAAGTCAAATCTGTGCCGAGCCAATATGGCTGATCAGGCCAGCGTTTATCTCCAGTTTCAGCGGCATGAAACGAGCGAGAATATTTCTACTCCCCCTGGATGGGATGCCAGTCCATCGCAGGTTACTCCCCAGCTAATGCCGGTAATCATTTATAATCCTGGCTTGAAAGAGACAAGTGGAGGTCAAGTGGCTTGCCCAAGGACACAACATGGCCAGCAGCTGGATTCGAACCCCTGACCCTCTGATCATGAGTCACAAACCCTAACCACCAGGCCACATTCTTTCCATTTGATAACTTAACACTGGGGTCAAGGGCAGATCCAGGGGGCTAACGAACCCCCAAAACGAACCCATTTTTTGTTTTCAAGTGAAGCGAATAAAGGCAGGCACTGCACACCACCATCTTTCCCTTTAAAAAAAAATTGTTAAAGTGGTCAGAAATTGCCTCAGATCGCACCACAGAGCATCTAGAATCCAAATTTTTGTCGGGGCCCATAAGCGGGCCCTGAATCCCAGGCTGTAATTTTTGGACCCACTTTTTGGGTGACCAAATTTTTATTTGCCCCCCCCCCCCCAAAAAATGTGTGTTCTGGATCTGCCCTTGACTGTGGAAGAGTTATTTTTTCAAACAAGACGGCTTTAACTACTCAATTTAGGATGTCAGTAAAGATAAAATTCAATTGTTAATTCAAGGGGGACTGCGAAATACAAACTACAGCTTTCTCCCAGCCCCTGTAATTATTATCTTTATAAAAGTTGATTTAAATCACATAAATTCAAACCATCATCTTGTGAAGTTTTACCCCCCCCCCCCCCAAAGTTTCGCACAAATAAACCGGTCAGAATCTTTACGTACCAGCAAGAATGTTCCCATCCATTCCGATATGATCAAATCCACTTGTTCTGGTAGCTTCATGGATTCCACTTTGCCCTCCAGTACATGAATTGAATCTGCCATTCCGTTGGCCTCAATCAGGGCTTGCGTTTGTTTGGCAAACTCGCTCGCTTCCACTGCAAAAACCTGTCAATCAAACAGCAGTATTTCTGTGACGTTTCAGCAATTGCAAAAACAATGGGTGACATTGTGGTACTGGTCAAGTTCATTCAATAAGGGGACCCTAAAAATGGACAGAGCGCATGCGTGCAGGATTAGAGCCTAGAGGGGGTACTGGTATTGATGTGCTCACAGTATCGGGGAAACCCCTTTTTGATCACGAACGTGGCAGTGGTGTATTTTTATGGATGCCGACTTATACGGAACAATTGTTGTGGTTTTGAGGAGATGGCACCGAAATTAACTCGCCGACTTAGGCGAAATGGTGACTTACAAAGGCCGACTTAGAAATGAAAATTTCAATGGAACTGCGTTAGAGACGATCGGGACTTTCGTCACACCCGATTTAAGCGAAATGACGAGTTATACGATGTGGACTTGGCCGGAGTTTACTGTAATATTTTCTAGGATGCTGTTACTTCAACGCACCTTGGCAGCTTTGCCATGCTTTACTGCAGACATGCTGAGAATGCCTGTCCCACAACCAACATCCAAAACAACCTGCAGATAAACACAGAGAAACAAAATAGCGTTAGCTCCACAAAAACACAAGGAAAAAAGACCATTTCAAATTCCATCCATGCATGTAGACAATTTCTAATAACATGTCAAGTTTATTTTTTCGAAAATATGGAAAACTCCAACGAGAAAACTTTCTGCAGAAAACGAAATAAACCACACAAGGGAAATGACTAGGTTCAATTTAATCATAGATATTGACTGGATCAGGGTTTGAACCTGCGACTTCCAGATTGCCGTTCCGGTGCTCTACCAAGTGAGCTATCCAGCCCTATGTTGGCAGTTCCCAATGTTGTCAATGACATGATATTTGTATTTATTGGTAAATTTAAAATTATCCGACATCAAACAGAAACCAAATATGTCCTCAAGTATTTTTAGAGAGCTCGTCAGTTTGCTTAAATGTACCTTATCTTGAATGCGATGTTGGTTCTGCTGGATGGCTGTAAAGTACGCCGTGTTTCTGGGTTTGTCTTGTAGCATCTCAAGATGTAATTTCTGAAAGAAAAGATAGATATGTTGTAACTGATTTGGAGAAAAATCTAGTGGATCTGACACACACAAGAATTGACAGGGACAGTAAGCCTGATGAAAAGCCAGTCATTAATTAGCATGTCATCAAAACTATCTGCTAGCCAACCGGCCAGCCAGCCAGCCAGCCAACCAGCAAACGAGAAGCCGGCCAGTAAACCAGCCTGCCTCCCCGCCAGCCCGAGCAAGCCAGCCAGCCAGCTGGCCGGCCAGCCAGCCAACCAGCCAGCCAACCAATAATCAGCTAGCCATCCAGCAAGCAATCTAGTCTGGGAGCTTGGGAGCTAGCCAGCCTGCCGGGGAGCAAACCAAGCAAACCAGCCAGCCAACCAATAAACAGCCATCCAGCATACCGGGGAGCAAGCCAGCCAGCCAGCCAACCAATAGCCAGCCAGCCAACCAATAACCAGCCGGGGGGCCAGCCAGCCAGAAAGAGGGGAGCCAGCTGGCCAGCCAGCTGGCTGGCCAGCCAGCCTGAAAGCGGGGAGCCAGCCAGCCAGCTCCCCCCCTCCCCCTGCCAACCAACCAGTCAGCCAACCAATAACCAGCTGGCCAGCCAGCAAGCAATCTAGTCGGGGAGCTGGGGGGGAGTCAGCCAGCTAGCCAGCCAGCCAGCCTGCCGGAGAGCAAACCAGCCAGCAAACCAATAAGCAATAAGCAGCCAGCCAACATACCGGGGAGCAAGCCAGCCAGCCAGCCAACCAATAACCAGCCAGCCGGCCAGCCAGTCAGAAAGAGGGGAGCTAGCCAGCCAGCACTGGCTGGCTAGCTCCCCAACCTGCCAGGGAGCCAGCCAGCCAACCAATAACCAGCCAGCCGGCCAGCCAGTCAGAAAGAGGGGAGCAAGCCAGCCAGCACTGGCTGGCTAGCTCCCCAACCTGCCAGGGAGCCAGCCAGCCAACCAATAACCAGCCGGCCAGCCAGCCAGCCAGAAAGAGGGGAGCTAGCCAGCCAGCACTGGCTGGCTAGCTCCCCAACCTGCCAGGGAGCCAGCCAGCCAACCAATAACCAGCCGGCCAGCCAGCAAGAAATCTAGTCGGGGAGCTTGGGGGGGAGCCAGCCAGCTAGCTAGCCAGCCCCCCAGGGAGCGAACCAGCCAGCCAGCCAGTCTGCAGGGGAGCAAGCCAGCCAGCCATGCAGCCAACCAGCCAGCCAGCCAGCAAGCAATCTAGTTGGGGGGGGGGGGGGGAGCCAACCAACCAGCCAGCCAGCAGGACACACACAAACGACTGACAAAGAATTAGTTAGGCATGCAACTGGGAAATCACAAAAAAAAAGAGGAAATTCTAATTTTTCCCAGACTTTGTACAGTGTTTTTCTATTTTCAATGGCACACATGGGAAGTAAAAAAAGAGGAAATCAGCTGATCCGAGGAAAAGTTGCATGCCTGATTAGTATGAACTGAGCACAGTAAGCATTGAAACCTTACCATTGTGTTGTAACTACCAAAGTATTCACCATCTTGCCAACCACCCCCTTCATCTGAGTGAGAAGTAATGTGATTGGTCGGGACGTAGCCAGTGAGCTCCCCTTTGCGGGCCCACCACCAATCAGCACTGTTCTTTGATATTATGGCCACCTTGTCACCTAATTGCAAGCCAAGCTATATGAGAGTTGTTAAAAAAGGAAAAGAAACAAAGAACAGAGCAACAGAAACAAAATTGTGAGCAATCTAAATTTTGATGTTTTTCTTTGGTGTATCTGAAGTGGACAAGTTCAGCAAAAGATTTAGCAAAAAAGCAGTGAGTTGTTGCAACGTATTGTTGTGACAAGGAAACATTTGTGAAGTACTCAAATCGGAAATCTGTTGCCCACTAAAATTAAACCTTTTCAAAAGAATTTTCAAACTATACACATAAAGTTATTTTTAAGCTTTCTATTTCTTTTTGTTTTTCTTTAATTTCTTGTGAAATATGTTACCAGCGGTGGCAGAAAGAACAGACAGACACCGAAAAAGAAAAAAAAAGAAAAAAAGAAAACAAGCACAATCATTTTTGATTGTCACATGCAGAGTTTTTTTTTTTATTAATCGACTTAGAGTAGTGGTGGCATTTAAATCCAGATTTTTTAAAATTTGGTTTGATTTGATTTTCACTGTTCGGTATGTATGAATGAGCTCAATGGGAACTCCTGGTGAAATCAGATTATTTGTGTTTGAGAAAAATCAGGAGAACAGAATTTTGAAATCTCTGAAAATATCTCATGTCCAACTCTGGAATTGTCTTTTATAGCTCCCCCCCCCCCCCCCCCCCCGAGTGTTAGCAGAACATGTAAAGGTGTTAATTTCTACAGTTCTTTGTGTAGACTCTTTCTAAAGAAGGTTTGTTTTAATGAAGCATTAAAAATGACGCTATTACTCATTTTTGGTCAGTTTGAGTTACTTTTGTCAAGCTCTCACCTGGCTGTCATCTGTGGGATGGAAGTCGGCAAAAGCTGTGGCCATTTCCAAGACACTGTCGTCATCGCATTCCTGATCATGCTGATGTTCACTGCCTTCTGACAACCCTTGTTCCTCCGATTCCATGTCATTTCTGCTTCCCAACTCCATTTCTGGGGTGAAACTTATGAATTAACTTGTCATTTGAACAAAGAAGTTTGCCTTACTCAGGATTCAAATAGATTGGTACATGTATGTCGTGGCAAAATTGTAGTTTTTGTACTTTAAACATTTGTACTCTAAATCATTATTCAGACTATGTACGTAGTCTGAATGTGAAAATCAATTTAGTAACAAGTCAATTCCCAGAGTGTGGCCTTTATTTACAGAGGTAGTCCAGAAAATAGGCCACATTGATGGGGCTAGCTAGCTAAGGTTGGACAGCACAGCAATACAGTCGTTTTCCTAGTTCCGGATAGCAAACATCATTCAGGCTGATTTCGGCTCAACTACTCCACGAATTCAAGTGACATTGATTAAAAAGTTTACCTTGAGTGATGGAGAGACCGGAATTTTAAAAAGAGAAAAAACGTAAATGATTTTGAAACTTTTGTCTGCAGCGCAACGGCTCGAACTCATGCACGGACCGAAAATCTTTGACCCAGCACAGGATACGTCACACAAAATCGATTAACGCGCGTGTAGTTGGGTCGTAAGTACACGCGCGATCCGGAACTAGGCAAAAGCATACGGTCATTCGTTGGCGAATTTTCAAATATTAGAGACGCTATCAAGTTATTTTGATTGAACAAACATTCGATGGAAGAGTTTATACGATTGTAGTGAATGAAACAAATATTCGAAACCACACTGTACGAGAGATATACCGAGGCGAAAATTTATCGTCGATTCGCAGCTCCCGTGATTTTCTTTAAACCGTCCAAGCATGTCAGAGTGCGAGTCGGAAATCTGGCCAAAATTCCTCTTCTAAAGATTTTAATCGAAAAGATCTTTGGGTATCAAGAAGCTTACATTTTCCTTTTCAACATGCACTCCGTCAGAATTTTTTTATTGGAGACTAATCAAAAAGAGGTAGGTTTTTATTTGAAGCGATCCAGAAATAGGAAAAATCCGTAACTAGGAAAACGACTGTACCGCTAGCTAGGCCTTCATTTTGCACATACAATGTATGCAGTTCCATTCATGCCTAAAAAAGTAGAAAAACGCTTAAGGAAAATATTCTTAAATTCCAGAAAGTGTTCACAGGTCGACCTACCTTCAAACCCTTCTAATCTATGATTTCTTACGCCAGCATCGTCGCAGAAATGTTGTAATCTCACTCGCGAATCGGGTCTTTTTTTACTTTGAACTTAAGTTCAGAAGTAAACTAGGTAGGTCTTATTAATGTTTTGCGGTATAGCGCCCTCAATAGACAAACGTAATAATTTTTTCGTCGAGGGCGGGGCGCGATTATTTATTATTTTGGGAGGGAAGTTTAACATCCCCCATCGCGGAATTGAAATGTATTTGATTAAACTGAATTTTCTGAACCTGAAAATCAGCTATCGATCTGAATTTATACTTTACTGTGGTCTTATATGGAGGATTTTAAAAAAATGGGGGGGGGGGCAGTGGTTTGGCACATATCCACACACCCTTCCCCATTACAAGACAGTTTTAGGCCTCGATTTTTTACAACAAAACGGTGAAGCGGTGTCCCCTATGGGGAATTAAACTGTTTACAGAGAAACTTTAATTTGAAAGACAAACTTCATCGTTTTCATGCAATTGCTTCTTTATTTCTTGGAAACGAAACACCCTTAACCTTGAATGGCATCCAATTAATAAACAAAAACATAATATTTTTGGGGATAAATAATTTAAAGCATGAGGATTAGGTTACTTTGGCCAACCATGTTTGGAGTTTGGAGTACTTTTTCTGTACATTTATCCTGTATTTGCTTTGAGTCCAAATTATCTAAACAGGACCAATGTTTGTAACTGTAACATATGCAAACTTATTTTTATATAAATGATCAGAACTAACAGTAAGTCCTTTTCATTTTTCTGAATGTTTTTCACCGATTGGCCGAAGACCTACTTTTCAGGCTAATTTTTTTTTAACTTCATATTTAAGAATTACAGTAAATACTTGTTTAAAACTTGGTACAACATCCACTTTAAATAACATAGTTTGTAGATTTTAACAAATATATCAGGCCCAAAGAAATAATAAATGTATGAAACTGATGAAATGTGTTCCCCTGTTAAGTGCGAGGAGTAAACAATAGCGAGCATTTGATGGCTTCAAGTCAAACTTGCCAAAGTAACACTTGTGAAAAAAGTATGTTATATTAGTGGAAAGTGCTTAGTTTTAAGATTTTATTGTGGTATATTCCGCAAATCTCGTGTTTGAATCAATATAGTGTCATGAACTGACTGTTACTTGTTTCATTTGAAATAGTAGTGATATGATATTCAATATGACTTTGAAACATACATCTGAAATGCAACTTTAAATGAACACTGTTTTAACATGATCCGGTTTTGTGTTTGATTAAAAAGAAATGGTTAAACCCAATTTTTCATTGCATTGGCTGTTTGTTTAAATATCCACCTTTCCTCCATTGCTCATTTATTTCTAGTTTTTAACAAAAAGAAGTCGACACTACCTACTCAGCTGGCTGCTTCATTAGTGTCAACCTAATGCTATTAATCGCCAAGGAAACCAGTTCTTCACAAAAACTTTATGTACTACACAACAATATCTGTGACTAAATCTCAAAGGAAATCAAAAATATCCATCAAATCCTGAAAAAAAAATCAGACTTTTACTGCACGTGCCCAACTAAGCTGGCATCAAAATGTGAACTACTTGAAAATAGCTACACTATGTTTGAAACGTTTATCTTCGTATTTCTTCTCCACCTGATTAATTCTGAAATTTTCAGCGCGAAAAGCAAAAACTGTGATTTTGAAACAACACTGCTGGTTTTCATGCGTTGTGATGAAACTCCACACTAGAATACAAGTGTTGTCGTTTCAACCAAACCAGTTTTTGGTTTAATCTAAGCAAAACCGCCACCAATCTTGTTTTAGTGAAACCAAAAAAACTATCTATGTATATGGTCAACTTGAAATAAGTCAAGTCTTCTTACAGCAGATCCAAAGTCAGTATTTCATCTTCCATATCTGTGAAAAGGAAAAACAATGAGGTCAAAATTGAACTGAAGGAATTTCCCCAAAAATCAATTATGTTTTTGAGATGAAAATGGTGGTGAAATTCCCTTCATAGCTGCAACCAAATAGCCTTCAACTTCATGACAAAATTGATTTACATTGTAGAATGCCATGGGCCAGTGGTTACGGTGTTTGAGTCGTGTACGAAGGTGTGTGGGTTCGAACCCGGCCAGGAACATGGTGTTTGTGCCCTTGGGCAAGACACTTAACTACAATTGCCTCTCTCCACCCAGGAGTATAAATGGGTACCTGTGAGGGTCGAGGACCGATTGAGCGCTGATATCGGCTGCCGTGTGGTCCCATGGCCTGATGAATGGGGTAATAATTGTAAAGCGCTTTGAGATCCTTGATACGATGGAAAGCGCTATATAAGCACAATTATTATTTATAATTATTATTATTTCTTTTAATACACTTTGCACAGGAACACGCACAGAATAGCATCAGCTTTTTGTGTGTTTTATAACGGTTTTCAGAATCACGGAATTGTCCGAAGCAAAACGTTTCCAATCTCTTAAACCAAACAATCCTGTAATATTTCTTGTCCATCTTTACCGAACCGAATCAAAGTTCATTCCAAAGCTGTTCCGTTTTTTTTTTTAAGAAACATGACTCCCACTTATGTCAGTAGTCTCATTTCAATCAAACCAAACGACAAAGAAAAAGTACCAATTCATTTAATCCATCGACAACTCACCCATGTCATGTTCAAACCTCTGGTCTCCCCGACGACTGTTTAACGCCGGCGCTTCTCAAACTTGGACCGTGCTACAAAGGCAAGAACAGAATTGTCAAGCATTCAATATAACTTTTACCAGTTTTCAACGGTAGGAGCAAAGTGGTACAACTTTAGAGGGGGGGGGGGGGGGGGGGGAGGGCGGATGGCCGGAACAACATTTAAATACTTTAAAGGCATACAACATCATTTGCTTTTCATGCAGTCTGTTCGTCTCCAATAATATCACCACCCAAGAAATGCAGTTGATTTATCGATTTCTCGAAAAAGTGTGGTACCACTGAACATTTTTCTTTTTGGAATACTCTTCTTTTTGGGATAAATCAACTGCAATTTCTTGATTTCTTCTTTCTCCAGATGGACTAATACCACGTTTTTTGTGTGTTTTATCCTTTACACCTTTATCTGGTATGTAAGTGATTCGGAAATTCTTACATTTCAACAGATCACCCTGCTGGTCACCATCATCACCAGCAGCACGTCGGCGACGTCTTTTCACAGCTTTTGGAGAAAAATGACAAGACAGTAAAAAGAAAATGGTAGTCATTCAGAGAAAGGTGCACAAAATGTCTCCAATGTAAACACCAGCTGGCTGGTCTTAAACCCTTTTCTGGTGTCCCATGAAATTTGGACTCCTATGAAGTCTAGTCCCTTTTACCCTTTTATTGGTTGAACGTTCGCTATTTTCATTTAGGCATATGTGCAATAGTCCACAACCAACGAGTTCGAATTTTATAGAGCATAAATTCACGCTCCACCGGCACTGCCGCAGTCTGAGCCACATCGCCCAGAACGTGCCACTCACGCGCCAATCTCTATCTCCATATAAGGAGATGTTTACGACTACTCGCGAGAGGCACATACCATAACATAGCTACAGGGGTGTTTAAAAAAACATGAAGTAAATTGTTAAACAAAATCATCGAAAATTTTGAATTTTTCACTTGTTTTGACTATTAAGTTTTGACATATTGATCGAAATGGTATTTTAGGAATGCAAATAAGTATGTGCTTGGCCAGTATTAAACAACTATGTTCACGACCGGTTTGGAGTCTGGATGTTGATAATGACTGTCAGCATCCAGACTCCAGACTGGTCTTAGGCCGAGTAAAAAAAAAAAAGTTTCTCGTCTGGGGTTTTTTAAAAAAGGGAGGAAGCGGGGCTTTTTATTTTTTATTTTTTATTTTTTTCAAGATGACCGCCTTTTCAAAATTTCCTGCAACCGTTGGTGTTCCACTGTTCAAAGACACTTTTAAAGATGAAAGACAAGTTGGACAAGAGAACTGAACATATTTACAGTGTCATTTAGAGTTGTATTGGTATTGGTATTTATTTTCCGATGAATTTGTAGACTTTTTCGGTGTTTTTGTACTACATTTTTCAAAAATAAAAAATAATTAAAAAAATCCAGGCGGCCTCCAAAAAGGAAGCGGGCGGGGACGAGAAACTTGTTTTTTTTTTTACTTCGCCTTAAACAAAATGTTTTAAACCGGCCAAGCACACAGTTATTCCCAAATTAACGATTCAGAGAAATGATCAAAACTCCTAGTCCATAATCTCTTTGACCATACTTGATGACTGATGTATAAAATTTGAAGAAAAACACATTTTCAGGTTTAGTCGCTGAGCTCCGATTGTACAAAAATTTAAAAAAATAGTCAGATTTGTAATGTTCGTGAAGCTTGAATTGCCCATTTGCACACATCACAACCTTTCAAAATAATGCACACACATTTGACTTTTTATGGTAACTTCAGATGTTAAAGGGGTATTATAACAGAATTAGGAAATATATTCTACTGTTTGTTAGACATCTTTAGAACAGTCTTCGCACATCAACATGGTTGGTATTCCCCCAGTTTTACTGACCTATTTTTTTTTTTTAGATGGAAAAGTTTCGTAAAACTTCCAAAGGAAAAAGTCTAATTTGAACAACTTGTGTCCGATTTAAGACTTGTTGTGACCGTTACCATGCCTACCTGTCCTGAGGGGGTCGTCATCATCGATGGAACGGCGACGTCGACTACTCCCTGTAAGCAGAAAAGTCAACAGTACAAATTGGAGGATTTTCATGGGTTTTATTGGGGGTAAATATCATAAAATGAAGGTATATGTGATGGCATTGCGGGGCATGTTGCACCACAAATTGCCCCATAACTCAGTGCAACATATACCTTGACTGACAGCCTGCTAAAAGAACAAGGGACATAATTGGTGGTTATAAAAAGTTATGGGGATTTTTTTGTGAAGCAAAATTACCAAAAAACGAACGGCAAATTCACAAGACCAAATCGGCCCAGCTAAAAAAATGTTTACGTTGAGGACGTCATTTGCAGGGTTCCAAGCACCTCGTGAAAATAAAATTCCCCTCTTTTCCCCTTTTTCCATAAAAATTTTCAAAAATTCTATGAGAAATAATTTCACTTTCACGAGGTTGCTAGGAAGTCACGAGGTGACGTAGCTCAGCCAATTGATATTGTCTGGAGAGTTGTGTAATATTCACACGGCATAAACACTAACAAGCCAGCACAGCCAGTCAGTCAATGGACACAACTTGGACACATGGCACAAGACGCACATACGCCAAACTGGCGATGACTTGATCCCTTCTGGGTCACTGTCAAATTCCCTGAGTTTGTCCTTAGTTTTGGGGTGTTTTCCCCAAATTCCCTGAGTTTTTCCTGACTGGAAAAATGGAAACGCATTTTCAAGGTTTTCCTTAATATCCAGAGTGGGTTGAAACCCTAATTGATACACAGTGGGGGAGTCAGTCAGTGAGTCGATTGGTCAGTCAATCAGTAAACAAGTAAGCTCTTTGCCAGCACAATTCACCTATTGGTCCGAAGTACGACTGGGCAGTCCACAAGGCTTCGTCACTGGAAGCAAAGCCAACTTCCGTCAAGGGCGCGCCGGTCGGTGTCGTGTAGAGCGGGGTGCCGTCGTAGGAAATGGTGATGTCCGTGGGATCGCGTCGGACGCAGAGTTTGGGATCGCCGCCGCTGAAACCCGGAATGCTTTCTGACGCGAAGTAGCCCTCGTGAGCGATCTCGACTGTGCCTTCCATGATGTCTTGAAAAAGAGAAACAGCGGAATGTCAGGTTAAACAAACAAACAAACAGCCCAACAAACAAACAAACTAAACTTGTAAATTAAGTACAATGATTGTACTTAATTGTATCAGATGAGTTCTCACAAAATCAGATGAAGTTGGCGTAAGAAGTAACAATTAAGGACACAAAATGAAATCGTCAATCTAACTTGCCATTACATTATGGGGCAATGATAAACTACACTTAGGTTACAGTTGAAATCAATTATGATTAATGATCAGTGATTGATAAGCGATCATCAATCAGTCATCGATTGATCATCGACCATCCATTATCAATTATCAATCGTCAATCATCACTTGTAGATTATCGATTATCAATTACAGATTGATCATCGACCATCCATTATCAATTATCAATCGTCAATCATCACTTGTAGATTATCGATTACAATTACAGATTGATCATCGACCATCCATTATCAATTATCAATCGTCAATCATCACTTGTAGATTATCGATTACAATTACAGATTGATCATCGACCATCCATTATCAATTATCAATCGTCAATCATCACTTGTAGATTATCGATTATCAATTACAAATAAAAAAAAAACGACAAACAGCAATCAGTTATTGGTGATCAGTTATCAATTATGATAATCAGGTATCAATGATCAATTATCTGCTGTCACCTGATTATCAATTATCAATTATTAATTATCATCCATCAACTATCAATTATCCGATACCAATTACAAAGGACCAATATAACGAAATTTCAATAACCAATGATAAATTATCAATTATCGTAATACCAATCATCAAATCACCAAAAATCAATTACCAATTATCAATCAAACTTACTCAGATCGATCATTCCCGGTTGGAGCATGGGGTCCTGTTTATCCCAGATGGCAACGTACATGTTGTACCCACTGCTGCCCTTGAAGCAGACCTGGGTACGATCGTTAGGCGAGAGGGGTGTCGCGCACTCCATGTAGGTATTGTAGCTGTTGGCCTCGGTAGGGAACTCGCACAGTGGAGGAGCTGACGAGAACAATAACATTAACAAAACACAGATATTTGCATTAATTGTTATTATTGATAATTAGGCATTAAAAAACACATACTAACAATAAATTTTCAAACAAACAAAATAACAAAACAAAACCGTAAGCCAGAGGCGCGTATGCCCGGAATTCAAAAAGTTTACCTAAAAACTGTGGCCTGAAGACCTTCAATTCCAATACCTCTGGCTACACTAAAAGTATATATATCTATACAAATACAATAGCCAAGATGTAATGTTATGTATACTGCCTGAAACTAGTCCCCTGCTTATTTTACTTAGCATATAAATTGGTTCAGCAATATTTTCTGTTTTTAGGAGGTTCACAAAGTCGAGCCGTGTTGCCACGTACCAATGATGATGTCAAACTGGCAGGTTCCCTCGTTTCCGCTGGCGTCCGTGGCGCGGCAGGTGACGGTGTTGCGCCCGTTGGAGTACGAGATTTGAGCATTGTCGCACGTGACCGGTCGGCTCGAGCCGTCGTTGTCCGTGGCGCTGACATCGCGAGAGACCACGAAGTCGATCTCGGACGGGGAGTTGAAGGTCATGTCGACCGGGCAGTTGACATCTGGTGGCGTGGTGTCTGAAACACACACACACAAAACAGCAGCAATAGTTTTGTTTTTAATCTTCTACAAAGCACCAGGTAACTCCCTTCTCTTTTAATTGATAACTTCTGTTGATAATAATGTGTATTTATAAAGCACACGAATCCAACAGTATTGGGGCAGTATTGAATGTCTATATTCAATACAGTATTGAATGTCTATGTCTCAATTTATTTTAATATCTTGTGTCTTGTCTTAAAACTTGTGATGAATTGTGAATGAATTGTTTTGACTTATAGTCCCGTTGTCCAATGGTTACAGTTTTCAGCTCATGAGCAGTGGTACATTGGTTGAAACCCCGACAGGGAACATGGTGCTTGTGTTCTTGGGCAAGACACTTTACTACAATCGCCTCTCTTCAGACAGGAGTATAAATGGGTACCTGTGAGGGTAGAGACCATAAAGCGCTGATCTCGAGCTGCGGCAAAAACTGGTCTCACGGCCTGATGAACAGTGGTAATGAAATGCTTTGAGATTTTGGTATGTGCACTTAACTTCGTGGTAGGCGATTAGAGTAAAGCGTCTGACCCAAGAACACAAGCGCCACAATCTTAACTTCAAACTGTACTTTCGTACCTTTAACCTCAATAGTGAACGAGCAATCCTTGGTGTTCAAGGCATTGTCTGTGGCGGAGCATGTGACTTTGGTGATGCCGATGGGAAACTGGTAGGCTTGCGATTTGTCGCAGACAATCGTGGGATTTGCGTCCTTGTTATCCGTCGCTTGTGGCAGTTGGTAGACGACAGTGGCGTATACTTGTCCCTGATTGGGTGACAGGTCTGTCATGTCGATTGGACAACTGATGTCCGGAGCTTCCTTATCTGAAAACAGGCAAGAAGTCAAGAGACTTGTATTAAAGATTGTTAAAGTATTTGAAACTCTCTGAAATCTGAAATAAACAAAACTGCAGCCCATCTGTTCAACCAAAAATTCCAGTCTAAGAATACATTTTAACTACTGAGAGGCCTCGTCGCATTTATAATTTCTTTTGTCAACAGTTATATCGAGCAATACTGAGTGACAGTTATGGTGAGTAATATTGAGTTACAGTCATAGTGATTAATGCTGAGTACTAGTCATGATGAGTAACATTAACAGTTAGTAACACTGAGTAGCAGTCATAGTGACTAACAGTGAGAAACATCAATCATGAGTACTATTCAGCAACTGTCAAGATGCATAACATCTAGCATTAAGTAACAATCCTGCTGAGTAGTATATTGAGTAAAGTTCATGTTGAGTAATATTGAGTAAAGCTCATGTTGAGTAATATATTAAGTAAAGCTCATGTTGAGTAATATTGAGTAAAGCTCATGTTGAGTAATATACTGAGTAAAGCTCATGTTGGGCAATATATTAAGTAAAGCTCATGTTGAGAAATATATTGAGTAAAGCTCATGTTGAGTAATATTTTGAGTAAAGCTCATGTTGAGTAATATTGAGTAAAGTTCATGTTAAGAAATATTGAGTAAAACTCATGTTGAGTAATACTGAGTAAAGCTCATGTTGAGTAATATATTGAGTAAAGCTCATGTTGAGTAATCGAGTGAAGCTCATGTTGAGTAATATTGAGTAATATTGAGTAAAGCTCATGTTGAGTAATATTGAGTAAAGCTCATGTTGAGCAATATATTAAGTAAAGCTCATGTTGAAAAATATATTGAGTTAAAGCTCATGTTGAGTAATATTTTGAATAAAGCTCATGTTGAGTAATATATTGAGTAAAGCTCATGTTGAGTAATATTGAGTAAAGCTCATGTTAAAAAATATTGAGTAAAGCTCATGTTGAGTAATAAATTGAGTAAAGCTCATGTTGAGTAATATTGAGTAAAATTCACGAACAATATTAAGCAAAAATTATGTTGAGTAATACTGAGCCAAAATCATGTTGAGTAACACTGAGCCAATTTCACGTTGAATACTGAGTAAAATTCACGTTGGGTAATATTGTGTAAAGGTTGTGTTGAATAATATTGAGTAAAAGTCATGTCAAGTAATATTAAGTAAAAAATCATGTTGAGTAATAACTCATGTTGAGTATTATCGAGTAAAAATCATGTTGAGTAATATTGAGTAAAAATTATGTTGAGTAATATCGAGTAAAAGTCATGTCGAGTAATATTGAGTAAAACTCATGCTGGGCAATATAGAGCAAACCTCATGTTGGTTAATAGAGTAAAATGCATGTTGAGTAATATTGAGTAAAAGTCATGTCGAGCAATATTGTGTAAAAATCATGTTGAGTAATACTGAGTGAAAGTTATTTAAATTAAAAGTGAGCACAAGAACTCAAACGGAAAATGATCTGAAACTTCACCTTCAACAGTGATGATGAACGGGCACGTCTTTTTATTGCCATTAGAATCGGTAGCGGTGCACGTGACAGTGGTCGGTCCGACGGCAAATGGTGCTCCTGGTGCTGGTACGCAGGAAACCGGTACAATACCGTCCAAGTTATCGGTAGCCGTAGGTTCTGTGTAGGTTGCAGCCCAAGTCGGCAGACCGGCATCTGTTGATTCCTTCATGGGAAGTGGGCAATCAAACTCGGGTGCTTCGTCATCTAGAAATAGCCAATAAAATCAGCCAATAAAATACTCAAACTTTGAATATTATTTGAAACCTTTTCAGTCCCTTTTTTGGTTAAAGATCATGAAATGTTAAAAATATCTGCAGACGGTTAGCTTAGTAGAATTTTTGCGTTCCAGAGTTTTGTTGAAATGTTGTCATGGGCATAAGTTTAATACAACTTTATCCCAGATCTCAACCTATTTAAGAAGTCTTTTTTTTTTCGATGGGACATTAGTAACAAACAAACTAGTATATCGCAAAGTGTTAGGCTCATTTTTATATTGGGTTTTATAACCAGACTGAAAATGCTAATGGAAATCAGCTTTATAACGATGCAGTATTTTGGAGAAAAGGCAAACTTATTTTTATCCGTATTTTAAACAAATTGTAAATGAACCGACATTTCAGGTCAAACCCTTAATCTAAAGTGGGCACGTGTGGTCTAGCGGTGGAGCACAGGATTCATAATCGTGAGGTTGTGGGTTCGAGCCCTGCCGTGGCCATGCGTGTTGTGCCCTTGAGTAAGACGCTTTACCTCAATTACTCCTCTCAATCCAGGTGTTAAATGGGTACCTGCATTATTCAATGCTGGGAAGGTAATTACTCGCTGTGGAGGAGGTGTGGCGAACCCCCACAGCAGCATATGAGTCTGGCCCAATCGCTAACGAAAGAGAGATGGGCACTCCGTTCCTGTTAACACATGTTCGTCCCCTTTACCTTTTTTTACTTAATCTAAACAAAAAACTCAAACAAAATACTACTGGTCCACTCTTACCCTGAACCTCAATTGGGAAGGTGCACGTCTTAGAGTTTCCGGCCGTGTCAGTGGCAGTGCATGTGACCACGCTGGTTCCGATGGGGAACTGAGAGCCAGGTGCCTCCACGCAGCTGACCGAGAGGGTGGAGCTACAGTCCAGATTGTCGGTAACTCTCGGTAGAGGGTAGTTGACGGTGGCATAGGTCTGACCAGGGTCAACAGACACGCCCATCAATGGAGTCGGGCAAGTAAAATCGGGCTCTTCCTTATCTAGACACAAGAGAAGAAACAAACTATGTGTAGTCTACATCCCAACCAAGTTTCAATCCAATGGTACTTGCTGTTCTCCATATCACAATGCAAAATACACACAAACGAACAAAATAAACACACACAAAAAAAAACAGAAATAAAATACAAACTTGAAACAGGAACAGAAATATATACCCAAAAAGTTCAATCCAATAAGCCATTTGCGAGTAACCTATACCCTTTGGGTTTTACATTTCAAAAACATCTGGTACACTGACTTGCTCAGAATGCTTGGCTCATTTTAGCTTTGAATTCTCCAGACCAAAGACACCGTTGCTAATCACATGATTCGGGGCAAGCTCTTGCATAGTTACATAAGAGACGCTCAGCACCAATACATTGCTCACAATGGCTGAGAATGGCACAAAGACACCAGACCATGCCGGAGCTGGGGGCTGCTAGCACAAGGCTTGCCCCGAATCACGTGATATAGTAACAGTCTCTTTGGTCGGGAGAATGCAAAGTTAAAACGTGCAAAGCATTGGATCAAGTCATATGACATATGACAATGAGAAATACACCTGAAAAAAAAAAAATATGTTTGAAAAACTCTGAGTTTACCTTCAACTTTGATAGTGAACGGGCAAGTCTTTGAATTGCCTGAGGAATCCGTGCTGATACAAGTGACGATGTTTTCTCCGACACGGAGTGCTGTACCAGATGCTGGGGTACAGCTTACAGGTACGGTACCATCAACCTTATCGATGGCCGTTGGCGTGGTGTAAACCACGGCGGCAGTTGGCTGACCTGGGTCCGTGGGCTCGGTCATGGGGATCGGGCAGTCAAATTCTGGTGCCTCGTTATCTGAACAAATAAACAAAGAAACAAAGGGCTTATGTTATGTTCATAACGTTCAAGATGAAAACAGGGTTCGAAATTAGCGGTAGCCTGCTAGCCAAATGCTAGTCAAAACAGCGGCGGGCTAGTCAAACTATTCCTTAAGTAGCCCGGCTGGCGAGTGAAATATTATTGGGACACGGCAAAGATGAACGTACAGGAAGAAATAAATCATTAAATTCAGAAAGCAAACCTGTATCAATTTGGGTCTGATCTTATCAACTGTTTGAAAAGGTTGAATTATTAGATCTGTTAATCAAAAGCACTGACAAAATTGCCTCAGAAATGAGCCTGAAAATACGCCATTTTGTATTTCAGATAAGAAAAAAGTGCGGGCTAGTAAAAATGCCCGCAAGCTAGTTAAAGAGTCTGTTTCAGTAGCCGTACTGGCTAGTGAACAAGAAAGTTAAGGTCGAATCCTAATGAAAAGTTTGCAGGGTTACTTTTGAGTTGCAAAATTATTGAGTGATTTAAAATTCATGAACACTGTACACTGAGGGCACACCTCAATTTGTGAAGGTAGAAAGATACAGATTTATGACTACATCTTACCAGTTACGTCAACATGGAACGTGCACGTCTTCTGGTTGTTGGCACTGTCAGTGGCAGAACACGTGACCTTTGTATTTCCAATCCCGAATTCGGATCCCGACGGTTTGTCGCAGTTGACTTGCAGACCGGAGTCCACGTTGTCCGTGACGACTGGCAGCGTGTAATCTACCGTGGCGAAGTTCTTGCCCGGGTCCACGTTCACGTCCATCGGGATTGGACACTCAAACTGTGGATCCTCCCGATCTAGAAATGCAAATAAGATACAAAATTACACACTAACTATAACGATGTTTACTTTAAAGATACTCAACCAAAATTGCACAGAAATGTGAGGTATATATACATGATGCACTTGAGTTTCAAAACACAATACAAGATTTGAGTTCAAATTCACTATTTCAAATCCTAGATTTTACCTTCAACGGTAATAGGGAACTGGCACGTCTTGGTATTGCTGGCAGTATCCGCGGCAGTGCACTCAATGGTGGTCGTTCCAACGCCGATCACAGCGCCTGATTCCGGTGTGCAGGTCACTGCAATGGTACCGTCGACGTTATCCGTCGCGGTTGGCACAGTGTAGGAAATGACGGCAGTCGAGAGACCAGTGCTGGTGGCCACAATCATTTGGATTGGGCAGTCGAACTTGGGAGCCTCGTTATCTGAAGGGAACAAGCACAAACAGACATTCATAAAAATACGAGCCTTCCGAGAAGTTGCTTGCATTATACATTATACCAAGAACCTAGAACAATCATGTACGCCATCCTGCGTTATACAATTATATTCACATATTCGATATGTGGCACATGAGTGTTTTTGCAGAATTTTATAACTACAAAAGGCTTCAAACTGCTAAAATGATTTGAACAATAAACCGCCGTCGACAAAAAAAAGTTAATGTCGACACGAAAATGGCACCTGACGATAAAACACTGCAACTTTACAATACAAAACATCACAGTTGTTGGTGTATGTGTGTCGTTTTTTTTGTTTTCGAATATTCGAACTGGCAAAAAGCTGTCCGAAAATACTCGTTTGTGAACGAATAGCCCTGAAAGGTCAATACAATTCGGGCGATTCACAATGCAGTGCGCCACCAAGAGTTTGCCAATGAAAGATCACTTTTCCCAGTGCACTCTGGGAGATGGTTCAACAAATTTGCAAAGACATTTGAAATTGTTAGTTTTTCCGGTCAGTAGTTTCGTAAGCGTTTGATTCGAGGATCTTTTTGCCCGCTTCTTTTCTAGTCGTCAATGTGGTGTTCGTTTTGTAAGGCGGCAGAACGCTATGCCCTAATCTAGAACAAATTAGCTCAAGTTGTCAACTGCACACTCATTTAAATGGTTTCTGTTTTGTCGACCGTAAACTTAAAAAATGAAGTCTCCGTGGCAAACTCTTGGCGACGCACTGCATTGTTTATTCCCCGAATTGAACAGAAATGTAATCTGACAAGTTCTTACCTCCAACTACAACGGGGAATGAGCACTTCTTTGAGTTGCCGGCAGTGTCGGCGGCCGTGCACTCGACATCAGATCTACCGATCGGGAATTGGGATCCCGGCGGCTTGACGCAGGTGACTTGCACGTTGGAGTCAACGTTGTCGGATGCTACCGGGGTCTGGTAGACCACCGTCCCGAAGTCCTTGCCCGCGTCCACTATGGCGTCCTCCATAGGGAGGGGACATTCAAATTCGGGTGCTTCCTTATCTGTGAACGAATTAATTCGGCCAATGGTAACCATTTCATGTGGATTCCTTTGGGGAACTAACCCACCAGGCCGGTTTTTATGTGAAACCTCTATGAGAGAACGCGGCGAAAAACTCATTAAAAACAGGCCTTTTTTTCATATCTGTCGCCACCACTTCATTATTGGACAGAGTATACCTTAGTTCTTACTACAGAATGACCCTAACAATATACTCTTTCAGAAAATGAAAGAAAAAATGAATAAACCACTGATTTTCACTTGCGAAATGATGTTAAACACTGCATTTTTAGTCAAAAATCTCCTTTTTGTGTGTTCAGCCAAAAACTGGTCCATTAACATCATCACAACGTTAAATAGCGCCACCTGGGAGCTTAGATCTCCCAAGTCATTTTTCTTCATCTCGTCAGCTTTCCAACAATATAACCCCTATTGTGATTGGTTGAGGTTTAGGCTCGCGTGTATTCATTTACAAAAGCATTGTTCATCTAAACTCAAACATCATGAAGTGAAATTCCAATGTGGAGTTGCTAACCTGTTTTCCCAAAATACACATACAGAATTTTCCCAAAATAATTTGTTACTCCTCTCTACACAGGAAAGTTGTCTAACAATTTGTACCAAGGAAAGAATCGTTAAAAAAATCCTGCAAAATTTGGCATAAAAAATAACATTTGAAGTCGTCATTTTTCCCATAATACAATGCTAACTTCCTTTTGACCCACCATACATTTTTAAATATCTCTCAAATAAGCAGTTACTGAGTAGTTTTCAAGAATTACAAAAAAAGAGAACAGTTAAAGGAAGCAAAAATTGAAATTTGCCAAGCTGAATTACCAAAGATATAACTGTAACTACAAAAGTGAAGAATAACCTCCAAGTTTTTACCTTGAACCGTAATTTCGAATGGGCAAGACTTCTTATTGCCCGCAGAATCGGTAGCGGTGCACTCGACAGTGGTTGTTCCCACTTTCAATGGTGTTCCGGGTGCCGGAATGCATGTTACTGGGACGCTACCGTCCCCGTTATCGGTTGAAGTCGGTACGGTGTAGGATACCGTGGCGGTCGAAAAACCCTTGTCCGTGTTTGAGGTCATATCGATAGGGCAGTCAAATTCTGGTGCTTCGTTATCTAAAAAAAAAAAAAAAGTTAATGTAAAGATATATGTAGAGTTTCGTTTTGTAACTTTGTTTGGGTAATTCATACCTACATTGTTCTCGAAACAAAACTGTAACTGCGACCACACTGTAAACATGCGTACATGAAGACTAACAGAATCTCAATATAATTCCTTATTTAATACAAATAATAATACATGTCATACTATTTTATTCTTGATACAGCGTTTTACATTAAAATCGCAAAAGGCTTAACACAACCTCAAAACCACACAAAAGTAAACCAGTAATTCAAAAGTAATTAACACCCTTTTAGAAATAAATATCTTAAGCTGTGATTTTTAAAAGTTCCCAAGTTTAATAATTCTCAAATAAGCTGAAGGTCTGTTCCATAGAGTCCGTGCATAGATGGCAAAAAGCATGGTCACCGTATGCCTTGCTACAATCCTGGCCAAATCTCGCTTGGCCCCCAAAAAGGGTCTTGACCTCAACCCGCACCGTAACTAGAAGCCAATGTACTTCCTGAAGTATGGGTGTCACGTCTGCATGACGATCTGTTTTGCTCTTTATAACTAATCGTGCAGCGGCATTGATGAGTTCATTGCAATTTCTCAAACTGATAATTGCAACAACCCAAAAACTACCGTAAATCCAATTTTGTTGTCTTACCCTCTACTTCCACAGGGAATGTGCAAGCTTTGGAGTTGCCAGCGTTGTCTGTGGCAGTGCAACGGACCTGCGACGTTCCGACGGGGAACTCCGAGCCGGATGCCTTCTCGCAAGTGACGGTGACAGTTTCGTCCACGTTGTCGGTTGCCGATGGCAGGGTGTAGTCGACAACCGCAGACTTCTTGCCAGCGTCATTAGGAATGTCTTCCATTGGGATTGGACAATCGAACTTGGGTGCTTCATTGTCTGGAAACGAAAAAAGAATGACCAAACAATAAAACTTGTACTTGAGATAACTTCAATGCATGTTACTACTGTTGAATGTGACTCTTCGGGTTATAGCAGGTCAGCCAAGTGTTGAAAAATCCTCTAGAAAAAGTTTTTTTGGGTAATAGCTGGCAACCACGTTGGATCAATTATTTAATCCATAACAAACAAGATGTGGGTGGATGCCATCGTTAATTTTGACTCGAAATATTCCTAATTTTCATAAATCGGTAATACCGGCCGTGTAATATATTTGTCCCCATATTTGGGTATATTTTTTATTATTTTTTTTCGTTTTTTGAAAAATTTATTTTGGTGATTCTACTTACACATCCTTACTTCAATAACCTTTTCTAAAAGCATCTAAGTGACTGAATAATTATAGTATATAGCTATACCACGACACAAAAATTGCGAAAACCGTTCTTGAACTGTTACCTTCAACTGTGATAGTGAACGGGCATGATTTTGAATTGCCAGCTGCATCGGCGACGGAGCACACGACAGTGTTTACGCCTACTGGGAATGCTGAATTGGGCGCCGGTTCACAGGTTACCGGGAGGTCGCCATCAACGTTATCGGTCGCTGATGGTAGACTGTAGAATACCTCAGCAGTTGGCAGGCCCTCGTCCGTGTCTTCGGTCATGGGTAAGGGGCAGTTGAACTTGGGTGCCTCGTCGTCTAAACAATCGGTGCAAAACGCAGAACAATTGGTACAAAGAAGAATAAAGAAAACGATAGGCCTGTGGTTTAATGTCAACATGACTGAAACTTCTGCCAGACTTTCATGAAATTGCAGTATTCCCTTGCAGGGGTGGTGGAACCGGGGGGGGGGGGGGGGGGGGGGGGCGACACTTGTTCATTATTTGTCCATCTACAACATGTACGGATGCTTATTCTAATTCACTGTCATCACAATGTTTCTCTTTTATGTTGATTGTTTGTTTTGAATTTAAATTTGCACTTTCCTCTCGTTATAAACTTGTCACACTTTTTCATTTTGTGCATGAATTGGTGACAAATGTGGACCGAAATATTAAAGTGATTATCTGTTTAAAAAAAAGCATTCCAAAAGGCAAATGAAATGAATGAAATGCACTGCCAATTACAGATTTATAACATCTTTGTTATCCCTCTTTGAAGAATTATATTGACCTAGACATTGCATGTCTTAAAGCTATAGTCCATCATTTGTAATTAGTGCATTTTGTTCGTTTGAAGCAACAAAAGTGTTCAAAATCTAATGAAGGATACTGAGCAACTAACCTGATGAAGTTTCAGCTAAGCTTCAGCTGTACATTCCGAGAAAAGCAGCATTTCTAAGATCTCAATTTCAAATCAAAAGTTACTGAATCATGTTTTCAATTGTTTTGAATTGCAGCTATACGCGGCGTCGCGCACTGATCCGACGAATTATAACAACCGCGCGCGTGTGTGCGTCGTTCCAATTCTGGTGCGCGCTGCACTGAATAACAAAACGAACTACTAATTTAAATTTTCCTACGGTGCTTCTTAAGAATCACCGTTGGAAATGCCTTCTTTCGTTGATTACTTCAAAATGACAGCTTCCCAGAAAGAATAATTTCACAGGGAGTTTAGTTCCCTTACTATCTTTCAACCAGGTTTGTTTTTCAACAGTAATTACGCCAGTTACTTTTCGGATGGCTGCAAATGATGGACTATAGCTTTAAAAGTTACAAATGGAAAGAATTTGCATTCCTACAATGCAGCTTACAAAAAGTGAAATAGACAAATATATATAAAAAAGTTCACTGTGACATCTCACCCCGGACTTCAATGGGGAACGAACACCTCTCGGAATTTTTGGCCTTGTCAGTTGCAACGCAGGAGACACTGGTCGGCCCAAGGGGGAACTTGGAGCTCGGTGCCGGGACGCAGTAGACCGGGATGTTGGAGTCCACGTTGTCGGTTGCGTCGGGGAGGAGGTATTCCACGATGGCGTACGCCTGACCGGGGTTGACTGATATGCCAGACATGGGGATTGGGCAGTCAAACTCAGGCTTTTCCTTATCTATAGAGAACAGAAAAAAATAGCTCAAAATAGCGAATTATTGTGGAGAGCCAAAGTCTGACACCGGCCAGTGTGTCGATTGTCAAGATTGACCTATGACCTAAGGGGATGTACATCATTGGCTTTTGTTGTAATTTACAAAAAGGAACTATTTGAGGGGTTAAAATAATAGATCAAATATTGTTACACTGACATGTTTGAAGTTTTGTGTTCGAAAATGCTGGAAAAACAAAAAACAAAAAAAAAATGTTCAAGTAGTCTGGTTCCCCGACTCCACTAAAGATGAAATGGATCTATTTATAGATGTTGGACAATTGTAAAGGGAACCAGTCTAGCTGGCCTGCAGCCGTTCATGAACATGTATACCAATAGCAAACAAACTTTGGACTGGGAAAAAAAAATGGTAAATTTGGAGCAGTAGTTGAACAATAGTTAGGCTTTTCCAATGGTGGTCGACCGACCACCGTTGGAAATTTATACACAAAATACCACTTTTCTCGAAAATGACTTCACTCTTGGTACCATAATTTTACAGGATGCTTTAGACTGTCATTTACCAAAATCCTAGTAAGGTATTTCGTAAAAATTTGGTAGTTTTGTTTTCAATGTTTGCAAATGTTCCCTTTAAATATCTACGGACTTACCAACAGGGTGCTGCATTAGGCACGCTGCACGAGTGTGCAGGGGGAGTTGGCCAATCAAAATAAAGGGGAGGCGGCAACCAAGACGCATAGCAACCAATAAGATATTCGAAACATGAGGCCGTTGCTTGTCCTCATATACATGTGTGTTATGAGGTCAGGACTCCAGTCGAAGCCCCGCCCACTCTTTGTGTAAATTTCTCACAGTACTTGAGACCGAGTTTGACCGAGCTTTCCTGGTCACCTGACCACAAGTTGTGATCTGATTGGTCAATGCTCACAGTTTGATAGACAGGCAGAAAGGACCCAGTACAATATTGGTATCTGATTATGGTAACCACTCTTGCCTAGGGACACGAGATTATATGGGACACAAGATTATGGTAACCACTCTTGCCTAGGGACAGAGATTAGAAAAGTCTTCGAGCTGTACATGACAGTCTAAGCTTAGGACATTTTATAGTCAGTCAGCGACTCAGACAGTAGGCAGTGACTGGAGTCTAGCGAAATCTGCCAGCCGATTTTACCTTCAACGGTGATGGTGAATGGGCATATCTTGGTATTGCCCTTAGAATCGGTAGCTGTGCATGTGACGTTGTTTACTCCGACGCTAAACACTGTATCCGGTGCCGGGGTGCAGGTAACTGGTACTTCGCCGTCCGCATTATCAGTGGCTGTAGGTATGACGTAGCCTACTACGGCTGATGGGAGACCGCCGTCCGTGGGTACAACCATGGGAATTGGGCAGTCGAACTCTGGTGCTTCGTCATCTGAGATAGTCAAAAGAGACAAAATGAAAATATCTGCTTGTTTTCCCAACCAATAAAACATAAAATTCCCATAGACACTAGTGCTAAATGCCTATATTTCAAAATTCTTTTAAAAATACTCAGAACTCTCACAGGTATTTAAGCTGCACAGAAAAATGATGATCAACATGTCATCTTTCATTTTCCTTTAATTTTTTTGGTGGGTTGACTATTGAACTTTGGGAGGAAATTCACTCAAAGAAGATGACCCCTATTTTTCCCAAAGCGGAAAAGTAGCCATCTTGAAAAACGATCCCTTCGCAACGTGGCAAATTAGTGCCACTTTTGAGCCCAATAGCATCCAAAATGCTCAGAATTGAAAGTACCAAGTCCGGGCCAGAGGTTCATTACCAGATCTCTTTAATTCCCCAATTATATGGCTCTCAGAACTCTCTAATATAGAACATTTTGAGGGTTTAAATTTTATTCATGAGCTCGGCGGATGGGTTTAAGCCTATTTACCGGTGTGCACCCAATTGTATCCCATAGTCTTCGTGCACAAGTACCCCCTCAACAGTTTACAAAGGGAGAGTTGGGGGGGACCACTGGGAAGGACATTCAAACGCATTGCTGACAAAACCTACGCTCACGCGAAGACGCTATGGCAATGTGTACACTCAGAATAAAGTCCGTTGTACCTACTTCAAGCTTTACTTGCGTGACCCTGTATGCACATGTGGTGTGACCCATCTATGGGGTTCTCAAAAGTGGTAAAAAACGCCCTCTCTTGTTCGGGCACGGAGCCGATAGGCTGGTGCCTACTCACTCACCTGTAACTTCAACACGGAACGTGCACTCCTTGGAGTTGCCGTACTGGTCACTGGCTGTGCATGTGATCACCGTCACTCCGAGCTGGAACTCAGAGTCCGACGGTTTGTCGCAGGTGACGGTCGGCGCAGGGTCGGCGTTATCGCTTGCGATATTCAGGACATAACCCACAGTGGCAAAATCTTGGCCCTGATCGACTGAGATGCTTGTCATGGAGATCGGGCATGTGAACTTGGGTGGCTCGTTATCTGGAACAAACAAAAAAAATCACCCTGATTCCTACAGACATACAACTGAGCAGTAACATAAAATGGGAATTTTAAGAGCTTTACAGCATTTCATAAAGTGTTTTTTCAACTTTTTATGGCATAAGTGTGAAGTGGGAAATGAGAAAATTAGCTGATTTGAGGAAAAATTGCATGCCTGCTAAGAGATTAACACCAATTTATCATGTTTATTGGGACCAAAATCTGAATGATATGTATTTACTGGGCTTTTAAAACATTTAAGCTGTGCACAAAACTAAAAATGACTACTCTCTACTTGAAATGTGAGAATTACTTAATGTCTGAGGTGCACTTTTAAGCAGCCAAAACAAAGTTGGTCTTCCGTACTATTTTTGAGATTCGCCTGAACAAATGGATTTTTTAATTTTAAATTGCACTTTTTCTTGCGATAGGAATGTTATTCACTTTTTTTTTGGATCAGACATATCGAAGGAGAATATCCACCCATAAAAGTTATTACAAGTACTCAGTAACATTAAAAAATATATGGAATATACCCCTTTAAGATTTCGATTATTTACGATATGACAATAATTCAGGCAGATCATTCTGTGTATTAGGACAAAAGAAACCACAAATTTGAGTGGAAGGGTGCTAACCCCCAAAATTGAAAATCAAGTAGCTTTTAATTAAAATAAAAAATAAAATATATAATTGTTAGTGGAACATTTTTTTTTTAAGAACATGGGAAAAGCAATTTTAACAAAGGCAATACTTCTGGCCGGTTCATAATACACGCAAATGCAAAATGCAAATTAAATGCAATGAAATGTTCACACAAACATTTGGACAGATTGAAATGTGTTCGTCTGTTGCAACTTTGAAGCATGAAAACTTGACATGACGTCACAAATTTCATATTTACCTGTCACCTCGACAGTGAACGTGCATTTCTGCCTGTTGGTAGACACGTCCCTAGCTCGGCAAGTGACCAGATTGGATCCGATGTCAAACTGCGTATCCGGCTTCAAATCGCAATTGACCTTGGGTTGCGGGTCAGCGTTATCGGTCGCGGACGGGATATTGTAGTCTACGGTGGCAAACGCTTCACCGGCGTCTACGAACTCGCTCATGTCATTCGGGCAAGTGACTTTTGGTTTTTCGTTGTCTGCAAAGTGAAATTTAAGGTCAACGGTCAAGTTATTTCAATACAGAAACAAAACCATCACCTTTCTATGACTCTTGGTTTCTTCCATTTCTGGAATTAACGAAAACCCTTCTTGTTGATAAAAGACAATAACAGCAAACTGCTGTGATTTGGGAAAATATATGCTTACTATAATTTCCATAATTTCATCGTCAACAATTTAAAAATTGTCTAATATTGTACTTTATTTGTTCATTACAATAAAAAAAAAATTCCGTTGCATGGAGCCCAACTGCACCATGCTTTTATTGATTTAAAGTTGCCTTGAGACTAAAAGTGTATTTTTTTTGGAGAAAAGAAAGGTTTTCAAAAGTAAAGGACTCACTTGGAAATAATCTTGGCCAAATATCACACAGCACTTTCGGATGAAATTTTTAAAAACTTTTTTCACTATAGATCTGTGTTCCAAATCTGTAGTGCGGTCCAAAGGTTACAGCGTCCGACTCATGGGCAATAGTTTACTACAATTGCCTTTCTCCACACAGGGGTATAAACGGATATAGGAAACCCCACTGATTTCCGGCCCTTTGTACAGGGTTAATAATTGTGAAGTGCTTTGGGATATTAGTATAAGGTGCTTCATGTACCTTGGACCTCGATAGTGAACGAACAGTTCTTCTTGTTGTGCGCTTCGTCGACGGCAGTACACACCACCGGATTGACTCCAGCGTTGAAAATGGAGCCGGGAGCCGGGGTGCAGGTTACCAGCGGATTGGCGTCCCAGTTGTCGATCGCAGCCGAAATGTCGTAGGCCACGGTGGCAAAGGATTGGCCGAGATCCATGTCTTCAATCATGGGCTGCGGGCAAGTAAATTCTGGTGCCTCGGTATCTGTAAAGGACGGGCCAAAAAAAAAAAAGTCAAAATGCTGAGAAAACCCGAGAACTTCACCAGAAAACAACCAATCCCTGAGTTATCTAACTGTGAAGTGTTCTGTCAAAACAGATGAATGTGGGTCATTCTATAAATTTGGGGTCCACTTTTTTTCCTGTCCCTGTTACATCTGACGTCTATAATTTTATAATTCTGGTGCACTCCTTAATGCAGTCGTACTCCAAGAGTTATTGAGTATAACAAACTACCTACCCGACAAATAAAACTCGTTTGAAATCATCCTTAAAGGGAATATATATAACATTTGCTTTGGCTGTAATTGTCACAAATCGATGGATTTGGGGATTAGTATTTTATAGCAAATATTGTTACACTAAACATATTAACATTTTTTTGGTCGTAGATGCTGGAAAAACCAAGAAAATAAATCGTGTTCTTGTAGTCTGGTTCCCTGACTCCACTTCAGATGAAACGGAGCAATTTATAGACGTCAGGGAATTGTATTAAGTCGGGGAACCAGACTAGCTGGCTTGCAACTGTTCACAGATATGTAACCGATTGCAAACAAAATGTGGACTTACTATAAAATTTGGTAAAGCGGGGCAGTATTTAAAGTAAAAAAAAAAAAGTTTTATTTTTTTTTAACGATGGTTGGCCGACCGATGTCCATCGTTGGGAATTGATACAAAATTCAATCTTTCTTGAAAATGTCAGCACACCAGGTGCCATGATTTTACAGGATGCTTAAGACTGTCATTCACCAACAGTCCAGTAAGGTATTTCATAATTTGGACATTTTGTTTTTGATGTTTGCAAATTACCTTTAATGATATTTGCACGGCAAATTACAAAGTACCAAGGTAACAGGGACAGGAAAAATTCCGCACTTTGGATCCTAAATGTATAAAACGACTCTTCTGAGCAAAGTATGAAAAGGAGGTATGACCAAAACTTGATATGGGTAGACTTAAAAAAAAACAAGTCAGGTGTGTTTACAAACACAAATGCCCCGCAACCGTGACTGTTTCCATGACATAACACCACTCTAACATCAACTTACATGTACCTTGGTCAAATGGAACGTTCATTGACAGCATTAGTGTCCTCTGTAGGTTTTATATGAATTAATCCCTAATCCCTATGATCTCAGAATAAATACAAGATTTCTATTGTTTTAGCCACTGTGACCTTGACCCTTGACCTTTCGACCCCAAATGCGATAGGCTCCTTAGGATTGCCAAGGACAATCCACAAACCAAATTTGAAGTTCATATGTAAAGTATTTCTCAAGTTATCGCGCTGACAAAATTTCTATTGTTTCAGCCACTGTGACCTTGACCCTTGACCTTTCGGCCCCAAATGCAAAAGGCTTCTTAGGATTACCAAGGACAATCCACAAACCAAATTTGAAGTTCATATGTTAAGTATTTCTCAAGTTATCGCGCTGACAAAATTTATATTGTTTCAGCCACTGTGACCTTGACCCTTGACCTTTCGGCCCCAAATGCAAAAGGCTTCTTAGAATTGCCAAGGACAATCCACAAACCAAATTTGAAGTTCATATGTAAAGTATTTCTCAAGTTATCGCGCTGACAAAATTTCTATTGTTTCAGCCACTGTGACCTTGACCCTTGACCTTTCGGCCCCAAATGCAAAAGGCTTCTTAGGATTACCAAGGACAATCCACAAACCAAATTTGAAGTTCATATGTTAAGTATTTCTCAAGTTATCGCGCTGACAAAATTTATATTGTTTCAGCCACTGTGACCTTGACCCTTGACCTTTCGGCCCCAAATGCAAAAGGCTTCTTAGAATTGCCAAGGACAATCCACAAACCAAATTTGAAGTTCATATGTAAAGTATTTCTCAAGTTATCGCGCTGACAAAATTTATATTGTTTCAGCCACTGTGACCTTGACCCTTGACCTTTCGGCCCCAAATGCAAAAGGCTTCTTAGGATTACCAAGGACAATCCACAAACCAAATTTGAAGTTCATATGTTAAGTATTTCTCAAGTTATCGCGCTGACAAAATTTCTATTGTTTCAGCCACTGTGACCTTGACCCTTCACCTTTCGGCCCCAAATGCAAAAGGCTTCTTAGGATTACCAAGGACAATCCACAAACCAAATTTGAAGTTCATATGTTAAGTATTTCTCAAGTTATCGCGCTGACAAGATTTGTCCGGACACACACACCCACACACCCACCCACACACACACCCACACACCCACCCACCCACGGAAGGACAAGGCGGAAACAGTATGCCCCTTCGGCTTCGCCGCGGGGCATAAAAAAGTGTGTTATCTTACATACATCTAAAATATTCACACACAAAATGGTCCAGGTTGTAATTCTTGAATTTAAAGACGATTTTTAGAGATTTAACAGTCGACAAAATGTGTAGCCAAAATTGTAACACTTTTTTTCTGTTTTCAACTTTGAAACATCGCAGGGCTTCTTCGTTTGGTAGTTTTGGATTTAGTGCTGCCTGCATGTTGTAATAGCAATCAGTCATTAGAAACCCAATTCTCACATACAACACCGCAAATCTTTGAGTTTGACGGAGTGGTTTTTTTTCAATGGCTATTGTTACGGAATTACAAAATGAAGTTACAAATCTATGAGATTTTAAATTACTACAGTGTTTGAAGCATTTTGGTAGCTCAATAGGACAGATGTGCATTTTCGAGTGCTGAAAGTGCAGGGTTCGAATCTCGGAGAGAACTTTTTGTTGAACATTTTCTTACTTATATTGTAAAGCACTTCGATCTAAGTTAAAATTGTTTTATTCGAACACGTTGTTATTATAATTGTTATAATGTGCATAAACTGGACTTTGAACAAAAGCGTTAAAAAAAAAAAAAAAAATTTTTTTTTAAATTGGTCTACAATTTATTAACAATAAAAATAAACTCGCCAAGCTTAGACAAAGTGTGTGCAATGGAGACAAATAAATGTAGCTAGTTGAGTCAGGCTTTACTCTTAACCTACCTTTAACGACCACAGTGAAGGAACACTCGTTTGAGTTGAGCGCATCATCGGTGGCGGTGCAGGTGACTATGTGGGCACCAATCTGAAATTCAGAACCAGACGCCGGTTCGCACGATACAACCGGATTGGGGTCGGTGTTGTCGGACGCAGTCGCATCCTTATAGATCACGGTGGTAGTTGCAGAGCCCAGATCAGCCGATTGGGGCATGGATGTCGGGCATTCAATAGTCGGCCCTTCATTATCTGGAAAGTAGAACAGCCATGCATTGGCACTTGTATTACACCATGTTGCATTACATTTTTCCCTAAAACTATAGAGAAATGGGACAGTTTTGGGTGATATAACGACTTCTTAACTTGTAAGTATTTCAGGGTACCTGCACCTTAATATACAAATGGATGACTTTTTCATGACTTTTCCCATGACTTTTCAATGACTTTCCCATGACTTTCCATGACTTTTTCTTGACTTTCCAATGACTTTTTCTTGACTAATGACTTTTTCATGACTTTTCAATGACTTATTCATGAATTTACCATGACTTTTCCATGAACTTACCATGACTTTACCATGACTTTTACATGACTTTTCAATGACTTTTCCATGAACTTACCATGACTTTACCATGACTTTACCATGACTTTTACATGACTTTACCATGACTTTTACATGACTTTACCATGACTTTTACATGACTTTACCATGACTTTTACATGACTTTACCATGACTTTACCATGACTTTTCCATGACTTTTCCATGACTTTTCCATGACTTTACCATGACTTTACCATGACTTTACCATGACTTTACCATGACTTTTACATGACTTTTCCATGACTTTTCAATGACTTTTCCATGATTTTCCCATGACTTTCCCATGACCTTTCCATGACTTTTCAAAGACTTGTCCATGACTTTCTCATGATTTTTTCCATGACCAAATCAATAAAATCCATGACCTGTTTCATCAGAATGCAGATCAAAACTGCAAAACTTGTTCCGTAAAAAGCGTGTTACAGAAATGAGAATAACATGGGGTAAACATCTGAAATCAAAATGCTTGTATCAGCAAAAAATTTTTTTTTTAGGAATATACACAGTTTAAAATTGAAAATAATTCTCACAAAATTCTATGTCTTTCCTATGACTTTGTTATTTTTACAAATTTGCATGACTTTTCCAGACCGGGAAACTACAGAAAAAAAAATGCATGACTTTTCCAGTTCTGCAAGAAAATGCATTACAAACAGATCTGCCTTTCCAGTAGACCAGTTCCTGGTTCCTACGTTATTGATTCCAATAGAGGGCAGAAACCATGTAGTCTACCCTACAAGAACTGAGATTACTGTCACGCAGCAAATTATCCAACATTTGTAACATATTATTGTTTCATAACGAAATGTGGGCCGATTTGCTCCATTGCTCATTCCTAGGAAGATACAGACTTCAAAAGAACTTTTTCCCCCCCGAACCCCCCCCCCCCCCCCTAACAAAACCAGACTGCCAATCTTTCAAGTACCTTCTACCGTGACTGTAAATTTGCAAGTGTTCTGGTTGCCGGCATCATCATCAGCGGTACAGATGATCTCATTCGGACCGACGGACAGCTGCGATCCAGACACCGGCTGGCAGTCCACATCTGGAGCAGGGTCTGCGTTGTCGCTTGCAATTGGCTTCTTGTATTGGACTGTGGCAAAGTTTTCGCCAGTATCTACCGGCTCCGTCATGGCAATTGAACAATCCAACTCTGGCTTTTCGTCATCTGAAATTGTACGGAATTGAAAAAAAAAGTAAGTAAACTTTACTTTGTTTTTAGTGCATTAATGCCTCAGATGTACGCTTTTCCAAAAATCATCAAAAGTTCATGGTAAATACGTCTGAATAAACTGACTCTTCAACTTCAAATTTTAATTGATAGTACTCCCTGAATTGGTCACATGTAGCCCAAGTGATAGCATGTCTATATTAAAAATGCCTTCAAAAGAGTTCGGTTTAAACAAGAAAATGACAATTGGAGGTCCACGATGTAATATGTGCCTGGCTATCCTTTAATTCTGAGGACTTGAAACAAAAGGTTTTAAACCTCAGGAATAACACCAACTGGACATGAGTCAAAGTTCTTGTTAATGTACAAACCTAACGGGACACGTCAAGAAACATTTGAAATCCAAACGAAGGATCCAAAGAAGGGAGCAGTAACGATCCTCAGTAGAATAGAATTTGTGTGAGTGTACAAGTATTACATTCACTGTGTGGACTTCCGAACAAAAGATGTCCACATAAACCAGGTAGCAGCGACGTTGTGTGGACTTGCCCACGTCCACACAGTTTTTCCCCCTCTCTGGAAAACAGGTTTAGAGGCATTTTGGGGTTAGGTTTATGTCTCGCAGAATGAAGAGAAACACTCAAGGGAATCATATAAAAAAAATTGAGTTGAAAGAGTTTTCACAGTATAAGTAAAATGAGGGGTTTTTTTACAGGTTTTTCTTAACTACACGAAAACAAAGGAATGTTAACACTAGGTATTTAACGTAAACATGGGCGTGTTGATCAATTCACCAAAGCAGTTATTCCCGGACAAAAAGGGCTAGGCTAGGCAGCGAAGTGGCCCTCAAAACTTCAATCGCAGCGTACCTGTAACGTCGATTGTGAACGAGCACGACTTTTCATTGCCAGCGTTGTCTCTGACTGAGCACACGACAGTGGTTTGGTCCAACGAAAACTCCGAACCGGGTGGTTCGAGACAGGTAACCACTAGAGTGGCGTCCACGTTATCTGTGGCAGTCGGAACTTCGTAGTTGATGCTGGCAAATGGCTTGCCAATATCGGTCGACTCACTCATGGGCATTGGACACTTCATTTTTGGCTCCTCATCATCTGGAATAAAGGAATTATAAGGCCGAGTAAAAATGTACCCCAGTTTTTTGTCCCCGTCCACTTCCTTTTTCCGCCCACTTTTTTTCATTTGTCTTTTTTAAAAATTCATACATTTGCAATATATTTTGCAAATACATTGTCTATATATTGTCTTTTTATTTGTTCCTACAAAATTTGTAGCTATGTAGAAGAGGGTCACAGGTCCTATGGATACAATTTTGTATAAGCAGACGAGTGGAGAAAATAGAAGAATCCATCCGCCATCTTGAGAAAAAAAAAGGTGCCTGCATGCCTCCTTTATTTTTTTCACTAAGCCTGGATGAGATACTATTCTGTGTTTTTCACTCCGGTGAAGAACAGAAGTGTTTCACATATTTAAGTCCGTTTGATTTGTCTCAGAGAAGATGGCTCTTTTTTTAAGTCATTTGGAGCTATCCAAATAGTAACTGATGAAATTATTGTTGAAAAGCATACTTGGTTTAAAGATGGGGATGGCACTAAACTCCCTGTGAAATTATTCTTTCTGGCATGCTGGCATTTTGAAGAAAACTATAAAAGAGGGTCATATCCACAGATCCGTCTGCATGAGAATGAGAAGAACTTTGGCTGAATGCGAACGTGTCCCGGACGCTGATTTTGGGCGCAATTCAAAACATGACTCGGCAACTTCTGATCCTTAAATATCGTTTTCTCGGAGTATACAGCATTCACTGAGCTGAAACTTCATCAGGGGATAGTTGTTAAGCACCCTTTTTTTTTTAAATTATGAGCAATTTTGTTGCTTCAAACGAAAAAAATGCACAAATGACAAATGATATACTCTATCTACACAATTAAAATTGGAAGACATAACACGTGAGTAGAAGACCTCAATATTAAAACTTGAGTTCCGTTTACAAATTTCTGTTTAGAATTCAAAAGAAGTTTGATTTTTTTTTTCATACAAAAGCTTAAACTTGAAAGTTCACAACTTGAGTAGCTACTTAGGGTGTTTCTAATGCTTTGAAAATTAACATTTTCAGTTAACATTGATTCTTACCATGATAAAACTAGAACGCTGGAATTGCCAAGAACTAAAAGATAACTAAATCATTTAAATGATTGAAACAAGCAGGGATTGGATAAAGGCCCGTCTCAATCCATATTCGGGACGAGTTTCGGACAAATTGCCGGTAGAATCATTCACTTTGTCTGCAAGAAGCTCTGTATGTGTCCTGTTTGTGTTCCGGGGAAATTTTCATCAGCAACTGCTTGACCCACCAAAACTGATAACTTCAACCTTGGAAGATTGCGGGGAGGTTGTTCAGAATCCTTCAACTTGCACACGGTACAATGTCCGCAACCTTCCCGGAATTCGTCCCGGAAATGAATTAGGAAGGCCCCAAAAAACTCACACACCTCTAACATCAACTTGGAAGTTGCAACCCCTCTTGTTCTCTGCATCGTCAACCGCCTTGCACCTGACAGTGGTGCTACCGATCGGGAATGCTGTATTCGAAGCCGGAGTGCACGTGACAGTTGGATTGGGGTCGGCGTTGTCAGTTGCCGTCGCTAATTCGTAGATGATGAGGGCAGTTGCTAGGCCATCATCGGTGGTAACATCGGGCATCGGCAATGGGCATGTAATTCTGGGCTTCTCGTCGTCTGTGAATAAAATCCCGAATAAAACACAAAGGATTTCAAATGTTGACATGAAGACATGAATTTGGGTTGTTCTTCGGGGAGTCAGTCAGAAATTCAGTTAGTCAGGGAGTCGGAGAGTCGGTTGGTCAGTCAGTCAGAGGAAACGTCCGGCCCTTCAGTAGGGCCGTGTGTATTTTTCGAATAATTTAGTGTTCGATAAGTGCTTGGACTTGATCGTATATTTGAAATGCGCTAAACAAGTAAAACAGGCGACAGCCTAAACGGGCCGCTGATTGCGATTTGCGTGCACCTGCACTGGTAAAAATTGAAAGAGCTTATTGAAATCAAATTGAAAGAGCTTATTAAAATCATATCAAGAAGTGATATTTGAATGGCTGATATTTGACTGATTTTGAAGAAGAAATATGAGCTAATATTCCTCATGGAAGCTCAGAAATCATGCGCGAAAGTGGCTTTCCAAAAAGTGTCATTTGACAAACAAAAGAACAATGTCACTGATGCGATTGAAATAACTTTGTGGACGTGTTACATCTTCTCCTCAAGATCGCTGATTTTTTCGAATATTTGGTATAATATTAGGCACACCCCTGTTCCTTTACGTTCAGAAACAACACAACAACAATTTTAAGCTCATTATTATTGGACTTATTTTGCCTTGGGAAATTAAAACAATTGACAAAAAAAAAGAAAAAAGGTCTGTTTCTGTATAGCTGTTCCTACCTATGACTTTCACAGGGAAGGAGCATTCAGCACTATTTTGGTACTTATCCGTCACCGTGCATGTGACGACGTTATTTCCGATGCCAAATTGTGAATTGGGCAGTTTGTCGCAAGATACAATCGGGTTGTCGTCTGCGTTGTCGCGTCCCGTTGGTATCACGTAGTCCACCGTGGCGTAATCTTTGCGGCTGTCAGAAGAAAGACCCTCCATGGGATCCGGGCAAGTGATCTTCGGATCTTCCTTATCTGAAAACAAACAATCAATAACAAATTGCATCAATTTTATATTTTGTTCGTCACCAACTTTATTTTGTTAGCACTGTATACTCAGTCCTGTCCGAGGGCTCACATGAAAACAAAATTCACAAGCTTACTCATGTGGGACTTGAACCCACGACCTCCTGCTTACTAGTGCAGACGTCTTACCACGAAACCACTGAGCTTCCCAAGTTGGCTGGTTGGTTCGGATGCAGGGACTACTGCAAGCAACCAGTACTTTCCATGATGGAATTTTGTCAGTATTTTTCATGACGTAAATTCAAAGTCGATCTGTTGCATGGGGTGCATTCTGGAAACTAGGAAGGATATGGAAGTCCTCCACTGTGGCCCAAGAGCTCAAACTGAACATCTTCAAGACAGCCTGCCTACCCTGTTACATGGCTGCGAGACATGGGTCATCACCAAGTCCCTTGCCATATATCTTAACAGCTGTCTCACAAACTGCCACCGGATCATACTCGGCATAAAACGTCTTGAGAAGGTTACTAATACCATGCTGTACAACATCAGCCAGCAACAACCATTAACGACTGATCAAACTCCATACTTGCATCAGAAATCAATACTTGGGACATACCTGTGACTTCGACAGGGAATGTGCATGTGGCTATGTTTCCGTATTTGTCGGTGGCGGTGCAGATGACCTCATTGGCCTCGATCCAGAATTGGGAGCCCGGTGCCCGTTCGCAGGACACCAGTGGATTGTTGTCCGCGTTATCGGTTGGTACCGGTACAGTGTAGGTGACGGTTGCGTACGACTGGCCAAGGTCTGTGTTCTGGTTCATGGGGAGTGGGCACGTCAATTTGGGGCTTTCCTTGTCTGAAAAATGCAAAGGGAGATACTGAACACAATTTTGCTTGAATTTAATTAAAGTCAATTTTAAGTTTTATTTCAAATCAAGGCTACCCACAGACTGAGTTTTGGAGTATCATAATTAATGTGTCCAACTCCTGTGCAACGGTACATGGTGTTTGTGTTCCTGGGCAAGCCTGTTTACCCCAATTGCTTCTGTCCACCTATATATGAGTACCTAGGAGGGTAGGGACAGGATTGTACTGATCTCTAGGTGCTGCAGAAAACTGGTGTCATGGTCTGATGAACAGGAGTAATAATTCTAATGCACTGGAGATTTTGGTACAAGCAGAATATTACTATTACATTTATTATTATTAAATATTAACAATTTAACAAATTAAAGTTACTGTCAATTTTTTTAAAAATACATATTAAATATAAAAATAACTATAGTGGACAGCAATACAGGGTGAGTAAAAAAAACCCCAAATGTTGGGACCATTGTTTCAGTGAAGTTCTGCGTGTAGCAATTTCAAAATGTAGGATATGAAAGCCCAATTCATAAGCTTTCATTTAGCACAAGAATCATTTAAAGCAATTTTAAACACAACCACCGTTTTAAAGTTCTGTCCACGGATCACAAAAAAAAGTTCAGTGTTCTTTCAACAAAACGAAAACAAATCACATAGGGATATTTGCTGAAGGAACGCTCACCTTTTTTGTGATCCGTGGACAAAACTTTAAAACGGTGGTTGTGTTTAAAATTCAGCAACTTGAATTCAGTAATTTGAATGATTCTTGTACTGAAAGAAAGCTTTTGAATTGGGCTTTCATGTCCTAGATTTTGAAAGTGCTACGTGCAGAACTTCAATAAAACAATAGTCCCGACATTTGGGTTTTTTTTTTTTTACTCACCCTGTACAACGTTAACAATTTAATAATTTATCTGCCCTAATTTCTTCAGCATCAGAAAGAAAAAAAAAGATTTCTTGAAAACAGAACAAAATTAAAATTTCTAGCAGTAAAAAATATCAACAATTACCTTTGACCTCAATGAAGAATGAGCACGTCTTTGAGTTGCCGGTGTTGTCGGTGGCAGTGCAAGTCACCGGAGACGTTCCAATGAGGAATTGCGAGCCCGGTGCCTTGTCGCAGGTGACTTGTATATCCTTGTCGACGTTGTCGGTTACCGATGGTAGATCGTAGTTGACGGTGGCAAAGGCCTCCCCTGCATCGGCTGAAAGATCCTTCATGTTAATCGGGCAGCCAAACTGGGGCTCTTCTTTGTCTGCAAGAAAAAAACCCAATAAATAGCATCAGAGTAACGTTCAACAAAACTATTACTAAAATAAAAAAAAATGAATCTTCGCTGTAGATGAGTCCACCATATGTCCATCACAAGTCCTTCCACGAGTCCAGTCACAAGTAAGGCCCCAGTTGCACATCCAAGACCAAAGACCAAGACTCTGCCAAGACCATGTAGGAAATGTGGCGCCACATTCACATTTGGTCTTCTGAGCTGCAGTCTGCAGACCATGATCAAAATGTGCTGCGTTGTCGTCCCGAATGCTACGACTCCAAAACGACCTCAACTATTACGACTTTGTTATACGACACAACCGTTTGAGTACAGACAGAGAACAGACTTTGATTCGTTTTGGATTTTTTTCGACGACCATCACGATATGTTTCAACTGTTGAAACTAATCGTGGCTCCACTGCTGACCATGCACAACCTGTAGGATGCTAAAACGATGCTCAAGAAGTAGTTCCGATAAAGTTCAGATGTCGTTCCGAGTTTCACAATGTCGTCGAGTCTTGCATCTCAGCACTGTCTTATCATGATCGGGAGGCTACGTTGTGACAAGCCCTTTACAGAGGGAGGAACACTTACAAAGACATGCCTTTGTTACAATTCATTCGAAAAACTTGTGACATAAAATGAGATTGGAGGACTTGTGACGGACTTGTAAGTCTTTTTACTTAATCCTTCTTGCCTTTCGGAAAAATTCTACTCACATCAAAGCCAGGCCACCTAACTGTCCAATTGTTTAAAGTGTTACGGACAATTTGTTGAACTTAGTATTAAAAACAACATTTCATATTATCAAAAATTTGCAGTAACGATGGCAAGAACTGTTGCAATGTCAACACAACTAGACAATATACAAAGCTTGTACCTTCAACCGTAATTTTGAAGGGCACGTCTTCGTGTTGCCGGCAGAATCTGTCGCGGTGCACGTGACGGTGTTACTTCCCATGCCAAATGGTGTGCCCGGTGGTGGGTCACAGGTTACCTGTACAGTGCCGTCCACGGTATCTGTCGCTGTCGGGACAGTGTAGGATACCGATGCGGTCGGCTCACGCGGGTCTGTTTGTTCATCCATGGGCAGTGGGCAGTCGAACTTCGGTGCCTCGTTATCTGACAAACAAATCCATGAGTATTAATCAATGAAAGTAACGTCGCTGAGAAAAGGAGATGTCAACGGGCCCCTTGCCTTTCATGATGAAAGTATTCGCGCATTCAACAGAGGAACAAAGATCTGTCTCAGTATTGGACACTTTTGGTACGGTATCGATCAGAATAATGCACAAGTAATGAATGTTTATGAGTGCAATGGTAAGAATAACTACTGGGGTGACGGGATGTGAAATTCCACGCGGTGAAGCCGAGTGGACTGGAACATTCCATCTGTCACCGAATGAAATTATTCTTTCCGTAGCACGAATGTGAAACATTCATTGTTTGTTTTATGCAACGCTTGAGTAAATCCTCGTCATCTGATTGGTTTGATGTACACTGGTACTCTGAATGTACAGCATCAGAGCCATTAGAGCGGTGCCAAAGAACGCAACCAATAATGTGACTGTGCAATGGATGTTCTATTTACAATGCACTGAAATGAATAATTCAGTAACATGTGATCAAGGATCCACCAATCACATATCAGGGATTTATTCTGGCGTCGTACAAAATGAAAATCCCAACAATCAAGCTAATTATCTTTTTCATGATGGTGAAAATGAATTGAATAGGAAATCGCTTTTGTCATATGAGAACAATTCCTGCAGGATCAAAACGTCAGGCTCTCACTTAAAAAAAGATAATAATAAAATTAACTATCCTTCAAAAATGCCGCTGTCTAATCGTACCTCCGACTTTAATAAAGAAGGAACACTCTTTCGTATTGCTGGCCGAGTCGGTGGCACGACAATTGACTTGAGATTTTCCAATTGGGAATTGGAAGCCTGGTGGTTCGATACACTGGATTTGGAGGTTTGAGTCTACGTTGTCGGTTACTTCAGGCAGAGTGTAGGTGACCGTCCCATACGCCTGACCCGCGTCGACAGAGACATCCAGCATGTCAATGGGACACTCATACTCCGGTTCTTCATTGTCTGAAATTGGAATGAAAAACAAAACAAAAAGATTGCCGTGGCTTCCATAATGATGAAAAGCAACTTAAAGGCCTAAAGGATCAGTTGAATTTACCCCCAAAGCAGAATGATGGATTATTATAGAAAACCTTAGACCCCCTTTACACAGGGCTGCGAGCTTTGGGCCTCCCTTGTAAAACTGGCCAGGTCGCTGTTGGAGGCTCAAAGGAGGCCGAATGGTTGCCTAGGTCGTTCAAAGGTGGTACACAGGATGTTCAGACATCGCCATGGTCGCCGTAATTTTTTAAACATGTTCAAAACAGTCGCACAAAAGTTGCCGAGGAGGTTGCTTGCTCAAAGGTGGCTCAGATGAGGCAGAAGGGAGGCACAAGCATTGCCGTGGATGCAGAATGGATGCACACTGGTTGGCCAATGGTCGTAATAGATCCGTTCTGTTGCAAATTTTACCGTCTATCTGGGCGATATGCTTCTGCTTTCCTTGTGCCTCCTTTGGCCGACCAAAAGCGTGCATTGAACGATGTCTGTTGCAACCGCTGTGCCTCCATTCGGCATTGGTTGCCTTAAGTTGCACAGGGGAAGCACAGGGGAGGCAGGCAAGTGGCTCAGTGGACACACAGGTCACTCGTAGCGATCAAGTCATGTAAAAGCCAAAACAACTCAAGTCTGTCATACTGTAAAAAATTACAGAAATGTCACATCTGAACTAAACTCTTTGACTTTATTCGGAGATAAAATACGCCAAGGTTTTACCGTTAACTTGGATGGTGAATGGGCACGTCTTTACGTTGCCGGCAGAATCGGTGGCAGTACATGTGACGGTGTTTGGTCCGATGCCAAACGGTGTGCCCGGTGCTGGCGTGCACGTTACTTCCACGCCACCGTCCACGTTATCGTTGGCTGTGGGTACAGTGTAGGAGACTTGGGATGTTGGCTGACGTGGGTCCGTGTCTTCGGTCATGGAAAGCGGGCAGTCAAACTGCGGGGCTTCGTCATCTAACCGATAAAACAAAATCCAAACACAAATGAATGAAAACACCGGTTGGCCTACACTTTCACGGCAAGACTTGAGATTTCCATAAGATCATCAAAATCGTTCAGTTAATTAATCAGCATTGCTAATGTTCAATGTTTCATGACTTTGCTTGTGATCCCTGGCTACATGGCATAATGGTTAATGGCTTCGGACTCGCCCCTTGACATTGATACAATAGGAAACTGCCAGCACAGGGCTAGATTAGCTCAGTTGGTAGAGCACCGGAACGGCAATCCGGAGATCGCAGGTTCAAACCCCGCTTCAGTCATTGTCTTCGTTGAACATTTAAACTCATATTTCATGTGGTCAGAAGTAATGCTTAGAAAACGTGTTTCTGGAAATGTAGTTTGAAAAACAGAAGGCTTGTTCACAGTTTGATTTCCACTATTGACTCCCTTATAATAGTAACAAATAAAAAGAGTAAGTTGGGACTATTGAAACCTCACTATTTTCAGGCTTAGATTATCTCTACAGGCTGAGTAAAAAAAATGAAACCCAAATGTCGGGACCATTGTTTTAGTGAAGTTCTGCATGTAGCACTTTCAAAATCTAGGATATGAAAGCCCAATTCATAAGCTTTTTTTTAGTACAAGAATCATTCAAATCACTCATGTACTTTTCAAGTTACGGCGTTTTAAACACAACCACCGTTTTAAAGTTCTGTCCACGGATCACAAAAAAAGGTGTGCGTTCTTTCAGCAAAACAAAAACAATTCACACACATCCCTATTGATTTGTTTTCGTTTTGCTGAAAAAACAATGGACTTTTTTTGTGATCTGTGGACAGAACCTTAAAACGGCGGTTGTGTTTAAAACTCCGTAACTTGAAAAGTACATGAGTAATTTGAATGATTCTTGTACTAAATAAAAGCATATAAATTGGGCTTTCATATCCTAGATTTTGAAAGTGCTACATGCAGAACTTCACTAAAACAATGGTCCCGTCATTTGGGTTTAATTTTTTTTTACTCACCCTGTATGAAACACAGTAGCACCTGGACTGCACACGACAGTGTGCCTCAAAAAATGTAGCAGTCAAACAACTTTTCTTCTGAGGAAACTTAGTCACTTTTTTGGTTGTAAAACAATTACTTTTTTGGTTGTTAAAACCATTTTTTTTGGTAAAGCAATTACAATCACCGACATTTTAATATGTCAATCTGTTGAAAACACTGAAATGATGGTGCTCAGTACAGTGGAACGCCGCTATACCGAACATCATCCTTGGCTCCCTGTTTTAATGTACAAAACGTACCGACATCATTGTTAAAAAAGTCAACAGATTAAAAAGAAAACTACTGGTTGTACGCGTATTAAACACTGTTTGGGCCAATTTTAATTCCCAAACATCAAACCACCCATAGTTACATCGGGTTTGAATGTTGAAAAGCGATAGATGGCTATTATTTCTCCAAGGAATAAAAGGGAAAACCACCCGTTGCTAAAGTTTTCGTGCGGCGGCGGGACGTGAGAAATGCCAGTTCAGTGACTTCACTATTGGTCAAAAGAGGGTACTGGCGGTTCAAAATCGCTGTACCGAACGATCGTTATTACAAACACTTTCTTTGGATCCCACGATGTTTGTTATAGCTGCGTTCCACTGTATGTGATTTTCTGGTTGACTAATAAAAGTTGCCTACGGTAAGGGGCTTTGTAGCTAATTGTTGCAAAAGGTAACAAAAGGTTCCTGTTATAAGGTGAGAAACCAACAGTTGTCCGTACCTGTGACTCTCACGGTGAAGGAGCATCCCCCTATATTGCCAGCTTTGTCAGTGGCCGTACATTTGATCGTGTTCAGCTGGACCGACAATTGCGATGGTGACTCAATATCACAAGTCGCTACAAGGTTTTGGTCCTGGTTGTCCGACACGGTTGGAAGGCTGTATCTGACGGTCGCGTAGTCCTTTCCGGCATCCACAGATCTCTTCATTGGTTCTGGACAGGTGAGTTTGGGTGCTTCTTCATCTAGAATTCATAAGCAAAGAAAAAAAAAATGGTCAAACTAGTTCAACACGACGATGCAAATGGAGACATTTCCATGGACAATTTCGGAATTGTTCTTAGAGAATCTCTCAAAGTCAATCTTGAGAACTTTGGCATGCGTGCTGTTTCAAGCTAATGCCTGCTCAGAATTTCCTGGATCCCAGCGCCACATTTTTCAAGATAAGAGTTTGATTCATCTTGTTGGCAGAGCCGTCGACCACTGCAGCAGCTTGATTATTCTGTCATGCAGTGTGACGCCGAAGAAGCACATGTGTAGTTGGAGCATAGCGCATCGATCTCATGTTTTACATCACAAGCAACGTTTACCAAGAGAATTAGATTAAGCGCACAAACATTAGTTGTTTGGCAAAATGAGTTAACATCACAAATACTACACATCGTTACATTCTCCAGGACAAAATTGGAGAAAAATGCTGCACATAAAACGTGCGCGATCCCCCTGGCATGCTGGCAGATTGTAAACAGGAAGTTAGTAAGGACAATGGAATCACTATACAGTCAACAACTGTGAAGCTATAACGGGGCCTTTTACTTCTAACACAATAACTCTCACGACACTGGCTAGAGAAACAAAGAGGGATAAATCATTGCCTTGCTGGGACCAAGGCCTGTAAAGTGACCCTCTACAAGGCCTGTAGAGTTTAGCCGAAACAGCCAAAAATATTCCTTCTCCTTACCAGTTACAGTAACGGTAAACGTGCAAGTCTTTTTGTTGCCAGAAGTGTCGACTGCCGTACAAGTGACCGTGTTAGGGTTGATGAAGAACTGGGAGCCAGGTGACGCATCGCAAACCACAAGGGGTTCTTCTCCGGAATTGTCCTGTGCACGCGGAGTCACGTAGCTGACGTAGGTGTACCTTTGGCCCAAGTCGGCCGGTTCTGACATGTCGATAGGGCACGTGAACTCCGGCTCTTGTTTATCTGAAATTGCAACAAAATCAAAGTATTTTCAAATTCACAAAACAAAGATGTTTATTGGGGTTTGTTTTTGCGGATGAAACGCTGCACTGATATTGTTATAAGAAATTTAAAGTTGTTAACAATTTATATCACTCGGGTGGGACTCAAACCCACGACCTCCTGCTTTCTAGTGCTGATGTCTTACCACTCGACCACCGAGCTAACAGGATCTGTTGGCTGGTTTGAATCTGATGTACATAGCAGCGGGTACCGCATTAACTATTATTAGTTTGGTTTACATAACCCAGACACAAAAATTCCACCTTAAAAACAAAACAAAGGTTGTACTGCAAAGTTTGCGAAAAGCCAATGATATCACTTACCTACAACTTTTATACCGAAGTCGCATGTTTTCATGTTCCCTGTGTTGTCAGTAGCAGTACAGGTCACAACCTGAGTTCCAATGTCAATTTGTGAGTTTGGTTTCGGAAGGCAGTTGACTGTGGGATTTTGGTCGACGTTGTCGGTGGCTTCTGGCTCGTCGTACGCAACGGTGGCATACTTCTCGTCCCTGTCCGTGAATTCTACCATGAATTTTGGGCATGTTAGCTTCGGCGGCTCCTTGTCTGAAAAAAGAAAAAAAAAACAATTAAAAAGTCATTTCCAGGTGTTGAGAAGGCAGCCAATTCTTTGTCAATCAGCAAATTGTTTGAATTGTTATAGTTTGCTCTAAGTTGGCTATAATCAAAGGCCTAGATTTGCAGCAACAATTGGGAGTTGAGTGACAAAATTCTGACAGTTTTCAGACACTGAAATTCAAAATCCTGGGAGCAACTTCAACTCATAGTGGCGCCATTAATGTCATGCAGAACATAAATGCATTATGTATCTAAGCACGCTTTAATTATGTATCTAAGCACGCTGGCAAGATCGTTTCCACTCTCTTAGCGCGGCGTTACGAAGAAATTTACCCGTTACTTTAACGTTGAGCGTGCAAGTTGCAGAATTGTCGGCGTTATCAGTGGCGGTGCAGGTGACTGTGGTCGAGCCAGTGGGGAACTGGAATCCTGGAGCTTTATCACAGCTGATCAATGGATTGAGATCTGCGTTGTCACTTGCCGTCGGCAGGGAATAGTCGACGGTTGCGTAGTCCTTACCGATGTCGGTGTTCTGAGTGATGCTGGTGCTAGTGCATGTCAAGATGGGCGGTTCGTTATCTGGACATTTATGAAAGGAAATCGAGAAAAAACAAGAAATATTGTTGTGAATACAAACATAACGGAGTTGATCAGTAAACAGATTTCTTTTGGAACTGTACAAAAAAAACACAATCAATTATTGACTAAGTACAAATTGTGAGTCTTGACACCTTTCATTAACAACAACAAAAAGGAAAAAAAGATACTGGGGAATTAAAAAAACCCAAACAGGTTTCTGTACTTTTTTCCAATTTGTTTGATATTTTGTTGACTTTTGGGGAACTTTGTTGACAATTTTGAATTCTAAACCAATTCAATGTGGTCTTAAATTCTTAACTTGGTCTATGGAAACATAAAAAACTTGCAATTTACCTTACCTCACAATACCTTTGGAATAAAACGATAATGAAGGAGTCATAATTTTCATCTATTCAGAGAAAAGGCAGAAATAACTGTCTCTTTGGAATTTGTTTACTAATTTACTCCAAAATCTCAGAATAAATCAGCCACCGATTGAACCAACAGGTGAAAATAAATGTACACAACAATCACAGAATTTCAATTCAGACTCTAGTGGTAGTTTGACTCACGGATGTAACTTTTCTTAAGGAAAAAGAAACATTGACAGAAAATCTGGTCCGAAACAAAAATAGAAAAAAGCATAGCCTTCAGATTTCGTACCATATACCGTCACGTTAAACCTGCAGCTATTTTTGTTGTTACTGCTATCCACGGCAGTACACTGGACCGTTTTGGTCCCAATTGTAAACTGTGACGACGGCGCAGGTGAGCAGAAAACTGCGGGATTCAGGTCATAGTTATCAGTCGCAACGGGCACTTTGTAGGAAACGGTGGCAAACGGCTCGCCTGGGTCCACGTTCTCATCCATGGCGAATGGGCATTTAATCTCCGGCTTTTCGTCATCTGTGAAAACAAACAAAGCCAAACTTATCAATTTTATCAACACGTCGGACTTCTGGGTATAAATGTGACGTGTCACGATGGAATGAGTAAAACTATTTGCGGTATCCGCTCTGTTCACAAGTACCCCCTCACAGGCAAAGAAAGTACAGTTGGGGGTGACCGACCGACGCCATCTTGCCTGACTGCATTTGCCACGAAGCGTGGCCACTGCGTGTGTACATAGTACAAATCCCCTGGTGTACGTGCGTCACACACAAGGAACGGTGCGCGTCAACCAGCGAAATGTCCCGCACATGGGACGTCGTTGCTAGGTAAAAGGGCGCCCTCTTTCGTCGGCGCACGAAGCCCATAGCGAGACAGAGCAAAAATTCAAGAGAGGGTTGATTTGAACTACAATATCTACATCCTCATCTACATGTATCTCACACTTTTTTTTAGTTCTTTTTTTTTTAAACCTATTTTTGACCCGTTTTAGTTGCCGCCTTTCAGCCATCCGCAACTATTTTGAATATCTTATCAAGGTTTCTAGCATGTTATAAAAACAAATTTCCCCAAATATTCTCTGATATTTGCCTGAGAAATTTCCGAAACTCCGTGAGAATTAGTTTCACTTTTAATGATGTTGCTGGGAAGTCAAGAGGTGATTGCAGCAAAGCAGCCAAAATGCTGATAACACAAAGGCAACTTTTTATGACAAGCGATGGCCTCCCTTCATAATAAATAATTATAGTGGGTATTTATAAGTTGCACAAAATATGTTCCCAAGTAAAAATTCATCTCACCGTCCCTTTAATATATTCCCATTTTTTGTCAAATTCCCTGAGTTTTTCCCAGTGTTTTTTTTCCCCCAAATTCCCTGAGTTTTCCCTGACTGAGAATAGGGAAACTCGTTTTCCAGGTTTCTCAGATTTGCAGAACAGCTGGGAAGACCAAAAATATACAACAATTTTGATTATAATGCTGCACATACCTCCCACTTCCACCATTTTTTGGTCGAATTCCCTAAGTTTTTCCCAGTGTTTTTTTTCCCCCGAATTCCCTGCGTTTTCCCTGACTGAGAATATGGAAACTTGTTTTCAAGGTCTTCCCAGATTTGCAGAACAGCTGGGAAGACCAAAAAGATACAACAATTTTGATTGTAACGCTGCTCATACCTCCCACTTCCACCATTTTTTGTCAAACTCCCTAAGTTTTTCCCAGTGTTTTTCCCCCCGAATTCCCTGCGTTTTCCCTGACTGAGAATATGGAAACTCGTTTTCAAGGTTTCTCAGATTTGCAGAACAGCTGGGAAGACCAAAAATGTACAACAATTCAAATCATAACGCTGCTCTTACCTCCTACTTCCACGGTGAATTCGCACTCTTCGCTGTTGAGGGAGTTATCGACGGCGGTGCACTTGAACGTGTTGGGTCCAATTTGGCTGACCTGGCTCATTGAAGCCGGTATGCAGGTAACCACCGGCGCAGGATCAACGTTATCGGTCGCTGATGCTTTCTCGTAAGTGATGGTGGCATACGGTTTTCCGGCGTCGAACGACTCCTTCATGTCGACGGGGCAAGTAACCTTTGGTTTTTCCTCATCTGTAAATTCATATTTAATTAACAAATTATTGGCCGGAACACAGGTACTGAGTAGGGTGAACCTGAGAACATCGGAATACATGTACCGGTGCTCTACCGATATTTGCAATTTTTAAATGTACCACGATTTCATGTCGATCGGATAAAAGATCTTTGGTTCTTCTCCATCTTTCAATTTATCAATGTACCGGTGAAGCATGAATTTAGGTTTTACGAAATACAGACTCATTGGTGATCTTGCACATGCTAATGCACAGAGGGACCGGTCACGTGAGAGGGTTTAACCAATAAAAGGGAAAAAGAGTCCGATTTTCAAACGAGTCCGATTTTCATATGACACCGGTACTTATAATTCACAGGTAGTCAGGAAATTTGGAACTCTCTTTACAGGGTGAGTAAAAATAAACGAAACCCAAATGTCCGGGCCATTGTTTCATTGAAGTCCTGCATGTAGCACTTTCAAAATCCAGGATATGAAAGCTCATTCATATTAGCTTTCTTTTAGTACAAGAATCATTCAAATAACTTACGTACTTTTCAAGTTACAGGCTTTCAAACACAACCACCGTTTTAAATCTCTGTCCGTGGATCACAAAAAGGTAAGTATTCTTTTTTAGCAAAACGAAAACAAATCAATAGGGATGTATGTGAATTGTTTTCGTTTTGCTGAAAGAACGCACACCTTTTGTGTGATCCGTGGACAGAACTTTAAAACAGTGGTTGTGTTTAAAACTCCGTAACTTGAAAAGTACATGAGTGATTTGAATGATTCTCGTACTAAAAAGAAAGCTTATGAATTGGGCTTTCATATCATAGATTTTAAAAGTGTTACATGCAGAACTTCAATAAAACAATAGTTCCGACATTTGGGTTTCGTGCTTTTTTACTCATCTGTCCCAAAACTAAAGGTATTGAAAACATGCAAAACAAGAAAATAGACTTGCACATTAAACAACCAGTTCAACACCCCTTTAGTACAACATCAATCAAGTCAAAATAAACGTCTGGTACCTAGTTCTATTATAACACACTCTCTATGGTCATGCCACCAGACTACTGAAGAGGTCAGTCTTTTCAAACGCTTGGACATGTACAGGTCTAGTCTTAAACTTCAAATTGAAATCACTTCGCTTCACTCTCAAGGCCGGCATTTACATTTTTCAAATTTCAACACCCTGCCTGGTAGCTAGTTCTTTTCCCGACTTTCCACTCACAAAATTATTGCTTGTAAGTGTTTTTTTCTTATGAAAGTGTGTTTCACCAAATCATACTCTGTCCTGCATTTTTTGGCTAAATTATTGCTCAAGATGATAAAGGGAAACGAGAGACACAAACACTGTCAAGTTCATCGTGTTAAGACCCCGTACAAAAAACGGAAACCCAAAAACCTCCCCACTTAAAAATTTACACACAAACTGGACGTACCCTTGACTGTGACGGGGAAAGTACAGGACGCGATGTTTCCAACGTTATCACGCGCAGTGCAGACGACGACATTGGGCTCGATAAAGAACTTAGACCCTGAGGCTTTCTCGCAGGAAACGGACGGACTTGAGTCTGCGTTATCGGTAACCGTGGGTGCCGAATACTTGACGGTGGCATACGCCTGGCCCGCATCGGTCGTTTCGGTCATGGGATCTGGGCATGTAATCTGCGGCTCTTCGTCGTCTGAAAAATCAAATATGAATTGCATGGTAAACACTTCTCAGTATAGAATGTTTCCCTCGCATTTTTTTTTATTAATGTGAGGTTTAAGTTAGCAACAACGAATGCCAAAGTACAATGAAGCATTTTTGGGTAAATGTAGTACCGGCATGCAGCTGGGAAGTAACACACAAAAAAAACAGAGGAAATTCTAAGCATAACAAGACTTTATAAAGTGTTTCTCAAGTTTTAACGGCATAAGTGTGAAGTGAAAAATGAGGAATTTAGCTGATCCAAGGAATAATTGCATACCTGGTGTTGGGCCTATCGAAAACAACTGTTAATCTCCCTAGCAAAGAACTCAACCAGATTTTCTACCAAGTACCAAGATTAAAACAATGACACCCATTAAAACCTCGACGTGGCCTCTAGGATGAGCATGAACTAAATCCTTTAGGATAGGTTTATACTCTGAATAATTTTTCCCCAATTTTGTTAAACCATAAAAAGGCTTTCAACTTCTTCTGAAGCCAGAGATGGAGTCGAAGCTGCTGCTGAAACCAGAGTTTCTTAAACACCCTATGATCTGCAAAATGCCAGTGATAGATTGCCACATACCTACGACGTTTATGGTGAACGTGCACGTCTTGGAGTTGCCGTACTTGTCGGATGCCGTACACGTGACTGTCGATGGTCCAAGCGGGAATTGCGAGCCCGGTGGTTTGTCGCAGGTACGAGTTGGAGCAGGATCTGCATTATCAGTTGCGGGTTGCAGAACGTAGCTAACAGTGGCGAACGATTCGCCTGAGTCGGTGGATACATCATTCATTGCCACTGGGCAGGTGAACTTGGGCTTCTCGTTATCTGGAAGTTAAAAAAAAAAATTAAATAAAAATAAAAATTACCAGATTACAAATTTTACAAAAGCTAATTCTAGGGGGTTTTGGCAATTACAGAAACAGCCGATAAAGTATTTGGAAATAGTAAAGCAATCTGACAATAGACTCCGTGCACAATCACCCCCTCTACGGTTACAAAGGGAGAGTCTGGGGGGACAACTGGGAGGGACATTCGAATGCATTGCCGACGACGCCCGGCACTCACGTGAAGACTAATAAAATCAGTTGCGCGTACTTGGGGCCATAGGCCAAACAGAACTTCAGACATCTGGTATTTGGCAAAAGCTGCGTTCACTTGCGAACGAGTAAAAACAAGTGAAATTTCTGTCGAAATTGTTGAATGGAAATCTGAAGTGAATGGGATTTTAGCCACAAGCTAAAACAGGACAATTTTTTTGCTCTTCTATTCTCAAGAACTAGAGAAACCAGTCAAGACAGTGGTCTAAATATTGGACACCATCTTCCTATGGGGGCGCTGTTCAAACGTATATCATGGCTGCATTAGACAATAACTACCGCTGTTCGTTTTACAAGGGACGTTGCAATGAACAGCCACTCACAAACTAAAACAAGAGTTTTGGTAAAAAATACAGAAAAAAGGTACTTAATGTTCTTCCAAGTAATAATGGTGACTCATGTGGCTGTGCGTTTCTCTGGATGCCAAATTTTCCGGGGCCCGTGCCTGCCCCCCGCCTCCCCCCCCCCCAACCCTCCCGTAAAAACAACCAACCGCAAATTAAAATCCGGAAACTCGGGTGCCTGGTTCCGATGCACATCCCTAGTTCGAAGAGTGCAACTCTGATACTTACCGGTCACTTCGACAGTGAAAGTACAAGCCTTGAAGTTGTCCGAATTATCACTCGCGGTGCAAGTCACCGTATTGGTTCCGATTCCAAACTCCGAGTTGGGCTGTTTGCTGCACTCAACGCTGGGTATCGGGTCTGCATTATCGGTCGCAGTGGGCACATTGAAGTCCACAGTGGCGAACGCTTTAGCGGCATCCACAAACTCGTCCATGGAATTTGGGCAAGTCAACTCAGGCTCTTCATTATCTGCAAAATCAAAACGCAAAAGATGACTCAAAAAAGTTTAAAAACAATTCTGCTGTTCTTTAATGTTTTGGATAAATCTCAAAATTGTTCTAAACCGGTGATCAACAAAACAAGTACCTTGAACGTCAATCGGGAATGTGCAGTTCCGCTTGTTGCTTGCCGCGTCTACGGCAGAACATACGACCGTATTAACTCCAGCTTTGAATGCTGTCCCGGGCGCCGGTGCGCAGACTACCACTACTTCAGGATCCCAGTTATCAGTTGCAGTTGGAATGTTGTAGGTTACGGTCGCGAACGATTCACCGAGGTCCATATTCTCAAGCATCGGATCTAGACACATGAAGTCGGGCGCTTCGGTATCTGCAGTGGACATGCAAATAAAGATAAGGAGATGTCTTAAAAATAACCCCAGAGACAAGGAAGAGGAATTAATCCCAGTTGCGGTTCATTTTTGCCGCTGCAAACTGTTCATCAGGCCAGCGTTTGTTTCTGGTTTCAAGAGAATATTTCTACTGCCCCTGGATAAGATGCCAGTTCTTTGCAGGTTTCTCCCTGTCTAATGCCGGCACCCATTTATACTCCTGGGTGGAGAGAGGCAAGTGGGGTGAAGCGGCTTGCCCAAGGACACAACATGTGGCCAGCAGCTGGATTGGAACCCCTGACCCTCTGATCATGAGTTATGAGCCCTAATCTCTGGGCCACACTCCCCCTCAATATCTTAATTGTATCTAAATTTCAAAAAATAAAGAGTAGTAATCGAATTGAAATTGCAGTAAGTTGTATACACCCGACCCCACCTTTTACAACGACAGGGAAAAAGCACTCGTTGGTGTTGCCGGCATTGTCTTGGGCGGTGCATGTGACCTCCGTCGAACCAATCGTAAAGTCTGATCCAGAGGCTGGTGTACAGGACACCGTTGGGTTAGCGTCGGTATTGTCTGATACCGTCGGGTCGGTGTAGACCACAGCGGTGGTGGAAGAACCAGGATCGGCCGATTCGGGCATGGGCAATGGGCATCCGATCGTCGGCCCTTCCTTATCTGAAATGGCAAAAGGTAAAATGGAGATTTATTGGTTAAGAGAGCATCAATAACTCAAAACGAGGAACAAATGACGCAAACTTGTTTTACAAATACATAATCCACAAATACGTCCAAATTATCCTATTCACTAGGCCTACATCCGGTTTAATTTAAATTTTGTTTATAAATCACGCAGAATCATCTTTTGAGGATCTTACAAAAGGCACAAAATTCTGAAACTCTACAATCAATTCTACATTTTGCCAACCATAGATTATTTTATCCATAGTTCTGTTTCGTACATGAAATATATCGATTGCAGAGGCTACCTTTTCCAAGAGACTTTTCTGATCACTGGAAAAAGATAATTATAAACCAGGAAAAATTTATAAAAAAGGAAAATTAATTACAAACACAAATCAAAGTAATAATTACACTCTGCTTGCATCCAAATGCAAAGCCCAATTTGTGACATCACTCAAACAATTGATCTATCACCGCTTGATAGTTAGCCGTACCCCTTAGACAACCCTATGGAATTGTGTACGTTAAGCTTTGTTTGTCTCAGATTTTGCGCGTCCCGCGACCATTTGTTTATCATGTAATAGGACAATATTTCACAAGCTGCGTTGATGCCATTCTAACGCGATAGGTTAATTCTATCATTGGACACATTTCCACTCTAACGAATTTTGGTTTTGTGATGACAGATATGCTTTTTTTAATTGCGATTGCACAAAGAATGAAGCAGCATTGTATTCAAGTCCATAACAAGTCCAGTCGCAAGTCACATCACAAGTCCAGTTACACGTAACAGAGGATGAAATATAAATTAGGAATGCAAATTTGTCACAGTTCATATGAATAGCTTGTAACGGGACTCGTAAAAGACTCGACTACAACACTGGTTGCACCCATTGAGCTATATTAAATGACTAGAGCGCTAACTCCTCATTCCTGTGCGCGGAGACGCTTCGGAGCCACTCTGGGCGCAGACATTTTGAGTTCATGTTTGTAGAACGCAATGAAATTAGATGGACTGAATTTTATAATTGTACTCTAAATGAAACGTGTAAACTGAACGTACGCAAACAACTTAAGCGCGTCATGACGGTTTTAAAAAACATGTCACGGTTAATCATCTGCAGCAGATACGCGCATGCGTTGCGCTGTTTGCGTAGAGCAAAATGAAAGGCTCATTTGCTGATTGCGTGTTTTGGTTTTGGGTGTACTGGCTTTGGTAAGGCACATGTATAGAATACAAACGCAGATATGCAAATAGCCGTGCAAATAGCCGTACAAACGCCGTACACATTTTGAGTTTTCAATGTTTAAGCACAAACAAGGATGCGCCCAGCAGGCATCACTCTGTACATGATGCAGCGCTCTTAGTAATTTTAAGCTCTATGGTTGCACCCGACCTTACATGCCTTTCCGTACCTTCGACTGTGATCGTAAATGTGCATCTTTTCTTGTTGCCCGCGTCATCGACGGCCTTGCAAGTGACTTCATTTGGGCCCAACTGGAATTGGGATCCTGACGCGGGAGTGCAGGTAACCTCTGGAGCAGGGTCTGCGTTGTCCGATGCGAACGGTGTCGTGTACTCAACAGTGGCGTAATTTTGGCCAGCATCAACTGGCTCGGTCATGGGCAGTGGGCAGTTTATCTCGGGCTTCTCGTCATCTGAAAGAAGAAAATGAGACTTATCTTAAGCCTTTGCTAACCAGAGCTCTCTGTTGGGAATCTTCCCATATTCACAAAAAAATCAGAAAAGGAACCTGTTGCACATTCATGTACTTAATAATAATTGATAAATAATAATTGTGCTTATATAGCACTTTCCATCGTATCAACGATCTCAAAGCGCTTTACAATTATTACCCCATTCATCAGGCCACGAGACCAGGCGGCAGCCGATATCAGCGCTCAATCGGTCCTCAACCCTCACAGGTACCCATTTATACTCCTGGGTGGAGAGAGGGAATTGTAGTTAAGTGTCTTGCCCAAGGGCACAAACACCATGTTCCTGGCTGGGTTCGAACCCAAGCACCTTCGTTCATGAGTCAAACACCGTAACCACTGGACCATGGCGTTCTACTTGACCATTTGGAGGGAATCAGGTTGCCATTAACACCCTCTTTTGTTTGATCAGTCACAAATTCATTCCACTTCCCCCTCCATGCCTTTTAGGCAGGCGAGTCACCAACAGTCAGATCTTATTTCTATATTATAGGCACAGTGACTGGTCATATTCCATCAACAGACAAAAGCAGGTGACTGGTAGTCAGAGTGGAAAGATTCCCATTTACGGATGCGACTTTTTTCAATACATTTTCAAGCGCCAAAAAGTTACAGCCTATATGGTCATTTCCTCCACTTTCCTTCTTTGACTCTCACCCTCTCCGGATTCCTCCCCCCCCCCCCCCCAAGATCTCGGCCATCGAGTGAAGAACATTTTTGAAACGCAATACATGCATAGAACTTATCATGAACATACCCAAGAAATTTCATTACTATAGCTCAAAGAGTTTTGGAATTATGGCTAATAATTATTCATATGCATGAATGGTAATTCTGCTCTGCGTACACTACGTATACGGGGAAATTAAGTTTTCATGGCACGGTGCGTAGCGCCGGAAAATTTTTCGAAGGGCGGCAACCCGTTGTCCGATTTTTATGTTTTTGGTATCGAAAGATGCGAAAGGCTGTACGCTAAAAAGTCAGAACAGCTCGGGTCGCGAATTTTTTTTTTTTTTAAGTTTACCACTTGACCATGAGTGCTTTTTGGCGTTGAGGGTCTATTTGATGTATCCAAGGTATCCATTGAAGTAAGACTAATGAGTATTTAATGAATGAAATATTCATGATGAAGTATTGCAGTGTTATTGGCTAGTGCTTTGTCATGTGCACCGCAGACTTCCAGACTTCCAAATTATTATAGAAAAGAAAAATGCCACTTTTCGTACCTGTAACATCAATTGTGAATGTGCACGACTCTTCATTTTTGGCGCTATCGATGGCCGTACACTCGACAACGGTTTGGCCCAAAGAAAATTCAGACCCGGATGGTTCAACGCATGTCACTCCCGGACTGGCATCCACGTTGTCTGTTGCAGTCGGAACTTCGTAGTCTATGCTTGCGAAAGACTTGCCGGTGTCGGTTGAACTAGCCATCGGATCTGGACAAGTCAGTTTGGGCTTTTCCTTGTCTGTGATATTTTAAACGAGAAATACTTCTTTTATTAGTTCATCATGTCAATTTCTTTCTTTTTTAATTAACCCTAACTCCCCAGCCTAATTTACTAGGAACCATACCCTTTCTGGCAAATTCCAACACCCACATGGGAAACTGCACACACACTGTTGGACTTAGTTTCTGGAGGTATGCCAACCCCAGTGTAAACGGCCATCAGTTTAGGGGTACTGTACCTATCCCAACAGATTTCAACAAAATCTGCTGTTGAACTTTGATGGGTTGAGTTCGGTTAGGGTTAATATCATCAGGGGTGAAATTTGGACAAAATTTAAAAAAAACACGAACTAATCAGCAGAGCTTTTGAGGGTCTCCGTGGGCCTCAGAGCAACATAAGGTCTATGGCACATGTTTGTACAGGGTGAGTAAAAAAAAGCGGAACCCAAACCCTAAAAAATGTATTTCATATTTACAAAAATATGTAGCACCAAAAACAAAAATGACTGGAAAGCCAAGTTCAAAAGCTAGTTTTAGATGAAAAAATTACTGAAATTACTCAATCCGTTCAAAGAATATCACCATTTAAACGCAATGACCCTAAAACCTGTCTCATCCAAAAAAATCAGTTTATTGTGTTTTGACTGTTTTGAACAACAAAGAAAATGACACAGAATACTTGTTTCAACAACTGTCACCAACTGTAGCACACAGTATTTTGATTAACAACCCTGGTTAGGCAAACAATATGATTTATAAAATCTACTTGTTTAAAAGACGGGCCTTCAAAAGGACTTTGTTGCATATTGTTAACGTTTAAACTAAGATTTCATCGCTGGTGATGTTTGAAGACAATTGTGATGACGATTGTTGAAATCGCATTTTTTTGGACGAGACGGGTTTTAGGGTCATTGCGTTCAAATGGTGATATTTTTTGAACGGATTGACCACTTTCAGTAATTTTTTTCATCCAAAAGTAGCTTTGGTGCTAAACATTTGTTTAAATATGAAATATACTTTTCGGGGTTTGGGTTCCGCTTTTTTTGACTCACCCTGTATTTTGAAATATCCATTTAAAAAAAAAAAACACTTTTATAGCGTTGTTCTTTAAGGCAAAAAACAAGAATTTCAGATTGAAAAAAGGATTCTTCAAAAACCTCGAAATCAGGAAAAATCCCGACAACAAATCCTGACATCAGGAAAATCCTGACAAATATCACCCCTGCATTTACATACACGAAGGGTTTTGCAGTAACGTAAATAGTGTCCAATGCATAGGGGGGCATTTGGGTCTCCACTTCTCAAACTTCATGGAGTTGTCTCACACTTTCAGTCCTTCTGAGGCGTGCGATCACACCCCCATGCCATCACACGCCTAAAAGCTTCCCGAGAAGTGCGAATAATCGCACGCCTGAATCCCTCTGTACCGCACACCTCCGCATACATTTACGGCATAATTTTACTTCATAATTTGCGAAAAATAAATTGTCAGTGAAGAGAAAATGGCTTTATTGTAAACCAAGACGAATCCCAGCTTGGGCCATAGAATCACACACCTAGAAAAATCACTGGTCTAGGAAATCACACGCCTAGAAAAATCACACACCTAAAAAAATCCAGGTGTGCTTTTTTCCACACACCTTTGATTTCAAATAAGAAGGACTGCAACTTTTAAAGAAAATACTTTCTTTTTTTATTCTTCTCCAAATTTTGGCTTTACCTACATGAGACGCCGGGCCCCTGATTTGTTGGAAAATCGGATCAAGACATAAACCCATTTATTTCCCTCTGAGTCTGCAAGTTGAGGGCAAAATTGAGAGTGTTTCAATTTGGTGTAGACATTGAAATGGTTCAGTGATTCTACAGCCAGGGATGACGCCGACACTGGAATTCAACCGAGGTTTCTAAAATCTCCTCGTAGCAAAAACTATAACAACAGTATGGAGTTTGACGTTCCACCATGTACTCTAATCTCTTTTGAAGAGTTTGTGGGTTTTTTTTAAATAGAACTAGCCAAACCAAAAAAACTACGCCAGTTTTTTGTCCCCGCACTCTTCCGTTTTCACGCCTGCATCTTTTTTTAATCTTACATTTGCAATACATCTTACGTCTTTTCATTTGTTTCCAACAAAATTGAAGCTATGGTTGCAAGTTAAAAATCTGGTAGAAAAGGTTATGGCCCCCCAAAGCATCAGCAAAAGAGTAGAAGAAAAAGGAAGAATTCATTTGCCATCTTGGAAAATCCGCAATCTTGGGAGGACAAAAAAAGGCTGACTCCTTTTCACTTGGACAATAGCTCAAATGTCTTTCAACCTGTTTATTACTATACTTAGTTTCTGTACCTGACACAGTAACATCAAATGGGCACATCTTTGTGTTAAGAGCATCATCAGTGGCCGTGCATTTGACAGTAGTGGTGCCGATCGGAAACTGCGAACTTGCTGGCGGGATGCAATTGATTGTCGGATCTGGGTCGGCGTTATCGGTTGATGTTGCCGCCGGGTAGTCTACTGTGGCAGTGGGCTGGCCATCATCGGTCGAAACGTCAGGCATTGGCAACGGGCATATGATCTTGGGCTTTTCCTTGTCTGTAAAATGCCGATAATAATTTCAAGGAAACACATTAAGCATTATGGAAAATTCATAAATACCTAAGACAGTTTACCAATTCCTATTGATCCAGATCCTGTCACGTGGGTGGTTTTAAACCTAAACGTCGATGAAACACTGCTGCATTCTGCACCACATCAGATGGTACGTGCTGCGCACGCGTGCCAATGTGAACATAAGGAGATTTTTAGCACTACACCCACAAGGCACATACCATAGATATGGCCAGAGGGAATTTCTTGGTTAGCGCTGCCCAAATTCCCAAGATCGGATTTGATATGTCTTGTATACCATGCCTGTCAGACACCGGCTGTATTAGGGAAATAAAATCAACATCCAGACTTGCACCGAAACTGTGATGGGGAATACATTTGAAATTCATGGTTTAAAGGTAGGGTACATCATTTGTCATGTGTGCATTTTTTTTTGTTACAAGTAATAGAAGTGCTCAAAATCAAGACGATTGCTTAACAACTAAACCTGTTGACATTTTTATCTCTGTGAATGCCGTTTATTCCGATAAAAGCAATACAGGGTGAGTCAAATAAAACAAGGCCCAAATGTCGGGACTTTTGTTTTAGTGAAGTTCTGCATGTAGCACTTTTAAAATCTAGGATATAGCTTTCTTTTAGTACAAGAATCATTCAAATCACTCACGTACTATTCAAGTTACAGAGTTTTAACACAACCACCGTTTCAAAGTTCTGTCCAGGGATCACAAAAAGAAAAGGTGTGCGTTCTTTCAGCAAAACGAAAACAATTCACACACATTCATATGTGATTTGTTTTCGTTTTGCTGAAAAGGAACACTTACCAAGCTTTTTGTGATCCGTGGACAGAACTTTAAAACGGTGGTTGTGTTTAAAATTCCAGAACTTAAAAAAAACAGTGGTTGTTTTTAAGATTCCTTAACTTGAAAATTCTGTAACTCGAACCCACGACCCCCTGCTTTCTAGTGCAGACATTGTCACTTGACCACCGAGCTTGCGAGATCAGTTGGCTGGTTCAAATCTGATGTATGATGTAACAGTTGGTACACCACAATTAACATTTCATAAGATGGAATTTTGCGTCGGGGTGATGTAAATCAATATTAAGTTTTGCCCTTCACCGACGTATAAACACTGTAGTGTGTTACCTCCCCAGTGAAAGTTGGAAAAAATAATGTTGTCAGTTACTCCTTGGATAGATGCAAATGATTTACTCTACCTTAGAACCCAAGAATGGAACAGTTACACGTTAAACAAAAGTTTCCAACCATAGGCCTACCTTTGACTGTAATGGTGAAGGGGCACTCGGCACTATTGCCAGATTGATCCGTGACTGTGCACGTGACTGTGATTTCTCCAATGTCAAACTCTGACCCTGACAGTGTGTCGCAAGTGACCACAGGTTTTGGGTCTTCGTTGTCCTGGCCAACTGGCACGTTGTAGCTTACCGTTGCGATGTCGCGGCCTTCGTCGGTGGATACGTCATCCATGGGCTTTGGGCAAGTGATCGTTGGTGGTTCCTCATCTGAAATTTAAAAAAAAACGGTGGAAACAAAAACTTACAAAGTGTCACATCGGTGGATTTCACCAAAAACTACCCTTTTCTGTTTTGGATGTCTGCAACCTTTTGAGAAAGCCTTTAATGCACTTACACCTCTAATGCACAAAAAGATCCATAGGAATTAAAAGTGATTTTTTATTTTTAAAGTAAGGATGCATACCCCGTATGCATCCTTAAGAAAAGAAGACTTTTTGCTCCTAACAAAGTTTCACTTTAAATGTTATCGTTTTGTCTTAAGACGCACCGTTGGAAGTTTCAGTTAGTAATTTATTTCTTTATACGGTGAAGCGCGCGCAAGCATTGACACCACGCACACGCGCGCACCCCCTCTATAATTCGTCGGATCAGTGCGCGACATCGCATAGCTGCATTCGGCTCAGTAAGAAGGTGTCTCGGATGCTGAAAACAGACCCAATTCAAAAAATGATTCAGCAACTTTTGATTCAAAATCGAGATCCTAGAATGTTGCTTTTCTAGAAAAATTCAGCTGAAGCTGAGCTGAAATCTTCATCAGGTTAGTTGTTTATCACCCTTCTTTAGATTTTGAGAACGTTTGTTGCACAATTTACAAATGATGGACTATAGTACTTTATTTCGATTTATGGGCGTCTGAAACTTTCTGAAAAAGTTTTTTGATTTTGCATACAAATAAAGCCACCCAGTAACAGCTGAGTTATTGTCAGGTAGCCAAGAATTCGACTTTCATGTAGAAATACATCTTAAATTCATCTTCTTCTTTTTCAGCTTTAAGCTCAAGAGATTGTCTTTGCGTCATTTTCACACTTGTTGCTAATTTGACAGGATTGGACTGGTCTTTCTCAGGCTGCTTTATTACTATTATTATTATTGTTTTTTGGCTTTTGTTGATTCTCCTCTCTTTGCTAAAGCAGACTCAATATATGTTTTCAGTCAGTACTTGTTGAGAGAGATCTAGGCGAGAATGTGAAAATTGTGGATAGGTTTGCAACGTATGTTGTTTTCTTTTATGAGTGTGCTGAGCCCTGTGATTTGCTCTCATGCATTTGCAATCTGATTAGTTTATTAAAGTAAAACAGTTGCCCCCCCCCCACAGAAACTCAATACCGTATCATCCCATTGTTAGTCCAGTCATGCGTATTGGTCTGAAGGAGTTGAAACTCAACATAAAAAACAAATCAACATGATTATGGCATTTCTTTTACTTTATCCGATACATGTAGTTTTGTCACGTATCATTTGATTCAATACTTCCCCTTCTCAAGCCACGTCCCCAATGTAGCCCTAATATCCTTTTAAAGTCCTGCTATTGAAAATGACAACATAATGAATCCTTAGCTCAAGTTTGTGGGTTTATGATGTTAAAATTAATTTTAACTTGTTTATGCCCTAGCCACGCCCCAGCCACGCCCTAGGCCACGCCCTAACCACACCTCGCCCCGTTCCTGCACTTTTTAAAGGCTACTGTATTTTCACGAAGTGAAACAACATAAAATGTCAATAAAAACATAAATATAAATCGATATCTAAAATTGCCCAAGCCTGAGAAGGTGTCACCCTTCAAATTCATCAAAAGTATGACCAATTTGCAAAAAACCTGTTATATATTCAACACAATGATAATGATGATGATGATGATAATTCTGCTTATATAGCGCTTTCCATCATATCAACGATCTCAAAGCGCTTTACAATTATTTCCCCATTCATCAGGCCATGGGGACCACGCGGCAGCCGATATCAGCGCTCAATCGGTTCTCGACCCTCACGGTTCGTCCCGCTGGCTGTCGGACTGAGTTTAATCAGGGTGATTTGTTTGTTTGGTGTTTGGAGAAGGAGTAGGGTCAGTACTAATTAGTAGTTACGAGTATGTTATAATGTACTTGCAAATCGTTCTCGTGGTACATACCTCTAATCTCAACACGGAATTTACATATTTCTGAATTCCCAACGTTGTCGGTAGCGGTACAGGTGACAACGTTAGGTGCAAGCCAGAATTTGGATCCAGACGGTGGTTCACAGACTACGTTGGGATTGGGGTCCGAGTTGTCGTTTGCCACAGGCGTGTCATAGTTCACGGTAGCATACCCTCGTCCCGCGTCTGTAGTCTGGTCCATGGGATCCGGGCACTTAATCGTCGGACCCTCGTTATCTGAAGAAAAAAAAGAAACAAATTGTCAAAAAAAATGTGTTAATTTTCTTTAAGTTGAAACCAAGTGATCCGCGGATTGCTTGTGTCGCCTTTTTTCGCAGTCGATCCCTAAATGTTTTGTGTTCCTAAACAAAGTCAAGTATTTTTGCATTATTAAACAATGACCTCAAATGACCCTAGATGACCTTTGGCCTCCAATTTCAGATTTGTGATGAACCCCCACCCAAGGATCACTCTATCCACATTTAAATTCATCAAATTCTGCAGACAAAGAAACATTTGAAACAAATTTGAACAATGACCTCTAATGACCCCTACACGACCTTTGACCTCAGTAAAGCATTGCAATGACTCCAGTCAAGTCCCTAAGGGCAAATGACTTGACTCAACTCGAGTTACTGCGAGCAAATGACTCGACTCGACTCCAGTCCCTCATCAGAATGACTTGACTCGACTCGAGAAATAAAAGCAAAACTTTGCGAAAATTATTTGCAATGACTTACGCAGGTGCCGGTTTTTGTTCACATCACGTTAGAATGTTCGCGAATATGTATACATATACATACGTGGTTTGATCAGTGTCCCCATTAGTTAAATGACGATCAGCACCCCCTTTTCATTTCATTAAGAGTCAAATGTGGCGTCACAACATGTACTAGCCAGAACGTAAAATTAAAAAAGCCCCAAAAATGACTTTCTCTCTTGTGTTTATTTATTGTATAGTGTTCCAATATTTGTGACTCGAATCGACTCTAGCTAAATACTCGACTCGACTACACACGGTGACTCGACTCAACCTTTTTGACCTAATGACTCGACTCGAGTCACTTCTTTAATATGACTCGACTCGAGTCACAAAAATCAGTGACTCGTTACAACTTTGCCTCAGTAATCCAATAAAGAATTGTGTCTTTCCACCCAAGGGTCACCGCATCTAAGTTTGATCAAAATCCATGAAAGCAGGTAGAAGTTATCGGTTATTTTTTTTAAGCTTAACCGAAACTATAAACCTAGCATACAATATGGTCATACGGGGATATGATCATATGGGGATATGGTCATACAGGGATACAGAATTTAGGTTTGGTAAGGATCGGAACAAAGGAGAACTAAAGAAGGGAAAAGAAGGTCTTCCCCACAAGTAAGACTGTTTGTGCTCAGCTTTGTTCCACTTCAAAAATGACTTCTAAGGTTGTTCGTTGAATTAGTCCATAGTTGGGAAAAGTACAACTTTTGTTTTGGTCTTACCCGCCACAACAATGGAGAACGGGCACGTCTTGAAATTCTCAGCCTGGTCAGTGGCGGTGCAAATGATTTCGCTGGGTCCGATCGGGAATTGGGAGCCTGGCGGCTGGACGCAGGTAACCGTGATGTCCGAGTCCACGTTGTCAGTTACTGTCGGTAGCGGGTAGTTGACCGTTGCAAACGGCTTGCCCCCGTCGACGGGAACGTTGTCCATGGAGAGCGGGCAGTCAAACTTGGGCGCTTCTTCGTCTGAAATTTAAAAACAGATCAGCAAAAATGTCTGTAAACAGAAATACACGCCAGTTTGGTACATGTATTTCAACTGCACATATGCACTTTAAGCTTTTGACGTTTAAACAATTTTGTGCAAAAGCAATGGAGATACTGCCAAAATTTTAAGAAACGTTCTCGTTTTGAAAAAAGTAGAATATTGAACAACTTTTGACAGTCCTATGTTTGAAGGTGTTTTTCAACTTTTGTGTGAATGCTAATTTCCTATTTTCTTATTGACTGCACGACAATCTGGAAATCAAGAGCGATTTTTTTGGTGAAAATAATAGCGCACTGGACTTGCTATCGGCTATGTGCATAAAAGATGCGAACATACCACTTGTTATATATCTGGCATAGAGATCCTTGTCATTTGATTGGTGGAACTCACATCACGTGGCGCTTGTTATTGCTCCCAAAAAGTCCCATTCGCCCATGGGGAATGGGAAATACTATTCAACAGTTAGGATCATTCTCGTTCCATGACGCGGTATTTGTGTGCAAATGCATGCTGTTGTATAAGCGTTCAGCTTGCCTAGCGTGTATTGTTGCAAAGAGCCAGCGCTACAGAGTTGGGTTCAAACATTTTCATGAAGGGGTGGTTTGGAAGAGAGAAATACATTGTCCACCAATTGTGTATTGAAATAAAGTTCAAATATATCAAATGACAAGGATCTATATGTCACATATATTGAGTGGCTTTAAATCGGTAAAGTCTGGACTTTTCCAGTTCACTCAGCTTTGCCTCGTGAAATGGAAAAGTCCAGATTTTACCTTGCGATAACATTCCTCCCATTTCACTCTGAGCCACTCAATATTTGTATACTATACATCATCGGGAAGGCAAATTAATCTGTGTAAGAGTACTTTTTTGCACCCAAAGCTACCCCAGCTAACCTTTTACGTCCACAGTGAAGGGGCAAGTATCGGAATTGCCGTATTTGTCGCTGGCGGTGCACGTGACCGTCGTTTGCCCGACCGGAAACTGATAACCTGGAAGCCTGTCGCAATCAAAGTTCGGACTGGGGTCAGAATTATCCGTCACGGCTGGTATCTCGTAGATGATGGTAGCATACGGTTTGCCGGCGTCAGTTGGTTCCTCCATCGGTATGGGGCAGTTGGGCGTTGGTGGCTCCTCATCTGAAAACAGAGGAAAATAGTCACAGAAACCCATTAAACGTATTGGGCCCTTGCTGGTACTCAAAACCAAGACAACAGAGGAGTAAAAGAAAGGCTTCCCGAGTCAGGTTGGCGCAGTGGTTCCCCTCCTCGCCTTCCACTGCTATGGCCCATGTTCGATTCCTGCCCAGGTTCGATTCCTGCCCTGGTCCACATGTGGATTGGGTTTCAGTCCTACCGCATTCCGTGGTTTTCCCCAGAATAGATTCCTCTTGGGTTTTCCTCCAACCTCTAAAACTGAAATGTCTTCTCATATTCAGGTTTATTAACTGAGCTCTTCAAATAAAGCTCTGTCATGCCTATTGCATAACATGGGAATTGCCCAATAATAACGAAGACCCTACTCTTTCAGAAATTAAATACTTTCTTGTTGAAACTCAAAGACTCTATTATTTGAAAACTGAGTGGCTCCCCCCCCCCAAAAAAAATATGCTCTGCAAGAAACTATCAGTATATTTCTTGCATTCGACAAAGTTTCGAAATCAAGTGTGATCCCTTGTAACTCAACAACATCTGAACCCCTACAGCGTGGTCTCCTTCCAATTTGTTTTCCACACCAGATGTTAGATTCTTGGGTTTAAGGATGGTTTAAACTAGTATTGATAACGTACCGTTGACGGTGATCGTGTATGTGCAAGAGGCCGTGTTGCTACTTCCGTCTGTTGCAATGCACTGGATGGTGTTGGGGCCGACAGGCAACGTGGCCGTGTCCGGAGAGCAAACGATGGCTGGTGCCTCGCCGGAATTATCGCTCGCTGTGGTCGGCTCGTACGTGATGGTGGCAGAGGGGGCTCCAGGGTCAGTTGTTTTGGTCATATCTGCGGGGCATTCGATGGTCGGGTTCTGTACATCTGGAAAATAAAAACATCAAATACTAATTTTTAAAAGGGTTATATAAGCTTACACAGATTGAAGGCTGTACAAACTGGCCAGCAAAATTCAAGAAAAGCATTCTAGTAGTCAAAATCAATCCAGTGACTGTTTGTTTTTTTCCACGGCGGTGTGAAACCTGCAGTGGTCTTGAGCTACTTATGTTGTTTGGTTGGTTGGTTGGTGGACAGTTTACTCGGCCATATATTGTAGTCATGCAACTCCAGTATTACAGCTTCGCTTTCAAAGACCGGTTTTGATACCGAGGTACCGGTACGGCCCGGATGCACGGACGGTGCCGTATAGCCGTCTTCACATGTTACCCAACCGCTGAAGGTTGTACCACTTGGTACTTGTTTAAGGTCAAGAGCTGCCTGACTTAAAGCTAAATCGTCCAGCTGTGACTGCTTATGTAACTCCATATGCTCGGACTGAAGGAGATTGATAAACTAGCTGTACCTACGTCTTTCTTTTGTCTGTTGATAGAATTGGACTTAGTCACAGTACCTACAAGAAATATCATCTTAATGTTCGTAACTAGCCTATGTATGGACAGTCTATGGAATGACCCCCTGCACAGGAAGGGTTTATGAAATACGAGCAGATTCGGCGATTGGTTATGCAAAACAAGACTGCGTCTTGACCTCGAGATTCTGACCATTCAACAATTGCCCTCTATCTGGTCTTCCGTAACCCGTCGTTGTTTTACCCAAAAAATGGCAGCCAAATTGACGAAGTAGACGGATCAAAAAGCAGACGGCTAGCAATGTTTCCAACCAAGCAGCTCTTCTTTGCAAGTGCAAACTTTATGATACGTCCCTGGTTTCTGAGTGCCCGAAAATTGATTTCATAATTTCTTTGTGGTCCACCCCCCCCCCCCCCCCAATAAAATGTACCATTCCGGATTTGGTGACATAAGACCTGCCCATCTTTGGTTTGTGAATAGTTTCTAAGCGGTCAAGTGAACTGTTTGAAAGACAGGCAGTAAGGTCCATTTAGGATTTGGGGTATTATAAAAAAAGGTGACTTCTAGTTCATACCTTCTTCGCAATTTGTTCCGGCATAGCCTTCGGTGCAAATGCAGCCATAGTTGGTAACGCCAACGCCATAACAGTAACCCCCGTTCTGGCATGGTTCGTCGTCACAAGGACCTGCATGAACAAGAAAAAAAAATGACATAAAATTGTTAAGAAATTAAGACTATCAAAGAGTAAAGCTAATGCCGATAGGCCTGGTGAGTTGGGCTAAGGTAGCTTGCCCAAAGACACAACACATATGACCAGCAGCAAGATTCGAACCTCCAAATGTGTTGAGATTTTGAATGCTGATGTTGACTGATGGGTGAAGATTCTTTAAGATGACATTTATAAACTCTCCCCCCCCATGTTTTTGTTTATACTCCACACAAGTTCACAAGTTCAAAGACAAACTCGAATGTGAGGCCAAGTAAAAATACAAACAGTTTCTCGCCCCACCCACTTCCTTTTTTCCCGGCAGACTCATAGAATATTAATTTTCATATTCTAAATCAATCTTTGCTATATACATGTATTTGATTTTTGATATTCTAGTTTCTAGCAAATTTGTTACCACGTTGCAAGTTTAGAATTTGTTTGAAGGTGTTACAGTTGATTTGGGGGAAAAAAAGTATCTGCAAGAGAATCAGGAAAATGAAACATCGTGGAAAATCCGCCATCTTAATAAAAACAAAAAGGGTCTCCTCCTCTATTTTTACAACATAATCAAAACAGGACAAGCAACTGGGTTTTTTTGAAGGTTTTTTGGTGTTTTATTTTACTTGGCCCAACCAGCATTTAATAAAAAAAACAACAATATACCTGGTGTGCAATTGCATGTGTCACACTGGAATTCGTCCTTCTCATAACCATGCTTGCACGGCATGCAATCTGTCAGCACTTCACAGGGGTTATCTGCAGATAAAATTAGATCAATACAAAAGATTAGGGCGTTGTTATAATTGTGCACTATTTTAGGCAACTGAGAATTCGAAATCTAAAATTGGCCAAAGCTACCAGTCCAAAATGCCAAGTCGTTCCCCAATTCACTGTGTCAGTCAGCAGGCCACAGCCTAAGGCCCCAAAAAAAAAAGTCTCCGGTTTCTGGTATGCGCGCGCGTCGCCGTAGCCATGCGCGTCGGTAAAATGAAAAAGTTTTTTTTTCAATAAAAGATGATGTCTCAAAACCGCCAAACTCACTGGTTTGACTGGAATTCTGCTGCTGCACAATTTTAACATGTTTTTAGATGGGGTTATGCTGCACAATTTTAACGTGTTTTTAGATGGGGTTATGATCGAGAATAAGCTTTATGTGGCCTCTCTGGACTCCCACATATATTTGCACTAAGTTTAGTCGGGCACCATTTGCAGTCATCAGCCGACATTTGAAGCCAAAAAAAAAAAAAAAACAGGTAACAAAAAAAAAAGCCGTGTCGCCGCACCACTTTTGGGGCAAGCTCCATACCAGAAACCGGAGACTTTTTTTTTAGGCCTAATGAGCCGCACTTTGGAAAGTCATTAAAATGTTGATAATTTTTTTATCTAAAAATTATGAAATTATTCGCACATGGTGTTTCCGCAAACCTTTCATTATTTAGTATCTTCACCATGCAAAGCCTCAAATCCTACTTATGAAATGTCTGTCTAAACTAGCCCAGGGTTGGTTATGTCCCATTGTTGTTTGTACAATGCATAAAACACAACTTACAGAGGATTCTATCCTAGGTTATGTCTAAACATGCTAAAATGCTTTTATTTCAATACATTTTCAATGGCAGTGTCGTTGGGTAAATAAGCCAATTCACCATTCCTAATTTTCAATCGCACATCCGTGAGATCTGTTTGACGACCAGTTTCGAGGGTTAAACAAAGCAAATGATCTGCACACAAGTTTATGGGGTATGGGCAAGATTACCATAAGCGAAGTTCACTAATTTTCCTCTGTATTGCCTAACAAGCCCCCAGATAGCAATTTCATGTCATCAAAGTCAATTTGAGCAGTGAAAAAATACAATTTTCTTAGAAAACACTTAGAATTTTTCAGTCCACTCTCATAGGGTTTGTACACAGAGTGTTGAGTGAACTTCGTATATGCATGGAAATCTTTCCGGGGTATGTGGTAACCGAATCCACATTTTGCAACTAGTAAAAAGAAAATGGAAGTTTGTTTGAACAAAAGTTGGAGCATACAAAACATCTTAATAAACCATGGTACTACTACCGTTAAAATACAATCAACATTTTGCATCTATTTCAAAACAAGAACTTTTCTTTGATTTTGTTGGCCTTGTGAGACCGCCCAAACTAGTTGGGGACATTCTCAATAAACAGGTAGGTCATAGAAAGAGGGCAGGGTTTTGATTTTTTGAGGAAAATTTGAGGGTAAAATGACGATGGCAGCGCGGCGACAACACGCAACCCGAAAATAAAGATGGCGAAACACCGCGCAATGTACTGTGAGCACGCACGGCGCTGAATAATTGCAAGGTACAAACCGCACAGGAAAATCGTGATTGCTACCATGGCTACCCGCCATCATTAGAATTGAGAAAAGTCTGCTTTTGATTATTAAAGGTGATTTTGAGCAATAAAAAACATGTTTGACTCTAATTTGATCAAAACAAAACAGGCACCCTGACTACACAATCGCCATATTAATTTCCAAGCACATGAAAATATAGTCGTGTTCCCTAACGTGGCGCACTTCGAAGCTTACCCAAATTTCCTCGTGTAGTGTTGCCAAACCTCTTTGTTGATAAACCTCAAATTCATGCAGTGAAATAATGGTACTTTTACCTTATTAATGCTTGCTATTTAACCTCTGTGAACAAATTCGGTTTCATAAAATTTAATTCGAAATGCAAAAACGGTCGCGTCCGGAAATTGGGCACAAATTGGCGGAGTGTTCCCTAACGTGGCACACTTGAATAAATCTCAGAAAAATTCCAAATTAACATTTAAGAATTTCTGTAAACTTGATAAATTTTGATAAATCATTATTATCTTTACTTACAAACCCAGCCAGATGTTTGTCAGAAAATTATTTTCTTATTTTTCGGGGCATTTTCAAAGGGTTCACTTTGCACTTGAAAATAAAATCGGAAAATCACGCCAAAATGATTTTTTCTTTTAACTTTGTAACGGGTAAATAAACTCGCGATTTATGAACGTGAGTGTTTAGAACTTAATGAAATTTCACTTTCTGTGAAATTTCAGTTAAAACTTTTGCTCTAGCTAGGTGCTACAGGCGAAAAATAAAAGTGCGCCACGTTACTCGTTAGGGTACATCAACAATATGTCAATAAATGATGAAGCAGGATTCCCAGGAAGTGTTTTGGGGTACAAAACAACATGTTGTACAACGACTGATATTGATAAACTCAAACTGTATTGAAAAATAAAATAGCCTAGAACAACAACTTCCGGAACTCTGACGTATGAATCAATAACCATTCACCTACCAATCTGACAAAAAAAGACCTTAAAACTTTTAAACTTGCGCGCTACTCGTACATGCCGTACGCGTGTAAGGTTTAAGGGGCGCCCTCAAGAGTCTAATTATCTACAACACGCCCTCTATTGCCGCATTTTAAAATATTTGGACTTTTCAATCCTACTCTCGAACAAGTCATATTTTTTCTTTCATTAACGTTTATGAAGTTTTTCTCTCATTAAACGCAGAGCAAAATATTCACCTTGAATATTCACAATCCGAATAAAAAAAGTCAATGTTCATGGAAAAATAAAACACTAGTTGTTTTGGGGCAATAACCCAACCATGATAAAACCAGTCGTATTAGGTTGCAATTTCGTTTAGTAATTATTGTTTTGTGTAATATGAGGAGATTTAATTATGTGAGAAACTGTTTAAAAAAAAATTAAATTAAATGACCGCAACAATCTTGATAGTGTTTTTAGCGCCAAAAAAAGAATCTGAATGAAAATCAATTTTCAAGGAACAAAAGTCAGCTACACATTCCTCTTGCAAACTAAAAAGAAACTATTTTGTTTCAAGTGCGCCACAATATTCTCGGCCGATTTTGTGCCCAATTCCTGAGCTTTTGTGTGATCTTGGAATCCCTGGGCACAAAATCGTTGGACACTTGCCCCCCAGATTTACCCAAGTGCCCCGCTTGCGGACATAGAGGGGGCATCTAGTGTGCCCCCTCGAGCATAAATGTGCCCCCCTGGAGATGAAAACAAAACTGGCCCTAAAATTTTGGATAATTGCTTTTAGGAATAAGGAGTTCTGTTGTGAACGAGGAATATGAAAACCAAGACCCAAAACCCCCTATAATGCGCCCTGAAATGGGCACATGACATAATGCGTAGTTTTCATAATGACCGGTTTTGAAGAGCGCCCCTATTTTGGAAGATGGTACCAGTTGCCCCCCCCCCCCCACCACCCAATTTTTGATTTTAAGGAGGCCAAGTGTCCGGTGAAAAAAAACGTGTCGACATTTTAGCACGGAGTGTACCCCCCCCCCCCCCCCAAAAAAAATGCTGGATACGGCGCTGCTGTGCTGCACCGACGGAAGATGTCGTTTAATGAGCAAGTGCCCCTTTTGGGTTATGCCCCCCAGTTTGAAAACCGTTCCGCCGCCGCTGCAAACATGTCAGACCTTCGTACCAAACCAAGGATCAACAATTATTTGAAATCGAATATTTTATAACAGTGCGCCACCACTAGTAAGCAAGTTTGAGAACGAATGATATACGGTGTCCCCAAGAGCACTTTGACGTTGAGTCCCTCGACTTTCCTTATGTAGTGTTGCCAAACCTCTTTGTTAACAAATTTTTAAGTCATTCAGTTAAATACTGGCACTTTGTCATAAAATTAAGTCCGAATTTCCAAAACGGTGACGTCCGAAAATTGGGCACAACATGGGCCGCGTGTTCCCAAGTTAGCATTTAAGAATTTCTTTAAGATTACCCCCATATCCCGGAATTAGAAGTTTGTCAGAAAACATTTTCGTATTGGGCGCTTTTTTTAAGGTAAATTGTGCACTTCAAAATAGAATATGAAACTCACGCCGCAATATATTTCTCACGGGTTGGGTTATAGAGTTTGGTAAAATTTTACTCACCGTGAAACTCGAGGGAAAAAATGTCCCATACAGCAAGGCACTTGAGGTGAAAAAGTGCGCCGTGTTAGGATCGAGCCACGCCACGTATCACAGAAAACATCACTGTAGTTAACCATAGTTTGACTGACTTTATAGCTCGATCGAACGCAGGATGATTAGGCAACTCTATAGTCGACTATTTGGAACCAGACCTACCGGGAATGGTCCAATAAACATATAACAAGGCGTAGCCACGACCAAGAAGTTTGGTATCATGAAGTTTTGTCGGACCATTGTTTGACTAGATCGAGGGGTTCGCATATTGCTATTAGTGCGCATAGCAGGCGTAAGTTACGCCACGAATCAACCACAGTAGTCGAGTACTTATTTTTTTCAGTTAGCCAAAGGCTAACAACACTGTTAACAATTTATTATGTTAATGAATATAGCGAGGCATTATGGGCCCAACTGGGAAAAATTGCAACAGGACGTTTGTGAAATGTGCCCCATGATATTCTGATGTCCCCCTGTACCCCCGCACTAAAAAAAAATCCAAGCTTCGCCACTGTTTGCCTCCGGAACAATCTCTGACGACGACTGAACTGGTCCGCTGCCTCCTGACAAACTCCCTCTGTGAACCTAAAACAATTCTCGCTCGTTGATGCTTATCGCCGGACGCTGGTGACCTCTATTTGATAGATTCTTTTTACTTATGACTAGAGAGAGCACATCGTTAAAATAATTTGTCAAAGGTTCTACCTACCTTTGCATTCACATGTATCGCATCCATTGACCTTCTTGAATCCGAAGAGGCAAGATTTGGCTCCGCAGTCGACGGGTTGACAATCCCCTGGAACGGTCAAAGATTGATAAAGAACGGTGAGATATTCTAATCAAGTGCGCAAGCCAGTCAAATAATCATTTCAGTTTTAAAATTCCAAAATCAATAAGAGCAATAAACACATTTCAGTCAGGTTGGCGTAGCGGTACTTTCCTCGCCTTTCACCGCTGTGGCCTGGGTTCGAATCCCGCCTTGGCCAATATGTGGATTGGGTTTTCAGTCCCTACCTGATTCCGTGGGTTTTTCCCAGAAAATTCTTCTGGGCTTTTCCCGCCACATCTGAAACTGTAATCTCTTCTCACTGTCTTCTCCCTACAGGTTTCTTCAGGCTTGCGAGCCTAGGGCGCTTTTGAGGAATCACTGGTTTCATTACCAGAAAGAATGAAATAAAATGCACTGTAAAATCGAGTCGGTTGTGTAAACAAGAGTAAAGATCTATAAAAAGAACACGTCAATGAAATTATATCAAAAGTTTAAACCTACATCTCTCCAAATGAAAGGACAAGGCCTTTCAAATTCTTTAGTTTACAAAACATTCATTGTGGATTTATCAAAAATTTAAGTGACCATTGTCGGTACCATTCTTTACTTACGACAAGAAGGAAACGAATTTTAATATAAAAACCGAAGATTGCACAACAATAACCGAGATAAACTATTCAAAGTCACATATTTCTGTATGGTATGATGAAATCATCAATGGTAAATTGAAATATCGTCTTACGTGGTTGTTTCGTGGTAGTCCCGGTATCTGAAAAGAAAGAAAGAAGAATAACATTCGTAAAGAGACATGTACGTCGTTGATTTTTTTCTTTAAGTGTTGGAAAATTCCCTAAACCTTTTACTAGAAGTAGGGTATGGTTGTAATTGCAAATTACGCGCATTTTGGTTTGCACTTCTTCTAAAAAGAATTGTCTCTGAAAAAACAACAGACGTGGTAATTCGACGTTTTGGTCTGTATGCTGACCATCTTGAGAACTCCCTAAACTCCAAAGAAATCTATTATGGTTACGGGTTAATGCGGGCCTAATTTGTTCTCATGATAAACGAATGTGTATATGCACGCGTGTATGCTCGTGGAATGCTGTAGATAATACGTTTAAAAAATAGGGAAAAAAAGACTACACAACGACATACTGCCAACTCAATATTAAGGCTTTTGTCATATCCTCTTTACGAAGTGGTTAAAGAAATCATTTTGATGGTGTTACCAAAGCAGTCAAACACACAAAACAACTTACCTGTACCATGCCCTTGGTCTAGGGAGAGAAAGAAAAATAAAGTAATTTTTAACATTTTGCATTGAAATCACTCAAATGTGTAGCCTTGGTGTGTGAGAAGACTTTAATGCCCTCGTACGTATGTGCGCGATGGTCGGGAATTGACGAATTGAGCCACGGAGTGTTGAACAGTGTTTTTAAAATCGGGTTTTAAGTTCGTCACTTTTGGAAATAAAGATTTCTTCTATGTTTAGAGTACATGTTGACTAATTTGTTATACAGGTAGTAAGCTGAGATCTTAAACTTAAAAAAATGTACCAGTTACAGATTAATAGAACAATTCATTGCGGAGTGAGTGGAGTAATTATTTTCTATAGCGATTTGTCTGTTCGTGAAAACTTACAATGTCACTCGCGCGTTGTTTTGTCGAGCAAATTTGCCCATACGTACTGTGCGCTAAAGTCGTCTCTTCGTGAAAACTTAAAATGCCACACGCGAATTGTTTCGCAGGGCAATCTCACTTTTCGCACTTCGTGAAAACTCACACGCCTATAAGCGCCCCATAGAACAACGTGACAATAATGTTGGAATTTGTCTCTTCGTGTAAACTTAAAATACGATTCAGGTGAAATTTTCCCTACAATGATTGACATGATTACATTGATTCAAACCGATTTTGACCAAAACACTTCGCCAAAAGATTAGTTGCTGTTATACTTAGCCGGTTTCGCCCGATTTTTTTTTTTAAATATGGATTTTTGGCCAAATTTGTCTCTTCGTGATGAAAACGCTGACGTATTCTACAAAAAGAGAGCAGTAAATTGTTGTTCCCGGTGAATATCTTTTGGTAAACATGACACGTGTGCTTACTTCCGCACTCGTCAGCGAAGAGGAAGCCTCCGAACATCCCAATGCTGGAGCTGCCCGTGCCGAAACCCATGTAACGTGGGTTGAAGGTCTCGCCAGCAGGGACGTCGAACTCGAAAAAGGGGGCGCTATCACCCCCTCTGCCTAGCTTGATCCTGTCCAGAAAATAAGAAAGAAATATATAGGTTTACGTACTCAGCACAAAAATTACAGATTAACTGAATCAAAGATTAACTGGAAAAAAACATACCCTAAATATGCAAAGAAAAGTTGAACTACAGTTGCAGAAAGCGAGGTCGCTATCAACAAGATAAACCAAAACCACTCTTGGTAATATTGGTAGCGCTACCCGGGAAATTGCTCACGCCCGCTTTATTGAACCTAATGCATGCGCGGGCGGTACTGTTAGGAATCTCCGGGTAGCAACCGCGTTTGTCATTTTGTAAATTTAAAATTGGGGACTAAAAATCAAGTTTTGCGCCGAACTCTCCATGGCGCAAATGCGAGTCGAACGCGAATTTGCAACGGTATGTTGTGTCCGGCGAATGTTCCATGACGCGTTTTTTTTTCATGAAGGCGAAGTATGGAACCTGTTGACTTACATGCCATTCTGGAAGCAGATCCAGTAGGAGTTCATGCAATTGTCGTAGCATCGCAGCTCACTCTCGCGGAAAGGAACTGCATCTTTGACCGTGTACGACTGCAATCGGTCGTCGCTGCCGAATCGAGTGATGTAGGTCAGCTCGTTCCTTTCACCAATGGCTAGTTGTAAGAAAAAAATCAAATCAAGACAATCAGTCAACGAATTTGTCACGATTTGTTTCAAAAACGTTCCAACTGTACGTGTCAGGTCAAAATATTCGGCCAGAGAGGTTAAATTCATTTTGTTAACATGTCCTGTACTGTTCATACCAAGTTAAAGTACATCATCAAAGCTTTATTGTGCAAGATACTTTTGGTAACATCTACAAACGGATGTCGACCCTTTGTCATGCTGCAATGCGGTATAACTTAAGATGAGCGCCACCAGCAGCAGCTTTTCTGTATTCTAAATCATTATATAGGCGGGATTATAGTGACTTTACATCCATTGTTACATACGTCACATTTTTTGGCGGCAGCTCATCAGTGAGCAAAAGGTAACATACAGCGCATGCATCCATTGTTTGCATTTTAGTGCGCATGTCATGTGCCACCCAAAGTGTGACGGCACATGATTTGGTCTATCACGTGATGAAAAGCTGCATAACTTACTGATGGTGTAGGCTGCGGCATCGTCCTCCTTCACGGGGGACAGGATGAGTCTGACGTCGCTGTTGGCCAACACCTTGAAGGCTACGGTAAACTCGCCATCGTTGAGGATTTTGTCAACGTAGGTGAATGTCCCCGAGCCATCGCTACTGCGATATTCACAGCTGTAGTCAACTAGTGTCAGAAGGCAAAGGAGAACATTGTTATTTTCAAACTACGAATCTAAATTAAGAAGCAACTTTTGACAGGAAGTTCGTTGCATCAAAACTTTATCTCAAGTAAATCACAAGTCGGTCATAAAATGCATCACATGTCGGATCACAATTTAAATGACAAGTATTAAGTCCAAAGGTTGGTGTCGAAAAGATCTGGATAGCTGATTAATTGATTGAGACTGGATGATTTGTGATAACGATTGACTTGTGATGACTTGTGGTTGACTAAAGAGGACTTACGATTGACTTATGAGGACTTTTGATTGACTTGCGAGGACTTGCGATTGAATTGTTAGGGCATGCCATTAACTTGTGAGGATATGCGATAATGCGATTGAATGTTGAGGCCATACGTTTGACTTGTAAGGATCTTTCTTGCGTGTGAATTGTGAGGACCTAACATCAAATTGTGAGGACATGCGATCGGCTTGTGAGTACTTGCGATGATCTGTAAAGACATGCCATTAACATGCGAGGACTTGCCACTGACTTGTGATGACTTACATTAAATTACTTTAGGACCTGTCATGAACTTGCGAAGACATGCCAACGATGTGACTGACTTTTGAGGACTTGCGATGGATTTGTGAGGACTTGCAATGGATTTGTGAGGATACATGCCATTGACCTTTGATGATTTACGATGGATTTTGTGAGGACTTGGCCTCAACTCTAACTCCTTTTACATATCCTACTATTAAGCTTCTCAACAAGTTATATTGTAAATATTATCCCAGCATGTAACCGTATCATGAGGAGGTGGTTTGCCTCATCATTTGCCAAATTTCATGGTGCTGATAAGGCCAAAAAGTCGGTCTCTGGTCAGCGCGCGCGTCGATTTTAAGCATGCGCGTCGATCTTTTTTTTTCCAAAATGTTCCGCGGTAACTCCAACAGCGCCCTCTATTTCCGCACCTCCTCATTTTTTTTACCAAAGAGCACCAAGGAATGGGAAATTGCACCAAGGCAAATGATCGAAAGCACCAAGGCAAATTATGGAGGCCACCAATGTACACGAGGACACCAAAAAAGCAAAATAGTACCCACCTTGTCTGTACAATCCAAGCTGAAGAAAAAAAAAAAAAAGGACCAAAAAAAAAAAAAGCCGCGTGGCCGCGTCAATTCCGGAACTTTGGTCTGACCAGAGACCGAATATTTTTTTTTTAGCCTAAGCAAAAGAATTTCTTTAGTATGAATGTTACTTGCTTACCCCAAAACAGGTTGCCAACCAAAATAGCATGTAGTGAATGATAATGACTGGTACACGGCTAATCGCGCTTAGTACACAATTTGGTAAGCAACATTTTCTGCTCGTATAAGCAGCCCTGTGAATTTCGGTCCTGAATTCTAAAATGTAAACTCCCGTTTTTCCATTTCCACAACTAGACCGATGTTTGCCTTAACGTCTACCACAAAATCGTGGACATTGCCTTGGAAGTCAAACAGACTCAAACGTTTCGGTTTGAATTCGGTTGAAGAAAAGATTGTTTAGAGAACATTTTGGTGGTACTCACTGTCTTGCGAGTGAGCAATCGAAGAGAAGGCCAGAACCACAATCCAAGGGAGAATGTTGGCCATCCTGGGGTCGAGAGGGCGCCCCCGGCTGACGACAAGTGGATAAGTTCAATCGGGCTGAAAAAACAGACACACAACCCAATTAAACGAGAAAAAATACATGAGATCATCCTGATAACAAAATTATGGTTTGTTGATGAGCAGTCACTTTCTAACAGTAATCAGAATGAAATTAAGCAAAAATTAACAACGTTCTTAAATCGACTATGACAAAGTACAGTTTCTAAAATAGCGAAAAATAGTTCTGGTGACAGCTTTACCAAGAAGGATATATATTTGTTGCTGACAAGGACAAACTGAAAGGCCTTAACGTTCCAAGCGAATCAAAGATGTTCACAACAGTTTTAACTAATGTTTAGTTTCAAAAGATTAAAATGAGAGGGTTTATAAGTTTTAAGGTAAAATCGCAGAGATGTTTCGAGTATTAAGAAGGATAATAACTGTCAAAAGTTTTAGCCACCAAATAAGCAATTTAATATATATTTTAAAAAAACCCAATAGTATTTTTTAGCAGATACTGGAATAATCGCTCATTAAAACAAAGGAGGCGGTAGCCAAATTGTAAATTAGGAAAAAAAAAATTGAGGAAAAGAGGATACATTTTGTACAAAGGGGGAGAGTTGAAGTAGGTATGTCGTGAAATGGTGCTGTACGATCCAAAACGTTCCAACGAAAGACAACATAATCTTTGTGGCTTTAAAGTACTGAACAGGTAATGCCGTGTTTCTATAAAGAATTATGTACTTACACTTGTGAGGTAAACCTGTTGCCGGCAGCCTGCGTTTCCTTGGACGACCTGGCAGCAAGTGATGACGATGAATTGTCTGTTCCCCGCAACTTCAAACAAATAGGAGGTGTTTTGTTTTTCTTTCATCTCAACATATCGATTGACACATTGATTGTCTTTTGTTCAACCTGCAAACTCCAGTGCATGACACCTGTTCTGAAAGGTCAATTTGGAGGTTGCTCCCTTTGTTTTAAAATAACTTGATGTGATGCATAATTGAATGTTATTGTATTCGCAACTTGAGTTATTGAAAACAATGGGTATTCAATCGATAGTTTTGACACCAGCTCAGCGCATATTGTCTAACGTATTTGCATAAATAGTGGCGTGGGAGGGGTTTGGGTGGGCGGAGATCGGATGGGGAGTTAAATATTTTGTTCCTCTTGTCGAACAGCAATTAAGAACGGACATGATATCTGGAGGTGCTGTGACTAACATAACTTCAGATAGGTTCAAATTGGAATATCGCAACGAGTGACATAGACTTAAAGTACGGTATCATTTAAATAGCTAAAACTCGTGTTCGTGGTCATGGTATGACGTCACCCCCAGTTTATAGCAGAAGTGTGCCTTTCCAATTTTGTGTATTAAACTTTAATAAGAGTCTATTATGGCCTTCATTCTTTTCATTGTCGCCAATTAAACCAAAAAAATAACAAGTCTGGACCGATTTGAATGGATTATTTCAGGCTGTATGTCAATACATTTCCCACATCTATTCATATAGTATTAATCGATTCATTTATCGATTGATTCCTCCTTGTTCTGACAACATCATGTCGGCCCGGCCTATTATTTCAAGGCAAGGCACATCATTATAATCACACGGAGCTCTCCTTAAATGTTGCGTTCAAGCCGAATCAGAGCACTGTCAGTTACAATAAACAGAACGAATGTAATTATTGAAAAACAACTTGGAATCGAGACACGACTGCGAGGTATCGTTATATAATCGCCCCAATCGATCTTAAGATCTCCATGTTAAACGGCTCCGGCGCTGTATTAGAAAACTGCGACTTAAAAAAAGAACTTTTACTAAACGCGTGTGCGAACAGTTCTTATTATTTCGCTCCGGTGGACTGACTGAAAGTTACACATTATATTCAAAAGTTCGCATTTTGTTTGAAATACACTGATGACAGATGGAAGTAGTTTTTACATACCACCCTGCACCATGCAATGCTCAGACCAACTAATCCTTTATTCAATGTAATTATTGGTTGGAGTTGCAGCTTTTTTTGATGGAATATTGATTCACTTGCAGTGATTTAATTGAATATCGGTTAATTCTACGTAATTTACTAATCCTTCACAGCTGGTCTCTTTTACTTTGCGATCGATCGACGCTCTTTTACCGGATTAGATATCTCATCAGCTCGAATATAAAACATCGATCGGTGCAAGGCCGTCGGACGAATTAATTCTACCAATTAATATTTTGCCACGTAAAACACGGATGCGGTGCTTGACCAGTGAATTCACCTTTCTTTCCCGAAGCACCGGTCTCGGCTACATTGAGTTCAGATTGGACAGATTTTATTTGAACAGTTACCGAGAGGTAACATTTCCACGAGATGTATATGGAAAAGAGATTAGCAGTATAAGAGTGAAGTTCCGAAGTCTGTACCAACAGGCGCGATTCTACCGGGGGGGGGGGGGCTAGCCCTCTCCCCCCAACTGTTGTCTAGCTTCCCCCCCCCCCAAGTTCCATAAAAAAGCTAAATGTTGGAAGGTGACGTCCCATGCGAATGGTTTCACCCCCTAAAATAGTCATGAGAAGGGGGTATTTGTACACTATTATGCAGTGTTCATGATAGTAGGATTTTATCAGCGAAATATGGTACGAGTCCCCCCCCCCCCCAGCCCCACCTATTCTTTTTCGGAGGCCTAAGTGTCCGGAGAAAAAACAACCGGTCTACATTTCAGCACGCCTCCCTGCAAAAATGTATGGATCCACCCCTGCCAGCCCCCTAGTATAGGCTCTAGGAACGCGCCTGTGTACCAATCGGTTGAGACTTTCATATATTTTGGGACGTAAAGACCCGGAATATTAAGGTTTTTCTGCTAATAATAAGCCTAATTTATCCGATCACAATTTAAATGACAATCGCATATCGGCGAATATGTGATTGATCCCTGCATTATGAATGACATCATTGGTTTAATGCCAGACGAAATCGACACATTCCTTTAGCGCCACTTGTTATTGAATATCGCTTGTTTGTTCCCAAACAGCTTGCAAACACAATAGGATTGCAGTTTATTTTGGGATTGCTGAGATTTGAAGACAATAGCAATCAACCTTCACATTGGCTCTCCGAACAGGTGCAATTGAACCGATTGGATGGTTGCAATCGATGCAGAAATCAATACAATGCGACCGGAAAAAATAAGAGACGCATCAAATGTGGTGTCAGTGGGGATTTTTTTTCCATACTGCGGATTCACACTAGGGACTTGCAGCGCCACCAAGCGTTCAGCAAGCCACCTTTCAGTCTCACGGTCAGTTTTTTGCATTATGCTGTCCTGCAGTTTATCCTGGCCTTCACTGTTCACGTTCGATATGACGGTGTGCACCAGTCTAGGCTGCATCTGAATTACTTGGCTACAGCTTGATATAACACACGGGTCTATGAGAAGTGGCAGCAGCCGTAGCCGTAGCCAAAGTATGTCGGACTCGGCCTAATAGACCTAAAAGGGCGCCCTCGCCGGGGAAAGTCAAATGTTCCTATGTGATACGAATAATAAATACATTCCAAAGAAAAACAAATCCCCCAGTTGGGGCATCCTGTTCAAAGGATGTATGAAAGGTAGTCCGGGGTTTTATTTGTGGGTGGGGCAAAGGTGTTCCCCCGCCGAGTCGTCGAATGCAAATTTTGTAACCACCGACGAAATAGGCCAACGTGAACAGCGCCCCCATTGTCATGTGACTACAAGCCCCTCCCATCCTCTGCTCTGCAATAAGTTGTGGTTGTGGTGTAAAAGTTCTAAAGGTGCCCGTTATTTTAAAGACTACCGAGTCCCTGGCAGCCTAGAGTGCAATATGAAATCTGATTGGACCGCTGGAATAAAGCTAAAGACTATAAGTTCCTGTGGTGCACTGCGGTTGAAGCAGAAATCGCGCCGCCAACGACACCTTTCGAATCACTTGTATTCTGACACAAGGTGGCGCCCTTTATATCACTGTTGTCACTTAGCAGCTGTTTATTTCAAATTTCCAGATGTCATACGTCCATAATGATCGGTTCAAAAATGGCTTTAGAATGCCAACGTTTGCATTAATAGCTTATGTTACGACGCGACAAAGATGAAAATAAGCAAACACCATCATCACTCGAAGATCAATGCTTGCGTTATTTATTATACCCTTTAACCGTGAACTAATCAACTCTTATGTATGTATTAGTAAAACGTGAAACCCAACACCAAAACGAAAACAGTACCGTTTTAATCTTAAGAATATTTTATAGATGTTAATTATTTGTAAAATTAAAAGGATGGACCAAACGTTTACAACTGCTTGGAAAACTTTTCATGACAAATGAAACCGAAACCTTGAGCTATTATCGGGGAAAGTACATTTGTAAGTTGAATCACTTGATCCTGGGTTTTCTGATACATGAATCTGCAATAAATCCCATTAATTATTATGAATCTCACATTGCATGCGTTTCGAGCTCAGTTTATGGATTTTATATAATCCACTTATTATTAATCAATGTTTGTGAAATTAAATTGTTGTAATAGCTGTAGCGAGTAAAAATTCAAATTTTCATGGATATTATTTTATACAATTGGCATCATACTGTTCAGGTTCTGATGAGGGTGTTCTTGAATACGTGTTCTATTCTTAGAATAGTTGGATTGTGCGTACTCTTTCAACAAACGTAATTTTGATAATATGAAAATCGATTTGAATCTTTTGTATTTTAATAAATATATTGAACGTCAATACATCGATGTTGAATTGGGAATAGACTACCACATTTGACAAGTACAAGTCTATATTGTTTATCGTGGTTTACATTTATGGGCTTTTTTTTTTAAATTGTATCCTAATTATACCAAAATAAAAATATATATCGGTTGAAACATTTCTTAATGAGAAGACTGCATGACAAGCGGATTAATTAGTCTTCATGAAAAGGTAATCAAAACAAAACAATATCCCATGTTGAAGAAAGTCATGATGCCACAACCAAATTTAAAAGGAAAACAAAATCCGTTTTTTTCTTTTACAAATATCGGATGGTGCAATGTAAGCTGGCTTTGGGATCATGCAAACTATTCTTTACAATTTACGTGAACTTTTCATTGTCTCTTTATTTCAATTATCAAATACTTAATTTCTGCATAAAAACAAATAGAGGACACTGGATATGAGTCTCTTTGCTTATCTCGCTACTGAATTTAAAAATACACTTTCTTGCACGAGCAATATGACTTGTGTCGAAGTATTTCAGGGGAACGAATTTGCCTCGAATTAGGCTTTGTTCATAAGTACATTTTCTTTTCATGGAGGGGCACATTATCAACTTTTCAGGGATAATTTACTAGCTTGATTCAATACAGGTGTATAGTCAACAAAATAATTAAACATGGTACTTTGGGGTGTAAATTGAATTGAAACTACAACATCAAGATTAAAAAATACTATAGTATCTCCCACTATTTTTTTTTAAATTACTCTATTCTCTATTCTTCTTCGACTCTATTCTTCTTTCAAACTAAAACCTATTGCCCAAATCGGAAACATGTATGAAGGGGGGAAAAATCTATAATGACCACTACCTAACGTTTTGCAAGAAATCTTACCCATTATCTTGATAAAATCTTTTTAAAAAAGGGAAGCAAATGTTCGAAAAGTCAATGGGTGTTATCTGTCAATCAAGCCCACGTCGTTTAGCCTGCAAAAGAAACAAACAAAAAAGGCCAACAGTGATTATGTGATTGAACCCTGCAACTACAATGGTATGTAAACAAAATGAAGACATTATTTTTCTATGAAAATTGATTGCAATTCAGATTTGCAGGTCATTGCATACAATTAGCACGTGAGGGCGCTGTTACGCGGACTCATTTTTGAGGGTACATAATTAATAGACGCAAATCACGGCCAAGTTCGCGCAAGGACTATAGTTGACCAATGGTTAACTAACGTTTGCCCGAACTCTGTCTAGTCGACGATGGTTGACTACGCTAGTCGACTATTTGGAACCAGCCTACTGGGGTTGGTTGCTTCGCTGGTAACCAATAGCCGCGTGCATTCATAACGCAAGCAGAGAGCCAGGATCCAGAAGTTTTGCGACGACATTTTGACCAGCGTTTGACTAGAGATGTTTGCACGTTGCTATCAGTGCGCAGGCGTAAGGTACGTCACAAATCAACCACTGGTCGAATAATGGTCCTTTCCCGAACTTCGCCCAAGTCAGTTAACATGTTGGTATTAATCAACAATTACATTTCTAACACTGTGTAATTTTTAGATTGGCAGTGCAAGTGAAGCTGGTCTATTTCGTAATCAGTAATAGAATGTACTTCTACTATTTGTGTCCTGAAAAATAGCACCGGGACAGCGCCCCCACTCGCTGAAAATATGGCCTTTTAACAGCACAGGAGCATCGTTACATACCGGCCATTTTCCAGGCGCCATCGCCACGCGTTCCAATGGCCAATTTCTTGGACTCGCCCGCGTCGCCCAACCAGCTCACCCCGCTGTAGCTGGCAATTGGCTTGTTGTCGCCCACCAGGCCCATGCAGAATTCACCATCTACGAGCTGCGCCCAAATGGAGCGTTTGGCAGCGAGATGGCATGCGGCTGATGATTCCCTGACGGTCTGGCAGTCGGTCGCATGAAGGTCCTTGCATTTCTGGATTCTACAGCCTGGATTGCTCGGACTACCAAACTCTGCATAGTCAATGAATCACCGTCATTAAGTCCAAGGAAGAACCGGAAAGGTATTATTAACATGCACAATCCATGTGGGTCGACCGGAATAACTCCTACTACTATTTAGTTCGGCGCGACTCGGGTTATTGTTGCACATGTGTTTAAGAAAGTGGCCGATTAAGACGGGATCAAAATATCCTGGCTGTCACCTCTGTGACATCATTATGGACAATGGACAGCCAACCGGAAAGTGACATTTTGACCCGAAAAAAAATGTCATTTTTGACCATGAAAAGTGGCAGTTTGACCCGGAAAAGTGGCATTTTGACCCGGTAACAAGTGCCAGGACCCATAGGAGCCAGATTCTGGGTCAAATCTGACCCGAGTGTAAAGTGGTATAATGTACGGAATAGTTGCAACTAAAGGTGTTGTAGAAATCGAGCTTAATCCAAAAGGTTATTGTTGTCTTACCAGTATAGACGGGGAACAAAATGGAATGTCTTACCTGCAACTAACTGCCCAAGTGCCGGGTTGTTAGCCTGTATAGCTATCAAAGCAACCTCGGCCGATTCCACCTCAAACCGGAATTGCTGGTCCGTCACGGCCCCGACGTCGATCCAATTTGGATCTAACATTCATCATGGAAACAACACTTTGAATTAGCCAAATATTATACCAGTAGGGCTAACCCAAACTAAACAATAGTGAAGCGAAAATCACCAAAATGGTGAATATGAAGGCATCAATGTTATCATTTGTTTTACAACATAGACCTTTTCTGCTTCTGAACCAAACAGTGCGGATTGACAAATAAGATCGCGACCATTGGGTCAGGTGACCACGATAGCTCCGGTCACATGCACTGTGACAAACTTAATGTACACAAAAGAACAAGTTAGGCGGTACTATAATGCTCCAATTGCCTCCAATTGTTGATATCTGACTAAAGCTAGGATAACAATTGTGGCCTATATAGTGTGAGGAGAGCGATCAATAGGGTATACGTTCCTGGCTCATGATCAGAAGGTCAGGGGTTCGAATCCAGCTGCTGTCCATTATGTTGTGTCCTTTGGCAAGCCACAAGATCCCCACTTGCCTCTTTACACCCAGGAGTATAAATGGGTACCGGCATTATCTGCGATGGACTAGCATCCCATCCAGGGGCAATATAAATACTTTCAGGCGTTTCATACCACTGAAACCGGAGATTAACGCCTGTGCCTGATGGGCCACATTGGCCCGTGAAAGACTTTACCAGGCAATACGATGAGCAAAAATGTCCATTTTGTTTCGGGGTGAGCGAGGACGAGTATTCGTGATTAATATGGCACGCCGCATGAAAAAAAACTTCAAGGCTTTACCGAGCTCTGAACTCTTAAACCAATTTGCATTCTGTATCACTTATATTTTAGGAAGTACAACAATAACTTACAGGTTATTTCCACTGTTTGTTCCTCAACCTGCATCACGTGGATGGCCACGTCGATGTATCTCGGACGGAAAGACGTGTCAGTGACCATCTGTCTCATGTATGCGCTGCTTTCACCCTCGAACCAGAGTTCGAACCAGAACTCGCCGCCGGAGGAGCCCGGCAGCTTGATCAAGAAGGATTTCTTGCCGCTGTTGAGGACGCCACCTCGCGTCGCGAATTTGTCACCCAGGCCTTGTCCGTTGTACTGCATATAGCTCCACTCGCTCTCGATAACTGTAAAGCGTGAAAGGAGAAACAATTTTGAGGATTGCAATCTATGAGATTGTATCCACTCTAGTGTAAAGAGTCTGTGACGATTACGCAGGAATCGACGCCTGTAATTATTGGGGTTTTTGATGGTGTAAATTACTACAGCCTAAAACCAGTTAAACCAGCTCACAACCACTTTAAAACCAGTTAAACCACTTCAAAACCAGTTAAACTACTTCAAAACAAGTCATCAATGTCCAGCTCAACTGGATTTTGACGCTGAGTATTTGTCACATATCTACCTTCAACTTGACGTTACGTTGTAAACCATTCCAGAAACTCCAGCAAATTATATACAGATTTTTATCTCAATTAAACTCTGAACTTAACTTCACGTCAGGGTCATAAACAATCGTTTGTTTCGATCTCAATCGGCATGATAAAAGTAAATCAGCAGTGACCTTACGTGAAAGGATTATCTTTGGTGAGTTTGTCCGGATTTGAGAAGAACAACAGAAAAACGAGATTTTGTTTTCATTCGTACGATGGAAGTGGAAACTTTCGCCTATTATTTACTTATCATGCAAACCTTACTGAGCATAGTTTAACCCACATCAGGAACAACCTTTGAATCAGCTACTTTGAACATACCAAATAAATCATGAGCTACCACGACAAATCCCATGTTCTTATTGTATAGACTAGACAATTTAAATGGCATCCTGTTTTCATAATCATTTGTTTGCAGTAATCGGTGTTTCAGTTTTCAAAGAAATCTTATACTTACCGAACTGCAGTGCTTTGCCCGAGCCGCCCCTCTTCTCAGCTAACCGGAATGTAATGCCGTCTTCTGGGTTGAAGGTGAAGCTCATACTGGTCTCGTAGCCAGCGATACCCTCAATCTCCTCGTACTGGTCCGGCTCGATGACGATCCTCTTGCTCTCCACTTCTTCTCTCGTCTCTGTGAATTCGAAACCCATATGATTTAATATTACGTTTTGGCTTTCTTCGTGTTCTGTGGTAGTCAGAGCATGGGCGTCGCAAAGGGGGGGGGGGGGGGGGGGCGAGGGGGGCACTTGCCCACCCCCCAGAAAAGGAAACAAAAAGGAAAAAAAAGGGAAAAAAGAGGTTCGAAGCCATATATTGCTGTCAATTTGATTGGGGAGGGTTAAGGGTAGGGCAGATGTTCCCCTGCCCACGCTTGGAAAATGATAAATTGAGAATATGTTGAAAAAGTTACGAAATTTTGGGGAAAATGTGCTTTGCCCCCCCCCCCGGAAAAAATCCCGGCGACGCCCTTGAGTCAGAGTCATTAACCAGTCAATTACAAGATCACAGGAGCCATCACTAATCATCACAAGTCATCACAAAAATCACAAGTCATCACAATTCATCGCAAGTTAACTGAAGCTATCACAATTTCTAACAAGTCGTCACAACTCATCACAGCTCATCCAGAGTTACCCTTCTGGGCTGTTAGAAATTTGGCATTTCTGTGTCACCGCTTAGTTCCTGACATTTTGTGATAACGTGTTTCGACAGTGATTTCAACTCTACCGAGATCAAGAGCTTGTAACTCGTTGCTAGAAAAAGAAAATCACAAGCTTTGTCGGTTCTGACTCAAATCTGCAACTTCATGCTTGCTAGTGCAGAGGCTTTACCACGCGATCACGGAGCTTGCCAGAGTCGGCAAAAAAAAAACAGTCACAATCACGTGTCTTTACAATAGTGCTTCTGAACTTTCTGGAAAAAAATGCATTTCCCAGTTGCATAATCAGAATTTACTACATCCCCTATTCTTTAAAAACCCGTTTTGGTTTGGTTTTGAAGTCACCAATAATCTTCTAAAGTTGTTGAATATGAGATCAATCATTTTCATTTGCTATGTGCTTTACACTGTACGACAAAAGAAACGTTTCAATAATTAGAGTAAACAGTTTTTAATTCTTACCAATGATGGTCTCGCTGACGTGGTGTGTCTCTTCCACTTAAAATAAAAATAAAATAAAAAATAATAAATAAAATTGTATAATTAAATATAGGCATATCAAAGGTACAATACATCCGGGCTATTAAACGTGGAAATGCGACACATAAAGATGACCTAAACTGCCCAGAAAAGTAAATTCTATCGTTAAACCAGTTTAATTTCGATGGAGTTTAGTAATTCGATTTTACAATTTAAAACTTTAAGAAAAAAACTTACCAACTGTTTCGATCGTCTGGTCAACTGTGGACAAATTACAAACCAGATCGGATTAATGAGATTTAATAAACCAAAAGTATTTTTTTATACACAAACAGTTGCTTAAAAGTGATGGGCCACCCACCTTGAATTTTAGGCCTCTTGGAGGTCTTCTTCTTTCCTGTAAGAGAAAACAAGACAAAATGTCAAGTATCATTTCGGGAAAAGAATTCCCTTGTGTGACAAGTGCCTTTCAAGATTATGAAACTGTATCCCATTTTTTCAATTGGTGTCTTCAAACAATGGATGTGTAAGAATAAAAGTGCAGCTACACCACGACAGGTAGTAACGTAAGTTACATTTTCCCCTAGATAAATGGGAGTTTGGATGGTCATCATCTGGCGCTAGGTGGCGCTGTTCAGGCCCTTCTGCCAATATTAACACACATAAAAAATGAAGGTGCCGACCAGAAAGATGAAATTCCTGCCGAATTGGAAATCTAAACCCCTTGCGCCCCTTCCTATTTCGATTATCAGAAATGTTGCAATGTTGAGAGTAATATTTCCAACTACCCAATGGACAAAAATGTCCCAAAACACAAAATCTTTTACCTCCTTTTCCTTTGTGTTTGTAGTTCAGTTTCAACTTCTTGCTCCCCTTGGCCTGAAATCCGATGCGGCCACAGACGTAGACTTGCTTCTCGGGCAATCTGTACTCTAGGATCTGCGTCTCCCCGGACGAAGATCGCAAGAAGACGTTGAAGCCGTTTGTGACGAACCTTACGATCAGTCGCAAGGATTGGATACTCCAGCACCAGGATGGCAGTTTCGCGGTCTTAAGTTTGACACCAAACGAGCTCAGGATGTAGATATATCTGCTCTCGATCTCTGAAAGGTAAAAAGAAAGACACAGTTTAACAAAGTCTGTGTCGTTATATGGGAATGGCACTTCAACGTCTAAGATCGGGTCTAATGCTAAACACTTATTCCTACAATTTAGTGTCCTGTTTCCTCCAATCAGAGTTTTGAGAGAGAGAAACTTGGCTTTCTGCCTGTTCTCATTCATATACCGTTTCAATAACTGATGTAGGGAAAATGATATTCCAATAGCCTTTCCACCACGTGCTGCATCTCTTTGGAATTCCTTGCCTGGTACTTGTTTCCCTCCAACCTATGATCCGTCCTGTTTCAGGAGGAATGTCAGTCCCTACTTTCAGTTTTCTTGAATACCTGCTATTCTTTTAATTTCTCTTGCAGCCTTGTACCTTGAGCGGCTTTCAGCCTCGTTCTGCTAATGTCAGGGTTTTTTTAAGATGTAAATGAAGGTTTACAATTAACCAAATGATTAGTATAAAGGACGTTTTTCTTAACATGTCAAACAAATTTACACTGGTATGTTTTTGTTGAAAATTTTATGAACCGGAAGTGTACTGATTACTGCAATTATATGAAATTGCAATCTGTATTCCATGGTCCCACGGCAGTTGGAAACAGACGACACATTTGGGTTAAAGCGTTAAGAGCGTCAAGTCACATTATATGCCACATTCTCGATTAGATGATTGCACATGACCGGAACTGCTTTAAGGACATGCACATATATACCTGTGCGGATGGTAGTAAGTGTCAATCCATGCAAAAATGCACATCTCCTTTCCAAGATGTCAGCCCCCTGTGCGATTGCATGTTAACACTATACCCCCTTGTAGCCCAAAGTAATATACATGATGTAAAGCTTCTTGCAGCTAAACAGAATTGAAGAAGAAAAGGAAAAACAATTACCAATCTTGATCAGCTGGCCACCCGCAGAATGTAAGATGACGTCCGCAGGTTCACCCCTTTCGATCTCGAACTCCTGGGCCACGTTGTTGTCTACGTCCTCGGCGATGATCAACTCACGGCCGAGAATACTCTCGAAGACTTCATCTTCCAATTCACGGAATATTTCTGAGGAAAAACAAGGTCCAGGGTGTCGAAAGGTTTCGATAGGTTTGATAGGTTTCACTTCCTAGGGTCTGGACAGAATGTCGTCCATGTAATAAGTCGTCGCTGGTGAATAACAAGTCAATCACAAATCGTAAAGCCAAATCGTAAACTAATCCTTCATCAGAGCAAATGATTATCTTACTTTGGGGTTTTCCTTTGGGATGGTTTTTGAATCCGGAGTCTGGAAAAAATAACATTAAAAAAAAAGTTCAGTAGAGTTAAGAATTTCGACTGCACTGATGTTGAACAGTTTCATCTACAAATTTCAATCTGTCAACTGAGCCTCACGCAACATTATGCAATTGTCTGCTGCGATGCAGATGTAAAAGCCTAGTTTCCATATGCTTAGGCAGACAGCGCAGACATGGGGCGGTAACCGTCGGCAAAGTTGAAACGGGTTCAACTTTGCTGATCGTCTGCGAGGTATCTGCGCCTGTATGGGTTGTTGGTGACATGTGCCGATGAAATGTTTCCATAATGTCTGTGTTACGAGGTGATGTACTCCGCTGAGGCCTTTAGATCGTCATGAATTAAGGTGACGATTATAGTTCTGATTATCTAGTCAAGCAAACTTGTATCCTCGATCCTGATTGTTCGATCCATGGCACTGACAGCAGTGTGATATTGTACTATATAGGTCCATATTGCACCCTGAATATTGCGCTATTCCAAGATTCGAGCGAACTCACAATAGCGATTTGCCACGAGGTGCTAGACTAACATTCAAAAATGTGTCAAATTTAGTATTCAAGTGTCAAAATACATGTACAAACAGACCGGTCTTTGCTGGAACTTTCCTTAGTTTGGGCTTTTCGGAGATGGGTTTCCTGGATAAAAGGTGCCAAAGTTTAATCTGAAGCAAAGGTTCTTTTTTTTTCAGATGTAAAGAACAATTTGTAACAACTATCAATCGTTCCAATGTAAACCAATTATTTAAGAGCAACAATTCTATTTAAAATCTGATGCTAAATATGGACATAGCTGTATTTTTGACCTTTTCGGGGATCCGTTTCCTGGACGAAAACAAAACTCAAAACACAAAAACAGGTTTTAGGCAAAAGGCCATCTGTATGCTGTGACACGATTCAATTAATTAGAATGTAATTTACAGATGGCCTAGAAATAACAAATGTCACGTGTTCCGATGCCAACCAATTATTTTTAGTCAAAAGATGCTAAAAGTATAATCTGAAGCAAAGGCTTATTTCATATATCAAATACATGTATTTCTAAACATGCCCCACTACGCACCTTTTTCTTTGGGCTTCTTCTTTGGATTCTTTGCTGGAGGGAGGAAGGAATTATATTATTGGTCACAAACTTTAAACCAAGTTTCCTCGAACTTCTGTTTTGTTACACACCCATATTGAATGAAATTGCAAATGTCAAACAAAAATATTCCCCGTACTTGTTTAAAAATATTGAAAAAAAAAACCCTAAGAGTCAAATCAGTTTTGAAATCCCGAAACATGTTTTATATATATACCTTTAGGTTGGCTTCGATCGTTGTGAGAGGTTGAGCCTGACAAATGAATAACAAAAAAAAAGATATTAGATTACATTTTTGGTTAAACGTGGTCCGCTCGATAGCCCAAAGGTTCGTCCGGAAGTTGATTGATCCGAAGGTTCGACACTCCGCCCTTACCATGGACCACTCGTGGAGTACCTGTCCATTTATCGACCTATACCCCGCAAGTGAAATCTTTAGAGAAAGGGTATCCCGCCAGTAAAATCTTTAGAAATAGGGACCGTGGACAACAATGGAGGTACCTCGGAAGTCCATCAGGCTAGGATGTCCGTTCGTACTCGTTTGGTACTCACACTGAGGGAAATTTAGGGAACAATGCTACCCCCACTACTCATCCTTAGAAAAACGGTACCCCAGAAGTGAAATTCTAAAGAAGAGGGATACAAGGTGAACAATGCAAGTACCCATAACTCCCATCTATGCAGATGTCCGAACACACACATTTCCTATACCTAGGGTTTCATTGATGCAATAAATGAAATGGGGTTGGCTATTCCGAGCATTTTGATGCCATAATCGGAAATGAACAGAAAGATCAATAGTTCCAAGACTCACTAATCAGAAAGCACACATTGCCAATCATGTTCAATGCTGTCAATTCGGACTCGAACCTTATTGTCGATTTGGACTATCGAACTGTTTGGTCTATTCAGTCTATCGAACCTTCGGATCATTTAAACTTACTCTATTTTCGGACAATCGAACCTTCGGACTAACGTCCGTATAACACGTCCGTATAACTGAAAACATTCACAAACCTCACGACTGGTATACTGGTAGTATTATCCAACACCCTGTTTTATCGCAACGAACCAACAAAAAAAAGGTTGGGAACACCTTTAAAGACACTCTGTCTTTTAAGGAAAAACAGTATCTCCCCAATAACCCGCGACCTGGATACGCTATACTACTTCGAATGGACGCGCTATACTACCTCAAATTGATACGCTATACTTCAAATGAATGCACTAAACTACTTCAAATGGATGCGCTATACTACTTCAAATGGATGCACTATACTATTTTTAATTGATGCGCTAAACTACTTCAAATGGGGGCGCTATACTACTTCAAATGGATGCACTATACTTCTTCAAATGGATGCACTATACTACTTTTAATTGATACGCTATACTTCAAATGGATGCACTATACTACTTCAAATGGATGCACTATACTACTTCAAATGGATGCACTATACTACTTCAAATGGATGCGCTATACTTTTCAAATGGATGCACTATACTACTTTTAATTGATGCGCTAATCTACTTCAAATGGGGGCGCTATACTACTTCAAATAGCGAACTGACTTACTGAAACCGCCACTCCTGATTTTTGGTCCTAAAAAAATTGGCAGTCATTTATATGTTATGAACATAATTATGAGAGAATGGCCGGGGCTAACGACACTTTGCATGCAAATACTTGTTAGTCCGGTTTAATAAAATAGAAAATCAATCCTTTTTCTAAATTTATAGGGTTTTTTTTTGCATCAAAATGCATTTTCAATATTTACATCTGATTTACTATAATAAACGCACCTTTAGTCTTAAGCTTTTTCGCCGCTTTCTTTCCTGCGAGAGAAGAGGTAAAGACAGTTGGTGCATAATTTGTTTTCATTTTATGACTCTTTAAAAAACTTTCTTTGATATGAACGAATCATAAACCTTATGTCCTTAAGCAAGTCTTCACAAAACCGTTGATCTGAATTTATTGTGATACGCACCCCTTGAAACCTTGGGCCTGTTCTTAGACTTGTCCTTGTTCTTGCGGCCTGAAATACAAAAGATAAACAAAAATAAATGTAATGAAGAATTTGCAAGTACAATGAGCTTCTCTAATCTTACTTGAACTGTGGAAATATTTAAGTAAATCAATCTTTGGATCCAAATAGTCCATGTTACATTACGTACTTGTATCACTGGAAGTGTTTGACCTCTGCTTAGGCTTCTTCTTTGGGCTCAAGCCTGCAAAGATAAAATCGTTAAGTTACAGTTTTACATAATTTGTCAATTCGGACTCGAACCTTATTGTCGATTTGGACTATCGAACTGTATGGTCTATTCAGTCTATCGAACCTTCGGATCATTTAAACTTACTCTATTTTCGGACAATCGAACCTTCGGACTAACGTCCGTATAACACGTCCGTATAACTGAAAACCTTCACAAACCTCACGACTGGTATACTGGTAGTATTATCCACCACCCTGTTTTATCGCAACGAACCAACAAAAAAAGGTTGGGAACACCTTTAAAGACACTCTGTCTTTTAAGGAAAAACAGTATCTCCCCAATAACCCGCGACCTGGATACGCTATACTACTTCGAATGGACGTGCTATACTACCTCAAATTGATACGCTATACTTCAAATGGATTCACTATACTACTTCAAATGGATGCGCTATACTACTTCAAATGGATGCACTATACTTCTTCAAATGGATGCACTATACTACTTTTAATTGATGCGCTAATCTACTTCAAATGGGGGTGCTATACTACTTCAAAAAGCGAACTGACTTACTGAAACCGCCACTCCTGATTTTTGGTCCTAAAAAAATTGGCAGTCATTTATAAGTCATGAACATAATTATGAGGGAATGGCCGGGGCTAACGACACTTTGCATGCAAATACTTGTTAGTCCGGTTTAATAAAATAGAAAATCCATCTTTTTTCTAAATTTTATAGGTTTTTTGTTTGCATCAAAATGCATTTTCAATATTTACATCTGATTTACTATAATAAACGCACCTTTAGTCTTAAGCTTTTTCGCCGCTTTCTTTCCTGCGAGAGAAGAGGTAAAGACAGTTGGTGCATAATTTGTTTTCATTTTATGACTCTTTAAAAAACTTTCTTTGATATGAACGAATCATAAACCTTATGTCCTTAAGCAAGTCTTCACAAAACTGTTGATCTTAATTTATTGTGATACGCACCCCTTGAAACCTTGGGCCTGTTCTTAGACTTGTGGAAATATTTTAGTAAATCAATCTTTGGATCCAAATAGTCCATGTTACATTACGTACTTGAATCACTGGAAGTGTTTGACCTCTGCTTAGGCTTCTTCTTTGGGCTCAAGCCTGCAAAGATAAAATCGTTAAGTTACAGGTTTACATAATTTGTCAATTCGGACTCGAACCTTATTGTCGATTTGGACTATCGAACTGTATGGTCTATTCAGTCTATCGAACCTTCGGATCATTTAAACTTACTCTATTTTCAGACAATCGAACCTTCGGACTAACGTCCGTATAACACGTCCATATAACTGAAAACCTTCACAAACCCCACGACTGGTATACTGGTAGTATTATCCACCACCCTGTTTTATCGCAACGAACCAACAAAAAAAGGTTGGGAACACCTTTAAAGACACTCTTTCTTTTAAGGAAAAACAGTATCTCCCCAATAACCCGCGACCTGGATACGCTATACTACTTCGAATGGACGCGCTATACTACCTCAAATTTATATGCTATACTTCAAAAGGATGCACTATACTACTTCCAATGGATGCGCTATACTACTTCCAATGGATGCACTATACATGTACTACTTTTAATTGATGCGCTAAACTACTTCAAATGGGGGCGCTATACTACTTCAAATGGATGCACTATACTTCTTCAAATGGATGCACTATACTATTTTTAATTAATACGCTATACTTCAAATGGATGCACTATACTACTTCAAATGGATGCACTATACTACTTTAAATGGATGCGGTATACTACTTCAAATGGATGCGCTATACTTCTTCGAATGGATGCACTATACTACTTTTAGTTGATGCGCTAATCTACTTCAAATGGGGGCGCTATACTACTTCAAATAGCGAACTGACTTACTGAAACCGCCACTCCTGATTTTTGGTCCTAAAAAAAATTGGCAGTCATTTATATGTTATGAACATAATTATGAGAGAATGGCCGGGGCAAATACTTGTTAGTCAGGTTTAATAAAATAGAAAATCAATCCTTTTCCTAAATTTAATAGGTTTTTTTTGCATCACAACGCATTTTCAATATTTACATCTGATTTACTATAATAAACGCACATTTAGTCTTAAGCTTTTTCGCCGCTTTCTTTCCTGCGAGAGAAGAGGTAAAGACAGTTGGTGCATAATTTGTTTTCATTTTATGACTGTTTAAAAAACTTTCTTTGATATGAACGAATCATAAACCTTATGTCCTTAAGCAAGTCTTCACAAAACCGTTACTCTGAATTTATTGTGACACGCACCACTTGAAACCTTGGGCCAGTTCTTAGGCTTGTTCTTGTTCTTGCGGCCTGAAATACAAATGACAAACAAAAATAAATGTAATGAAGAATTGCAAGTACAATGAGCTTTTCTAATCTTACTTGAACTATGGAAATATTTTAGTAAATCAATCTTGGGATCCAAATAGTTCATGGTACATTACGTACTGGAATCACTGGAAGTGTTTGACCTCTGCTTAGGCTTCTTCTTTGGTTTCAAGCCTGCAAAGATAAAATCGTAAAGTTACAGTTTTACATAATAAAGAAACCCTCCATGTTTTATTTGGATATAGTAAAATAAATTAAGTCTTCACAAAAGCCGTTACTCTGAATTTATTGTGATACGCACCACTTGAAACCTTGGGCAAGTTCTTAGGCTTGTTCTTGTTCTTGCGGCCTGAAATACAAATGACAAACAAAAATAAATGTAATGAAGAATTGCAAGTACAATGAGCTTCTCTAATCTTACTTGAACTGTAGAAATATTTTAGTAAATCAATCTTAGGATCCAAAAAGTTCATGTTACATTACATACTGGAATCACTGGAAGTGTTTGACCTCTGCTTAGGCTTCTTCTTTGGGCTCAAGCCTGCAAAAATAAAATCGTAAAGTTACAGTTTTACATAATAAAAAAACCGTACATGTTTTATTTGGATAAAGTAAAATAAATTAAGTCTTCACAAAAGCCGTTACTCTGAATTTATTGTGATACGCACCACTTGAAACCTTGGGCCAGTTCTTAGGCTTGTTCTTGTTCTTCTGGCCTGAAATACAAAAGACAAACAAAAATAAATGTAATGAAGAATTGCAAGTACAATGAGCTACTCTAATCTTACTTGGTTACTATGGAAATATTTTAGTAAAATCAACACGAATAATCCATGTTTCATTACGCACTGGAATCACTGGAAGTGTTTGACTTCTGCTTGGGCTTCGTGCCTGGAGAAGGAAAGAAACACTTAAAAGACGATCAAGTGAAAGTGGTGCCGAGTTGGCAAGGTGCCGAAGTGATGATAAACATTGAGCTGTATCAAGGACAATACAAGCACAAATACAATTCCCTTAAAAAAAGCAGAACCAAAAGCAATATGTTTATGCTTCATACTTTGTTTTCGATCAAAGCGCATGTGAAGTAGATTTGTATACGCATAAAACATGAATCATAAAGCCAAAAGACTGAGTCAGTAAGAAAATGAATTAGCGTAAAACTATTTAACTATGACTTCTTCACGTTAAAAGAAATAGCTGGGCAATCTGATGCTTAAAATCTTAAAAGGCATTACAATTCAAGGTACAAGCATAACCATTTTTAAAAAGAGCTTTTGGTAGAGAAGTATTTTTTTATACTTATTACATTTTTTTGTCACCAGCAGAAAAAAAACCTGATTCGAGATAAAACATGAAAAACTCTTAATGGCCTATACAATTGAACAGCATCTAAACCAATTGATGGTGTTCTTTTTAAAATCCATCAAAATTGCTTTACCTTTTTTGCCCCATCCTCTGCGTTCTGGAGAGAAATAGAAAATAAAATTGTGATGTCAGTTATAAAGATATGTTGGGTATAATTGAATATTCCGTCGAAAATCTTTCAGAACCCGGGCTTCAAGTAAAAAGTAAATAAATAAATACAAAAAACTGTGTCACTGGAATGTAGCAATTGGATAAACAAAACCAAATAGTTACAACTCTTTTTCCCCATTATTGTTATTCACAAAGTGACCCTAATTCAGAGATTTACAGATATAATGATTGACTTAAACAAACAAAAAATGAAAAATGAGCCATGAAAAAAGAAAATAATTAATTCGCTGAAAGTTAGATTGGAATGAACTCAAAGAACGCGAAATACCATAGTTGCATAAGATTTCTGTCTTTTGTAAGACATTATAATAAAATAAATATCAATCGTTTCGTAGTACAAAAGACTCGTAAAATTATTTGAAACTAATTGAAAGCAAAATAATCAACTTGAAACAACTGAAAACAATAAGAGGTCTTTACGCCTCGGTCCTTAGTAGAACTTTTTCAAGAGCAAAAACAAATTTGACATGACACTTCCCCAGATCAAAATGGCACTCCTCCACGTGAAAAAAGGGACACGCTTTCTAGTCAAAATGACTTGGAGTCAGAATGATCCAGAGAAGTATCATTTATTTTTTGACTCGGATAAAAGTGTCATTCTGACCCAGAAATGTGTCCATTTGACTCGAAAAAGTGTCATTTTGACCGGTATAAGTGTCATTTGGACGAGTAAGAGTGTCATTTTGACTGGTAAAAGTGTCATTTTTACACTGAAAAGTGTCATTTTGACTCGGAAAAGTGTCATTTTGACCGGTAAAAGTGTCATTTGGACAAGTAAGAGTGTCATTTTGACTGGTAAAAGTGTAATTTTTACACTGAAAAGTGTCATTTTGACCGGTAAAAGTGTCATTTTGACCGGTAAAAGTGTCATTTTGACCGGTAAAAGTGTCATTTGGACAAGTAAGAGTGTCATTTTGACGGGTAAAAGTGTAATTTTTACACTGAAAAGTGTCATTTTGACTCGGAAAAGTGTCATTTTGACCCGGAAAAAAATTCACTTTGACCAGGATCAGTATGGGGTGAAATATGACCCGTAAGTAAGTCGAAATGAATTGAAAATGACAAAATGAAAAAATCAGAAGGACAATGGCTTACTTTTGTATCGGTAGCGCAGCTTGGATCGTTTCTTGCCGTTGGATCTATATCCAATAGAGCTGCACGTAAACACGCCACGGTCCGGCTTCCTGTACTTCATTATGGAGGTTTCGTCCGATCCAGATCGTACGAAACAGTTGAAGCCGTCTGTGACGAAACGGACGATCAGTCGCAGCGAATGCAGTTGCCAGCACCACTTTGGTAGTTCAACGGTCTGTAGTTTGACGTTAGAGGAGCTCATGATGCACGCGGATGTCTTCTCCACCTCTGAAAAAGGAAAGATCATTTACGACTAGTGATGACTTGTTGTGACTTTTGAATGGACTTGCGATGGCTTGTGATCAGTAACGACTTGTAATGACTCATGGTGACTTGTAGAGACTTGTCATTGACTTTTGGCGACTTTTGGCGAATGACCTGTAATCTTTACGATGACTTGTTATCACGTTTCCGTGAGAACTTTCGATGACTTGTTGGGGCTTGGGATGTTTGGTGATGATTTGTGATATGTTGTGACCCCTCGAGATCGAGTGAGGACATTGTGAGAGTTGTATTTGCCTTTTGATTTCTAAAACCATCAAAGAATAACCATCCATACCGACTTTGATCAACTGTCCACCACCGGAATGGAAGATGACATCTGACGGCTCATCCTTGTCGATTTCGAAGTCCTGAGGCTGAGTGGTGTCGACCTCCTTCGCGATTGTCACTTCTTCAGTGCCACACTCGAAGACTTCCTCTTCTTCTTCTTCGCTTTCTTCTACTTCCCCAGGTATGAATTGTTTTAAAATGGAGAAAAAAGTTGAACAAAATGTCTTCAGATGACTTCTAGAAAAAGATGTGTTTTTTCAATTCATAGGCTCAGGATTCTTTACAGTTGATCCTGAATGGCTGTTGACTATAGGTTTGGTCAACACAACGGTCCCGATTTGGTTATCCTATACGAAAGCACCGTCCGGCTCACAAGAGACGAGTTCCGGACAAGTTGCGGGTAGAATCACTCGCCTTGTCTGAAAGAAGCTCTGCTTTTGTCCCAGACATGTTTCGGGAAATGTTCGTTGACAGCAACTGTTGACTCACCAATACTGATAAAGTCAGTGCAGGAAGATTGTGGGGAAGGTATTTAGAATCCAGCAATTTATAACCGATACAATGTCCGCAACGTGTCCGAAACTCGTTCCGGATATGAATCGAGACAGGCCCCAAGTGAAGACCAAATTTGGTGTTTGGGTGTCTTCCCTCATCATTTCTAATTTGCATCAGAAAGCTAGACTTAACTTTAACTTCAGGCGGCCCAAGTATACGGGGTTCTGCGTATTGAACATGAGCAGGCAGGCTTTAAGGCTATACTGTTTAAGTATACTTTTGTTTACCCTGGCCGGTTTGGAATGTTATATTGTACTTGTTTTCTGTCCCTCTATCTCCTCTCACCTGTCAAACTGTCCACCCTCCCTTCCCTCCCCGTCCCCCGACCCATTCCCACTCGCATCCTTCAGTCTTGTCTGGTCTTACATTTTCAATTTCCAATTTTTGTTTACTTTTTGATATATATTTGCTTTGTCATTGTACTTTTGTTCATTTGTTGGCCAAAAAAAATAAAAATGATAATAATAAGAACATAATGAAACTTGATGTTAGACAAAATTCAAGCCCAAGAAAAACTCCAGGGGTGAAAATTTTAGGGATCGGGGGAGGGGGGTGGGGGAGAATAGCCTCTGAATTTATTGTGATACGCACCACTTGAAACCTTGGGCCAGTTCTTAGGCTTGTTCTTGTTCTTGCGGCCTGAAATACAAATGACAAACAAAAATAAATGTAATGAAGAATTGCAAGTACAATGAGCTTTTCTAATCTTACTTGAACTGTGGAAATATTTTAGTAAATCAATCTTAGGATCCAAATAGTTCATGTTACATTACGTACTGGAATCACTGGAAGTGTTTGACCTCTGCTTAGGCTTCTTCTTTGGTTTCAAGCCTGCAAAGATAAAATCGTAAAGTTACAGTTTTACATAATAAAGAAACCCTCCATGTTTTATTTTGACATAGTAAAATAAATTAAGTCTTCACAAATGCCGTTACTCTGAATTTATTGTGATACGCACCACTTGAAACCTTGGGCCAGTTCTTAGGCTTGTTCTTGTTCTTGCGGCCTGAAATACAAATGACAAACAAAAATAAATGTAATGAAGAATTGCTAGTACAATGAGTTTTTCTAATCTTACTTGAACTATGGAAATATTTTAGTAAATCAATCTTGGGATCCAAATAGTTCATGTTACATTACGTACTGGAATCACTGGAAGTGTTTGACCTCTGCTTAGGCTTCTTCTTTGGTTTCAAGCCTGCAAAGATAAAATCGTAAAGTTACAGTTTTACATAATAAAGAAACCCTCCATGTTTTATTTTGACATAGTAAAATAAATTAAGTCTTCACAAAAGCCGTTACTCTGAATTTATTGTGATACGCACCACTTGAAACCTTGGGCAAGTTCTTAGGCTTGTTCTTGTTCTTGCGGCCTGAAATACAAATGACAAACAAAAATAAATGTAATGAAGAATTGCAAGTACAATGAGCTTTTCTAATCTTACTTGAACTGTGGAAATATTTTAGTAAATCAATCTTAGGATCCAAATAGTTCATGTTACATTACGTACTGGAATCACTGGAAGTGTTTGACCTCTGCTTAGGCTTCTTCTTTGGTTTCAAGCCTGCAAAGATAAAATCGTAAAGTTACAGTTTTACATAATAAAGAAACCCTCCATGTTTTATTTGGACATAGTAAAATAAATTAAGTCTTCACAAAAGCCGTTACTCTGAATTTATTGTGATACGCACCACTTGAAACCTTGGGCAAGTTCTTAGGCTTGTTCTTGTTCTTGCGGCCTGAAATACAAATGACAAACAAAAATAAATGTAATGAAGAATTGCAAGTACAATGAGCTTTTCTAATCTTACTTGAACTATGAAAATATTTTAGTAAATCAATCTTGGGATCCAAATAGTTCATGGTACATTACGTACTGGAATCACTGGAAGTGTTTGACCTCTGCTTAGGCTTCTTCTTTGGTTTCAAGCCTGCAAAGATAAAATCGTAAAGTTACAGTTTTACATAATAAAGAAACCCTCCATGTTTTATTTTGACATAGTAAAATAAATTAAGTCTTCACAAAAGCCGTTACTCTGAATTTATTGTGATACGCACCACTTGAAACCTTGGGCAAGTTCTTAGGCTTGTTCTTGTTTTTGCGGCCTGAAATACAAATGACAAACAAAAATAAATGTAATGAAGAATTGCAAGTACAATGAGCTTCTCTAATCTTACTTGAACTATGGAAATATTTTAGTAAATCAATCTTGGGATCCAAATAGTTCATGGTACATTACGTACTGGAATCACTGGAAGTGTTTGACCTCTGCTTAGGCTTCTTCTTTGGTTTCAAGCCTGCAAAGATAAAATCGTAAAGTTACAGTTTTACATAGTAAAGAAACCCTCCATGTTTTATTTGGACATAGTAAAATAAATTAAGTCTTCACAAAAGCCGTTACTCTGAATTTATTGTGATACGCACCACTTGAAACCTTGGGCAAGTTCTTAGGCTTGTTCTTGTTCTTGCGGCCTGAAATACAAATGACAAACAAAAATAAATGTAATGAAGAATTGCAAGTACAATGAGCTTTTCTAATCTTACTTGAACTGTGGAAATATTTTAGTAAATCAATCTTAGGATCCAAATAGTTCATGTTACATTACGTACTGGAATCACTGGAAGTGTTTGACCTCTGCTTAGGCTTCTTCTTTGGTTTCAAGCCTGCAAAGATAAAATCGTAAAGTTACAGTTTTACATAATAAAGAAACCCTCCATGTTTTATTTTGACATAGTAAAATAAATTAAGTCTTCACAAATGCCGTTACTCTGAATTTATTGTGATACGCACCACTTGAAACCTTGGGCAAGTTCTTAGGCTTGTTCTTGTTCTTGCGGCCTGAAATACAAATGACAAACAAAAATAAATGTAATGAAGAATTGCTAGTACAATGAGTTTTTCTAATCTTACTTGAACTATGAAAATATTTTAGTAAATCAATCTTGGGATCCAAATAGTTCATGGTACATTACGTACTGGAATCACTGGAAGTGTTTGACCTCTGCTTAGGCTTCTTCTTTGGTTTCAAGCCTGCAAAGATAAAATCGTAAAGTTACAGTTTTACATAATAAAGAAACCCTCCATGTTTTATTTGGACATAGTAAAATAAATTAAGTCTTCACAAAAGCCGTTACTCTGAATTTATAGTGATACGCACCACTTGAAATCTTGGGCAAGTTCTTAGGCTTGTTCTTGTTCTTGCGGCCTGAAATACAAATGACAAACAAAAATAAATGTAATGAAGAATTGCAAGTACAATGAGCTTTTCTAATCTTACTTGAACTGTGGAAATATTTTAGTAAATCAATCTTAGGATCCAAATAGTTCATGTTACATTACGTACTGGAATCACTGGAAGTGTTTGACCTCTGCTTAGGCTTCTTCTTTGGTTTCAAGCCTGCAAAGATAAAATCGTAAAGTTACAGTTTTACATAATAAAGAAACCCTCCATGTTTTATTTTGACATAGTAAAATAAATTAAGTCTTCACAAAAGCCGTTACTCTGAATTTATTGTGATACGCACCACTTGAAACCTTGGGCAAGTTCTTAGGCTTGTTCTTGTTCTTGCGGCCTGAAATACAAATGACAAACAAAAATAAATGTAATGAAGAATTGCAAGTACAATGAGCTTTTCTAATCTTACTTGAACTATGGAAATATTTTAGTAAATCAATCTTGGGATCCAAATAGTTCATGGTACATTACGTACTGGAATCACTGGAAGTGTTTGACCTCTGCTTAGGCTTCTTCTTTGGTTTCAAGCCTGCAAAGATAAAATCGTAAAGTTACAGTTTTTTCATAATAAAGAAACCCTCCATGTTTTATTTGGACATAGTAAAATAAATTAAGTCTTCACAAAAGCCGTTACTCTGAATTTATTGTGATACGCACCACTTGAAACCTTGGGCAAGTTCTTAGGCTTGTTCTTGTTCTTGCGGCCTGAAATACAAATGACAAACAAAAATAAATGTAATGAAGAATTGCAAGTACAATGAGCTTTTCTAATCTTACTTGAACTGTGGAAATATTTTAGTAAATCAATCTTAGGATCCAAATAGTTCATGTTACATTACGTACTGGAATCACTGGAAGTGTTTGACCTCTGCTTAGGCTTCTTCTTTGGTTTCAAGCCTGCAAAGATAAAATCGTAAAGTTACAGTTTTACATAATAAAGAAACCCTCCATGTTTTATTTTGACATAGTAAAATAAATTAAGTCTTCACAAAAGCCGTTACTCTGAATTTATTGTGATACGCACCACTTGAAACCTTGGGCAAGTTCTTAGGCTTGTTCTTGTTTTTGCGGCCTGAAATACAAATGACAAACAAAAATAAATGTAATGAAGAATTGCAAGTACAATGAGCTTTTCTAATCTTACTTGAACTATGGAAATATTTTAGTAAATCAATCTTGGGATCCAAATAGTTCATGGTACATTACGTACTGGAATCACTGGAAGTGTTTGACCTCTGCTTAGGCTTCTTCTTTGGTTTCAAGCCTGCAAAGATAAAATCGTAAAGTTACAGTTTTACATAGTAAAGAAACCCTCCATGTTTTATTTGGACATAGTAAAATAAATTAAGTCTTCACAAAAGCCGTTACTCTGAATTTATTGTGATACGCACCACTTGAAACCTTGGGCAAGTTCTTAGGCTTGTTCTTGTTCTTGCGGCCTGAAATACAAATGACAAACAAAAATAAATGTAATGAAGAATTGCAAGTACAATGAGCTTTTCTAATCTTACTTGAACTGTGGAAATATTTTAGTAAATCAATCTTAGGATCCAAATAGTTCATGTTACATTACGTACTGGAATCACTGGAAGTGTTTGACCTCTGCTTAGGCTTCTTCTTTGGTTTCAAGCCTGCAAAGATAAAATCGTAAAGTTACAGTTTTACATAATAAAGAAACCCTCCATGTTTTATTTTGACATAGTAAAATAAATTAAGTCTTCACAAATGCCGTTACTCTGAATTTATTGTGATACGCACCACTTGAAACCTTGGGCAAGTTCTTAGGCTTGTTCTTGTTCTTGCGGCCTGAAATACAAATGACAAACAAAAATAAATGTAATGAAGAATTGCTAGTACAATGAGTTTTTCTAATCTTACTTGAACTATGAAAATATTTTAGTAAATCAATCTTGGGATCCAAATAGTTCATGGTACATTACGTACTGGAATCACTGGAAGTGTTTGACCTCTGCTTAGGCTTCTTCTTTGGTTTCAAGCCTGCAAAGATAAAATCGTAAAGTTACAGTTTTACATAATAAAGAAACCCTCCATGTTTTATTTGGACATAGTAAAATAAATTAAGTCTTCACAAAAGCCGTTACTCTGAATTTATAGTGATACGCACCACTTGAAATCTTGGGCAAGTTCTTAGGCTTGTTCTTGTTCTTGCGGCCTGAAATACAAATGACAAACAAAAATAAATGTAATGAAGAATTGCAAGTACAATGAGCTTTTCTAATCTTACTTGAACTGTGGAAATATTTTAGTAAATCAATCTTAGGATCCAAATAGTTCATGTTACATTACGTACTGGAATCACTGGAAGTGTTTGACCTCTGCTTAGGCTTCTTCTTTGGTTTCAAGCCTGCAAAGATAAAATCGTAAAGTTACAGTTTTACATAATAAAGAAACCCTCCATGTTTTATTTTGACATAGTAAAATAAATTAAGTCTTCACAAAAGCCGTTACTCTGAATTTATTGTGATACGCACCACTTGAAACCTTGGGCAAGTTCTTAGGCTTGTTCTTGTTCTTGCGGCCTGAAATACAAATGACAAACAAAAATAAATGTAATGAAGAATTGCAAGTACAATGAGCTTTTCTAATCTTACTTGAACTATGGAAATATTTTAGTAAATCAATCTTGGGATCCAAATAGTTCATGGTACATTACGTACTGGAATCACTGGAAGTGTTTGACCTCTGCTTAGGCTTCTTCTTTGGTTTCAAGCCTGCAAAGATAAAATCGTAAAGTTACAGTTTTTTCATAATAAAGAAACCCTCCATGTTTTATTTGGACATAGTAAAATAAATTAAGTCTTCACAAAAGCCGTTACTCTGAATTTATTGTGATACGCACCACTTGAAACCTTGGGCAAGTTCTTAGGCTTGTTCTTGTTCTTGCGGCCTGAAATACAAATGACAAACAAAAATAAATGTAATGAAGAATTGCAAGTACAATGAGCTTTTCTAATCTTACTTGAACTGTGGAAATATTTTAGTAAATCAATCTTAGGATCCAAATAGTTCATGTTACATTACGTACTGGAATCACTGGAAGTGTTTGACCTCTGCTTAGGCTTCTTCTTTGGTTTCAAGCCTGCAAAGATAAAATCGTAAAGTTACAGTTTTACATAATAAAGAAACCCTCCATGTTTTATTTTGACATAGTAAAATAAATTAAGTCTTCACAAAAGCCGTTACTCTGAATTTATTGTGATACGCACCACTTGAAACCTTGGGCAAGTTCTTAGGCTTGTTCTTGTTTTTGCGGCCTGAAATACAAATGACAAACAAAAATAAATGTAATGAAGAATTGCAAGTACAATGAGCTTTTCTAATCTTACTTGAACTATGGAAATATTTTAGTAAATCAATCTTGGGATCCAAATAGTTCATGGTACATTACGTACTGGAATCACTGGAAGTGTTTGACCTCTGCTTAGGCTTCTTCTTTGGTTTCAAGCCTGCAAAGATAAAATCGTAAAGTTACAGTTTTACATAGTAAAGAAACCCTCCATGTTTTATTTGGACATAGTAAAATAAATTAAGTCTTCACAAAAGCCGTTACTCTGAATTTATTGTGATACGCACCACTTGAAACCTTGGGCAAGTTCTTAGGCTTGTTCTTGTTCTTGCGGCCTGAAATACAAATGACAAACAAAAATAAATGTAATGAAGAATTGCAAGTACAATTAGCTTTTCTAATCTTACTTGAACTGTGGAAATATTTTAGTAAATCAATCTTAGGATCCAAATAGTTCATGTTACATTACGTACTGGAATCACTGGAAGTGTTTGACCTCTGCTTAGGCTTCTTCTTTGTTTTCAAGCCTGCAAAGATAAAATCGTAAAGTTACAGTTTTACATAATAAAGAAACCCTCCATGTTTTATTTTGACATAGTAAAATAAATTAAGTCTTCACAAAAGCCGTTACTCTGAATTTATTGTGATATGCACCACTTGAAACCTTGGGCCAGTTCTTAGGCTTGTTCTTGTTTTTGCGGCCTGAAATACAAATGACAAACAAAAATAAATGTAATGAAGAATTGCAAGTACAATGAGCTTCTCTAATCTTACTCGGAAACTATGGAAATCTTTTATTAAAATCAACACGAATCCTCCATGTTACATTACGTACTGGAAGTACTGGAAGTGCTTGACTTCTGCTTGGGCTTCTTGCCTGGAGAAGGAAAGAAACATTGAAAAGACGATCAAGTGAAAATGGCTTAACACAATTATTCATTAGTCATTCATGTTTTAATTAATGGACTTGATGACGATAAGAAATCATCATCCTGATAACAAGCAGAACACACTTTTGGAAACGTTGAGTTAAACAAACTGGTTCTTCTTTGAACTACACGACGCTCTACGAGATATCATTCACATGGTGCTACCGCAAACCTGACATTAATTGAAGGTAGATTCTCTACATTTAACACACTGAGATGAATAACTGGGGAGAAGGATGCCCAAGCTTTTTATGTACAGGTGCCGAGTTGGTGGTTGCCGAGTTGGCAAGGTGCCGAGTTGGCAGGTGCCGAGTTGGCAAGGTGCCGAGTTGGCAAGGTGCCGAGTTGGCAAGGTGCCGAGTTGGCAAGGTGCCGAAGTGACCAGATACCGCCCAAGCTCACCCCTCATAGGATGGCCGTAGTGAATACATGTTTGTTTCTCTGATATTAAATACCTAGCCGTATCAGGGACAATACAAACATAAAAACGCACCTTTCTTATTTCTGGGCTTCTTGGGACCTTTCTTTCCTAAAAATAGCAGAACCAAAACGAATATTCATAAGATGGATACGTCGGTGATGGGAAAAACCTAATTTGATTCAAAACAAATATCTTGATGTTTCATATTTTATTTTCGATCTTTTGTTTTGTCGATCCAAGCAACATGTGACGTAGATGTGTATACGCATAAAACGTGAATCATAAATCCAAAAGACTTACGCATTAGGACAATGAATTAGCGTTAAACTATCTAAGTACAACTCTTCAAGTTTAAAGAAAAAGCCGGGCAATATAACAGGCATTACAATTCGAGGCACGAACATGACAATTATTAAGAGCTTTTGGTAGAGAAATATTTGTTTTCATTCTAATTTCTGGTTTAGTCACCAGCAGTAGAAAAATAATCTGATTTGTATGACACTTGAGAGGCACTTAATGGCGGAAAACAATTTCCAGAACAGCATACTATAAACCAATTAATGGTTTTCTTTTTAAAATCCATAAAAACGCTTCACCTTTTTTGCCCCATCCTCTGCGTTCTGGACAGAAGTAGAAAATAAAATTGTGATGTCAGTTTATATAAAGATATGTTGGATGTAATTGAATTTGCTCTCGAAAAATCCTTCAACTCCGACTGCAAGTAAAAAGTAAATAAATAAATACCCCCAAAAAACACTGTGTCACTGGAATGTAGCAATTGGATAAACAAAACCAAATAGTGACAATTCCTTTTTCCACCCATTATTTTTATTCACAAAGTGACCCTAATTCAGAGATTTTCCAGATAATAATTGACTTAAAAAAAAATTTGAAAAATGAGTCATGAAAAAAGGAAATAATTAATTCGCTGAAAGTAAGATTGGAATGAACTCAAAAAACGCGAAATACCATAGTTGCATAAGATTTCTGTCTCTTGTATTTATTATAATATGAATATAAATCGTTTCGTAGTACAAAAGACTCGTGAAATTATTTGAAACTAATTGAAAGCGAAATAACAAACTTGAAACAAGTAAAAACAATAATAGGTCTTAACGCCTCCGTCCTTCGTAGGACTTTTTAAGGGCAAAAACAAATTTAACATGACACTTCCCCGGATCAAAATGACACTCTTGCATGTGAATAAGGAAACGCTTTCTAGTCAAAATGATTCGGAGTCAGAATGATCCAGAGAAGTGTCATTTATATTTTGACTCGGGGAAAACATTCTTTCTGACCCAGAAAAGTGTCAATTGGACCCGGAAAAGAGTCATTTTGACCGGTAAAAGTGTCATTTTGACCGGTAAAAGTGTCATTTGGACAAGTAAGAGTGTCATTTTGACTGGTAAAAGTGTAATTTTTACACTGAAAAGTGTCATTTTGACCGGTAAAAGTGTCATTTTGACCGGTAAAAGTGTCATTTGGACAAGTAAGAGTGTCATTTTGACGGGTAAAAGTGTAATTTTTACACTGAAAAGTGTCATTTTGACTCGGAAAAGTGTCATTTTGACCCGGAAAAAAATGCACTTTGACCAGGATCAGTATGGGGTGAAATATGACCCGTAAGTAAGTCGAAATGAATTGAAAATGACAAAATGAAAAAATCAGAAGGACAATGGCTTACTTTTGTATCGGTAGCGCAGCTTGGATCGTTTCTTGCCCTTGGATCTATATCCAATAGTGCTGCACGTAAACACGCCACGGTCCGGCTTCCTGTACTTCATTATGGAGGTTTCGTCCGATCCAGATCGTACGAAACAGTTGAAGCCGTCTGTGACGAAACGGACGATCAGTCGCAGCGAATGCAGTTGCCAGCACCACTTTGGTAGTTCAACGGTCTGTAGTTTGACGTTAGAGGAGCTCATGATGCACGCGGATGTCTTCTCCACCTCTGAAAAAGGAAAGATCATTTACGACTAGTGATGACTTGTTGTGACTTTTGAATGGACTTGCGATTGCTTGTGATCAGTAACGACTTGTAATGACTCATGGTGACTTGTAGAGACTTGTCATTGACTTTTGGCGAGTTTTGGCGAATGACCTGTAATCTTTACGATGACTTGTTATGACGTTTCCGTGAGAACTTCCGATGACTTGTTGGGGCTTTGGATGTCTGGTGATGATTTGTGATATGTTGTGACCCCTCGAGATCGAGTGAGGACATTGTGAGAGTTGTATTTGCCTTTTGATTTCTAAAACCATCAAAGAATAATCATCCATACCGACTTTGATCAACTGTCCACCACCGGAATGGAAGATGACATCTGACGGCTCATCCTTGTCGATTTCGAAGTCCTGAGGCTGAGTGGTGTCGACCTCCTTCGCGATTGTCACTTCTTCAGTGCCACACTCGAAGACTTCCTCTTCTTCTTCTTCGCTTTCTTCTACTTCCCCAGATACAAATGGTTTTAAAATTGAGAGAAACAAGTTGAACAAAATGTCTTCAGATGACTTCTAGAAAAAGATGTATATTTTCAAATCTAAGGCTTAGGATTCTGATAAGGCTCTGCTTATACCCGATACAATGTCCGCAACGTGTCCGAAACTCGTTTCGGATATGAATCGAGATAGGCTCTCAGTGAAGACCAATTTTGGTGTTTGGTGTCTTCCCTCGTGAAATATTTGAATCAGAAAGCTAGACTTACCTTCAACTTCTGGCGGCCCAAGTTTACGGGGTTCTGCGTATTGAGCACGAAGAAAATGAAACTTGAAGTTAGACAAGACTCAGGCCAAAGAAAAACTCCAGGGGTGAACATTTTAGGGATAGGGGGGGGGGGAGAATAGTTGCCCCGCCTACTTTTGATCAGGAACATACGGCATAGCCTCATATGTACATTTTACGTCCTTTTTTTATATTAAAAACTACAAATTCCCGATTTTTTCCTAGATTTTCAACACAACACAAATGTACGCACTAAAACAATTTCGATTAATATTGAAGTTCCTTTTAAGAAACCACGGCTTCAACTAGCCGCGAAATATTAGGGAATAAAGTTCTAAATGTTGATTTCTGATAATTGGCTTTTCTGAAAAATGGCATCCTGGAAAAAAAAGTTACTGAAAAAGAACTTTGAGCAATCATTACCTGCGCATGCGCACATCTCGCATCCTCTTTCATCCCTCTTAAAACCATTCTTACAGCCCAATCTACACATGACCTGTGAGCAAGCTGCGGAAACAAATCCAAATGCCAAATATCATTTATTTATATTATTTATTTATATCAGTCATCTATTTAATTTGTATTATAACTGGGTAGCCCATTCAGTGGAATCCACTGGTCTCACACGGGGCCCACAATATGGAAGACAGCTTGAAGAAATTACTGGGGAAAATTAGTTCTTACTATTAAAACTGCCTATCAATCAGTTGAATGACAGAATTTGTTGAATGGCAGAATGATCGATTAAGCCGCTCACCAGTGAGTTTTTAAAACAAAAGTGAAGCCATCAAAATGATGTATCAGCTGCTATTCCCCATACATTTATGTCAACATCCACTTATTCTGAGTCAGCCTTATTTTGTGTTGGTTGCTCCCCATACCGTGAGCTTTTACACCGGTTCAAAATGGGTAAGCCACTTTTAACACAATGAGATTTTCCAACTGGCGCCATCCTCATTTCGTATCACACGCAAAGTGAGCTGTTTTTAACGCAAAGAGTGGCGTCTTCCTGAATTTGTGTTAGCATCAACCGATTTCACGAACTAGCATGAATATTTCGTCATGTGTAGGATTTTCGTACTACAACAGATCGGTTTCACACAACTTAGCGTACCTGCGAAACGTTTCGATAAAATCATTTAAACATCTTGAACGTCTTGTGCGATGGCTGTTTGTGTAAGCCATTGCAGTCACAAAACGGTAGTTGAATCACCTCTGCCCGTTATTTTGAGAATAGTTTTGTCCGATTTACGTTCGGAAACTTTTAAAATTCTGACATGGGTAAGTTGGCATTTCGTCTACTTTTGAAAACGAAGCCGTGGATACGTTGAGCAATAGAGGGCTTATTTACGAGTAGTCACTGAAATAGTCCATTGTTATCCGCTAAGCTATAACGTACACCACGTAAATGTTTCTTAAAATTCTCGTCATTTACTATTTGATTCATAACAGTCAGTTTAATAACTACGACAAGTGCGGTGGTGGAGTGGTTAAGTCGTCTGCACTAGTAAACAGAAGGTCGTTGATTCGAGTCCCATCCGAGTATGTTTTACTCGGGACAACACTGAGTACCCTATGCAGTGTTTATAAAAATACGTCGGTGTAGGGCAAGGCTAATTCTGAATCTCATCACTTACGTTGGACGCACGTGTGACCGCAGCCATTCGAACAACATTTCATTGGATCGGCGCAATCGCTGTCATATCGACAATCTTCGCTGCAAGCACCAAACATGTCATCAAGTGCTTTGGGGCATTCACCAGAGCGGTCTTGTGGAACTGAGAATGTACAAAAGACAAAGTTAAAACTTCAACAAGGCAGGAATAAATAAATTAAATGCAGCGAGGTTTGACCCTGCAACCTTACGGATAGCCGTTCCTCATTTTGTCATTGTCTTTGTTCAAGTGGTGCTTGTCAGAAACCATTAACCCGTATATGTCATGTAGCCAAGAACCACACCCACAGTCACAATGCTAGCAACATTATAAAAATGGGCAATGACAAACAGGAAGGATAGGGAATGTTTTAATCGTTTGGTATGTTCTTGGACACTGGAAATGTGTCGTAGTGGTTTGTTTTCGGAATTGGAGGTACACATTACACAATTTTAACGGCAGCCTTTAATTACTTCCTCAGAGGAATGAAACCACAAAGCAAACTGACTTGGCGGCGCTCTACCGTCTGATCTGAGCTATCCAGCCCTTGATAACTCGCTTGGTAGAACACTGGAACGACAATCCGGAGGTCGCAGGTTGAAACCCAGCTCCAGTTAATTTCCTTGTTCAACTTCAAAATATTATACTTAGCCACAAAACTTTACCTAGATTGTGCAAACTTTTATTTTCTGCCTTGAATCCTTACCCTCGCATTCGCAGGTGTCACATCCGTTCTCGTCTTTCTTGAAGCCATTCTTGCACGCCATTTTACAGAAACAAAACATTTGTGAGCATGTATCGGAAAGAAACGATTTTGCTGATCATAGATGGGCAGCATAGTTTGACTTCTTTATATGCATCTCATTTACTGACTGACTGATTGGCCGAATGCCACTTGTGCGTAGACTGGTTGTACACCTGTGAACCGGGCAGTGGTATCGTATAGGATTACACCGTAGCACAATGGGCTAAATCCGGTCCAGTGTGTACACCAGATGCATGTGAGCTCTGGGTTCAGCTTCACTGCGCTTGCCTTGTCTTTGTTTTCAGGGTAGCGATAGTTTTGAATATTGTTATCAGACTAAACTGCCAATCTTTAAATTTGCTTCGTGTCATTTTGTCCTATTGTGCGTTGTCTCCAACGCTTCATCCGCCCCTCCTCCTCGGAAAAAAAACTTTGTCTTCAGTACCCAAACCACTCCATTAAAATAATAGATCAATTAATATTATGCTCAGCCTTATCGCATTCTGTTTATAATAATAATAATGTAACAATGTGTCGCTTATATAACGCTCTATACCTATGGTTTCAAAGGGCTTTACAATTATTGTCCATGTTTATCAGGAATGAGACCCTTTTTCTGCAGCAGCTCGAGATCAGCGCAATTTGGTCTCTACCTTCACAGGTACCCATTTACACTCCTCAGTGGAGAGAGTTAACTATGCTAACTAAAAACTGAGCATTCTGTTTTTATACCAACTTCAAAATCAAAACAATATAAACCAGATGAGAGTCCACTAACCTTCACATTGGCAGGTATGGCATCCACGCTCGTCTTTCTTGTAGGTATCACACCGCCGGCTGCACTTGATCAATGGGCACGAGACTTAAGCAAGAATAGAGAGATGAAACAGGTTGAACACCATATAAGAAACATCTTGGGTCGACCTAACTAAATTAGGCTGTAGAAGTCAAATTTTATGAATTACTCTTTCCACTTAATAAAACCCGAACTTGTTTCGAAACACTTGTCTGAAACTGTGGATAAATCATTTTCAATTCATAACTTGAGCGCATAATTGTTCAAGCAAATAATAATATTATTTGCACCTCGGCCACGATTACTGTCTTATAAGCGTTTGAAGTTTTAACAGCTGTTCATAACTGTATTTTTATACTAGTTTATTGATAAAATGTTACCATTTTGTACAACCTGAATTCTGGTTAAAGCTCAGCTAATTAAGTACGCACATCGATTAATTGTATAAATAAATATTTCCTTTTTAACATGTGCTTACTTTTCGGCTCGGGTTCCTCCTCATCTGCAATTATTCAATGATACAAAAAACTTTTAACAACGATTTCTTTTCATGGGAAATATTATTTTGCGGATTGTTATTCAAGATGTTTATACTTAATTTATCTCCTTGCGCTTTTGTTTGCAAATGTTTTTAAGGAAAATGTTTTCGGGACCAAGATTTTTGTTATGTACCGCAATTTCGTTTCGACATTAAAATTAATTACAACATGGGAAATTCAGTACCCTCGCATTCGCAGATGTCGCATCCGTTATCGTTCGTCCTTGAGCCCATTTTTACATGCCATTCGACAAGTGAGTGGTTTGCAAACTGTAAAAAGCTTTGCCCCCTCTAGAAAAAAAACCTGGCGACGCCCATGTCCATAAGTTTTTCTTCCGTGTACAGCTTAATATCATTTCTTGGCAAGTGTCACTACGATTAAAAAATTATTATGGGAGGATAATGAAAGTCTAATCACCTTTGCACTCGCATATGTCGCATCCGTTTTCATTCTGGGCAAATCCATTCTTACAGAATAGTAGACACATAACAGGACTGCAAGCTACGGAAACAAATCCGGAACAAAAAATGGCAATAGGACTGTCTTGATACAAAATATAAAAATATGCCTAATCTATTGGTATAAAACTATCTCAGACTGATAATGCTTATTTTGGGTATTTGAAGACGAAATCTAAATCTAAAACCTCAATTTGTACCTAGCCGCCCCCATACATGAGTTATCAGCATAAAATAGAGGGTTTCTTGCTTTAAATAAATCAAAATTAAGAATTCCATTTTGATATTTTGCAACTGCTTCCAATGTAATGTGTTTTATACAGAATTAATAAATAAACCGTCTTGATTTGATTCATTTGCTCCTCATACAATAATTTTTCACTTACGTTCCCTGCAGACGTGGCCGCAGCCGTTTGAGCAGCATTTCATGGTCTCCCCTGGGCAATCACTGTCTTGCGAACACGCTTCAGAGCAAAGCCCCATCATGCCTTCCGGAGCTGGTGGACATACACCGGGCCTAGTTTTGGGAACTGAGGAACAAAAGACGGGCACAACATTTTGATAAGATTTCTATAATTTCACCAACTGAGTCATAATGAATAAAATCTTTTAAAAAGATCCAAATGCTCACTTCTGTACACACTTTTATACACACAGGGTTCTGTTTTGTTCCGTTCTGTTATCAAATTTTTAATTGTAGGTAATGTTTAGGTTAAAAGGAGAATGTTTTAAATTGCAGACAGCTCAAACGATACCATAGTGATGTTCGTTAAGAGTTGGCCCATTCTATAAATTGAGGGTCCACTTTTTCCTGTGCCTGTTAAAGCTTAAAAACGTCTATGATTTTATAATTATTATACTATCCAACAACTTAAAGATAAGTTAAAGTCATTGTTTATGATACTTGAATGGCACATTACAAAGTTCCAAGCTATATTGCATATTACATATTACTTTTTCATAGATTGCGTTGGTCAGGAACGATTTATGGAAACATGACCACTCTATCATGTGTGTCCATTTAGGAATTCCCGCCCAAAAGTGTTTTCCGCCATGATGCATTATTTGGAAGGCACATCACTATATGTGGTTTTGGCTAATTGTTCTTCTTTTGTTACTTTATCTCCCAGAAACGTAATATTTAATGGATGTTTTTGCTGTACGATTCAATTTTTACCGCAAGTTTGTTTCGACATTATTAATTACAACATGCGAAATTCAGTACCCTCGCATTCGCAGATGTCGCATCCGTCATCGTCCTTCTTGAGACCGTGTTCACATGCCATTCTACAAGCGAGTGGTTTGCAAACTGTAAACACAATCCAAATCAAAACATATGTTTGACGTTTTTGGGACGTTGCAAAAGATTGGAATACATATTTTTTTGGGGTCAATTTGTCAACAAAATAACAACAAGGAAACCAGCGAGAGTTTCAAAACCAAACGGGCCTTTTCAGAACCACACATCGTCAGAGATTCTGACCATGGTGTTACCGCAAACTCTCACTACTTTACACTACCGCCATGCAAAGAGTCAAATCTCACTGACAAAAAGGAAAACAAGCTGAAGTGTTTTCCACAATTAATTATTCTACATGATGCATTCGGCAAGTGCATCATTATTATGATTTTTTTGGGGAAGTTGTTTTTGACAAGTTTCTTCTTTTGTTATTTAATGTCCTAGATTCGTGCAAGTTGATAGATTTTCTGCAAATATTCAATGTTTGGCACAATTATGTCTCTAAATTATGAAATTAAAATGCGGAACGATCATTACCCGTTTGCTCGCATTCGCAGATGCCGCATCCGTCTTTGTCCTTCTTGAACCCATTTTTACATGCCATTCTACAAGTGAGTGGTTTGCAAGCTGTGAAAACAATCCCAATCAAAACATATGTTTGACATTTTTTAGACGTCACAAAAGATTAGAGTACAGATTTTTTTGTCAATTTGTCTACAAAATAACAAAAGGAAACTAGTGAGAGTTTCAAAACCGAACCGGCCTTTTTAGAACCACACATCGTCTCAACAGAGATTCTGACCATGGTGTTACCGCAAACTCTCACTACTTTACACTACCGTCATGCAAAGAGTCAAATCTCACTGACAAAAAGGAAAACAAGCTGAAGTGTTTTCCACAATAAATTGTTTACATGATGCATTCGGTAAGTGCATCATTATTATGATTTTTGGGGGGATGTTGTTTTTGACTAGCTTCTTCTTTTGTTATTTAATGTCCTAGATTCGTGCAAATTGAAAGATGTTTTTGCAAAATATTCAATGTTTGGCACACTTAAGTTTCTAAATTATGAAATTAAAATGTGGGACAATCATTACCTGGTGGCTCGCATTCGCAGATGTCGCATCCGTTTTCATCCTTCTTGAACCCATTTTTACATGCCATTCTACAAGTGAGTGGTTTGCAAGCTGGGAAAACGAATCCAAAACAGACAAAAATGCTATTGAATTCTTCTGAAACACAAGATGTAGGCCTATTTCAAAGTTTATCAACATAATTTTTGATATAGTTTGGAGTAAAGATTAAATGGTTAAATTATGAATCAGATATGAAATGTCTAATCACCCTTGCACGCGCATATCTCGCAACCGTTTTCATCCGTGTCAAATCCGTTCCCACAGTACATATCACACAGGACTGGTTTGCAAGCTACAGAAACAAATCCAAGACGAAAATAAACTTTCTATGTTTTTTCTGGAACACGTACAGCCAAAAGAGGTGTTTTATAAATTTTGTTAAAATTGTTTAAAAATGAGAAGCAAAAACAAGACTGTGAACAAATATTTTAACACAGACTTCAATCACTTCACGCACACTGATGCTAGGGTCTAAACTTTAGCTATTTAGAGTTCGTGTTATCCGCCCCAAATACAGTTCGACTTTCTATTGAAAAAACAACAACATACACAAGCAAAACTCCAATTTGATATGGGCACTGAAGAACATTTTCATTTTCATTTGACGTCTTCTGGAACACACACAACATAAGGAGAGGTAAGCCTAGGCCTACGTACTGTGGTATATGTTGAGAGAGAACTCTGCAAGTATATGATCATGATACAATTACAATGGAAGACTGACGAGCAAATAATACATTTTTTTTTACCAGAACAATCAAGGTATTTAGGGGGAAATCATAGGGATTGGGGGATAGGGATTAGACTTTTCCTGAAGTTTTTGATAATTCATAAAGACATACCACAAATAGAGATTGAGTGAAATTTCGCGAGCCATCCCCAACACGCACACACACATCTTCATAAAGACCGGCAATCGTGGACCCCTATATTGTCCGATATCCTCATTTCATTCGTGTGTACTTTGTTTATATAGCAACAGCTCTTATTGGTTTTATACACGAATTTCAATGGTGCACTATCGTACAATGATTGAATTACAAAATGACTGTGAAATGTCTTATCACCCTTGCATGCGCATGTCTGGCATCCGGATTCATCCGTGTCAAAGCCATTTTCACAGTACATTTCACACAGGACAGGTCTGCAAGCTACGGAAACAAGTCCCAGGCAAAATATTGATTTTGTTTGAAACACATAAAATAGAAAAACAAGTTTGCCTTTATCTATTTTTAAAACAAATTATCTAAGACTGATAATGCTATTGGGTATTTGAAAACAAAATGTATATCAACCTTTCATCAATTGATAATATTAATCAATATATGATCATAAACAATTTACTTCAATTTTAGAACTGATTGATCGATACTCCTCAGCATCGTCTTTAGTTTTGTGTTGGCTGCTAAATCCATCTTTATTTGTACCTGGCCACTTCTCATAAAATGAGCTATCAGCAGAAAGTACAGGGTTACTTGCTAAAAAAAATCAAAAACAAAAAGCCATTTTGATATTTCGGAACTGCTCCAAAGGCCTAATGTGTTTTTGTACAGAATAAAAAAATTATGTTGTGGAGTGCTTGTGGCCTCGTGGTTAAGGGCATTGAATTCGTGGTTTGCAGTTAAAGCTGCAGGTTGTAGGTTCGAATCCAGCCTGGGGTCATGGTGCGTGTGCCCTTGGGCAAGGCACTTTGTCACTCATTGCCTCTACCCACCCAGGAGTAAATGGGTACCTGTGAGGGCAGGGATGGTTATTGTGATTGAATTAGCTTCCTTGTGCTTAACAGGCTGCATCTAGCTGTATACTCCCCAGGGAGGTGAGATGGTATTTGGAATGTTTCATGGGCTCAATGAGCAGGGGTAATAATGATGTAGCGCCTTGAGCATCAGTCCTGGTGGGAACGTGCGCTTCGTAAATACCCACTATTATATTGTATGCACGGAGTTGTACTTACGTTCCCTGCAGACGTGGCCGCAGCCGTTAGAGCAGCATTTTGCGGTCTCCCCTGGGCAATCGCTGTCGTGCGAACACGCTTCGGGGCAAATGCCCATCATGCCTTGCGGAGCTGGTGGACATGTACCGGACCGAGTTTTGGGAGCTGAAGAACAAATCACGGGCACAACATTTTGATAAGATTTCTATAATTTCACCGAGTCATAATGAATAAAATCTTTTTAAAATGCCCAAACGCTCGCTTCTCATTATGTACACACTTTTAAACACACATGGTTCTGTTTTGATTCCGTTTAGTTATCAAATTATATTGTAGGTAATGTTTAGGTTAAAAGGAGAATTTTTGAAATTGCAGGCAGCTCAAACGATACTATACTGATTAAGAGTTGGGCCATTCTATAAATTGAGGATCTACTTGCTCCTGTGCTTGTTACATCTTAATAACGTCTACGATTTTATAATTATGTTTCAAGAAATTAGGCCCAGCCGTTAAACCATGATCTAACACTTAAAATAAAAAAGAGTCGTACATGGCTTTTGGTCGCAGTGTTCTCCGATGTAGCCTTCGTGACATTCACATCTGTACGCGCCTCCTTTGCCAGGGATACATTCACCAAAGTTGCAAGGCTTTTCGGAGCACGGGTCAACTAAAATACCGAAAATGAAAGTTTCTCAAATAATTTGTGACGGGATCCAACAGAGGACACTCGCAACAGTTTCAGACAGGCGCGCCAGAGGTGCATCTAACCAAACAGAATCAGGAGCGATGTGGGTTGAAATAGATTTTGGTTTCAGACCGGCGAGCTTTACGTATCAATTTACTAAATTCGATCATCTAACTGAAATTAAGGACAAGCACTATAGCGTAGAATTTAGTCAGTCGAACAGATTGATTTTTCACTCCAGTAACGTTTTGTTTTGGTTTCTAACTCAATTTAACAGAGATATTTCCAAGTCAGTTTAACACAGATATTTTTTTCTTTGAATCATCTGCTTCCTACTGCTACTTCACTGCACATTTCTGATATATTCTATAAATGGTCTAAGTAATAAAAGCAAATTCTGAAAATGAACAAAACTGCTGCAAACTGTTGACTGGATTGACCTGAAATATGCAAATCAAGAGAATTTAGATAACATGTTGGTCTTTGTACAGAAACAAAGATGTGGGGGACACACAAGCATGCACCATTGGAAGGACAACCAGAAAAGAGGGACTAAACATGAGATGGATCGATCCAAGTGAGTGTAGCAGTAAGATAAAATGGAACAACGAGAGGGGATGGAGTAGGGAAAGGAGCAAAGGAAGTGGGGTTGGGTGAAGATCTTAGGGGTAGAAAAGGGATGGATGATGCTGAGGGAAGAACAAAGGGCAGTTCATGAAGTCTTAAGGGTAAGAGGAGTTGACAATGAGGAAGGGACATAAACAGATGGATGTGGCAATGGGTAAACTCAAAAGGGGAGAACGGCACATGAGGGGATAAACCCCAATACGGTGAGCCAAGAGGATTATCTGTAACAGAAAGACGAAGGAGGTAAAATGAACAGGTTAGTCATTCCCGTAGATGTTGAGTCCTTGTGGTTGCATACTCCAAAGACTTTTCATCCACATTTTCTCCCTGCTGATACGAACTGAGCCAGTCCTTGCGATGGCCGGGTGATTCTATGCCCTATAAAATCATATCAGAAATGGAATGGCTAGGCTGGTTGAAGTGGTGACCAACAGGGTTGTCCAGTCTCCTGGTGTTGATAGTCGATCAATGCGCCTAGAAACTCTTGATTTCCCCGGCATACTGGACGCCACAAAGCCTGCAAGAGATATGACTTCACCGGTGTTGCAAGTGATGTAAGTAAATATTTTTGACAGACGAGGGGCCAGACTCGTTGAATGTGGATCTAGCAAAACAGCACATCTAGAATTGCACTGAAACGGTCCATGTCGGGTGGGTACTTCAGCTAATAAAACAAATATTGTAATAGGTTGGAGTATACCTGAACAATCAACAGGATTGCCGTTGCTATCCTGGAATTCATGGTTGCATCCACCGCAGTAGTTGGACACACATGTTGCCGTTGGGTCAGCTGCGCAGGCAGCGAACTGACAGGGATCCACAAAGCAGTGCGCCATTTCAACTCCTGGTGGGCAGTTTGAAGCTGTGGAACCAGACCATGTATCACAACAAAGTTTGAAAAGGACATATTCTAAGCGAACGGGGCGCTCTAGTAACCTCATTGTGGGATATCAAAACATGAGAATCTCAGGTTATCGACGTAAATTTACATGTTGCTTCGATAAAAAAGTACTTTCGCAATCGCATATTTTCAGATTAAAGCAGGCCTAGACTCATTAACTCCTCTTAAAAATATATTTCTATTACATTCCTAGAAAATAGCGCCCTCTTAGCTAAAAAATATGCCAATTATAAATTTTATAAGACTATATACCTAAAATATGTTTATACAGAAACAGAAATAGGCAAATGTTACAAATGCATACAAAACAACGATGAATACGTGAGAAATAAAGATTTTGGCCGAGGCGTATTACTGTGTTTTAATAATTGATCAAAACTCGGGACAGACAACTCGTTCCTTAAGTCCTGTCCACACAAAAAAACCTTGTGATTATAGGACGATAAGATGTAGCTAATCCGCTCTCCCAGACACCAACATAATGCATTTTGCGCAGGGCTCTGGACATCAAAACGTGTTTTGCTACGTGTTATTTTGCCAATGACGTAATAATCCAAGAAGAATGCTTTTGTGGCCAGCAGGCTTCATTTTCGATAAATCGCTGGAACCCCAAAATGACTGTTTTCTCACGCGTCGATTGTTGTTTCGGAACCATTTGTAGACATTTGTCATTTCTATTTCTGTATACCAAAGCGGGTTCATTGAAATCGAAACGTACCTCGTTCTTCGCAGTGTTCTCCGATGTACTCCTCTGGGCAATCACACCTGTAACCATCTCCCGATGAGGAATCGCATATTCCGCCATTCAGGCACGGGTTGGGGGAGCAAGGGTCAACTAAGATACCAAACCAAATTGAAACAAAACAACTTAAACAGTCGTCAGATACAATTTATATTTTTAATCTTTCAAATATGCATTTGGTAACTCGTAATAATATCTTTTACTTTCGGGCTGACCTGGGCAAGACATTGAATTTCAGGTTTTCTCCAAAAAAAAGACAAAGTCGTCACTAATTAATGTAACCTTTATTGTTTACGATCGACTGGATGGTTATTCATCGGTAAAGGACTATCACGTCCGCACATACACGGCATGCGCACAATGCATGATCACGCACAATTTGCAGACACTAAAATTACGGCCTTGGGGTGTCTGAAGTTTAAGCACGTAGAATTCTCGAGATTTTCAAGAATTCCGGTTCTATTTCAGACCATTTGCGAGGCTACCTTTTACTGTTGTGTTCGTATGGTACTACGCGTGAATAATCTAGAATATAGGTGATAACTGCAAAATATTAAAATTAAACAGGATGTCGTTTGTGGGGTTCAACAAAATGACATCTTCGAAACTGACGCTTGGTGGCGCTCGTCCTTTGTGAATTAGTCTAAGTTCCTTACGCTTTTGTACATGGTGTTTTACTTACCCCAGTGATCCTGGAAGTCGTCGAAGGTGAAGAGACCCACGCTGTTGACGCTCGTTCCGAAGCCCAAGACTTTGGGGTTGATGCGATTGCCCGAATCCAAATCTAACTGAAGGAACGGAGACTTCTCATGGCCTCGTCCAACTTGTACCGAACTGTTAGCAAAAGAGTGATTACAGTAATCTTTCTGGAACTTTTCGGAAACTGCTTTTTGACAAAACTAAATGAAAAAAGGAGTGTGACTAGGGGGGGGGGTAGCTTGGGAAACTGCCCCCACGCATATGACACTTTCCCCATTACATGCCCCTCCCCGCACAGACAAAGAAGCTATTTACGTTGATAACAACCAAAATGTGTGCCCCTCCAGACAGAGGCGTAACTATTGGGGTTGGGGGACCCCCCCCCCCCCCCAGCGGGAACATATTTTGTACAATTTTTCTTATCCTCTTAAAATGTATGAACACTATTTGACATCCCTTCTTGCTTAATTTCATTTAAAAGGGTACTTCTTTAAAGATTTTAAAATTGTTCATGCCTTTCCGGGGAACTGAGGGCGCTATTGATGTGATGTCATTTCAGCAAGACACTGCTCCTGTTAGGTGTTTTCTGTTCCAAATTTTGTTCATTTAAAAACCATCGTGAGAACAGTTTGGTCACTGAAGAAAAGAAAATGTACAGCGGGATATCCAAATTTCTGACAACTTGTAGTGCTGAAAGTGTTTGTAACATTGAGCCTTCTGCCTGGAATGACATCACACTTTTGCTCATGAATATGGAGATTCATTGCATTAAAATATTACATTAAATGGGCCCTTTAATAGATTCCCCCAAGTGCAGCCCACATTACAGTATCCTTGGCATGCTACTGCTAATTTATTTTCAAGGGCAGACCACGCCTCAGTTTCTGAGATATGGCTGGTCATGCCTCAGATATTGCAACGAATCATTCCAAACGATTATTTTAATTTGTAGATACACTGCAGACCCTTACCTTGGATTAAATTGTATCCAATATTCGTTGAATTGTTCGCACTTCAGTTCATTCGGAGTGTTTTCACTCTGACCGTTTGACTGTTGAGGGCGCGCTATTGAAGACCGGGAGTTGTCGTTCCCGCCGATGGCTGTGGTTCAAAATTAACGATAACTGTTTTTCAAAAGAAGTTTCCTTCCCCAACAGAAAAAGCCTAAGGGAGTATTTTCCTTATTTAGAGTGGATAAAGATGGCTGTTGAGACTGATTTATTGGCTAGTGCAATGGATCGTGGGTCGAAACATGAAAGGGAACATGGCACTTGTGTTCTTAGGCAAGATGTATTACTGCAATAATTTTCTCTTTCTACTTTGAAGCATGGGTACCTACGAGAGCAGAGACCAGCTTGTACTGGTCCCGTGGCCTGATGAACTGGGCTTATGATTGCGAAACGCTTTTGAACATAAGTACAAAACCCTTATAAGCCCAAGATTATTATAACTAAATTTGCAACATCGGCCACAAATCATGGGTTTTTGAAATAGGGTATGGCTTATGAAAGACTGTATGCCATTTCCCCCAAAAGAACCCAAGACTTACTGATAATGATTCTATCACAGCCATCGTGTTTGCTTTCTGACAGTACAATTTTCGCATCGGAAACGGCAGCAACTCTGAAAAAAAGCACAATCGGCACAAATCAATGGCTATTAGAACGAACAAAATGTGAAATCGTTTTTGGTAAACCTTAACGTTTAAACCAGAGAGGCAGACAAAAGGTTTCAAAAAGAAGGATGGATAAAAGCAATATGGACCGTTGGAAATGACACGCGAATACGGGATACGTATGCGGCTAGAAAAGTAGGCGTTAAATCACCGTCTTGCATGGTTATGTCATCTTGCACAGTAGGGGTAATGTGTATTTCACATCAAAATTTTAATCTGTATACGCATTGTTTTGGTGAAATAAAAACTAAATATGGTGAAAAAATACGTATCCCGTACGTGTATCATTTTTAAATAGCCTCTGAGGTATACAGGGGCGCCAACATTCAAAACGAGTAGTACGCGCTAATTATAAGCATTCAATGGAGCTTGCATGCTTTGCCAAATGTGAAAGTTGCTTTAGAAAAAAAATACGGGTTTCAGTTTTAAGGGTGGAAGGGTTTACGTGTCATGTTCATCACACATCGATGTTTAATTGAAAACATTTTGGAGGGTAATCATTGTTAGATCAAACCGAACGGGCTGAAGATTGCTCACCTGAAGTTGAAACCGAAGTGTGAGGATGGTAGAGGGCTCGGGTGCCACTGAAGCGAGTCGACCTGGTCAGTTTGGAACACTTGACATCTAAACACCGGTTCCGACCCTAGATGACAGATTGCAATCAAATCCCATCCATTTGATTCGATCATTTATAAGTCCGTTGAAAATCTTTGTAACCTGAGTTTTTGGGTGTTTTGAGTCTCTCCCAGTTTCGGTCACAAGTTAGTCACAAGTTACTTCAGAAGTCCGGTCGTAAGGACCAGGGAATGAACAATTCGAAAGGAATGCCTTTGTCAAAAAATAAATTTGCCGGTGCCAAATTATTCGGCTACGGCCTGAAATTACACAGGTATCTATGGTAGCGGCTGCAGCTATTTCCCATAGACTCGTGTGTAATGTCTAGCCGTAGCCAAGAGATTTGGATACGGCTAACCTGTGCTTGACTCGGGGCAGATGATTTGTGTGATTACTTGACTTGTTAGGAACTGTCAATGCCTTGTACAGGGTAAGGAAACAAACAAACCCAAATGTCGGGACTATTAGTGAAGTTCTGCATGTAGCACTTTCAAAATCTAGGATAGGAAAGAGCCTATTATTATGCCTATTAAGCTTATGAAGAAAATTCATAAGCCTTCTTTTTAGTACAAGAATCATTCAAATCACTCATGTACGAAAAAGGTGTGCGTTCTTTCAGCGAAACGAAAACAATTCTCACACATCCCTATGTGATTTGTTTTCGCTTGGCTGAAAGAACACTTACCTTTTTGTGATCCATGGACAGAACTTTAAAATGGTGGTTGTGTTTAAAATTTCGTAACCTAACAATCACATGAGTGATTTGAATAATTCTTGTACTAAAAAAAAGCTTATTAATTGCTCTTTAATATCCTGGATTTTGAAAGTGCTACATGCAGAACTTCACTAAAACAATAGGCTCGTCTAAGACATAACACAATGATTTAATCTCGTACTCACTACGTATCGAATACCAAACGTTTTCGCATCTAGTGCTACAAAACAAATACTAAAAGTATTCATAAATTATTAAGATATGACATTCGGCGGACTGTTTATAAAAAAATCTTACTAGCGACGACAGTCGCCGTCATTGCGGCCAGCAAGAGAAGTGTAAGCCTGGACGTCGCCATCTTGAAGGTCCTCAAGTCGGCCTATGGGGTGATCTGACCTATAGACCAAGGAAAGACAAATCTAATCGACTTACTGATAACAAATAGGACATTTAATATATGTCTCGCAATGTCATATACTTTTTCTTAAAACGAAACACCGCACGTATAATGAAACATTGCACCTTGTATGATGTGGAAGGTCCTTTTTTCACAACCGAGAAAATTTCCCTGGAAATAGATACCAAACACCCATACTGAAATGTGTATCCTTGTGGAGACATTTCTGTGTCCTCGTGTACTAAGGTTTTCGAGTTTGAAAGTACAGTTTCAAAATGAGCTTATTTTAACCAGAATTAATTTCCTTGGCTGAAATTCGGACTTGACATCCCTTTTCTAAAACTCTACCATTTGCGACGGATCAACATACCTTGGAAATTCCCTTTTTTTTTAGTAAGGCCAAAAAAAAAAATATTCGGTCTCTGGTCAGACCAAAGTTCCTGAATTGACGCGGCCACGCGGCTTTTTTTTTTTTTTTTTTTTGCTTTTTTTTTTTCTTCAAGCTTGGATTGTACAGACAAGGTGGGTACTATTTTGCTTTTTGGAGTCCTCATGTACATTGGTGTCCTCCATAATTTGCCTTGGTGCTTTTGATCATTAGCCTAGGTGCAATTTCCCATTCCTTGGTGCTCTTTGGTAAAAAAAAAAATTGAGGAGGTGCGGAAATAAAGGCCGCTGTGGAAGCTACCGCGGAACATTTTGGAAAAAAAAAGATCGACGCGCATGATTAAAATCGACGCGCGCGCTGACCAGAGACCGACTTATTTTTTTTTTTGGCCTAAAATCCATAAATCTATTTCGTGAAAACCTTGTGGAGAAATTGCCCCGTGGAGACGTATACAATCTTTTGTTCCCTATTGTGTGCATGTCTCCAGAGGGCACGGTGTATCAGATCACTGGATGTGATCGTCATGTTTAATCTCACCATTTCCTAATGACTGCACACACATAACATTAAAGGTGAATCGACTCATGTTAAAAAAAACCTATAGTATTCACAAAAACCAACGCCTATAAATCCCAACTATAGGCAATACTTCCAAACAATGCAGTAATCATTAACTTACCCCTGATGAGGGTTTGAACGTCCACTACCGTTCAAAGTTAAGGTTGCCTGTTGTCGTGCAACCGCAGTGTGTGCACGCCAACGAACAATCCAGAAATGCGTTTCGACAAAACCTGACATAGATCAATCCGGACAACAATTTCGTCATGTAACCTTCGCGCCCACGTTTGAACATATTTTATTTACTTCTAATCGAAGCTAATTCTCTTTTCAATACCAGCCATGTTCTCTTTTGCTTTGTCTTTTTTATGGGGCTTAAATTATAGATTTTCGGGATTAGAAATTGATTGATAGCCGTGTATACAGCTGTCAACAGAGGAATTTATGTAAAATATTCCAACAGTGTAGTTTAAGAATAAACAAGTAATCTAATTGAAAGTTGTTAACAAAGAGTTTTAACCAATAAGTTCACACGTAGGACAGCCCACCTGTTGAGGATTAAAGGCAGTCAATACAATCCAACAGACTTTCGTCTGCTTTTCGCTAAACGAGTCTAAATTATCCAGTACATGTATTAGATGAGACTTATTGGTTCGCATGGGGAACATGAACAATATGGAAGGTTTACGGTAACACCTTGTGAATTTTATCTCATTTGAGTTGTTTGGTTCTGTAACTAGACGTGTCAAACACACAGTCGTGCACTACATAACTCTCGAGGACAAGGCATTGTGTTTCCCTTTTTCCCTGTCACATAACACTCTCATATAGAGAGCACACAAACCACGACCGAGGACTGTTTTCAACAAACGATGAACACTCGAGGAGTCTGTCCTCTGTTGTATGAAGTGCACGTACATAAACCCGAGGACTGACACACGAAGGGAGAACAACAGATCCTTTCAGTCCTCGGGAGTTGGGTGTTTTTGTTGGAAACGGTCCTCGGTAGTACGTTTGTATGCTTAATCTATGGGAGAGTGTTATATTACAGGGACAAAAGGAAACACAAAGCATTGTCCTCGAGAGTATAGTAAAATAAGAGAGGGTGCTCTCTTCGTGTGCTCTGTGTCTCCTGATGACGTGAACGGAGCACACTGTTCGAAACGTCAAGTTAAAACAATTGGTTCGTTTCAGAACAGCACACAACTCAAGAGGGATACCATTGAGATTTTCCATATTTTACTTAGTACATATGTAAAATGTGCAGACCAACCGGAAACCTAACTTCTTAAAAAAATTTGAAACAGGAATATGATCGGGAATATCTCAGAAACGAAATGTGTTTGAAGTGTTTTGCGGTGAAAATTTGAAGAAATTGCTGCACTGAAATAAGTTTTGATTCCATTTAAACTACGGTACAGAAGGATCGTCAACTTTCGCAGTTGCGTTAGAAATCATTAGATTGAGGCAAAGCTTAAAAAAGAACTTTCCCTTTTCTATAATCAAGTTGCATTTTTTAATTTTTTATCTGGTTCTTCTATTTATCTATTTTAATTAATTGGTAAATAGATCTCGGAATTTACAGACATGAACCTATCGATCATGGCTATGTTTTTAACAATCAATTCGATTTGTCTATGGCACAGCTCAAGGATTCAGTGTTACAGACAGCTGGTTGACACAACAGAATTCAGTAAATCCGTCAAAAATCGATGCCTAATAAGGACAAGGTTGACGTGCACTAGTGTTCAGTGGATTCTACCTACGCATTCGAATTTGATTGGTTAAATATTGGCGTAACACGCGTGCGCATCCCTGTTGGCGCGTTTCGATTGGTCTGCTTACGTGGCCAATCCAATCCAGAACATGCAAGTTATTATAGGTGGCGCTATGTGACTTACACAAGGTATGGATTAATATAGCTCTATGGGAATGACACATTTTATCCATTCTTAAAATCTATTTTTCATCACGCAATGAATTTGAGTTTTTCAGTAAAATGTATACTTTGCACATTTAAAGAGGGCGTGCTTGCAGGGGCGTAGGTAGAGGGCGTGCTTCAAGGGGTCCGTGGTCTTTATTGCTCATTTTCTTCCACTAAGGAAAAACCCCACATAACGCAAATTGACGTCAATACAAGAGAGCGATAAATGAGTAACATTAGTTTCGATTAAATGGGCGTGGTTATACGGTAACGATCTGATGCTTTAGCGTTGATTGACAGCACCTACATGAAATAGTCTTTAGAGGTACATCATCACTTAGAATTTCTATATTGATAGGTTTCTTCTGGACAAGAGGAATCATATATATCATTCATTTTTTTATCTAATAATTGTAAAAATATATACGCTCATTGGAAAACGTAACAGTTGCAATGCTTTAAATTACTCACATGAGCCTAATAACAAATAAAAGTTACGTAGCGTACAGCCTTATTGAGGTACGAAAAATACATTTTATTTTACATTCTTGGTTGACTGTGCTGCAGATTTCTGTCATTTTATACACTTAAGACTTTATACTACCATAAGTTGATGTATACATTTGGTTCAACTTTTATTCGGGAAGGGAAAATCGTGGCTATTTTGGCTCGTTGGGCTGTTTGTTGGTTTGTCGGGGTGTTTGTTTGTTGGTCTGTTTGTTGAGCTGTTGTTTGTTTGATTGTTTGTTAGGGTGTTTGATTGTTTGTCCGTTTCTTGGGCTGTTGTTTGTTTGTTTGTTGGGGTGTTAGGGTGTTGGGGTGTTTGTTTGTTTGATTGTTTGTTTGTTTACTACTCAATTTCATATGCAATAAATTGGGGCAGAATGTAGTATTTGTAAGGACAAAAATGCCATTGATCAATGTCTCATAACGTGTTGTGTGTTTCACTGTTACATCCTCACGAGAATCGTGATACTGCGTAAATCCACATTTTTTTTTAAAACAAAGGATTCCTCAAAATGGTATTCGATACCAACAGAAAAGGCCAGGTGCACTGTCCGAAGTGTGAATTCAATCAATTCCTTTTCAATGCACTCTTAATTTGTTTGTCAATACCGAAATCCGGCGCTTATTATGAGTTAGATGGATGTCATTGTTTACAGGTGAGAGTGGTAATCAATTCATTTTAATCCCCTCGCAAACTGTGTCATTTTGTTCTCACCATGGGGATATCACGGCAAAAACTTAGCCGGAAAAGTTCGAACGTGGCAGGGTCATATGTGAATCTTGCCGTTTGCAAAGGGCAACGGGCATCAGGAGCCCAACTGTTGGTGTAAACAGTTTTACTTCCGGAGTTTACGTTGATGTACGAATACATTACCATTGGAATCGGTTACAAGAGGATTGCGAAGACTCAAAGTTGAAAGGAGATTTGGCGGCACTAACTAACATCCAGAGGGGGTAAGGAAACATCCTCATATTTTTTTAGAAGCTTTTTAAATATTGGATTAAACTTATCCGAAATAGTATTTTAAGGCCAAGTCAGAATTTGCCGAATGATTTCTTGTGATGAATGTGTATTTGGGTCCCTTTGCATTTTGGGCATGTGTGACTCTTTTACAGTTAAGGTGAAACTTAAGTCATGCAAGGACGAGAGAATTAAACTTGATTGACAAATGTTCAAATAAGCCACAAACGGAAACTGACTAGGTGCATCATAATAATTTAAAAGCTGTACGAAAAATTGACTGGAGAGGATTTGAGCGATCTAGGAATTATATACCGGTGCTCTACCTGCTCTACTTGATATAATTCGCAAAACTAGCTGTACATAATCAATATTTCAAAATGTGGTTTACTGACACAGGTTAAGTCACCCCAGAGCGGATGTGAGGACCTTCAAGATGGCAACATCCAGGCTTATAGTCCTCCTGCTTGCCGCAATATCAGCGACTGCCTTCGCTCGTAAGCACATAGATTATATTTCCTCTAAACAAATTAAACGTAATTGTGCATTGCATTCTCTAATTAAAAGGATCGCCTAATATCACAAGATGGGGCAGCAAATAATTTCGAGCACTTGTCGATATTAACATATCAAATAACAAGTGTAACATATCGACCACGTGGCATTTGCTTCGTTATGTATGTAGCCAATAAAATGTTATTAAAAAAAATCTGCAAAATAGCCTTTCGTGAAATTAAATAATGTCCAAATTATAAATTAGGGTCGTGAAATTCTGTAACGTTTTTGCACCTAGAACCGGGACCATCCAATCATATGTGTCAACTGTTCCAAACGGAGAAGAACGACGAGTTGCAATGGCTCCCAGATACTCTACCAGCATCGCATTTTCAACTCAACTTCAGGTATGCACTTTGCGGACGTTATAGAAGCACATTATGATTCGCTTTTTTATGCCATACGCAACCTTCAACATACAAGGCCTGCGTGTGTAATACGAAAATGTAACATTTTCCACGGAATACGAAAGCCCAAATCCAAAAAGATTGCTGATAAACATTATTGACCCTTTAACCATACGATAATTCAAGTGATAAATCAAATAAATTGCTTAATTTTTTTAATGTTACAGCTTTTGTTAATATATCTTCTTCTTTTTTTAGAGTGATTGCTCTTGCTGATGTGAATATAGTGCTGGCAGAAAACCCAGAAAAGAAAGAGGGTCGTATTACCATAAGTAAGTTAAAATATTTCCTGTCATGGTTACGCCCACTTTTAAGTGGGGCCTATAACAATTCTCATAAGTAGGAAACCGCTAACACAGGGCTGGATAGCTCAGTTGGTAGAGTATCGATACGGTCATCTGGAGGTCGCAGGTTCGAATTCAGTTTCAGCCAATGTTTTTGTCCAACTTTATGATGATTTGTTAAGTAATTGAACACATTTTCTTTCCATCGAAGTACAGGCTTAATTTCGTACAAAAGCCTACATCCCTCACACCACAATTTTGGCAGTTGCATACCCGTTAAACCGATGTTTTACACAAGTCTTCATGATCACTTAATGAGAAGATCAAACACATTTCCAAGATGGCTACTTTGCATAATATTGTCTGCAAGATCTCATCCATCACGATATAAACACCACAAAAAACTAAGTCCACACTCATTGGAGGGCTAATAATTTTGAATGCGATCGTCTTATTATGACGTCATTTATATAGACCTTTGGGGAATTTTTCAAACTACATTTTGAAATCCCGTTTGCTACCAAAAACATGCAAATCGTCCAAGATTGACAACGGTTTATGAAAAATGATGTAGTTTGAAAAGTTGCAAATTTAAAGATATTATATGATGCAGTTTGAAAAGTTTATTGCTATATATTATAGCAAGTGCACAGTGCCCAAACAAAGCGCGGGTAATTAAATTCGCGTGCTCCCGTGCATGCAAGCACGGTGCGATCGACATACCCTGCCGTTCGTTTCGGGCAGTGTCACATTGTCATGCAGCAATTTCCACTCAATTACTCTTTAAATTTGCATTTTTTTAAACTGCATCATTTCTCATAAACCGTTGTCAATATTGGACTATTTACAATCTTTGGTAGCAAACGGGGTATCAAAATGTAGCAAACTACATTCCCCAAAGGTATATATTTATAATTTTATTATAAGACGAACAGATTCAAAACTATGACCCCTCCAATGAGTGTGGACATTCTTTTTTGCGATGTTTAGATACTTGCATTGCAGCTCCCCTCGCAGAAATGGCCCCAGAACATGGATAGCAATCTAACCTTATATCGTATTTATGAATAGGAATACTCGTGTGGTGGTGTATCTGGTTTAACTTGATCTCCCATAGTATTATTTCCTCTAGTTAGTTAATAATAATATCCCACTATAATATTTCTCATACAACAGCGTTGGGCGCGAACAAAAACAGCCTATCTAGGATACGTCATCTCTTTGTACAGAACGGCGTGGCGCAGCAGAATGGAAAAGCGACACCCACTCCGGCGGAACTGAAATGTGATCGGTTCAACGAGTTCTGGCTGCAGTTCGACCCAAGGTAAGGAGTTGCGTTATACAATTATGATAAATATTTCGTGGAAAAATATCCAGTTGGTGTCTACTTCAGGGTGGCATATGCAAGTGGTATGGTTGGCTCCAGTCACACATTCACGGTTGGAGCTAAGGATATCAACGGTTTACCAAGAATCACTGGATCACGATGAACCGTCGAGATTCGTGGAGAAATCGACTTTCTACTGTTTCAGGATGGATAGCCACGACTGTCCTAAGGTTTCTCTACGAATACACCACGGTTTGTCAAGAATGGACAGATTGTTGAAAAATAACGACGGTAATACTAAGAATAACGACGTTAACGCCACAGTTGTCTGCGATCGGGCCACTGATGACCAAGATGTCATTTATAGTAGGCTCCTAGCATAACCGGGCATATCCGTTGGGCATTCGTAGCGAATGATTACACGGCAAGAACTGTATAAATATGCAGTCTTACATTGGCTCATACAGAACTTTGTCGTACATGTGAATAATTATGTCAATCAAAGCTTATGAAGAAACCACAATACCTATTTTTAGTATAATTTCAATTTATGTTCTAATCCTTATTTCCATAATAATATTATGTTTTTCCCATTCATTCGGATGATTTCTTTGAAACCTTGAACAAAGACCATGGATGGAGTGCCATGGCCTAGCGGTTAAGATCAACGGACTCATTTTCTGGTGTTTCAGAGGCAACAGTAGCGTGGGTTCGAGCCCGCCGGGTGGACACTTGTGCACTTAAGCAAGGCACAACCATTATTGCTTCGTCCTTCGGATGGGACGTAAAGCCGTAGGTCCCGTGTGTTGTGTAATTCAATGCACGTAAAAGAACCCAGTGACAATTATCGCTAAGTGAAGGGGTTTGCCCCGGTGTTTTTGGTCTCCTCACACGCGGAGTATTTAGGAAAAGAACCAACCGAGAACTTTATATAGTTGTTTTGTTGACAAACATATAACAATTCTTGGAAATCAGTTCGAAAATTCAATTACGGAACACAGCATTAACCTTATCTTTCAAGGTTCCATTCGTAGTTTAAAGGGACATTCCGTAATTTAAACACTTCAAAATAATAGTTTTGAATGTGATCGTCTTATGATGACGTCATTTGTATACACCTTCGGGGACTTTTGATACCTCGTTTGCTACCCAAAGACTGCAAATGTCTTTGTCAACGGTTTATGAAAAACGATGCAGTATGAAAAGTAACAATTTAAGAGATAGGCGAGAAGAAATTGCTAAGCGCTAATACACCTGCCCGTAAATCATTGGCCCCTTTCGACTGCAAAGTGCAAGGACAAAACGCGGGTAATTCAATTTCACGAGCTCCCATGCATACAAGCACGGTGCGATCGATATTCCCTGCCATTCGTTTCGGACAGTGTTACATTGTCAAGCAGCAATTTCCCCTCGACTCACATACTCAAAATTTGTAACTTTTCTGTAACATTTTTCATAAACCGTTGTCAGTCTTGTACAATTTACAGTCTTTGATAGCAAACGGGGTATCAAAATGTAGCTAACAAAATTCCCCGTAGGTTTGTATGAATGAAGTCATCACAAGACGATCAGATTCAAAATTATGACCCTCCAATGAGTGTGGGCTTTATTTTTTAACGGTGTTTATTACATCTTTGGCTACTGATATCGCACTATACTTGTTTCAAAATAGATCAGTCAAGGTTGGCCGAGTTGGCGAAATGTTTCCCTTTTTGGAGTACGGCATCGATTCGAACAGTGCCATTGTCCCAAAGTTCGTGGGATTTGGCACCAGCCATAACAGCGTAGGAGTCTTTAGCTTCGGTGAATTCGAGGAGCACGGACGTAAGTTAAATAATTAATTAGTTAAGCCAAAACATCGAGACATGATACTGATAGATTTTGGTTCTTTGAAGGTTTGTGGTTGCGAATATATTAAGAGGACAGTTTATGTAAATATTTGTCGATGCGGGAAGTCATTTGTAGGTCATTTAACCCTGCGAGGCGCCAACGTTATATTTTAGTTTAATCCACCACAGAACTGAACTTTTCAGCATGATGGTGCATGGGTGTTAAGGTTTAACACAATTATTCAGTAGGCATTTTGGTGAACAAAATCCCTTTTCACAGTGTTGAAATATTTAACAGCCTGAGGCTACATAGTATAGCTAAAAAGCATTAGGACTACCTGTTTCCAGGCTTCACGACTGGGCCTAGTGACAGGATTGATGTCCTTGCAATAACAGCAGTTCTATAGTTACAATACAATACAATTACAATAATATATCCTATGGCAGTTGGCCTGGATCTGATCTTTGCCTCCGAAAATTTTGGTCAAAAGTAGCAGTGTTAAATGGGAACTAAGAATGTGTTTTTTATAGCTTTGTCTAAAGAGGGAATGTGGTTATATAGCGCTTTATACCAACGGTCTCAAAGCGCACACAACTACCCGTGTTCATCAGGTCATGAGACTAGTTTTGTGGAGAACTTGCAGAGTATGAAATTGTTTGACGAAAAAAATGACGGATTATTAAAATTATCTAAAAATGTACTAACAACGTGTGTACTGTCGCACACCACAGATTTAACAGAAATATTGTTTGGTCAACTCACAGCTAGATTCAACGAGAAAGTGTTCATAACTGACAAGGGTTACTGCTACGACTGGACTCTGCGTCCGTGGCCAACTTCCGGAAAGGTCTGTTTCCAGGTCAAAAGCGAGGGCATCGCGGCCCTTGCTCTCTCCCCAGAAAGAGATCCACCGGCCGGTACACTGGTCTATGAGATGGGTAGGTTCCAGTTACTGCTTTAGGTGTTGATTACATATTGGCTGGACTCAATAGCAAAGTATATGACGCCAATTTAAGTCATCAGACTTAATGAAAATAAGTCAATGCAGTGGCGGATACAGGAGGTGTAAACCACATAAAAATCAAAGTCCGGCTTTTGAGCAATGAACGAAAATTTAACACGTGTTTTTTTCTTCAGAATAGGACATATTAAGATTCAATAATCAAGAGGAGGGAATTGAAGAAATCAAGAAATCAAGAAGAATTTTAGTTGTTTTTGTTGCATTGTCCAACCGAAAAGGGTTGTGAGCAACAACTTTTCCATCTCTCTCAACTTTTATTTGGTTATTGGCAAGCAAAATAAGCTTCACAGCACAAGGTACACGATCGTCAATCTAAACAAGTAGCGGTGCGATGTTTTGTTTACGACGAGCATTTGTCGCATAGCAGTCCCACGTGACGTTTATAGACCATGTGACATTTGATTACAAATTGGATGTTGTGGTCAGGTGATGCCAACTATCAGCAAAGCGTTCTCTTCTGCTTTCCATGCGTGCCTTTTGAAATATGAATGGTTTGAAAGTGTTAACATATTCTGTTTCATATATGGGCCAAATAACACGTTAATAACATGTTAAATGTTTGGGTTGTCCTGCGGTTGCCTGTATAGGCATGACGTCACAGGACGTCACAGGACGTCTCGTGGTTCATACAGCAAAACAATTGTGGCATATATCTTTGAAACGGCAGCAATTTTTTTTTAAGTTTGAGGACATGCTTAAAGAAGTCCCTTCGTTCCGGTTTCATTTTAGAACTCGGCTTCTCCAACAACCAGCTGACCGTTCTCCGCCGAGGAATGCACGGAGGCAACATCGCGGTTGAATCGACTCCGGATATCCTCGACTGCGATGAATTCCGGACGTTCTGTCTCGAGGCCAGCGGGCCGCATATCACCCTGACGGCCCTGGGAGACCCTAAGCCGATCCTGGACTACGTGGACGAGGAGCGGCCTGAAGTCATGTATCAGTACATCGGCTTTGCTGGCGGGTATGACTTCAAGGTGTGGTGGAGGTGGCCGGAGGATATGGTTCCAGGTATGTGTAATATAATGTAGAGTCTCTTCAGTGACAGCAGTGCGCCAAGGACCAAAACATATCAACTCAGAACCTAGACTTAGCAGGAGTCTTAAAGCCCGAGACATAAATGTTTCCAATACCCCATATGCATAACCCATCCTGTATATTTTATAGCATCATCTCTATGCTTCTTTATTTGCCATGAGCCCTACATGTAGTTTAAGACCTCTATGTAATCAAAAAGGCTGTACCTAAATGTAGGCCAAAACCTAAATGTACCGCAGGACCCCGCAGTTCATCCTGTTTACAGGACCAAAATGCAGCCTCACACCTTTACCTAACTTGAATGTAGTCTAGCTAAGACCTGAATGTAGTACTCGACATTCGTGAAGCCTGAGTCCTCAATGTAACACAAAGCAGTACTTAAATTTAGTCCGAGACCTATATTAATGTACCCCATATACTTGTGCATGTACTTGATATCCTCATCTAGTTCCCCGGATTAAAATTTTGGCATACCCCGTACCCCTATAGGTATATACCTATACCTAACCGTAGCCCAAGACCTAAATGTAGGCCAAGCCCTAATAGTCTAAGATCTAAATGAAGTGCAAGACCTGAGACCTCGAAGTAGTCCCAATGCTGTAACTTAATGAAGTCTGGGATCTAGATATAGATCCAACATAACACTGAACATGAAATGTCCCCCAAGATCTTATTGTTACCAAGGCCCTTAATGTGACCTTTGACATAAATGTAGTCCAAACACTATTACTTAATGTAGTCCGGGAAAATTTAGGGGAACACATTAGGGGACTTGATCTTCTTCACTCACCTCTTTGTTCTTAATTTTATTTTTGCTAAATATGCATCTCTTTTTTTCCAGATTACGAGATCCCAAAAGGTAAGTGCAAAATGCATTCTTTAAAACGAAGAACGTTTTGACTGTACACAACATTTCTTTGCGAAACTCACCATCACTGCGCGTCTTCCTCGCAACGAAGGCCACTCGCCGGTAAGTGATCTTTGTCTCGAATTCTGGTGTCTCCCCTGGATCTCAGCTTTTGCAGACTTTTTCTCTGAAAGTGGTAATGGAGTTCAATCAATTATTTGCAAAACAGATTGTGTTTATTTCATAGCTTAATGCACTACATAACAGATTAATATGGAGATACAGATTAGATCAGTAATCGACTGAAGCAAACTTTGGGATGAATTGCACCGGGCCGGAAAAGGACGGCAGCGGGGGTCAAGCCATCGACAAAGCCCACGTGCTTGATGGGCATGTTGGGGTCCCGCGGACCCAGGAGAAGATGTCCTTACGATTGGCGACACCAAAGCTGATGAGCAGCGGTGATGCAGTACTCGACGTAGTTGGTCGGGTTGAGGATGGTATCTCGACCAAGGCGATGGTAACATCGCGAACCATGGAGTGGACGATAGTTTTAGTCTTGCAATTGTCCGATTTACCAATCACTTCAAATCAGTAAAGGAAAAGGAAAACAAGACTTAAACAAGACTGGAATGCCAAATCGAACTAGACCCGGAAGTTCGAGATTTTAAATACTCAGTGTGACCCGGTCAGTCAGAGAACAGTAGGAGGCCACTCCAGCACAAATCTTACCGATTCAGCAATCTACGCAGAAGGATCTTCAGTTGAGTGTACAAGATCTGACGGCTGGGAGAAGAGATTTAGACTGAAGTTCCAGGGAGAAATTTCAGTCAGGTATGTTGCGATTTTTATGATATTCTGATGTCTAATGACAGAAATCAATTGAACTTACGATTCATAGATTCGTAGCACTTTTAATGCCATGTATGTTTTGGGTAATGTTTTTTCAAGTTCATAAATTATACTATTGTATTGGTATAATTCGGGTTTTTGAAAGGGATAAAGGCACCAACAGGTGGAGGAGAAGATCCAATCAGATATTTCAATTGCGAAGTTCGGCAGTTGTGGGTTTGATTGTTAAATTGCCACCAGTCTTTTTCCCCGTCATTTTCAATTGATTTATATTTGTGCAATTAGTGAAACTTCCTTTAATTTTATCAGGTAATTGATTCCCAATTGTTTAAATGGCTCATACACACCTCTTTTACTGCTCAGAGAATATCAATACGAGTTCATTAAAAATAGAACCGAGCTTATAACTGTCCACGTGACTTTGCCTACTTAAACTTCTTTTGAGCTGTTCGGCTCGAAGTAAATGACAGAGCCACATATACACGATCTTGAATTGCTAACGAGTAAAACTAAAAGGCTGACATTTTCACCTAACAACAAACAAGACTCTGCTGCCACACACACATTATACTATTTTTGGTACAAAAAAAATTATCGTTTGAACTGCTTCTCCTGGTTTCATCATAACATAGACTTAATGTTCATGCTAACAGATTTGAAAGGCATACACATAAATGTTTTTGTAAAATTGTTGTCGAGATTTCAAGTGTACATCAGTAAATATAGATCTGAGATACACTTTATGTAACTCATACCAGTATCAAGTTGATAAAAATCAAATCGTTTTATATACTAATATCCGCATGTTGATATATTCACTATCGCGTGACAATTTTATCAGACACTTCCATAAGGCCAAAAAGAAAAAGTCTCCAGTTTCTTGTATGCGCGCGTCGCCGTAGCCATGCGCGTCGGCAAAATGATTCTTTTTTCAATGTAAGATGATGTCTCAAAATCGCCAAACTCACTGGTTTGACTGGAATCCTGCTGCTGCACGATTTTAACGTGTTTTAGATGGGGTTACGATCGAGTATAAGCTTTATGTTGCCTCTGTGGACTCCCATATATTTTGCACTAAATTTAGTTGGGCACCATTTGCAGTCATCAGCCGACATTTGAAGGAAAAAAAGCTATAAAAAAAAAATGCCGCGTCGCCGCACCACTTTTGGGACAAGCTCCATACCAGAAACCGGAGACTTTTTTTGGCCTAACCATCTGTTCGTTTATTGAATTTTCGATAGCAAAATGCGTGGGAATTGAACTTTATTGATCACTGCTAACCTTCGTGGTAATTTTTTTTTATGCAAAATGAGTTTCCATATATTGGCACACCTTCGTCCTTTTTTTAAGTACAAAGGTAGAATTTCATGTTGATTATGCGAGGAACGAAAAGTTAAAAAATTGTGTACCCTGACGATTACTCAGATATCAATACTATCTGGTACTTTTCGTCATTACACTTTTTTCCGGTTCTTAGATAACCCGATTCCAAAATCGATAATCAATGTGCTAAGCATCATTTTGACAAAACAAAGGCTAGCCTTTAGTTTAACACTAGAGGGCAGGCTTCCCCAGTAACTACGTCGGCTATACCATATTTCCCAAACAAGCATTCACCTATTATGCATTCCCGACAGTCAGCTTTTAATCAATACCACATTTCACAGTCTAACGAGTGAAGAGTTGTGGTGCGTCAAAATTGGGGCGGGGCTTCAGTGTGGAGCGTTTTCATTGGTGACAAGGTGATGACGTAATGCCCCATTACCACATAATTAAATTGTGCATTGCGTTCATTGGTTGATAATGTATGCCTAATGCCCGTGATACAAACAATCAAGAAACTTAACGCTCATGTAGTTTGAAGCCATATATTTGTCAATACTTAGAAATACAATGGCATTTTCATTGTGCCACAACTATTGCCACTTGGGGGGAAAAAAATGAATAATCATACAATGCTGGGAATAAATCTGAAATAAAAAGCAGTGTGGAGAAAAGTTTGACAGTTGCCAAGTAAACATTTTTAAAAGACTGATTTCTTTCCATAAATATTTTTGAAAAATATATATAAAAAAACCACTGTTTGTGACATCGAATGCATAATTTACATAATAAAGGAAACCGTTTATAATACGAAAGGTGCAAAAATTATATGAAATAAAATAATTAAAAAACAAAACAGAAATAAAATACAATTATATAGCCCCAAATCCATTGCTCTCTGGCACTTTACATAATAAAGATAAGAACATTAATACATATGCGTCCTCTACTGGTAAAATATTATTCTTGATTCATTTTAAAAGTAAGAGCGCCCCCTATTCAAAATGGAGGGGGAAAATGTTGACACGTATGAAAGAGGGAAATCAATAAACAGAACAAACAAATTCTCCACAAAATTTGGAAACGGGCAGTGAGCGGGGTGGCCTTCAAAGCAGATGTGGAAAAATAAGATCACGCGTGTTCAAATGAGCTCCGGCCATAACGGAAGGGTGTACTTAACGTAGCGTCGTGGGGTGAGGGTAAGTGATTTCCATTTTTCCAGTGTCCATTTTAAAATAAATCAAAGCAAAAACAGCATTTGGGAAAAAAAGTTTTCTTCAACAACCGATTCTTAACTTCACCAAGCATGTTTGGATAGGCAAAACTGACACCAATCACACAAGTACTCGGCATGTGTATGGTATCGACATCGACCTCTCTATTGTTTATAAATAATTAAGCAGAAATATGTATGAATTGTAACCGTGGCATACATTTTAACCATAGTTGGCAATGGTAATGGTCGTACATTGTATTTTTTTTTTTAAATCGGACGGTGCAAAAAGAAATTAGATTTATTTTTTTGCAGCGAGATCCGCCCAACTTTACCTAACTGTGGTTGGCCAAATCATAGGCTGTGGCGCAGCAAAAGAAATGTGTTTTCCAGTTTTTATACTATAATTAAGCAGACACAGACAAACGTAAAGGCCTAAGGATTGGCAGAGGGAGGAACATGTGTTAACTTTCGAACATTAAGACCTGCTGTTGTGTAAACATTTTATCTATTTGTCCACTTTTATTCAGCATTATTGTCGCAGTTCTTAACGTTTCCCAGTTAGGTCCTAATATTTTAGCACATGCATTTTTAAAATGTCTTTAAGAACGTTGGTGTACAGTTTTACTTTAACTTGGAACAGTAAAAAGGAATAGTATTGATGCCAAAACAGTTCTAGGTTCTATGTATAAGTGTAATTGTTTTGACAACAAAACAAAATTGCTTGTACTTTCAAAATATGTTCCATAAGTGGCGTGAGACTAGAGTTTACAACAAGCAGTAGATATATTTCCATTAATTTTTTTGGCAAAGGATCCTGTTAAAATGATAATGCAAAACATTGTTTTTCTTTAACCCACCATGATATCCTTAAATGCAAGGTGAAGAACGAATCGAACAGGTGTACAGATAGCCTATATAAAAAATTAATGGCTTAAACGTGATTCTCCTTTAATGAAAGAAATGAAAAAGTATCGGTTAAAAAAATCGATACTTTATCATTTCCTCCCTAAGGGAGGAAAATAAAAACCCATATAACAAGGTCCAGAAATGACATATTCAACAGAAATTCCAAAGCAAAATACTTTTTGGCAAGTAATGTTCAAACTTGCTGGAAACTCGGAACATAAAAGAAAATGAACAATGTCAAGCAAATTAGATTTGTATTACTACCTTGCTAATCAAAGATGATTTTTTTTGATACCTCGAAATGCAAATGAACTCCCCCCCCCCAAAAAAAAAAGGCTTTAAGAAAGCCTATAAAAAAAGTCGACTCTCCTGCAAATTGCGTGATGATTAAAGAAAAAATACCGATACAACGGAAGCAGTTTTATACGTAAAATACCACCAAGGTTGGACGTAATCAATAAATTCAATTCTCACGCTTACACAAAAAGAGTTCAATACCGACAAACAGATGGTTGTGAAACTGATTGTTTCGAAGTGTTATAAAACAATGAAACAATATAAAACAGATGGAGTTTAGATACACGAAAAACTTACCTTTGTTGCACTGATCAACGTCATCATGGGAAAGGAATTCGGATTATTTTACTGACTGTTCTATTCACTATTAACAAATGAGGAGGTTCATCAAAGAAATAAACAAACTGAAGAAAAAAGT